AAGACTCACAAAACCCTATGTAGCAACGACAACTCGGTGCGCTAGACGCACACATCGAACGACGACAACATGCACAAGGAGATCCCGCACGGATCCGCCAGATCAACCAAGAACTGGAAGAACAGGTCGAATCAGAAACGACCAAGAACCCCCAACGACTCGGAAACACCTCGCGATGTTGCCCGCCAACATGCCCAACTGGAAGTCGCCTTTGAAGTCGCTTCAGTCGACGACACCAGCTCTGGAGAGGACTCTGACGAAGAAATACAGTGGTATCACTGCTACCAAGACCAGCGCCGAGTCCACTATATCAAGAAAGACGAAGCATGGAAGAAACAGCAAGAAAACGACGAACAAGGAACGGACGAGCAGTCAAAAAACTAGACTCGCCTACCGAAGACAAGGGACAACGACAGGCAGTCCAGACAAGGTCCCTATGTAGCGCAACGACGCCCACGACACAACGACACGAGCATGTACAAGTCCAAATACAGCTCAACGGAAGAACAGCTGCTACCGCCATGATCGACAGCGGAGCCCAAGGAAACTTCATATCACCAAGAACGGTGAATGAAAGAAAGATAACCTGGAAAAGAAAAGCAGCCGAAGACTGCTACGAACTCAGCACCGTTGAAGGAGAACAAGTCCAGTACGGCGGAGGACGCATTGCTATGGAGACAGCGCAACTCCCTTTGCAGATCCATGGCCGGAATAAGCGACTGAACTTCGATATTACGGAGATAGGAGACAAGTACGATGTCATCCTTGGAAGACCATGGTTATACGACAGTAACCCACGGATAGATTGGAGAACAGGCCAACTCCATTGGGACCAGGATTCAGTCACTGAGAAGCAACCACGGAACGGTGCCTCAAACGAACCTCTCAAGACTCCTGAAGCGAAGAGATTTCTAGCATACCTACGGATCAAGGATGCAAACGCCAGGACGTTATCAGCAACAGACATCGGCAAGGAAGACCGACTTCTGTCTATCCCAGAAGAATACCGGCAATACCAGAAGCTATTCGCCGAAGAACTCGAGACCGGACTCCCGGAACACAGCAACTACGACCACGAGATACCCCTTAAGGAAGGGAAGGAGCTAAAGCTAGAAGCAATCTACGGACTCAACCAGAAAGAAATGGAAGCACTCGACGCTTACCTCGAAGAAAATCTACAGAAGGGATACATCAGACCCTCCACATCACCAGCAGGATACCCAATCCTGTTCGTACCAAAAAAGAACGGCAAACTACGACTCTGCGTCGACTACCGGAAACTCAACGACATTACGATCAAGAACTGCTACCCACTACCGCTCATCTCCGAATTACGAGATCTACTGCACGGAGCCCAGTGGTTTACAGCACTCGACCTAAAAGGAGCCTATAACCTGATCCGGATGAAATCAGGTGAAGAATGGAAGACAGCGTTTCGAACACGCCGAGGACATTACGAGTACCTTGTGATGCCCTTCGGACTTACCAACGCACCCGCGACATTCCAGACGATGATCAACCACGTCTTACGAGAATACCTCGATATGTTCGTCGTAGTTTATCTCGACGACATCCTAATCTTCTCCAAGACTCTGGAAGACCACAAAAAGCACGTACATCAAGTGCTACGGAAACTACAAGACGCCAAACTCCTAGTAGAACCAGAAAAAAGCAAATTCCACACCCAAGAAGTCGAATTCCTAGGCTTTACGATAGCCCCTGGAATCCTCAAGATGTCTAAAGACAAAGTCGCAGCAGTACGAGACTGGCCAACACCACAAAACGTCAAGGATGTGCAATCCTTCATCGGATACGTGAACTATTACCGACGATTCCTAGAAGGATACTCAGACAAAAACGACCCCCTCACGAGACTTTCGAAGAAAGATATCCCTGGCAATGGGAAAAGGAACAAGACCAAGCTTTTAACGAGATCAAACGACAAGTCACATCGGAACCAATACTTGTTATACCAAACCCCGAGAAACCATTCGAAGTCGAGACCGACTCCTCAGACTACGCTATAGGAGGACAACTAGGCCAACGAGACGACGAAGGACGACTACACCCTTGCGCCTTCTTCTCACGCAAGTTACACGGCCCAGAACTCAACTACCAGATACACGACAAGGAACTTATGGCAATTATCGAGGCATTCAAAGAATGGAGACCGCAACTCTCAGGGACCAAGTACGAGGTCAAAGTATACACCGACCACAAGAACCTCGCACACTTCACCACATCGAAAGATCTCAACAAACGACAAATTCGATGGTCCGAATTCTTGTCAGAATTCAATTTCAGAATCATCTACCGGAAGGGCAAGGAGAACGGCAGGGCCGACGCCCTCAGCCGACGACCGGACCACGAGGTCTAGGTACCTGAGGAAACCCGAGTTATCCTCAAAACAGACAAAAACGGAGACCTTGTGCCAGCAGCCAGACTCTTAATGATGGCCAGAAGAGACAGTACCAGCACGCCTGGAAGGATGTCTCCTGAAGCCATTAGGGAGATACACTCCGCACCCGCACACGGTCACCAAGGCGTAACTAAGACATAGAAACGCATCCGCCAACACTACGACAAAACGGCTACACGACAAGAAGTATCTTTAGCGATTAAGGACTGTAAGGTTTGTGCGAAAAGCAAACCCAGCCGACATCAGCCTTATGGAAAGATACAGCCACTCCCAGTACCGCAAACCGCATGGGAATCTATCTCGCTGGACTTCGTCACCAAACTACCCAAGTCCCGAGAACCAATGACCAACGTCTACTACGACAGTGTCCTCGTCATCGTCGACAGACTCACGAAGTATTCGTACTTCATCCCGTACATGGAGTCTAGCACTGCAGAAGACCTCGCCTACAAGTTTCTGCAGGTGATCGTAAGCCAACACGGAATGCCGAAGGAAATCGTATCCGACAGAGACAAGCTGTTCACTTCCAAGTTTTGGAGATCCCTGATCTCGCAGCTAGGATCCGACCACAAGATGTCCACCGCTTTCCATCCGCAAACCGATGGCTAGACAGAACGAATCAATCAGATCATGGAAACCTACCTACGCTGCTACGTCAACTATCAGCAAGACAACTGGGTTCAACTGCTACCTATGGCCCAGTTCGCCTACAACAGCGCAGTAGGAGAAAGTACAAAAGAATCACCATTCTATCTGAACTATGGATTCAACCCAACAGCCTACGGACAACCTCGACAAGGCCCAGCAGCTCTGAAAGCTGTGGCAGATATCAACAGACTTAAGGAGATCCAGCAGGAACTCCCCAGAGACCTCGAATTTGTGCGCGAACGCATGCGCAAATACGCCAACAAATCAAGAGTTGAGGGACCAACTCTAAAGGAGGGGGATAGTGTATACCTTCTCCGCCGCAACATCAAAACAAAACGACCAAGCGATAAGTTAGACTTCAAGAAACTTGGACCCTTTGAAATTACGAAGAAGGTATCTAACGTCAACTTTAAACTCGCACTACCCGACAGCATGAAGTGTCATCCAGTCTTTCACATTTCACTTCTCGAATCAGCACCAAAGGGATCGTACACTACGGACTATATCGAAGTAGATCCCGAACAAGAATACGAAGTCGAACGGATAATCGATCACATCGAAGAACAAAAAAGTATCCGCTACCTTGTCAAGTGGAAAGGATACGGACACGAAGACAACACATGGGAACCACCTCAGAGCCTCGAAAACGCACAGGAAGAACTCGGACGTTACTGGAGACAGCAAGAACAAGAACAACAAAGACAAGCACCAGTACGAATCGAGAAACAAACGCCAAAAAATCAATTTCGACTACGACAACCACAACCCATCATCCGTCCACCACGATCAAACAAGCCACGGGATAAACACCCTCTCATTCGTTTAGGAACCCCAGAGCCACCTAAAGGAACCCACTAAGGGCCTCCAACACCCCCAGGAGACGCTTCAGGAGTACTCCGCCTCTCAACAACCGACCCTGAATCCAACAAACCAAACTCAGCCAACAAGGATGGCGACAAAGCGACATCCGGGTACAGGGTATCCCAATCCGCTGTGAACTCCACCGGCAGACGAGGCGAATCAGCCGAAGGACGAACCGGTTCTACCCGACGCTGCTCTGCCTCTGCCTCCTCTCTCTCAACACGCTCTAACTCCTCCACACTGTCGATACCACGGCGCACCGCGCGCATCATCTTTTCAAACCACATCTTTTTCTGCTTTCGAAGACGCTCTACTTTGGCGTCCAGAGCACGACGCTCCTCTTCTGCCTTCTCCAAAGCATCCTCAAGCTTCTGATGCTGATCACCAATCCGACGAAGTTGCTGGGCACTGAGACCCTGAAGGTCGCAGTAAGACTTGCCGCCACGAACGCATTCGGCGCATCGAGAGGAATCAGAAAGAGAAGCTTCGCACGACGAAAAACCCTTTACCTCACAGGAGGAACAAACAGGCATGACGGTACGATTGCCCAAGATAAGACTCAAGAAGGAATCGCGCTGCTTTGTCTTTTCCGCACGAGAATCGAACGATCGAACGACCTTTCGTTTTTTGACGCGACCTGACATGATGTAAGCATCATTAAAGGAAGCAAGTTGGGCGCCCTCCCACCTGAGGGCAGACGACCTACTTAAGCTGGTCTTGAGGACAAGACCCTTGGAGAGGAGACCTGATGTTACGACCCGTTGGACATGGTCGCCAACACGACCCCGCCTGGATCCCGGCGGCTAACGCAGGGCATAGATTGATTGATTGATTTATTCCTACTCGGTTATGAAGCCGCTCTTATGCCAGCAGCTATGCCCGGAAAGCGGGGTTTGGCAGGTAGCCGAAGCGTCGACAATGAACAGCGACGCCCCACTTCGCCCTGATGTTGCATCAGGGCCAGCTATCCCCAAGCTCCCCACTATGTTCTCTATTCTGTGTGTTTGTGCCCTCTGTTGAAGAAGTGTGTTGCTCTCCTGTCTGCTTTCTCGCTTTTGTGTTGCTCTCTAGAATGCTTGTTTTGCGTCCTCCTGCTTCGGTTCAGTTGGTGCTGGTAGCACCGTATCTGGTTCTTTGTACCTACAGTCTCCCCCCAGCGCTCAGCTTTGTCTCTTTGTTTTGTCCGTATCCTCCCGGACTTGTATGTGCCGTTTTCTCAGTTGCATCTGTAAATTCTTTGTTGCCTCCTGCCGGGTTCCTATGTGGCCTCTTGTTTCTTGCCTGTTGACCACTATTGCCCTCCACCACATTGGCCCAAGGGTCTTCCACGAAGCACAATGCTCCACTGACTCCGACATGTTCGATTACTGGGTTTGAGAGCTCCCGCACAGATTCCGCAGACATTGTCGCGCGTTGAAGGGACACCAATCCTTCTTCGCAAAAGGGGCGACAGGGGACCAGTCTGTCTGTGGTCTGTAGTATTGTGTGGCATCGATCGTAGCATGCCTAATGCCTGGTGCTTTCTCCGTGCGGAAGGTGATACTGTTCTGTCGGACTCATCTTCGTCGTTGTGGGACGTTGCAAACTTTGTCGGGGGTGACAGGTGACCCAAAACCTGTCGGCGGCTGTTGTGTTGAAGTTGATTGTTTGGGCGCAGTCTTAGTGCTTCGTGTAGCGGCTTGTGGCTCGCCTGTGGTGGTGGTAACAGTGTTGTCTATTGATATGTCGTATTTTGCGGCTTGCTCTCAAGTTTTTCATTGTAGTCGGGGCGTGCTCTGCGGCCATCTTGGGCCCCTTTGGGACGTAGAATCAAGGCCGAGGATGGCATTGCATCGAAGGGGGCTCTGTGGCCGCGAGCACGCGTATTTGGGGCCGTTTTTGCTCCGATTTTCAAAAATTTCGTTCTCGCTGTTGTTGATGTTTTTTAACGCAGGGCATATATAACCCAGCCGGACAGGTGTAACCAGGGATCCTCGGAACGGAAGAACTATGGACAAGTCACGTGGCCTCGGGGATAACGCGGGGTAAGGACAACCCGGGCTGGATATGTTGGATATGTCAGATATCCAACCGATCCCCGGATATGTTGGATATGTCAAATATCCAACCGATCCCCGGATATGTTGGATATGTCAAATATCCAACATAGCTAAGATAAGGAGGACCGTTCAGGACTTGTATATAGGATGGACTCGAGCCGGGCTCGAGGACAGACTTCCATAGCTCTTCAGCAATCAACTTTGTGATTACCCTAACCGGTACTTTCAGCTATACCTAAGTGACGACTACTCTACGACTCTTGTTGAGGCCTTGACTGATCACCAAGACCTTTGAAGATCTACGATTCAATCGACCAGACCCCAGAACGACTGTTACTGTTGTCAATCCCTGGCTTACTGTTAACACAAACCCACTGTCAGTTAGCTGGCCGTAACAGTAGTATAGCAAGACTTATTAAAGTCTTAATATCGTGCTTAAGGTATAAAGTACTCTAGCTTATTTAACTAACTAATAGATAATATTAAAAAGATAATAACTAGATACCGATTAAGCGTTTTAGTATAACATATCTATAATAAGCTAGATGTACTATAGCTAGTTTTTCCTACTGGAAAACTAGCTTATATATATATTAGTTATATTAACAACTTTAAGACATATTCTCATGTATCTATTGTGTGAACGAAAAGTGGCTTTGTATAGGAAAAAGCCAGTTTTCAGGATGTATCTTTTGTCTCAAAGAAAGAGTCCCGTGCCTAGCAAAATCTAGCCAATCAAGCCACTTAGAAAAGCCAGTTTCTAGCTTTAAAGCTAGACTCCTAGCTATTAGGGTTAGGGTAAGGTAATTAGTCTTATACTAGGTAATAAGGTAAAGTAATATTATAAACTATAAGCTAAGCTAAAAGTTATTAAGGATAAATTATAAGTTAATTACTAAAAAACTATCTAAGAAGCCTTAAGCAAGTACTTAAGTCTTAATCTATATATAAGTCCTAAAGTAAGTATTCTAGGTAGCTTTAGTAAGTACTTACCCTACTTATCGTAAGCGCTTACTTATCTTAGCATAAGCGCTTACTAATTCCTTATTAGTATTTACTTCTTATTATTATATAAATATATAATAGTTTTCTATTCTAGTAGTAAGCTATTATTCCCTATATGTTCTATATATATCTAGTAGTATAGCCGCTAGCCTAAGTAGGTTTGTTAACCCTCTGTTAAGCATAATAAATAGGTTATAATACTAACCCTCGATCTACTAGTATAACCTATTAATATATAACGCAAGACTTATTATTAGTATTATAGCCTTAACTTCTATTAGTAAAAACCTTATTATTACTAGCTAGCTATAATAGCTTGCTTTATATTTAAGCAAGAAGTCCTTACTTATAGCTAGTTTAATCTTAGGTAAGTAGTCTTAGCCTTATAGCCTCTACCTCGGGATATCTTAGCCTTGTCTTAGGTATAAGCTTATTTATTACGTAATATATACTAAGTAATAAGTTAGTAATATTATAACTATAAGCTAAGGTAAAAGTTATTTAAGATAAAATATAAGTTAATTACTAAATAACTATCTAAGAAGCCTTAAGTAAGTACTTAAGTCTAGATCTATATATAAGTCTTATTACCTAAGGCTAACTCTTATATTATCATAAGCTAATATCTTAAGTATTAGCTACCGATATACTAAGAGTTATATTAGTAGCTTCTTATATAATCTCTACGTAACTCTTGTTTTAATAGATAGTTCTTCTATTCTAAAGGTAACCTATTATTCCCTGCGTGTCTTATATATATCTAATAGTATAGCTGCTGGCTTAGGTAGGGTTGTTAACCCTCTGTTAGGTATAACGAACGGGTTATAATAGATAAGGCACGTAGGGGAAGGGTAGTAAAGAGGGCGTTCCGGCAGGTTTACTAAGACTTTCTAACTAAATACTACTTCTGCATCCGAAGTCTCTTATCATAATTATGATTTCACCACGTAGTATTTCGTGGGTTAAAGTAGTACCCCTTAGCAATAGATAAGCCTATGACTTTATATAGCTTCCGCCTCGCCTCTAACGAAGAGTTTTCATTCGCTGTAATGAATTCATGCGCGACTGTCAGAGGCCAAAAAGTAGAGGAGGGTCCTGCCATTTTAAACTCTTCGTGCATCAAGTACTCAATGCTTCTCAGTATGTCATGGGACATCTGCACAGCCTTTTCTGGTTCGAGGATCCATTCCAAAGGCTGCCCCCTTACCTCCATACTTATACCAGAGGTCCCTTCGAATTCTTCTCGCAGAGACCTGATATTGGTTATACAAACGATTGAGCAGGCCCAAAGCCATGTGAGGCAGTTGGCGTTTGTAATGCTAGAGAAGTGCAAGCACACATCGCCATCCTGGCCGACCGTCTCCCAGTATAGCTGTGTTGCACAGGATGCCTCGAACTCATCTTTCCAACTTAATAGTCGATCTATTAGTTTCACAAAAGAACCGATCAGATTTAGTGCCTGCGCACCAGCAGTGTCTGACGATAGGCCCTTGAGAGTCTGACATTTCAAGTTGTCTACCCTCTCGAGTAATGAGGGAATGACAGTTGCCTCGGTGATGATGGTTTGGAGAGATGTGGGTTTGACTACGCTAAATGGCACTACTCTCCATCGTTCTTCGGAAAGAAATGTCGAGGTCCGAGAGTGTAATGCATACTTGACCTATTTCAACTAAGTCCTATGTAATAAATAAAGGGCCCTTTACAGTCATGGACTCACCAAGATTGGCCGGAACCCGGCGAAAAGTTTGTGAGGAATGCCGGCCGCGTAAAAGTCAGGTGGGCGCTGTTGTATCAACTTACTGATGCCGTTGGCATGTGCTCCCCACGTGGCATCAGAAGTTGGCAACATCAACTGTGAGAGCAGCAAGTCAATAACGGGCGGCTTCAAGAAGGGGGAGAAAGCAAGACGTACTTCCGAGAGGCACAAGCACATGATGGAGGCAATAAGCTGGTTCCAAGACTGGGTGTTCATCCGACGGAAAGCCATCCTGAGGGCGCGGAGCGCAGAGCCATGAGCCTGGAGGACATCGGCCAACGGCGCCCGACCATCCGGGCCCTTAAAAACAATAGAGGTTCCCAGTGCGGTCACACACGATGCAAGCACCTGGCCATTGTCTGTTGCGCCTATCAGGATCGGGAGGGCCTCAATCCAGCCACCGCACACTCGCGACAAAGATTTGTGCGGGCCGTCATAAACGGAGACAGGCGCAAAGTTCTGAATGACCAAGGCCACGATATCTGCCATCGTCCAGCTCAGCGGCGGGGGCGGCACAGCTTGACTTTGCCCTTTGGAGTAGCCCGGGGTGCTGTCCCAGATAACTTGTTCCCCATGATGTGTGATTAGACTGCCCATACCCGTAGCCTCCGGCCCCTGGGGCTTTTCGGAGCGCTTCCGCGGTGCTGTGATGGCAGAGGATTTGAAAATGAAGTCATGACTATAGCCTTCGCATCGTACGCCTTTATCAATGCATTGAGAGCAAGCGGGTAGCTTTCCATCGCACTAGGCAGAAAATTAGCCGTTAGAACTGATCGTCGTTCTCTAAGTAGGGTCATACCCTTTTCTTTCTTCTCCTACAAGTGTGGCATACCGTCATCCTTCTGATCTTCATGCCTGCCCAAGCTCGAAAGGGTTTTATCAAAATGCGTAAGGTAGGATTTGTTCAGACAGGATGTTGTCGATCGGTGCAGTGGACTCCGCAATCAAAACTTGCACTCAGTAATGAAAAGGCCCACGTCTTAGGAAAAAAAGAACTTGTACGGAGTATAGCGAAGAGTGTCGGCCCCAGCAATGGGGGATAGTTTCGGTAACTTTGCCAGCTTGAATCAGTAACGCTAACTACATTTGGAGACATTGCCCGCTTAGATCAGCCAACTAGCTTTAAAGTTTGGGCGATGCTCCGGTCTATACCTTAATTGTTATTTCCATCGCGATGTAACTGCCTTGTTGGGTTATCAAGGCAACCCCATGCTTGCTGGCCCATATTTATGAGGAGGTGCCCATTCTAAGCGTTGCACAGACATGAATTTAATTTCTAACCTACTCCCCCATCACGCTCGTTCGTGCGTATCATAAGGTGTTTAAGCTCCTAGTCTTGCTTGCGTACGTACTGCGTAGTAGAGATGATCCTGGACGACTGTACTTTGGCCAAAGGGAGAGGAATCCTAGTTTATATGTCGCTAGGCCACCTGTCACGGGTGGCTAGCCCCCGATAACGAACATTATCACAGAGAATGCGTCATCCCTTCAAGTCCAGTTCTTTATCTGTTTTTATCACTTGGAGACGAGAAATCGAGAATGGCGGCGCGACCGGGCTTATCTAGCATATTTGGGAGATGAGAACCATCAAGGATAATCTCCCCTGCCTGGGGAAGTGACCTGTTCATTCTTTCGTCTATGACAATCCTTTACATTTTAAAGTTTTACCCAAGTCTCTTATTCTTACATGAATCGGATTAAATAAAGCTTGCTCCACTGCAATTCCCATGGGCCAGATTCTGATGCAGGAATCACCTTGTAAATTAGGCTGACCTGGCAAAACTTCTAGCTCAGAAATATAATAGGTTAGGTGTCACGGAGTGATAGCTGATCAATGCTCTTCGCAGCTGTTTCGTTAGAAGGCGTGTAACCCAACACCACTTTACCCACATTTGTGCTTTTCGAGTCCTGTTGACCACCCTTTTCCACCAACCAAGAAATTAGATACTGGATTAGAAGGGAACCATTCTTCTCGCAGGCTTCGCTGGTCATACGCGCAACATCTGATTCGAGCCACTTAGATAAGCCAAGCGGCGGCGCATGTGATCGAGTTAAGCCGGTATAACTCCTTGATCAAGCCTCGCCAAGAGCAATCGGCATAATAGCTCACCGTTTCCAATATCTTGTCTCGGGACACGGGATAATGGTCCAACCGCTTGAATGTTCATGACTTACCAAACCATGTTCGCAGACTTCTGATGTTTGACTGGAACGGCGCCAGCAATAATTGGCACCAATAAGCCTTCTTCTAAGATACATTATGGGATGACGGCGTTCACATAAATGCTCGTCTGTCACCATCCACATTTCAAATTTATGTCTGTACAACCTCTCATCTTGAATTCGGTTCTCCGCTTTATTTTCGAATCCTACTCCACATCTTTACTTGTTGCCGTCGTCTAAGATGAAACTTTTCAGGCTTATTCTATTGACCGTGGGCAGTGGAATCTGTTCAGCGGATAATCCACGAAGAGTGCACTCTCGATCGTACGGTTGCGGTACCAATGTTGGGACTAAGAACTCAACAACTTCTGAAGGCGATCATGATTTCATCATTGTGGGAGGTGGTATAGCAGGGGTAACGCTCGCCAATCGTTTGACTGAAAGTGGAGGTATCACAGACGCCCTATTTCTACATCCGGGTGAAAGTTAGAGTGCTAACGAACTTCATACTTGTAGAACACCAAGTCCTTCTGCTCGAGGCTGGAGACTTGTGAGTCCGATAGGGGCTATCTGGTGCGGTTTGTCACTAACGAACGATCAGGGACCAGGGCGAAGATTTCATCACCACACCCGGTATGGTGGGCTCCGGCGTTGGAACCAAATATGACTGGAACCGCACCAGCACGGTTGGTAGCGTTCTTGGAAGAAACATGTCTCTTCCCATGGGTAGAGGTGTAGGGGGAGGCAGTCTGATCAATCAGATGGTGTTTACCCGAGGTACAAAAGGCGACTTTGATCGCTGGGAGACCCTAGGCAACGATGACATGAACTGGGATGGTATGGTTGAATTTTTCAAGAAAGTGAGTCTTTACATTAAATAGTGAAGTAAAGCAGCGAGAACTGAACATATCTAGAGCGAGAATTTCACTTCGCCTGTATCCGACATTCTCAGGGACTTCGACGCCATGTGGGATCCGGAAGTCCACGGCTTTGCGGGAGCGGTAAAGTCTACATATTCTCCGTTCTTCTGGCCATCCACCAGTAAGTTTCACGGTTTTCTTTTTTTTTTTTTTTTGGTTGGGGCGATCCGTTACCCTTACAAGATTGAAAGGCACCTTTCGCTAAGGAATCAACCTCGTAGATAACATCGTCAACGCCACTCGCGAACTTGGCATTCGAAACCTTCGAGACGGCCAGGGCGGTGACGCCGCCGGCGGGTTCTTCTGTCCCAAGACTCAGAGACCCGTCGAGAACACCAGAAGTTCGGCGAGAGCTGCCCACTACGATCAGGCTGCGCCGAGACCCAACTTCAAGTTGGCCGAAAACGCCCACGTAACTCGGATTGTTGTCGAAGGGGGCAAAGCCGTGGGGGTTGAGGTAGGCCGTTCAGTCGTGGCCTCACAGGCTCCATTCTGAGCTTCACGCTAAGTGTTTTTACAGTACGCTACCTCTGTTACCTCTAAAAAGATAACAGTTAGAGCCCGCAAGGAAATCATCCTGTCCGCGGGTGCCTTACACACGCCGCAAATCTTGCAGTTATCTGGCATTGGAGGCGCTGAGAAGCTTGCTTCTCTCAACATTACGCCAGTCGTTGACCTTCCTGCTGTCGGACAAAACCTACAAGACCACCCCCTCCTCGTCGCCGTCTTTGGATGTAAGCTCAAGCCTCATGGTATTAATATGGTGATGAAACGTTAGCTTACCGTCTCTGAATCAATTTAGTGAACGTTCCGCTTTCCTCGGCAAACCTGACATCTAACCAAAGTTACGCAGCAGAGATGGCCAACCTCTATCGAACGCAGCGGGTCGGACCCCTGGCGAATCCTGGAGGTGAATATATTTTGTTCCTGCCTCTGTCAAACATTACGACCAAGGCGTCCGGGATGGCGCAGGAGGCCTACATTCAGAACCCCGCCGACCTCCTGTCCGACGCACCCGAGGAGGTCCAACATGGATACACTAAGCAGCATGAACTTCTGACTCAAGGGCTCACATCGGACGTCATGACGCCTCTCGAGGTGTTTTGGAACGATGGTACTATCGTTCTTGGTCTCGAGCATCCCTTCTCCCGCGGCTCCGTTAACATTGTCTCGGCTGACCCTTTTACGGCCCCAAACATCGACCCCGGTTACTTGACGAACCCCCTGGACATGGCCGTCCTAGTGGAAGGGATACGCTTTTCCAGACGTATAATGGCCACGACGGCCATGGCTCCAACCTCGGCTGTCGAGGTACTGCCGGGAGCCAATGTCACTTCGGACGCCGACATTGAGTTGTACATCAAACAGAACTTAGCTACATTTGCGCACTACGCCGGCACCGCCACTATGGCTGCCCGTGAGATGGGAGGCGTCGTCAATTCGTCTTTCAAGGTCTACGGTGTCGAGAATCTGAGAGTTGTCGATGCCAGCATCATACCTCTTCTCCCAGCCGCCCATACAAGTTCCACAGTTTACGCGCTGGCAGAAAAGGTACTTTCATCTCTACATCCGTTGGCACGCTGCTTCTTTGACTAACATGTGTCCAGGCTGCTATGCTGATTCTGGAGTAGGCTATGCTTTATGGGTTGGTATGACATTGCCCATAGCTAGGGAAGGGGAAGAATAAGCAATGCAGTATATGGGCTACGTCTGTTGCAGTAAAATCACCTATGTAGAGATAGAGCATGAAACGGAGAGCAGTTTACGTTGTTAAGAAAAAGTGCTGAAAGTAGTTGTGACACCACAACCTTTCTGGTAATTCTACAATGATAACTTGCAAATGTTCTACGAGATTTTGCCTTTTCGGTCTTTGTAATATATGCCCTTCCCTCTATTGATACTTTAAATCATAGCGCATAAATTAAGAGAGGGATTTACAGGAGATTCAACAGCGGTTTAGTGACGGAAATCCGGCTTCATAAGCGACACCAGTTGCCTTCATTAAGAATAACTAGAATCACGAGGAAACGCCCAAATATCTTGACACTTCGACCAAGTCACCTTGACAAATCGAGTGAGATTTCTGGAGCCTTTACGGTCTCACCATTTGCTGCAAGAGCCAAAGCGCGGGGATTCTCCTGCATTTGCCACAGTCAGTTCACACCACACACCGCCGCATCGTATGACCTTCCAAGCAAAGGCAAAACTAACCAATAGAATTTTTGATTGCGCCTTTTAGGGCTTGTGTTCCGGGTAAGGCTTGGTTTAGGTAGTGTCGATCTGAACGGTATGCGGATGCGTTACTAGAATAAGACAGGCTTGATAACTAATGCAGCAACGTTGACGCGTGTCCCTTTGTCCGCACCCCGAATAAAGCCAGCTACATGATATGCGGCTAGCACCATATCGAGTGGCTTGCACTTTTGGATATGGCCTGAACATTTGAGTATGGCCTCATCGGGCCAGCGGAGTCACAAGGAGGCACAACTTAACAGGGCCTAATGATGAAGGCTCCGTGAAAATGGCATAGTAAATGAGATCAGTGGCCGATATCGTGAGACCGGCACTATGCCTGTGGCTGGGAAATTTTGTGAAACTCTCTCGATCAAAGCGAATGAGTATCTCCGTGTTAGTTGAGAACATTATGTAGGTATCTACTGCAGTTTTTTAATTGACAACGAGCCGTGGTTGCTAACAGTCGTTAATTTATAAAAGCAGCCACCACTTAACTCTTTTGTAATTTTACATAGAGAAGATCTCATCTTTACTTTTGATATTTAACTAAGATGGATTACTTCAATGAGCCTTCATCCCCTGTGTCGCCCGGCACGACTCTAGTAGGATCACCTACTCAATCGTACGGATTCCTAACCGAAAATTCTCAACAAGGAGATAGCTATCACGACCCATCTGGCCCTTGCAAGCCTACTCATTACATCAACTATGACGGAGGAGAGATTGGCAGCAACTGCTCACAAACAACACAAGGTCTGCCTTCTTCATTCACAATCGCAAGTCTAATACTGCATTTGATACTCAACCTGCCAGCCCTCTGGTTTCTTGCCTTCGCCTTTCTCGTTTGTGCGTACGAACGGGAACCGAAAAACAAAGATATCGTTTCGTAATTGCAGAGGGCGTCCCATCATAATCGAACCATATTCTCGATTGCTTTCGCCGCTACAATGAAAAGGCTCTTGACCAGCATGGCTGCGTGGAAACTGGAACGCGGTATCTCTGTTCTCAGTCTAGAGTATCTTCTCAGCAATCGGACCGTTGCTTAGGCTCTGACCACACCTTTCACAATGAGAAATTTCAACTACCAGACGCCCAAAATCGTCGCCTTGTGGATTTTGTCTCCACTTGGGGGTCAGGCGTCTCTCCGAATCATGGAACTTGCTCCCTTGAACGAGTCAGAAGATTGGCCTTTTCAATACCTTGACTTCACGAGTGCTATGGGCAACCGCTCTTCCTGGAGCGCCTCAATTCGGATTCCGATTCACGCAGCCTTCGCTGCTCAGTCGTCCAGCACCAGGAGTATAAAGGAAGCACCTCATGATGAGTTCGGCAACGTTAAGATCCCTCTTGTGGAGCCGTATCTTAGTGGACCAGAACAACCGGACGAGGAGGGGTGGTACAAAGTCGACCAAATTCAAGAAACTATTTATGCCTCGATAGCAGGGCTCCCATTTGCATCTAAAGACGGTTTTAGGCGCGATTTCAACTACTCTTCCACTATAGAGACATCATACATGTACAGTAACTGTATAGCCGACCATCATGAAGACAGCAACATCGTGACAGGCGACACGGTACAAATGTCCAGCATGTATCACAATGGGGTGAGCTTTGGTATGAGTTACCTTACACGCCGCGACGAACCTGAACACGCACCTTCGCAGTTAGTTTTAACGTCATTTACTGCAAAGACAATCACAAATTCGAGATGTGAAATGACAACTTCCTTTGTGGAGGTTGATATCTTATGCGATAGGTCATCTTGCCGCGCGGTACGCATCCAGCCGACCAAAATGGAACCTCATCTGACTAATCGCACTGTACTTGATGGGCTCGCGACGTCTATAATGAAAACATGACGACAGGCCGAGACTACCGAATATGGATCGACGAGAAGCACCAAAAAACCTGCGACCTATTTCTATCAAAATTCGTCAACGCGTGCAGAACACCATGGGCCGGTGACAATAAAACTCACACCTGCATGACCCCAATAGAGTATTACTTTATAGACCCAGGGTCCCCGTATACTCCTCCAAACAACGCCTACGAAAAGGGGTTCGGCATCAGCAACATTACAGACCTCATTTGTTCACAGCGGCTCACACAACTCCTGAACACATTCTGGATCGCCAGCTTTGCTAATCGCAACGCTACAGGGACCTACGGATTCGGCGCAATCGACCCCAATAACAACTTTAAACTCACCAGTAGCGAGAGTAACGGTACGAGGGTCAAGGATATCAAGGTCATCCATGCGAACAAGCTGTGGATGGCGGCGCTGATCGTGGCGTCTACAATCATGCTGCTGGCGGGCCTCGTTACTTCTGCGCTAGACATCGGAAAGGTTGCCCTCGGTACCGTTGGGAATTTGGTCCCCTTGAGTTGGCAAGAGGTTGATAGGCTTTATGGCTGAGAGTAACTTGACAATAGTATTATTTTAGAAATTTTATATAGATTGACCTATTTTCAGCTATAATTTCTAGTTTCTATATATTTCTATACATTGAAGGATATGAGAGGTACCTAAGGGCTTCTAACATGTTCAACTTAAATAAACTATTTGACTAATAAATAGTATATTCGTGGAGCGAATTACTATTTTTTAGTGAAGAGAAAGAAATTAAAATTTAAAGATCTATAGAGTGATTTAGTTCTAGTTGCTGGAACACTTATGAGAGCTCGAATAAGAGTGTCTAACGCTAGGATTACTAGGTCGCGCATTGCATCAAAGGCCCCCTTGAACATTTTACTGGCCGCCCTGAGGAGATAGGTCTTGATTCCCGTGGATTCATCAACACAGCAGTCGACGACAGGGATAAGACGTTGGATAGTGCCATGAAGGCTACAATACCAATTTTCATGATGCCTTTGTCTAATAGGCTGGTAGCATCCGTCGAGAGCCTAAAGTTTAGAAGATTGCAATCTGAAAAGACTTGTTCCATGCCTTCCTTACCGCTTTCCATGACACAAGGTATAGGGTTTAGTCGAAAATTCATTTCAAGTTGTAAGGAAGCATTTCAGTACGTTAAGAGGTCCTAAGGTAACTTCTTTTCACTCCTGGTGGAATGGTTAGCGACATTGGACAGAGTAATAGGTAGCTATAATACGAACGTGTTAGTAACTGGGGATTCTCTTGCTAAAGTAAAGACCAAGCCATCCCATCATGTCATTTCCTAGTATATTGGTAAGCACGACCACCACATATTGCACCAGGGCGACTACAATTTTAAGATATTACTAAGTATCTTAGAGCCAACTTTGATAATGAAGTTGACTATGGGCCCAGAAGTCTTGATGGCCCTCTCGATCGTGAACCTAACGCCTTATCTTAGAGATTCGATAGCGTCTCTGATGTATGCTACTGCAACTTCGAGGGCTTTGAGAAACCAGAATTTCTTCCTTGAGTTGTAAGTCATCATACCTAAAGACTAATGTTCGTTCCAATTTGCCAGCGTCACTGAGTATCAGGGGGTTATACTTCGATCATCTTGTGTGACTAATCACCGGAGTTGCTAGCAGCACATAGCAATCCCGCTTCAGACTTCAAGTCAATAGCATATATCGAAGTAAGTTATATTACTATAGTCTATAATAGTATGGATAGTAAAGCTATGCTATGTAGTAACCGTATTAAGGCTATATATTAACTTAATAATAAGGGTTACGTCTCTAGCTTAGTTTCCTAAAAGATACCTACTAATATATCGAATCTATAAGTAGCTAAGGTTTAATATAGATGGAGTTATAATAACATAAGATAATACTTAAACTATTTAAGGCTATGCTTCTAACAGAACTTAATTTACTATTAATTCATCACCAGTTGTTTGCTACTTAATAATAGTTATAAACATCTTACTATCGTAGCTTCAGCTAGTTGTAAGCAAGACTAATCTACTTCTGGTACCAAAGACGCTTCTAAGAACGATCTAAGGACTTCTTAGCTCTTAGCTAGGTCTCCCTATACTAGCGGGACTTACCTAGGATAGTGCGAGGAGACTAAATCTATAGAATCATTTGACAAGCTTAGGGGCATAAGATCTGAGATACTTTGTGCCAAGCCGTTGCCTACTCCTAAGTCCTCTCCTAAATAGATGTTGCTCGAGTAATAATTCAGGTGATCTATTATTGGATTATAGGAGGCTGTTGTGATCTCGAGTGACGGAGTAAGACTGAAGTTTACTCCAAAGTCATTATAGTTGCTTGTAGAGACGAAGTTTCCGAAGTTTTGCAGGGGATTTACGTCGTCTGGCTGATATGTGTAGCTAGCTGGAAGGGGAGTCTGCTCAATATAAGATGTTTGAAGGTATCTTGTTTCTGGGTTGTTGAATATTGCAGGATATAAGTATTCTAGAATAGAAGTATTAGCGGAGTAGAAAGCAGTAGTAAAGGGGATTAAAAGCTAACTTGGGCTTGATTGAGCCTGATCTAAACGATTGGTTTGGACTTGACTACTTACTGAGCAACATGATGCTTCCTGGTCTTGTAGTGTCTTACTAGAGACACTGTCCCGTGTATCCTCATCACGCACACGAGCCAGTATATTAGATACTTCATGTGGACCTGTTAACTCTTTTATTAGAGCTTCTCGCTGACGTTGAGCTTCTTTTAACTCCTCAATCTCGAGTCTAAGACTTTGCTTGGTACGGCTAGACCGAGTTTCATATGCACAACCCAATCCCCGAGATTTACATCTCGAGCATGGTTTGCCTCCACTGCACTTTAGGTATCAAGCTTAGATTAATATATTACAGACCGATATCATAGAGAACATACCTTTGCCTTCTTCGCTCGGCAGGTTTCGCAAGCTTTCGAAATACACGACCGTGGTTTTCGTTTGCTGCTAGACTTTGATAAGGGCCTCAAGGGAACTTTGGCTTTCATAATCTCTGTGATTCGTAAATTATGATCCGCCTGTTATGAAAGTTTTGCTACTTGAGATTCCGTGAGGCTCGATGACAGCTAATACTGTAAACTTTCGGCCTGAGTTATGTGATGTCCTAACTCATGATTTACAGGACAGATAGAGGGATAAATCGACGCCTTTTCCGCTTGACGTTATTTAAAAGTTGCTACGGTGGGCTATCGTGCGGTTTATGAATGACGGTCCGAATTGAGGCGTATATCTCGGCGTAGACTAAGTAGGATCTCAGATTTAGAAATCGAGTTTTGAAGCAGAAGAATATGAAAACAATGTTTTGACGCTAGTAGTAACTACACCCATCAAAGCGGCTTGGAATTGTCGATCAAAATAAATATATGACGGTTTGTTGTAATACTCACTATTAGAAGATTGGGACATGAAATAGACGTCAGATTGAACTGCAAATGACGCAGGAATTACGTAGATTCTAAACGAAGTTTATATTCCTCCGCGTAACTAATAGAGAAAACCTTATTTTTAAAGGTATGGAATAGAATCAACCGCGGCTACAAGGTACTGAGAATAGAATCTTACCTCAGATAAGTTCCCTCATATCAACACTATATTTTAGCTGTGGTAAGGAAAGATCGAATCTAGAAATTATTTAATAAACATGTATTTAAAATAGGTAAGAGTCTAGGAACAGGGAACGACATGATTCAATGTCTAGTCTAGTTCGAGTAGTTAGATACAGCTTAAGATAAATTAGGTTATGTTTATAATTATTCCAGGATGTCCTGTTCAGACTTACCTGTTTATTAAAGAGTAAGTAAGTAGCTAAAGTATCTATATTTTGCTTTTAAATTGACTCCTGTTTTTATTTTCTAGTAAATATAAGCGCCTACCGGTCCATACCTGCCCGGATACGACTTAGCTTAGATGTAGTTAGATAGATAATGACGAAGGTCTGCTTCATATTTATGTCACTGTGGTGTGAATCATACCACCAGTAGTGCGGGGTAAGGCCGATGAGACCATACTGAGTAAGTAGATTATGTACTATATATGCAATCTAATAGACTAGTAACTTAGGTTTCTATGTATTTTGGTGAGTGAAAAGGTGTATATAATTGATTGCGTCAGATCAAAAGCATCTTCATAATGTTCAGATCAATACCTTAGTAAAGTATTATGTATTAAGGACACCCTCCGCCTCCCTGTTGTCTACCCAAAGCACTGAACATCCTGGATGACGTCAAGAGTATACAACAGGTTTAATAAGCATACAACGAACTATAAGACTAATGGGCAGGTCTCCCTTAGAAGAGCATTTTTGTTATTCCTCAACACACTCCTGATTTTAAGAATATTCAAATTGCTCATCATCATGGCTCCAGTACACTCAGCAAATATGCACCCTAGCACAGGCGAGTTTCACGCCAGAGTCCCCCCTTCAAAACCCATGGCGAGCAAATGGGTAGGTAATCCCAACTACATGTCGTATAGTGGGATGATTTTCATCCAACTCTAACATGTCTCCGTACAGCACAAGCCGGGCAACGAACTGGGCAACGATGCAGTGGGAGAATTCCATGCCGAAGTCCACTCCAAAGGAGAAGCGCCACCGGAGCACACTTACAAACCTAATCCTGTTGGCGAATTTCCTGAACAATATTTAAGCTCCGATTCGAATTCGTCCAGCTACAGAAACCCACCCGAAATGCCTGGGGCAACCTCGAAGGAGATGCATAAGGGACTCGGTTTACCTCTTCAAGGGGTAGAGAGCCGAGAGTTGAACTCCCAGCTGCCTGGGAAAAAGAACTCGGATAAGCGGGGCCACCCAAGAAAACGGAAGAAGGAAAAGGCAGGGTTGGTGGGAGTGGGAGTGGAGCCGAGGAAAGACCCTGTAAGAACTAGGGGTCTGGATTTGCCCGAAGGGGTTGAAAAGGGGTCCCGTGGAAAACATACCGCAGACTGGCCTGGCGCAGAGGAGAGAATGCCTGCCACGGCCGATGTAGTTGCTGCTGAACTACCCTGAGATAGTACTCCCATACATTATTGCAGAGTAAAGTTATTTTTGAAGTCTCCTTACTTCGCAAATGTTAAAATCTCTGGCCTTAACCAGAAGCAACCACGATCAATGTGACCTATTTCCATTTGTCTCGTGTAATACCATCATACCCTATGCTCAAACGTATCAAGAACGACAAAGTGGAAATGACATCAACTTTTTGTATATTATCTATGAGTTGGGTCGTTGCGATGATCTGAATGTGACGGTATTTGCAGGTCGTTACTCAAATGGTACGGCGTGAGACAGCAAGGATGATGTCGCTCCGCGTTTATTAGGCTCTAGGTGAAACGGCCCACCTCCCCAAACTAACCTTACAGGGCCTCATGGGCCACATGCTAGACGGAGTATGGATCCGAGCTATGACTCTTGCATACGTCAGGGCATGCATTCAACCTATGCATCCAGCTATCTTTCATACTAAGAACAACGGGGTTAGTCGACATTCCGAAGCTGCTAGTGAGACAACTAGGTAAAGATTATCAATTCATGAGGACTGTTTTTTCAGAATGAATCACACAACACGCCTAATCAATTAGTGGACCACATTGCCGTGTGACACCAACTACGAGGTAACCTCCCGCGACAATACCACAGCCTAACAGAGCAAGATACGTGATACAGTACAATGGGAGTAGTATCCCATTAAGTGCCCTTAGACCTCAAATTTGTGTAAACCTAATCCTAAGGTAAAGCTGAGTTTACTTAAACGAGCTTGTATATTCAGACTGTTTCTAGTGTTTTTGTATTTGTTACTTCCTTATTAAGCAACCACTAACTCTCAGCTATTGATTCCGCCGAGCTTGCAGGCCGCTGCAATGCAGTTAGCGCTATTCGGGACGGTTGTGCCTGACTGGGAAGGGAATAAGACTCACAAAAGACGATTACCCAGCCATGTCGCCATCGGTTACCAGACAAACCAAGGTGATCTTCCATCTGGCAGCATTGCAGGGTTGCTCGTAAGCCCGTGCGTAGCCGTGAATACGCCTGCGTCAGCGATGCTGCCAATTGTCTAGCATGTTTCTACCGCTTGCAGGATATAACTGCGCATGAGACATTAAACATCGCTCGCATATGCCCAAGAACCTTTTCTTTTCTACTACATTCCTTTGGAATTTTTATGCGGTCGAGCAGGCAGGCCGTGACAGTCCTTCGAAGGACATCTACACTGGCTCCCATACTGCAGCATAGAAGCGAAGCTCGTAGCAAGTATACTAAACAGGTCAGCAGAGCTCATAGCGTTTGACGAATGATGAAGCAGTAATGACGTCGATCGATGTTTTCCGCTCACAGTAACTTTGCAGCTTAGCTTCAAGGGCAAAAGACATGTGAGCTTGTCCATTTTGATAGAAAGATAGGCCCAGAGAGAATGCGCTAAAAACAAACTTTGCAGCCATGCCAGGATTTGGAGCTGAACCTCTCCACAACAGATTGATTTTCGTGCGCTTCGAGCAATGGAACATTAACGTCAATAGCGTTTTGAATGGCAAGGCTTTCCTTTGCCTCGATGACCAGCGTCAACATCTTGGACGCCGCGGGAAGGACCTTCAGAACCTCTTGGATAGTTTCCTCGGTCTTCTCTGTATTAAGGTAGTGCAGCGCGCACAATGAAGCTTTAAGCCTTGACTTAGGGGTTTCTTTCTCTTCCACCTTCTGACGCGAATTTTCATCTCCTTTGCTAGCGTCGCTGAACGCCACCATCATGACCCTACCCGCAGATGGGCAGTTCAGATTACCTGAAAGTCAGGGTGCCAAGGTCCATGGGGTCTCGCTTGCCATCAATGAAGCAGAGCTCGTTGTTCTCAGAAGCATCTAGAGTCGAGAGGAAATACCGTCTCAGGTTCGAAAATAAGGTCTCTTCACAGAAGACCTTTCCAAAGCCTATGTCGGGCAAGATACTTAGACCATCCTTGTCGAGATACGGATCGTTCAGATCCTAGAATCGGCATAACGCAGATATGAGTACTTCATAGGCGCTACTCTGTTAGGAGATCACTATCTTGCAACCGGCGGAATATTCTTAATTACCCCCAGGAGTTAAGCCAAGTTCCTCCGCCTAAAAGTCTTCCGAACTTTGTTAGTGTTCAGTAAGTACCGAAAAAAGCCTCATGTCTGGCGTCATTAATTGTCACAGCAATACACCAGAGAATCATTCCTACCTCCATCCTAGCGCAAGCGCATTACATAGCAGAGCCAGCTCAAGGCGACTTTTACACTGGCTAGAAGCGCCATTGGGCACCAAGGGTTTCATGTTTACAAATCCATGGCACTTTCGCTAAAGGACTAGGCTCAATGGCGTGCGTAGAAATAAGATGTGTCACTGTAGTCTGTGTGATAGTAAAGATGGTAAAGCCGTGCTAGGCGGCATCCGGATTGGAGCTGCAGATGAGTTTTGTGATGAGGGTCATATTTTCAGCTTGGTTTCCTACAAGGCACCTATTAATGTCTTGAGGCTATAGGTGGTTGGGGTTTGTTGGAGATGGGGAGTATAGTCATGTAAGATGATATTTGAAGGGTTAGCAAGTGAGTGTTTTTTTTGCTCAAAAGGATAGATAACATTAATAATAGGTTCTGGCTTTGTAACTTCCCTGAAACTTAAATTAGAGCGGATGCTATCGCGTACATGCACTACTCTTCCCGCCCCCAAGCTCGCTATTGTCTGGTATACTTCGTATGGATAGTTACCTTGTTACCGGCGGCAGCGGCCCCGCTTACGCAGCCAAGACTTCGTGGCAGGCTCCAAAATTCGCCAGTCCAAATCGCTAAACCAGACCAGAACGGATCCCATTGCTTCCGCTCCAGCCCGAGCTCTGCTTTCAAGGGTTCAAATTCCATCTTGAGATCTTTCGAGCAGTATTGTAAGGTATATCTGCAAGGGTATTAACGATATTATTATAGCTCATGGGTGAAGTCATTATCGAAACGTCTCCAGAGAGGTTCTACTTGATTACGACTAGCTAAATTATCTAACCTCCCAAGGTTAGGGCTACTATATGTAGCTATTTTCACCCTCAGCAACAGCACTTCAATTGCGGTTGCACTTCTCGCTAGGAATATTCAACAGGCTCCTCTGCAACCACCCGCACATCCAACTGCTGCACAAGCCACCCAGGCTGAGCCACCCCGACGCTGGCCCTCCCGCCATTCTCATCGACAGGCCCCAAACAGGCAGTGCCCTGCCACCACCCGCATGTCCCCCTCTCCTGCCCCGCGTCAACGTCGGAAGAACATCCGTAGGAAAATTAAGCCCATCCCTTGACGTCGCCAGCACGACAAACCGGTCAAACGTATCGGGTTGGTCAGCGTTGCACACCCTCTCCGATGGCGACATTTTGTTGAAGAAGCGAGTCGCCGTGTTGGGCGACGTCATGATCGGTGACTCCCGCGGCATCGGATACGTGCGCGTTACCCGCCGCGACGGCTCCGGGTCCGTCGAGTTGTAAGAAATGGTGAATGTGCCATCTTTTTGCACCAGAACCTTGAAGAAGGCCCCGTCAGCGCCTTTGAGCTCGACGAGCCTGCTCTCGCGTCTGATGCAGTCTCGGACTTTCTGGACTACTGGATCAGGTGGCTCAGCGCTGTTGTCCGCAGCTGATACCCACACTCCCTTAGGTTGGAGGACTTGGTCCTTCAAGATGCCGCGCAGACTAACAGCTATGCAGCCGACCTTGACCTGCTCGAGGTTGGCTGCATTCGATTGATTGGGTGTGCGCTTCGCAGGTGAAGTTCCTCACAGCAGTCACACTTCAGATGGCCAGCGGCGCTGTGTAGTCAGAAAGGCTAGTAAGCCGTCTGTCGCTCGTCGCTGGGGTAGATAGCAAAGATATCATTATTGCCCACGCCGTTTGCCACGCCAGCAGTCAGTCCTACCTTGAGTTTTCCGGCGCTAAACAACGTCTCGACGGTGCTGATAACCACGGCGGGCTGCATCACAGTCTCAACACCGAAGAAATGACAGTCGCTCCGGCCGCCAAACACAACGTCCTGCTCCCCTGACCTGTTTTCAGCTTGTGGGTCTTGATCGTGTGTGCGACGAGGTTGTACACGACATCGCACCTGAGCTGATCTGCCCCTCCGTCTTGGTCGTTGATGACACTGGCGAGGCAGTCCGTGAACAATCCCTTCCGCATCGTCGCTTCGCGAGGCACCTCCTGCGCCTTCTGCTCCGGCCGGCACGCAGCGAGAAAGTTGATGCCCTTAGATGCCGTCATCCAGTGCTGCATCACGCTCCCGCCACGGCCCCCGTCGTCGCCGACGTCCGAGGGCAAGCCCTAGGCATCTTCCAGATCCTTCACAGATTGGATGGGCTTTCGATGTAGATCAAAAAAGTACTGGTCCGGGATCTCGTCGGACCCCCGCACCCCCAAGTCGTCGTCCCTCGTGGCCCCGCCTGAGTGGCAGCAGTCGAGCAAGAAGGTGACGGTTGCGCCCTTGTCGGCTATCTGCTTCAGGAGAAAGGCAATTTCGACATCACGGAGGTAGTCCAGCTTGCCGTCGCTGCGGGAAAGTACCAGGCACTCGTCAAAGGGCACGTTCTCGCCCTTGAGTTCGCGGGAGGCGGTCGGCAGGCGGGTGCCGTGGCCTGAGTAGTGAATGTAGATGAAGTCGCCAGGCTGGGCGTCGCGGGCGAGGGTCTGGAATGCGGACACGATGTTGACGAGAGTTGGGAGTGGGTCATCAGGTAATCTCGGCGGGGAGATGAGTGTCACGCAGTCAATTTGCCCACCACTTATGGGGTAAAAAAAGATGCTTCCATTCATTAGAGACTGTCTAGGGGTTATTGGGTTGATTATATAACCGTCTATTCGGTAATTACCGATTTGAAGGTTTTCATGCACAAAATGACATCCCCGTTAGTTTTATATGGGAAACAATAGCCGGGTGCATGGGTTGAATGCATGCCCCGATATATGCAGTGGTCCGTGTGACACACCCCCTCAGAGAGGCAACCTGTTGTAGGTTGATTCTCTGTATTCTCATTCAAATACAGAAATGATACTATTCAGAACTCCGTATACTTACTACCAAATTCCAGATTCATACTGCGTTCTTCTCGATCAAATGTTCAATATTCGCCATACCCAATTGGGCGATAAAGTGGTTGTGTTTTTGGGCTGGCATTGCTTTAGTCATACCGTCTGCCACCATTTCGTTGGTTGGAACCCATTGAAAGTCAATTGATCCCTTCTGTAATTCCTGGCGAAGCCATAAGTTGTTGATATTGATATGGCGTAATTTGCTAGTCGCTTGGGGTCTTTCAGCAATCAATAGTCGAAGAGTTTGCTTATTGTCGCATTGCATGATGTATTTATCATCTAATTGGAGATTCAATTGTTCCATGAGTCGAATGGTTGCCATATATTCTCTTGTGGCTGCTGTCAAAGCAGCAAGCTCAGCTTCTGTGCTTGAAGTGACTACTCTTCGTTGTTTGACTGCTTTCCAATGAATTGGACCTCCGAATAGCATCATCACATATCCTTGAGTGCTTTTTCGAGTGACAGAGTCATCAGCGAATGAAGCGTCTGAGGCGCAGTAGAGGACTCCTTTCCCTTTGCAGTTGAACTCGATAGCGAGGTATTTGTTGTCCTCAAGATATTGTAAGCATTCATATGCTGCTTTCTGGTGTTCAGAAGATGGATTTGATAGGAATTCTGCTAGTCTCGAGCTTGTTCGAGCTATATCTGGTCTGCCAATCACTCCAGCATAGTTGATTGATCCAACCTTCCGTTGATAGTAGTTGATTTCCTCTGGCGTAGCCTGACCAGGACTTGGGACCAGGTTATCTATTGCCATAGGTGTTTGGCGTCGCTTGGTTGAGGTTCTGATCTTGAATTCTTCAGTGACCTTAGATATATAGTTGTCGAGACTCATCCATAGTTGACGGGTTTTTCGTTCTCTTATTATTCTGACTCCTAGGAAGATACTCAATTCTCCCATATCTTTCATTTCATACTCCTTTTTGAGTTGTTGAACTGCTTCTTTTACTTTGGTTTCATGCTTTTTATGGTATATAACCCCAATATCGTCCACAAAGTGGAATACTATGAAGTATTGATTGGTGTAGATACAGTCATCTTCTTGGAGTGGGATAAGGCCAAGCTTCTTGAATGATCTCTCCAGATTCTTTTGCCATAGCAGTGGGCTTCGTCTCAATCCATATAGTGCTTTTCGCAGGGCAAGACAGTATCCCTCTTGTCTGAATCCTGGAGGAAACCAAACATAGACTTCCTCATCAATTGTGGCATGTGTAAATGCGTTGACTGCGTCCAATTGAAGAGTCTCTAAGTCAAATCTCGCCACAATTGCCATGAGACTTCGCAGCGATATACCAGCAAGCGTTGAGGCATAGGTCTCTAGTTCATTTGTCGGTTGGAGATCTCCTCGAACACAGATCCTCGCTTTGAACTTCTTGAGATATCCTTTGCTGCCCTTATATGTGAATACCCACTTCAATGGGATAATTCGCTGAGTGTCTTGATCAATATTGCCAAGATCAATCATTTCAAACGTGCCCATTTGCCATAGTGATCTGTTCTCAATATTCATTGCAGCAATCCATTTGTGACTGTATTGGTGTTTGATCGCTTCACTGTAATTCTTTGGAACTGGTGGAAGTGTCTTTTGGTGTGGATTGCCTAAATCATCTGCTGATGCATCCCATTGATCTCTTCCTTTTACTGTATCCGTAGATTGCAGTGTGAAGTGGGATTCTCTTGCTCTTCTCAGTCTTTGTGATGATCTTGTTGCTTCTGGTGGCTGTTGATTTGTTTGACCAAGAGGGGCTGATCGATTGTAGATGTTGTGATTTCTGCTGCCACGAGGTCTTCCCCTTCTCGCTATGTTTGGGATTACTGTGGAGGAATCTTGTGGTATGATTTCTTCTGGTTCCAATTCTATGACTGGTGTCTGTTGTAGTTCGAGTCGGTCTGTTGAGGTTTCCTCTATGGTCTCACTTTGATCCGATTGTTCTGGAGTTGGCGATACTTCTGGAGTTTCTGGAGTCTCCCTCACCCCCTCAGTTGTTTGAGAATCTGACAGCTGTACTGTTGGTGATAGAGAAGTGGGTGTAGGTAATTGAAAATCCCCTGATTCTTTCTCCTGCATCGGTGTTGCCGGTGTTGTTTCTTGAGCGGCTGGATTCGAGGCGGGTAGTGGCCCGGTAATATTATCGCTGAAATCTTCTCCATCCCAGCCAGCTGTGTCTAGGTCTTGTTCAATTGGATTTGTGAATGGGATATCCATTTCTGTGAACTGGAATTCAAGTTCCATTTGGCTTAACTTGCTGGTATCCTCAATCCTTGGATCATACAGCGTGTTTTCGTCGAAAGTAACGTCTCTAGTTCTCATGACTTTTCCTATTGCTGGGATCCAGATTCTGTAGATATTTGTGCTGTCATAACCACATAGATAGCCAATATGAGCTCTTGGCGCAGTTTTGTTTGACTTTTCTATTCCTCTCTTGTAGTTTTGTGTCAAGGGGTAAGCTCTGCAGCCATATCGCCTCAAGTGTGCTAGTTGTGGCTTTTCAGCCCTCTTGTGGGTAGACTGTTGATGAGAGTTCAGCCAAGTGTTGACCAACCCCAATGGTGTCTGCCACTTGTGGCGTCTTCGAGGCAATCTGTTTGACAGATAAACTGCTGCTTTTGCCAGCTCTGGTGCCATCAATTCAGGAAAGCGAGATTGAAATCGAAGTGCTCTCATGATCATAAACACAGCACCTCCAGCTCTTTCTGCTGGGTTTTGAGCACCAGTGTACTCAGCTGATCTTTCAATCATATATCCATTCACAGCTGCCCATAGTTCAAACGCATTGCGTAAAGCAACCTCCCAATCTAGGCGTAGAATAGAGATTTTGATAAAGCACTGTCTCTCGAGGTATGCTGCTAATTCTGTCATAGCTTGTAGTCCCTCCTTTCGAGTACGAAGAGTTCTTATCCAGAAGAACCCTGACCAGCCATCGCTGACCAGCAGGATTACCTTCTCCCCATTGTATGCTTTGCTAAGTGTAAAGAAGTCGAGAGATAGATAATCTCCTACAGCAGTTGGCCAATGGTCTGGGTTTCTGCGGGAAATTTGGCGAGTTGCCTTCCCAACAGCACAGGCATCACATTCCACTTTTGTGATTCCTTTTATCTGTATCCCAAGAGCTGTTTTAAGTAGCTGTTCCAGTCCCTCAGCGCCTGGATGACCAAGTCTCTCATGCCACAACTTGGCTTCTGCTGATGATGTTGGGAGTGGTTGTCTTGTTGACTGAAAACCTTTGGTTGGTTTCCTTTCTACGGTTGGGCTGAATCTCACAGTCTTCTCGGTATTGCTGAACGAGGTATTGTTCAGCAGAGCTGGGCCAGCTTCAATAATGTATTGACCATATCGGTTTGGTGTTTTGAATAGAAGTCTGCCTTTTGAGTCGATAAGACCCGGTATTCCTGTTGTAAAGATGATCCCTTTTTGCTTCAGCGGTTCTGTCCCAAGGAGCGATGTTGGGTATCCAGGCACAAGCCATACATTTCTGACTTTGATCTCCTTGTTGTTGGATTTGCCGCCTTGGTTTGGTTTGATGATCATTGTGCCTTTCGCAATTGCATGTACATCTCCTCCTCCAGTGGTGAAGTCTTTTGTGACTGTGTAGTCGAGATCATGAAGTCTTGAGGAGTCGTTGCAGATGTGGAATCCTGTTCCTGAGTCTACTATCACACTGTCTGACAGTGGGAATCCTGAATAGAGACTTGCTTCTCCTTGATTGACGATAGTGACGAAAGATGAGAGTGATCCTTCTCCATCAGACACTTCTTGAGTATAGTGGGATGATGATTGTGTAGTGTTTCTCCAGTTTGAGGAAGATGTTGCTCGATCTGGGGACTTTTGAGACTGCTGATCGCTTGCCCCTTTTCGTAGTTTTTCAACTATTCTCTTTAAGTGTGGTTTCTTCTGGAGATACTCATTCAATCTTTCCAGTGCTTTCTTATTTTCTGGATTATCTTCATGATAGTTTGGGCCTCGCTTCTTAGGGTTGGCATGTTTGCAATCAACAAATCGGTGACTTTCGTTTGGGCAAGCTGCACACTTTTGCTCTCGTTTTGCCCCCTGTTTTATTCCTTGTTCGTTTTCTCCTTGCCAAGTAGCGAAACTCGTGTCTTTTAATGGAGCAGCATTCAACCAGTCTGGGTGGAAAGTTCTCACCCAACTGCGGAAATCGTTAGCTTGCTCAATTCCAGCAGTCTTGCTGATCGAACTGTAGGTTGGGTCATCCTTGTATCGCTTTGTGAAGTCGTAAGAGGCAGATGTGTAGTAATCTGGTGCAATTTGCTTGACTGCTTTCAAGAACTCAGAGACTTGAGTAACTGGATCGCTGAGAGCAGGGATTCCGATTGTTTGGGCTTCATCCATGATTTCTCGATAGATTATGAGCCATCCTCCAAGTTTTGCTCTTTTGATTGATAGCATATGCTTGTTATATCTTTCCAATACCATTTGTTGTCTCCCAAAGTTGTCTGGCGCTAGCTGTTTTTCAAGAGCTTTTATGATATCCCTGACTGTTTGCTCCTTGCTGACTTGGCTGATATAAGTGGCTGCTACAGTGTTCATGATCCAACTGTGAATTTCTAGAAGACTTCGCCGAACCTGGTTGTATTGGTCTTTTTCTTCTTGATAGATAGCTTTTCCATAGCTGATAACGTTGCTATAGTTTGCTCGTTCTTCTTGTCTGAGGTCTTTTGGGTCTGGGAATTCCAATCTTGGCTTAGTATTAATCTTGGTTCCTTTTGGATTCACATAGTCCCAGACTTCATGAACGTTTGCCAGCATCTGTAAGTTGTTGAACCAGTGGTTCCAGTCGCTGTCAGTCTGTAGCCGCTGTGTGTATTTTGCAGTTTCCGTAGTTGAATTCATGATCTCTCTTGAAAAGAGAACTGGTCTCTCTCTTCTGATCGTTGTGCAGTTGATTTTTCGCCGTGGCCAAGATTGAGTTCGTGACTAGACACTTCTTGTTTCAAGTTGGTGATTTTGTCGATTGTTGCCTAGAGGTTTGAGGGTATATAGCCAATCTCAACGCCTCAATTCTCAACAAAACGCAAGACGCCCCCCCTGTCTAATGAACCTGCCGTTTAGTGTAGTTGGTCTAGCCACCCAACTTGTAGCTATTCGCAAGGACCGTAAGACTGGCAAGCTCCCCTTCGTGGGTTCAATTCAGGGTTGTGGAGTTTTCGCAATTTGTAAAAAGTCTTATCGGTTCCGTTACACGAAGACTATAAAGTGAACCACCTGTTCGTCTTATCTGCCCGAAGCTTTCAGAGGCATAAAATGAGCAACTAGGTGTCTCTTCCGTTTCGTAATTCCAACCCTCCTGGCTGCGTATCAGTGGTATGGTCGAGCATGAACTTATATAAGGTTCAAGTTAAGAGTCCTGGGTTCAACTCCTCAGATGTGGTAAGTCCCCCTGAGTTGAGATGAACTTTTTGTGATTTTTTGATAAGTGTTGATGATATGAATTGATGACCAGAAGTTCTTTTGTGATTGAATGTTTCAACACTTCAACGTTCAGCCTTGTGTGATTGGAATTGATGTTTTGTTTGGTGGACTTGACTGCCAAAGTCTCATGGGTCGGTAACTTCGTCAATTGAGTGCCCTTGTCTATGGCATAAGTCTGAACTGCTCCCTTCTGGAAGTCGGTTTTTCAATTGGTAATTGTCACCATGAGGTACTGGGCTCATAACTGTCACGCAGTCAATTTGCCCACCACTTATGGGGTAAAAAAAGATGCTTCCATTCATTAGAGACTGTCTAGGGGTTATTGGGTTGATTATATAACCGTCTATTCGGTAATTACCGATTTGAAGGTTTTCATGCACAAAATGACATCCCCGTTAGTTTTATATGGGAAACAATAGCCGGGTGCATGGGTTGAATGCATGCCCCGATATATGCAGTGGTCCGTGTGACAATGAGCTTGGTAATACTCGAGATGCCGGCAATTTTAGCCTGTGGTAGCCACGTCGGAGAGCGAGCCGCGCAGGTCCAAATACCCACTGCTGGTGCATTTGACGATCCTGCCAACAACGCTGATTTCCAGTCTTGTTTTGATGCCTCCGCCATGAAGTTCGGGATGTTACGGTTACTCTCTCCGGTATTGTTGGTACTGGGCAGACTGATGAAGCGATGAATTGATAGAGTAAGACGATTTGAAGGATCAAGAACGGGTGGACGCGCAGATTAAGTGCTTAATAGCTTGTGCCAGAGAAAATATTCCATAACCCCGAGATCCTAATGTTCATCTCATCACAATAGTGTTAAACAAGCGTTAGCAGATGCTGCTATGGTGTGATTTTTTGAGATGTAATTTTGTGGAATCAATTTCCTTTGTTCCTTCGGAGGCATAGAGGCGCAGACGAAGGGGTGGACGCGCGAGAAAGACAGCCGCTGGCATCTTAGAGTTTTCCAAGGAACGAATATCTGCCAGACATGCAGACAACACGACTCAAGGACACCACTTAGTGATAACTGGTTGGGTGTGCTAATAGGAGCTGAACATTACAGGACAAACAGTGATGCGAGAGAAATTCACTTGTCTGACCGACCACAAAATGTAAAACGCTGATCATTTACAGATATAACAGCCCGCACATGGCAGAACACCAACTAATGCCCGACAGCTGCAGCGGTTTTGGTCGTAGCTTTCCTTTTTAGGCGCACAACACTACACGCCTCTGCAGAATGTGTCAATGCATCTTTCGCAGTGGCAGCTGTATGCACAATGACGGTCAATCCGACGATGAAAGAGAAAAACCACTCTTTCTTCAGCATGCCACGTGTGTTTCAAGTGTGACTGCTGCTACTCCGACCCGAGAGACCTTGCAAGGCTCCGGATAGCTACACTTGAAATTACAAGCATTGGATTGTCCGAGGTGTTACAAATCGCTGAGGAGGAATTTGCATTGCAAGTAGCTGGAACTATACTTGATCTTCAAGACTGCTGGCCTCAAGGAAACACTCACCCCCTCGGCTACTTGTGGCTTATTGCTTTTTTCAGCATCACGAGCGAAGAAAGGGATATGAATGAGGTCCAAAAATGAGTGGTAATTAAGGCACACTGCTCAACATGTGGAGAAGGACAATTTTCCAAGCTGTTGGCCGACGAGAGTGGTTTTTGGAGAATAGAGACGAAGGCTTATAATCGATACCTACAACCCCCACGAATTGGGGAGGTATCTGCCCGAGTGATCCTGCCTTATTATGAATATGCCTTTGTGGCTTTAAAACCAGAGATTCGGTAACAAGCAGTCGAATAAACAAATTGACAGCCGGTCTTCATTATGATTATTGACACGTCGTGCCATCATGACAGCACATGTGGTTGAAAACGGTTCATGGAGGATTGTCCAAATATAAGATATACTTGAAAACTGAATCTTTACGTCGAAATCATTTTCAATCACGTTAAAAGGAAAAGCATAATATCAAGCTCTGACTTCACAGCTAATCTATACGTATTTACTCAATACTCCGCATAAACACCAAGATATCCAACGCCAGAGTCCAAGGGGTTCGATATCTTCCTCGGGTAGCACTGCGCCTTAACTCCATTCTCAAAGTGTCACAGCTACACTTCGGTAGAATGGCTTGCTGCGATCAACCCGCTGCGCCTCCTTGTTTTGCCGTCGGCGCCGGCTACGCAACTACCGGCTGCGCGGTCCTTGGAGTCTTGCCATCCCAGCAGTTAATATCCGCCAAGGCCAATAAGAATCTGTGGGCCTCAACTCTATTAATTGTGATGAACCCATTTTTTGTTCTTAGCACTAAACGGAGCTACAAGGCCGGTTTCTCATCATTAGTCACCAGCGACACGAGGGTGTTGAAGCGGAGAGTACTTGGTATGGTAGCAGGGTACTGGAACATGAGGGTATATTTGGACCTCACAGGAGCAGGAGCGGCAGTAGCAGCAGAAGCAGGTTGGCCAAAGTAGATGGTCAATTTAAATTCCATGAGCTGCCAGGCGTCTCACTTGTCGTTATTTTGGGCATGCAAAGAGAATATGAGATCTTGAGCGATTTGTTGAATGTGGTCCTGAGGGGTCTCCGCTTTGTTTTCACGTCATCCGTTGTTACTGGTGTCGCTGTTGACTGGATTTTGTTAGTATCATTTGCTGAAACTTCTTCATATGATAGGGTTGTGATCGTTGGAATTTGGGGCTGTGTGGCCGCCCAGCAGACCGAATCCGTATGTCTCAGAAAGGACCAAAGCCTCCCTTCTGCACATAACGAACTGAGAGGCTACATCTTCCAATTTTACATCTAAACAACCACGTTGATTTTGCTTCAACACGTCACGATTACTAGGAATTTACTGGTTTTTACCTTTTACCCATATGGGGCTAGTTTTACTTACAGCGCAGACATCTATGGAATAGAAATGCTTGAAGATGAGAGATTAATTACCAAATGGATACATACCAGCGCGTGACAGTCTGAGTAACAAATATAACATCATAAACCCGCATCTCTGAGACCAAAATCAAATACAGAGCGTGGTCCGCGACTCACATTGATCGTTGCTTCTGTGTCGACACCCCAACTTATCTGCATTGCTTTCACCATCTCCGTCATTTATATCCATGTCAAGTTCGGCATCGGGTCCGCTGGACCTTAAGCCTTCCCAGCTCCCTGAGCTAGGATCATCATCAATCCCGGCCCCATTAAGGTATACCTTGGCCGACAACACCGGTAAGATACCTTTTCAAAAATGAGGGCATGAGGAGGACGAAGGGAATAACAAGGCACCTGTCTCCCCTTGCACGACCCACTGTACAGATCTCGACGAATTTGTAAACACAAACTTAAACAACTTCAATTTTTTCAATCCCAAGGACTATGACACGGGAACAGACAGCTATCTTGGGGAGAACGGGAGCGAGTAAGGCAATGGCCCCTGAACTAGCACAAGCACACCCAAGACAATTACTACCACAACCCCACCACCACTACCGCACATATCGATAGAAATAAAGCCATTATCAACGAGCAATCCCATGCCAAAGTCTGGTGATCTTCCTCGGGCAGTGCCACAACAGTCTGGAGCCAATGAGGCAACCTGTCGGGTAAGCGGCAGCCAGGTGTATGGAAAAATTGTAAGAAGATCTTTATATTTTCTCCAGTTGTGTAGAGGGACACGAATCTATAACAATCAGATGCTTTACATCGCAATGTCCGGTTCCTAGTGGCTTATACCAAATATGGGATTCGTTAAGAAGTATAATCACGAGTTCATAGTTAAATCGAACGGGTCGAAGAACATCCTGAAAAGGGTAGTGGGCTGCAAACCGTAGAGTGCCTGTTTACTTTTGGATAAGCAGGTACATTAAGAACAATTGCGCTCCCTGGACCTTAGGTCCAGTCCCCAGGTTGGAGGGCGATTGTCCGCCGATTTCGCTGCAAAAAATGACGGCGAATTTGGCATTAAGAGCAAAAGTTTCGAACATCGAGTATCTTCTTAGCATTCCCTATTCTATACCATATGGCTATGCTTGCGAGACGTTCACAAAACCAGTTGCAGTATGTGAGTAGGTCTAAACACTTAAAACGTTCTTTATTGTGCCCACATTAAGATTTTGTCGTGATGGCCATAAAGCCCACAGTAACCGACTGGTAACTGTGGGTCCACTTTTACCACCACAGATTTCAAAACTCTCAGGCTTTGACAAGGTCGTAGCTAGTCACAGCAACAAACTTGTTGTTGATATAAGCAATCGGAAAGCTGGTGAACTTCTCAACAAGAGTTATTCCGGCGCTAGCAGCGGCGTCGATAGCGAATTTGATTGAGATGGGCTGTCCATTGTAGGTTCCCTCGACAAGAAATGGGACGCTAAACTCGGCAGAGGTTGGAGACTTTGTTCCAAGTGTTGCTCCGGTGACGCCAAATTTGGCGTTGGTGATTCCATCAGCCTTAAGCCCGCCATAATGGACGTGGTAGGTTCCATCCGCCTCTTGAGAAAACCAAAAGTCAAAAGTCCAGCTGACTGCATGAATCATTCCAGCGGTAACGACTTTGAAGGCTCTCCGGACATGGGGAGAGGTAAAGACTCTTTTCGCAAGGCTATGCTCCGGGTCGGTGTCGCGGCGAACAACAAGACTGACAACATTGTCACCGGCGGTGGCGCCAGTGTCTCGTGCAGAAACCTGGAAACTAGCAGATTCTCCCTCACTGAGAAGGTTGTCTAGATTGTCACTCTTTGTAAGCCTTGCATCTAAACACTTAGCATAGTTGATTTTTACCTCTGGGCAAAGCTAGGCCGTTTGCTCCATTGATTGGGCTACCAAAGGTGGGTGCTATGAAGGAATTGATAGCAAGAAAGCCGGTTAAAACGAACTTGAAAAGAGGAGACATGACTGATAAGCGGGAAAGCGATGTGCCGGTTGCCAAAGAGTTGATGAGACAGGTTGTTGATGTGGTGAGTGATGAGTGGTGATAGGAATAATTCTTCTAAAAGGGAGTAGAACCCTTCCGTATAAATAGTAAGAATGGTACTGATGATGAATCGGGATGCTGCTCAATCCCGATGACCGCTCCGAGTTTGCCTTTATGGTGCGTGAATAATTTCATTGTTATGAAACTTTAAATGCAGTCAAAGACTCGTAATAGCTTCAAAGGCAAGTCGCAACGCCTAAGAGATCATGTAAGCCCTTGAAGACAGCGCTGGCCTTAAAATAAGTTCTTGTAGCACTGACTCATACACATCGAGCAGCAAAGACAAATAAATGAAGCAGAATCAACCCGTGCTTATTCACAATGTAAGGGTAGAATAGAGTTTCTCATACTGAAGACTAAGGAAGGTAAAGTAGATGAGAAAATATCGTACTTGGTCAACAAAAATTTCTTTTCATGAACTGATAAAGGCAATGAAGCCAATTTCCTTCTTGCCTCGACATAACGGTAGTACATTTACTCTCTAGCAATTCCAAGTCTGCGACAGGTACCAGCAAGCCGACTGGACAAACAACACTACGTCACAAGAATACACTTTACATAGAAGAAAAATTAGGTTAATTCAAATGTTAGCTCAAACCTAGACACAGAGGACTTTTAAAATGGAACTTCTAGACTTGGTGAGAAAACGATTCAGCAACATTCGATCGGTTCAATCCTAGGATGTTTGAACCTTCGCAATGTCGATGACAAATTCACATTGAATGGAATGACAGAACGCAATTCCTGTATTTTTCTGTTATACATACCGATCATGCGGAAAATCTTAATTCTGCAGCACATTCTAATGCAAACCCGAAAGAACGAGCATACCATCCATGTGACAAATAACTTAACTCCATGCAATGCGGCGCTCCTTTGGCAATGCTGGTATCAACCCGGATGCTGCTATTGAATGCTCTGGCACAGCCTTCTAGCTCTGCCTCGTTCACCTCAAAAAAAGGATCATTATCTACGAGTGTAAACATGACCGGCACAACGACGTGTGCTGCCCACTTCTGCTTCCAATTCGGGAGCCACACCTGCGGAAAAAAGGCAGCTTCAGCTATTGGCATAGGAGCATCTAATCGTTCTGTTTGTGCTAGAACTTCTGGTGCTACTGTATTCGGCTTGAACATGACGGAATCCTTTGCGCTTGGAGGAAGTCTAGCGTAGTTTTGGTCCACGGACTCAAAACTGGGAGGAGTATCTTTCATAAACAGCGACTGTGTTTGACCCATGCCACTGGCTATCAAGCCTCCTAGTGGGTATGCCGCTTGTTCATCTTGCGCATGGAGTGATGCCGCTACGACGCCACCCATGACTCCTAAACTGTGGCATAAGAGAACAATTGAGTTGCAATCATTAGGAATGACATATTCAGACCAAAGCTTAGGGAGAATGTATCGGTGCAGCCAGATACCGGTTTCTTGATTGAAATCTGAACCTTCCGGAACAGGAAGAATAGAGCTGGTTCCGTCGTATGATGGTCGGTCGATTGAAATGAAGGGGACGTTCAGCGACACACTCATAACGGCTGCGGAGTGCTCTTCAGTAGCATCAAAGTATTGACTGTCATAGCCTCCACCATGAAGCCCTACGATGAGGGGACGAGGACTCGCTGATAAAGTCGACTTTGGTGGAATCGAATGTAGACCGGTAACCGAGCCATTGTTTGAAAGAGCAAGCTTAAATGGTTGCATAGGCATGTTTTTTTTTTTTTTTATAAGAATGAAACAAGGGAAGAAGATGTGGTTGAGCAGTAAAGTACCGATGTCATCCAAGGGTCCTGGAAGAAAGTTATAACCTTTGATGTTCGCACTTTATTGGGGAAAAATTTCCGGAGGGTCAAGATACGCTGTATCAAGATCATCTGTGCTATTAGTAATGTCATACAAAAGTTGGATTTCAATCGTACTTACTCAACAAGGTCCTAGGCCCCACAACTGGTGTTAAGATCCATGATGTCGTAAAATCCGAACCAAATCACAACGGAGTTAACATAAGTAAATCCGGGTCGAAAATATTACACATCTTACGTCCACAGTAGTGGCAATTCTTTTCACTTGTACTACTCGGTACTTTGCTGCCGAGACTCTATTCAAGTCTATGTGATGCGTTAAGTCAGAACATATTAACACTGCAGTACTCAAAAATTTCCTCTTCATATTACGTTGAGCCACAGAGAGCGCCAGGCTGATGTCTCACATCTTCTGGTGGTGGTTGTGACCTTATAGTAGGTAGGCTCTTCTCTCAACTCTTCGGTCGCCTACGGAATCCTCCTGGTCCTGTGGAGACAGTGGAGTGTGTCCGTTAGACAGCTTCATTGCATGTGAATTGGAATCATGTTGGCTAGCAACATCGTCTGTATGGTTACCGCGCTTTCGCATGGACATCTGAGCTTTGACCAACCCAGCTTACCACTTTACTAGAGTAGCAACAGAGTATTCAGCTTTATCGCCGTTCGGCAAGCACAACCTGCCTTGGGCGAATGTTATAGTACCACTTTTACTTTGTTCGCCGTTACTTTAAGAACCTATCTTTTCTACAGTAAACGTACGCTGATCATTAAATCTCTGTAACGACTTCACATTTTAATTATTGAGTGATTCGGTTAAATCTCTCCTTATTTAGTACCTCTTATTAGTATAATCATCATAGCAGACTATAAGGCGGCGCTGGCATCTGGAGCTAATTTGAGTGTGATCACCTGTGAGATCGCGGCCTTGAATAATCGGAAACAAAAGTTTCTACTCACAGGAGTAGAGAGAGAGACCTGGAATCAACTTAGCAGTTCAGATACGACTAAAATTCTAGATTCTATGGGAGAGCTATGGTTTTATGAGTTTCCAGATTATCTTGCGCTACCAACCGCAGAATACTCTTTTAAAAATACAGAATGTGGAAGTCTTTCATCTCTTGTAATTATCTCATTTACATCATAACCTTTACGCTGTTCTCAAAACGATCGAGGTCGTTCAGAAATGCAACTCTCGCTTGGTTGCAATATACGACATTTATATGAATCCTAAAAAAAAGACAAGGGTCTTCTTCGATTAGTCGGAAACACTAATAGTTTTAATTTTTCTCCAAACAAGACATATGTATATATTAACTAAAAGCTGTAGCTCAGAAGATCATGATGTTGAATCAAGACATTCCTACAAATCAATCCAATACACTTGCATTGTAACCAAGCACTAATTTCCTCTCGTCTCCTTATTCCCTCGCCTTTCACATCCATAACCCACCTGATGTTCTTTAAAAGAGACCCTCGAGACATTCATGTCGTTTATCCAGGCTCGACATTAGCTCCAAGACCAGGTATAGGCGTTCAAATTCCCAAAGCCACCGCTAAAGATGCAGGCTATTCTCTAATTAGCTTCCGTCTTGATTTCATCCAGTAGTCTTACCTTTGATATAACGACCCCCGGCAAAGCTAAAGAGATTGCTACTGAAGGCCGACACTGCTCCGCCAATTCCTTCATCAATATTACCGGGTTCTCCAAGATAGCTGATCTTGTCAACTTGGATTGGATTCGAATTTCTATCGTAGACGATTGTGCCAAGATGGTGGACTCCGCCAGATTTGACTGTGGCAGTAGTACAGCCTTCTTGGTTCCCAGCCGGACTTGTCTTCCATGAGACAAGATCAACGATTGGGATGCATTTAGCATAGCTTTTTCCAGTGCTAAGAGTGCGCTGTACACAAACTTCGTGGTAACCGCAGGGTGTGTCCGTAATCTTCTCACGGTTGCTCCGAGGATTGGCGACGCAAAAGCTACGAATGATGTTGGATTTGAAGCATACCGAGCGATCATAAGTCTGCCCTGCTGGGCAACCTTGGGCTGGGAGCGTATCCCGCGATGCTAAAGTTGTCAAGTTTACGTTTGCCGGCTCAAACTCCGCGGGAGCGATGTCGATGTAGCTGATCGTATTTTGGGGTGAAACGCCATCGCCTGAGTCTGTCTTTTGAGCGAGGGGTCCTGCCAAACACCCAGCAGCAAAGATTGTTGTAAGGAGGACGAGCTTCATTTGGAAAATGATTGTTTCTTTTGTAAGATGTTTGTTTGTTTTGAGTAGGTAATGAGAAAAGCTGAGAATGGGATTGAGCAAGTCTTTATAGTTTTGAGAAAAACGTTTTGCGGGAGCCCTGCGCAAACACTCTGACGTGAATTTCCCTTGATTGGAAGTGTTATTATCTGGTTACCCTAGTCTTGATTGCTCCCTTGATGAATAGGCACAAGCCCAGGATAACTACAGTCAGCCTGATTATGAAGCCAGCTAGCTTCTGCTTATACACAGGCTACCACAATCACTTTAACTGAGTTCCCACTACATCAACAGAGAAATTTTAAACGTGAGTCTTAATTAAAGATGGTTTTTAACAGTTAAAAACTATCGTTACTGCGGAATTATGACTACTGAGGAACTAAGGTAGGTAGGAAAGGTCTAGTAAAGGTTATTTGAGCCTACGCCACCAAGCTAAGAGCTAGACAACACTAGTGTCAAATCCTAGCGTAACTCAACGGGCTGATACCACCTATTTAGGTGCGCATTATATTACAGTAATAATTTTTTAGGCGAAGCTACGGAAGCGGTGGCATCAAACAAATCTTCTACCAAAGTAAGTCCCTCATGGGCAGTAATATCGTAGGTATAATTGATTGAAATCATCATTATGGTTTGATTTGACTCATGAGTATGACCGAGTATTTGAAATAACTTGAACTGAATAAACAGTTTACAACGCCCGCTCTCACAATGCTTTCTGCCATGTTTATAGTGGTCCACATTTGTATGCCTCCCTGCTTGCTGCTCGCAGCATGGCAGTGACTGTAGACACAATCCATCATAGATCCAACGTCTTCTCAAGGATTACTGGCAAAGTGAAATAGTATCACTCCTTGGCTCTGCTGTTGTTCCACAGACCTTGGAACATGGCACCTTCTTGATCCTTGAGCATGCGTGGGTTGCCAACTTCAGCTACCTGTCCCTTGTCCATAACGATGACCGTGTCGAATTCTAGTACCATTTCTAGACGATGTGAAACCATCATGATCGTATACCCGTCAAACTCGCGACGGATGATTTTTTGCATTTCGAGATCAGTGTTTTGGTCGACGTTGGAAGAAAATTCATCCAGCAATAGAATACCGCCATTGGTTCCCTTTCGACTTTTCACACGACGACGTAAAACAGCACGGGCCAAGCAGAATAGCTGCTTCTGACCTTGGCTGAGCGACTCTGCAGCTAAACAAGCGTCTATCCCTCCTCGCTCGTGTATCACCGAGCTAAGCCCAATTTCCTTTAAAACACTGAGGCACTCAGAGTCCTTGGCCGCATAAACTGGATCAAGGTTCTCGCGTACTGTAGAGCCATCTGGAAGAAAGATAGCGTCCTGTGATACGGCTATGATGCGGCTTCGCAGAATCTCACGATCGACTTTTTCGATGGGTAACGAATCTACCGTGATTTTGCCATCCCTTCCAGGTATAATTTCAAGTAGACGTAGAAGCAAAAGAACGATCGACGATTTGCCACTGCCTGTCCGACCGCATATCGCTACCTTCTCTCCAGAGCGAATAGAAAGGTTAATGTCCCGAAGCGCTACGTCACTTGGCAGTTTGTTTTCATTCGCTAAGCCATGTAAGACTTGAGTTTCCTCATAGGAGGCAGATACGGCTGATACATGAATTGTACCTTTCGTTGGCCAGCCTTCATTTGGAACCATATCTTCACCGGGTCTAGCCTCCGGAGTTACCATATCACTAAATGTCTTGAGGCGTGCTACGGCCCCAATGCTCGTTTCGAGTTTTGTATATGACTGTACAATTGTAGTAAGTGTATCGCCAAATGACATGAGCGTAACAAGGGAAGCCCCAGTAAAACCAGTGTTTGCTCGTAGCTGAGTTGCAAGCGCTACCACAATTGTTGCAATGATAGCTACAAGAAACTTTAGTGTTAGTTGCAGCCAACGCTGGACAATCGCGAGCTGGTAAGCTGAACGTTGACTAGTGTCCAGTAGTTCGTTGTGAGAATTTATAGTAGAGGGAATAGACCCTAGCGCTCGTAATGTGGCTAGGCCATTGAGAGTGTTAATAAAGTGAGAGCTGGTTGTATTAATTAGCAACTGTCTTGACGGATGAAAGAGAGGTACCTACTACAAAGGGTCTTTTGCTTCCAGTTCCAGAACACGTAATTGTTTTGATGTTCGGAGGTAAAAAGTCTGAATCCAGTATAAAATACCCACGAGGAAAGGGTAACTCAGAGCCAGCCATGGTGATGATATAGCGATAACGGCAGCCATTCCCATAGCGGCAAAGACCAAGAGTAAGAAGTTAGTCAATGCCATGGGTAGATCGCTATCTATTAGGGCAATATCCTGGGCAAAAAGATTGGCCACCGTTCCTGCTTCTGTATTAGAGAATAATCGCAAAGGTGCGCCGATGAGCGTTCGTAGAGCTTGTGTATGCAGCTTTTTGCCCGACTGAGAGATCATTGTTTGTGTTGAGAGAAACACTACCACCAGCAGGGAACCAAGACAAATTACTTGCAGCAAAGCATAAATCCCCATATAGAACGCCCTTGGGTGTGTTGGTTTCGGGGCAACAGCGTCTTCGGACCAGAACTTCAGCCACACCGTTGGAAAGTTGAACGTGAAGCCATATATGCAGCACCATAATAAGACAAGTGCAGTAACCCAAGGAGAAATACTGCCAAAGTAGTGTTTGTAAACGGTTCCATCGCCCAGGTTATTTGCTATCCCCAGAGCCTTGGCTACTGCGGAAGCTTCAGTCGTTGATCGCATTGAAGCTACTCTATCAGGTTGAGAATTATTGCAACGCTGGTTTGGTTCAGAAGCCCCTTCAGTATATTGACCCTCGAAGCTCTTGCAATACCTGCTACTAGCTTGTAGGTTGGCAAATGACCCCTGTTCGGCAATGGAACCATCGCCACCAAGTATGATAATATGGTCAGCAAGTGACGCATACCAATCCGAGTGGGTGCATAACACCGCAGTCGCCCCTCTCCGACGACTCAAGCCATTACTTCCAAAAAGTTTCAGGCATATATGTCTCGCAGTTATCGCATCGAGACCGCTAAGAATATCATCCAAGATCAGAAGATCGGATTGTAGATATAAGGCTCGGGCAAGAGCAACTCGTTGTTGCTGGCCACCGCTTAAGGCTACTCCATTGCTCCCCACCATAGTGCGATCTCCCTCAGGCATTGTATCAAAGTCAGTAGATAGCGAAGTCGCCTCAATTATTTCTTTGTATCGTTCCGGATCAAATTCGGAAGATCCAATGATATTGGCAAAGATTGTGTCATTGTAAAGAAAGGGGGTTTGGTCGCAATATCCTATTTTGCGATATTGGACACCCACAATCACATCACCGGATCTGACCGGTATCTCCCCAAGGAGAGCCTTCAACAAAGTCGACTTCCCAGAGGCTACAGGTCCCAAGATTATGGTAAGCGCACCACAGGGAACAGTGATATCAATGTTCTCCAAGACGTTTTTGCCTTCTGCCCAACCGAATGAGACTCCACTCAGTGAAAGAGCTGAATGATCTGCTTTGGAGGAGACATTTGTTTGCTTCTCAGAAAGAATTGAGGCGTCGAATGTCTTGCGGGTGTCGACTCGGGATGCTTTGTTAAGGTACGCCTGAATACGACCCAAGCATACGAATGCAGATACAAGTTGTGGGATATTCTGAAAAAGGCTTCCTAGTGGAGCTGCTAGAAGCATGAGGTACGCCATAGAAGTGAAGATACGCGTGGCGCTGAGAGTCTGAGAAGCTACAGCAAAGGTCATGACTGGGCCCAGCTGAGATGGTGTCAGGGCAATCAAGCCAGCTGCGAGGAGCATCAAACGCCAATGCCCCCCCGCATTAAGCTCCTTCAGTCGCATGTCAGAAATCTTAGCCGCTATCGAGCCCGACATTCCTGAAATCTTTAATGCTTTAATGTCTGCGATAGCTTTTGTGGTTGCACCCACTCGCTTGTGTATTGAGCCCATCCACAACGTCTGACGCTTTCCCGTAAGCTTGGCTACAACCATAGAGGCAGCGGTGCAAAAGACTACGACCATTATAGGCGCTACGAATGCTACGCCAATTTGTCGCTGAAGTAGCCAGCATGCTAGTGCAACCTCGATTGTGTTAGCCCAGTACTCGTGTATTTGCTGAAACCCGTTCTTAACACGGTCCACGTCGGCGTTTATAAGCGTGAGAGCTTCTGAATCATTTGCAGCAGCGAGCGTAACAACGGTCGTTTTGTGGTATATAGCAGAGATCAAGACTCCTCTTAGCATATATACAAAACGCTCTTGAAAATACCAGTATAGAGACGTTGACGTAGCCATGCCGAGGTAAATTAGCACCGCAGCACCGATGAACCCGTAACCCTTATTAGGCGGGGAATTTGCATGGGCGTCTTGAAGATAGTTAAGTAAACTCTGAATTAAAAGAGGTTGGCAGAAGATGAAAGCCATGTTGCAGAGCCGCGGAAGGATAGGCAGTACAAAAGGAACCGTTAGCGTGGAAAAAAGACTTTTGAGTAAGATATGTTTGCTGCCTATGGTGACGTGTTTCTCTAGATGGGGCGAGAACTGGGCGTAAAGGATCTTGGCCGACATTGCCTCGTCTATTGCATATAGATCATTTGTGGCGAGAGGCTTGCGAAACCCTGTGATGAGGAGTGTGTTGACCCAGAAGTAGGTAGAAAGACTGATGATGCCGCTTGTCAATTCCGGACTTTGTAGCACCCGAGTCGCTTTCAGAGACTCCAACACAAAAATTATTGCTTTGAGCACAGTGACGGTTACACTGAATTGCGCTTGATAGGTTTCATTCCGAGATGCTCGTGAAATCCAGAGGGTCCTTGAACGGGCAATGTCAAACAAAACAGTGACTAGCAGGTAGATGTTGATCAGTATTGAAGGCCGTGGCGAGTGAGTATGTTCCAAGAAGGAAAGTAAAATCATAAAGAAGCTGGCAACAAGTCGTAGGCTTTCAGACGCCACAGTATACCGGGAAGGTAATTCCGTTGTGCGGCATGACAGAATTAAAACACCAAGCTGCATGCCAGTGAAGACCATAAGAAACAACTATTAAGCATTAGCAGCGCAACGGGCTCCGGTTGATATTGTGCTCACAAGCTTGAGCCATCGCTGAAAACCGCCAACAGCAATTTTCTTCTTACGTGATAGATAGACGATACGAAAAACTGTGGTCGCTACAAACAGAGAGTCCGGTATTATTGTTAAGAAAACTTCTTCGAATCTGACGGTAAAGTCAAAGTCATCGCGGCAGCCGTAAACAACCGGACCCAGCGTATCGTCGTTGAAGCAGTGATTACTCATTGGATCGCTTTGAATTTGCACTGAAAACAACACTCGATTGAGGCGTATGGCTTTTAGGCTTGCATAGTAGGAGTGAGGCTGGATCTTGGAAGTGCCACTGCGATTTACTAAGAACAAGGCAAAGGCTTACTTTTCAATATGATGTGTATTACAAAAGTAAGTGGATTCACGAGTCAAAGAAGTCAATAACCTATCGCACGGAATTTAGATACGGCCGGTTGTTTGGCAGTGTGTTCTTCGTGAGGGTACACGTCGGGGACAGGGGTTGTATTTAAACTTTAAGAACCAGAGTTTCAGCTGGAAGGGCTTATGCCTATCAATACAGTGCGAGTCTGAAAACCGGCACTGTAGACCTGGGCGCTGAACTTACACGGAGTCTGGCAAATTGAGTAATTTCCGTCAGCAGTCAATCGGAATAATGGTGACTTCACAATCTCCAAGGATTCATCACTTTAGCCTACATTTCACCACAATTCTTTGTGATAAACTATTTACTTTGTCTCTGCTCTCTGCCTTTCAAAAGTTTAATCACTATCTGCAAAGATTCGTTTCAATATCTTCAAATCGGGTCGTTCAGCAGTTCCTTCTTAGGTTCTCCTCGCCACCTCATTGCGTAGTTACTTGCTGCCTAAATTTGAAAGTCCAGCAAGGTCGATCGCTCATCTACTAGCATATCTCAAACTCTTGAATTTCTTCTGTTACTAGTAACCTCAGAAGCATCGATTTACTAATGTAACTCGGATATCTCGTCATTCAAGGCGATGGCAACGACGGTACTCTCTTTGAACCAAACAGCCAGACTTACAGGCTTGGCCTTAAGAGGTATATTGAAAAGATAAAAGCCTTGTCGCACTTTGTAGATTTTAGATACTCTAATTCTCGTTCCTAATCCATTAGCTAGTCATGTCTAGCCATGTCTAGCAGAATATATTCTTTTAAAAAGCCTTTGTCGTTCGCTTCCTCTCTGCTGCCTTCACATGCGTATCATCATCCGTGAGGATAAGATCGGTGCTCAGGTCGTCACCAAGTCCACGTTTGCTCTCAGCCTTCACATGCGTATCATCATCCGTCAGAATAAGATCGGTGCTCAAGTCGTCACCAAGTCCACGTTTGTTCTCAGCCTTCACATGCGTATCATCATCCGTCAGAATAAGATCGGTGCTCAAGTCGTCACCAAGCCCACGTTTGTTCTCAGCCTTCACATGCGTATCATCATCCGTGAGAATAAGATCGGTGCTCAAGTCATCGCCCAAGCCGCGTCGTGCCTGGTAGATTATTAGCTCATGTAAGTAAGAGACGCGAATGGAGGACCAACGAAATCGACAGCTGTGTTACTGTTGCCATGTTTGAGGACAGCCGCTAGGGATAGGGGAAAGATGACAAAACAAACAGGTTTCATGTTGAAATATGTTGGCGTGAATTTTGAACCAAAATCTCTTCTTCAAGTTGTGAGTGTTGGTGGACTATCGTTATAGTATAAAGATTGTGGGACAAAAGTCAAGTAGACGTTGAAGTTCTTATACTATCGCTGGCTGCCTAGATGCTCATGTACCGTTGTTGAGCCTCCGTTGCTTTCCTCTTTGGCAATACCGAGTGGCATGAATGACACAATGCATTTCAAAAGTAGCCGGCCGTAGTGACTACTAACTTTCACCTTTGCAACACTACTGACTCGAATGCCAGTAGGCTTCATGAAACACTTGCTCAGTTGTTGATGTAGACTTTGAATTTAATGACATCTCCAATGCTAATGAACTATGCTCGAGACAAGGGGTAGCGCCCCACCAGGTTCAGCCCCACCCTTCACCTCGTGTCCGACAGAAAGGTCAGCGATCTGCTGCGATTCCTATAATCGACTTGCAACTCTATCTAGAATTTTTACCCACTTTCGTCGGCCCCGTATACGAGACTCGAGTCCGATACTGTTCCAACGGCACGTTTTGCATTAGCGTCATTTTGCCGCAATGTGCGACATGTGCCTCCTTTTCTCTGGGCATGGGCCAAATAACTCCAGTGTGCCTAGTTCTGAACTGCTTCCGCCACCGGTAGTTGCAGTGTAAAAGGTGATGTTCCATTGTCGACCACGCTTTACGGCCTGGCTCAACAAGCAAGCTCAGCTCAGTACTGTTTACGATCTGAAATGGTCCTAATCCATCACCTCCGGGAGCTTCGGTTTCGAACATCCATATACCATCTGGTCCATGTCCCTTTTTGGCATACTCCTCGCGCAGCTCTAGATCAACGCATTTTGGATGTAGCCATTGCATATCCATTTCTTCCCAGATACAGCCTCGCGTCATAGCTTCGGCAGCTGTAAACCCGCAAGAGAAGCAGTTGACAATTTCAGAACCGCCAACAGCCTGATAACCTTTGGCGATATTCTTTCCTTCGGTATCGGGTTTGTCTCCATTCGAAACAAAGAAACCACGCGTGGAAAAGACGAGCGAGCCAGCGCCGTAGAACGCTAGCAAATAGATGGTAAGTTGCATGGCTAAATGAAGAGGCCATGGTCGTTTGTTTAGTTTTTGCCGACTGGTACTCGCAAGAAACTCATCTCTGTCAAGAAATGATCGTTGTTCTTGCAAATCAAAGCTGTTGTGAAAGTCGATAGATACCATATTGGCAATCGAAATGAGAGATTTGCTGTGGCGCAGAGCAACCAAGATAATTGGGGGTTCTGTAGTATTAGGATAACTTCGAATAGGGAGCAAAAAAAATGCTGATCCGAAGGCGAAAATATTTGATGATGGTGAAAATTCAACTAGCTTGTTGTTGGTGAGAGAAGTCCCAGGAGGGCTGCATGTGTGACAGACTGCCTGATAAGATGGAAGATGAACATCAGTGAGAAAGGTTGTAAACAATCCTGTTTAGAACAAACAAACAAAGTTTCTTTGATTTTATCATACGCCTAGGGTAGATTAAAAGCTTCTTGACCCCATGATATTAGTGAAACTAAAACTGAGTAATGTTACATGATATTTCAACACAGCTAAACTCTCATTACTGGCTTATGTCGGTGGACCCATTGCGGATGATTCGTGATGTGTATCATTTCGTCACTTACGTTTTCATTGTCGCCTCCACATTTTAGATTTCAGACGGATGCTACATGAGACAAAAAGTCATGACATTACCGTGGAAGGTATGGGTTTTGATTGTGATTGTGGACGATTTATTCCGTGCTGAATTTAGATTCAAGACCCTCAGATTCTTTTTTCCCCAAAGGTCTGCCACTGCCATATGACCGGCCACATCCGCTCAGTGCTTCTATCTTGTGTGAGTCTGCACATGTAGAAAACACAACATACATCCGTCAAGCTTTGAACCCTAGACATAAACACCATGTTTGAAAAGCAGAGTGCGAATCGGGCTGAAAACACATACGAAAACTCCAGCATGCACTACCAAGACAATGACGATGATCGGGAACTTCTTCTTGGAGGTCAAGGCAGCAAAGAGTCACTCTTGTTCAGGTGGATGTCTGCAACATCCACGGACGAGCACAGGAAGACCAAGACCCGGAGAATCGTGCTTCTGGGCTTGGCCGTAGTCGGCTACACGGTCATTGTGGCGCTCATCGCGGGTGCGTTCACTTCGCTGGTCAACGCACCCAGTCACAGTGTCGGCTCGGTCGCAAGCCATGTCGCTGACGCTGTGGACGAGTATCCGCCCCTTGCTGATTGTGGCCATAACTCAACCACAGCACAGGCTGCAGGCTGCAAGTTTGACCTCATGATGACGGGCTGGTCCAACCCAGAGTGTTTAGACAGCTATGTGTTGGAGGACTCGTACAACGATGCATCACCTCTATCGCCATGGGGCGCTGGTCTGTCCAACTGGAAATGGGCGGCCGACAAAGAATACAAAGTCGAGTTACCAAGCGACCCCGAAGAGTTAGGCCACCACGACGGCATCTGGACGCATTTCTACTTCCACAAGATTCATTGCGCCTACGTGTGGCGGCACTTATCCCATGCACTGGCGCGCAAGCTAGCGGGTGAGAAGCACGTTTTTGTCTACAAGCAGGCACTGCAGTATGAACACACGGTGCACTGCAACTGGATGGTGCTAGAGCATGAGAAAGATCTGATGCGACCGACGTGGGCAGAAATAAACAGCGTTAACAAATGCGTTGAGTTGAAGCTGGACCTCAACGGAAAACCATGGACTGGACTTTTGGCTAAGGAAGAGGAAAAGGCTGGAGCCAGTTCGCCGGGATATTAGCTGTGAAAAACGTCAAGGTTGTGTCCAGAGGGGGTCTTTTAGTTGGAGGAGAGATTATTTAACTCCATTGGAAGACATGCTTCTCCAATCTCTTAAACAGGCCTTACGCAGATTTCATTGAAGCCTTACAGAAAAGTCAAAGCAGCACACATAGCTTTATCTTTCGCAAACACAAAAAGACTTCTGATCAAAATCTCTATTACAGTAGCTGTTTTCTTTCTCAGTGATTTGGCATGGACTACATAATTAGTTTGTACTAAACTGGAGCTTTAAGTGGCGGCTATGTTTCAGTTGAACGGAACTGATGGACAATTCAAGCGCAAGAGCCGAAGTGGCGACCTGAGTGACTTTTTCCTTCACGACTGACAAGCTCAGAGGAAAGATGGTTTTTTCCACTTTTCATTCCACAGTTCAATCAAACGCCTCTTACCTTTGGCAACGAATGTTACCGCCAGACTTGTTTTTACCCAGTATCTTTTCTACTCATAGGCTGCGTTTTTTCTGCTAGCAGTAACTCATCTTTGCCTCACCTCACGAAACGGTCGACACAAGCTTTTTCAGTTGAGTCCTTGAAACTTGGAGGCAGCGTAATTCGACGCCCGGTTTTGTGGGGATGTGGAGCTTTGATTCCGGGGGTGGGATTGCAACTTGTATGTCTCCGTTTATACTTTGCAGATGTGCTCTTGTTGTTCCGAGCAGGGCTTGTAGTACTGGGTCAAGGCTTCATTGTTTTGGGATTTCATTGCGAAAAGATACAGGGCTACATTGACAAGCATGTTATAGTCTCAGAGAGAACCTTTGAAAGACCAACCCAACCATAGCTAGCTTAAGTAGGCTTAGGACAGTAAAAAGAATAAAAATTTGTTGAGGAGTTGATAGCTTCGATAATAATCTGCTATAGTGCAGTGATTTATATTTAAGTTTAAATTGGGTACTAACTAAAAAACGCATTGCCAATTGCTTTTATTTTTTTTTACCCTTCTAGCTGCAGGTCTTTAGTATGTAGGACGAAGTCAACCTTCCGATCCCATTGACTACGGCCTGGCAACAGGTACAAAGCCTGCGGGGTATCGGCCAATCAGACACAAATGCTGCAACTTCTACTTGGATAGCGAGCGTTGCGCTATAAGCATTGGAGAATTATGGGGCCTTTCAATGGGCCGGTTTGTTCCTGTTGCAGGCCGCAGCCGAAGTGAAACGATACGATGGAAGATATTCAGATGCAAAAAAATTGAAGTCATTGTCGTTCCTCTCTTTGAAACCTGCTACGAATGGTTACATTCTGAAAGTGATCAAACTATAACTTAAGTTTGCACCATTGCACCTGACGATCTGTTGAGCTTCGGAAAAAAATGAAGTACAAGGCCGGTGAAACATGCCACAGGCCCACAGAGCTTTTGATTTCTTCGTGACCTTGTCTGTCCATTAAGTTTGAAGCGCGATTAATATTGCTAGCGCTACGGTCACATCGGTCCTTTTTGTTTGATGACACTCAGCAAAAGACGTGAGGCTATGAAATCTTAAAATGAAGAAACCTACACTGAATATGACCTCAACACGGAGTGTTTCATCACATGATGCAAACTTTATCAACCCTCCATACGATCCTGGCCTTTGCACTAGGCAGTACAAGGATTCATTCAAAATATTGACTTTCTAGTATATCCACTTGTAGTGTTGCCATAGACGAATATCGGCATTAGCTCTGACATGGCCCCGATTGAAGCCGTGGCCTGAATTCTTCATGGGATGTCATCAACAGTTGTAACCGCTAAGGACTTGAAAGTCGATGAGAAGCTGTCCATTAGCTTCTTGCACTCAAGTTTGTTTTTCATCCACACCAACCGCGGTTCCAATACTTTGTCAAGTCCTAATGAAGGCTCAGCCCAAATATTCACGGGCCCCAACAAGGGACGCCTACTCAACAGAAGAGGAAAATGAATCACGATCCAGCCTCGAAAGCGAAAATGTCATCTATCACACACAAATGATGCGTTCGTGTGATTATGATATTCTCAGTTTCCAGACAAGAGATAAAAAGAACTCTCTAAGACACTTTTTTGTGGCTTCGGTATGCGTGGCGGTGTTCACAAACATCATTCTTGTCATTATCATATATCTCGGCTGGAGAAACCAGGAGTGTACTCGAGATTCACTCAGTTCTGGCGGTTCATTCAAGTCGGGTTTTGATACCGAGTTTGGTTAGTTTAGTTCATTGAATCTCTCATCTTTTGTGACGATGATGTATTCTGATAATTTTCAATAGGTCCAGCGAAAAAATACATCCAATTGGAACAGCGTAAATTCTACGGCGCGCCTGTCATTGATGATGACGGCGGCATGTATCTTTCCAATTTAGATCCGATTCGCTACTTTGGTGACCCTGCCAAACATCCTGAAGTTGACAAAAATTGGAAGAAGCTCGTTGATGGTACACAAGGCTTATCCTATAGAGTATTCAGACAGACATTGACGTGTGTGAAATAGGGCGCTTTTTCCGAATCACTGAGCAAGAAGCTCGTCAAGCTTGGGGAGAAGATCACTACAAATATTGGCACTATGACATGGATGGCTATGTTGTCGGGCTAGAAGTATTCCACGCACTTCACTGTCTGGTATGTTGGCTTTCTAAGCACCCTTTCAAAACCGACATTGATGTTGATGACGAATGTTGCAGGACTACATCCGCACCACCTTTTGGCCTGAAACTTATTTTCCCTCTACTTTGAAGGGTGAAAAGAAAGCTACTGAGCATATGGTCTTCCACCGCGATCACTGTCTCGAAGTTATTCGTCAGTACGTTATGTGTCATGCAGACCTTTCACCTATACCTAGCATCTACTACAAAGGTCTTGGTCGCAACTACAACGTACTTAGTAATGTATCGCACACATGTCGTAACTTTGAGAAAATTCAAGACTGGCAGATGGCCAGATACAATGGAAGTTGCGATGACGCAGTTGCCAGGAATCCGGAAGGAGCGCCAAATGCAATAGTCAAGCCAAATACATAAAAACAATAGTATCAAGAGTGCAGTTAGCTATAATCCTATTTCCAATTGATACGAACAGCTCGAATACTAAATATTCTGATTTTCTCACAAACCATTAAATGAACAATTTCAAGCTAGAGCGAAGATGGCGTCGTGCTATATAAAGTGCGCTGCAACATAGGCTTAATTCGAGAAGCAGTCCTCTTAGCTACCCATTATATATTCGAGCACCATTTATAATGATTTCAAATTTGCAGTTTTAAAGTGTTCTGCGCAGAAAATAAGGCATTGCGTGAAGAACTTGGTTTCAACATCCTGGGTAAATCACCCTTGCTCCCGTGACAATCTCTTCCGGATCCCTTTTCCACATGATGATGTTCGCACAATGCTTGGTATGTGCCATGCCGAGCCCTGTATGCAGTTCCCTTCCCGCCACTAAGTCGCGATGCATCCGTCGCCACGAGAAGACACAATGGAGCATATGTGCGCGATTAGTTAGCCACGTTTTGCTATTGTCGGCGGCCCATTCCGTCTCACTTTTGACACGCGTCTTATTCAAGTCTGCGTAAAGCACCCAATCCGGATGTGTGCGAATCTCAGCATCCAGTTCAGCGTCCACGCAACTTGGGGGAAGCCAGGCGAACGACACGGGCGAAAAGATACAGCCATGAGAGCGGGCTTCAGATGCTGTATGTCCGCAGCGGCGCACGCGCGGTTCCACCTTGTCATAGCGGTAAGGGGGCTCTATGTTTGTGTGAGACGGCTTTGGAGTATCGTAACGCGCCGCCAAGCCAGCAATGACAGCTATCGCAAAAAGTGATGCAAGCAGGAGAATTAGACGAGCTATTGCTGCGAAGTCGTAATTATGCGTTTCTTCAGAAGGTATAGTCTCCTGGCCGAGTTGAGGTGCATTGTCCTCGAGGTTGACTTCGTCGATGTTCTTCTCCTCATTTGGATGAGTTTGCCCGACTCTGCGATATGTTGACCCCGAAAACGCGAATGCATTAGGCATCCAACGCGGCCAAAATTTTGTTGGTGTCATCTCGGGTTGATGGCGAAAGGGATATCGTGAGTGACAAAACTGGTTCTGGCCAGGACAAAATAAAGCGAATGTTTCCAATTGCGCGATCTTATGTCCAACCCTTCATTGACAGAGCGATCTGAAGATTTTCGTCTTCTATACTTACCTTCTAGTTACTGTACACATAGCTTTGAAACAGCTAGCAACCTGCCAGAACAATGAATTTCATAGCGTCTCATCATTGCAACGTTAATTCAATGCCCCTGTATCCATCCGGCCCTTGTAGGTGAAAAGTGCGAAAGCGAGAGTGCCCCAGTCGCTGCTGCGGGCTCCTAAACAAACCCACCAGACTTGAGTTCGCCAGACCAAACTCTAAAATGACTCAATGAACTTCTGTAAGTTCGTACAAAGCTTAATCTCATGACGTTTCGGTTTCCAGACACAAAGGTAGTAAGTGATCGCATCGCCCATTACGAACTGGCGTGTCAGGTAATTCGAAATATTATTACAACGAGGACACTGTCAAGGTCCAGGTCCCCGGCTGCAAACATCGCAGATCTGTCTTTCATTCGCAGGGATTAAATGGCAAAAGTCAACTAACGTTCCTTACTCATGCTGCTGACCCAAGCCAGATTAGCAGGAGCTTTCATTAAGGTAACTAAGCATATGAATTGTTGGCTCACGAACGGGACAATTTTCAGTCGTTTACCGCTGCCATTCGTAGGTGACTGTTCGTCCTTGACATAGGCGTGAGATTTCGGATGTCGATATCTTATGCGCGTTTTCTTTCGTTATAATGCAGAACTATAAGCCAAGGAACCCGATTTGGCTGCTCTTTTTCTGGGTAGTCTCGATAGTCGCTTCGGGAGAGCTATTCACCGTCGAGGTTACGTCAGAAGAGGTTTGTTGCACCATCCATTACTAAGCCATTCATTCTCATGCAATAAAACAGGATATATCACGCCTCAGTAAATCATTCGAAGGCTATGGAGCATGGCAATGCCATGGCCGGGACTTAAATACTACGGACACGAGAAAGCCACGGCTGAAGTTGCGTCACCAGTTGCGAAGCACTATCTTCAAAGGCTTGTCGCTACAACATGAGAGCTTCGGGAACAGCTACAGTGACTTTGAGACGGCTTCTACAATCAATTGTCTAAAAGCAATCCCAGGAGTGATTCGAGTTTGGACTTCGCCCCTGGCATCTTACAGATTCGTACCGATCGAAGAAAGCTCTATGGTTAACGTGGGTGACGCATCGTCTTTCATGATAAACCCTCATGATGGGTTTAGAAACCAAATTCCGCGTCTCAAACAAACTACCGCGAATTCGCTCGGAAGAAAGAGCGCTAGAAAGGATTCTGCACCAACGACTTTGGTGAACATCTCAACTGCTGAGGGCGAAAGCCGTGAAGCTGCCAGAAAAGTCTTCGCTGCTAATAGCGTGCACAAAATGACAGGCGTCGATAAATTGCATCAACAGAATATCACCGGTCAAGGCGTGACAATTGCACTTATCGACTCCGGCCTGGATTATCTGCACCCCGGTCTGGGAGGCGGCTTCGGGACTGGCTTCAAAGTGAGCGGCGGGTACGACCTCGTCGGCGACGATTGGAAACGAGGACTGCCAGCAAACCCAAGTGCAGATCCCTATACTGAATGTTCATTCCATGGGACGCACACAAGTGGTATAGCCGCTGGGAATGATACCAGAACAGGCTATGTAGGTGCGGCACCGGGAGCAAATATTCATCACTATCGTATCATTGGCTGCGACACGAGAAATACCTTGTTAGACTCAGACATTATCACCAAGGCAATATTGATGGCATATGAGAATGGAGCGGAGGTAATCTCAATATCTTTGTCTTTGAGTAAAGGGCCTTACCCTGATGGTGAGCTTTATAAGAATTTTCTATCTGACATACGTTGACCTTATGATTTTCCCTTAGATCCGGTCTCTGAAATCCTAAGTCGTATTACGACTGAGGGCCGCACCGTTTGTGTCGTTGCAGTGGGTAACAATGGCCCCAATGGCACCTTCTCCGCCGATGCCCCTGCATCGGCAAAAGGAGTTCTATCAGTTGGGACTGTCAACAGTTTAAGTACAATTGAAAGCCGTCCTCGAGCGCGCATGTCTCTTGTAGTCCAGAGCTTAGAACGAGGAAACTCTGACACGGCTATATCTAATGAGACTATGGCAGAGTTCATGTGGACCCCAGCAACGCCCAAAGGTCGATTTCCTGAAAAGATCGAAGTACTTTCACTCGGATTATTAATTGGTAAAGAATTCGAGAATGCGTGTAAATTGTTTAACAGCAGCATTGCCCTCCCTTCGTCGGTCGTTATTTTGGTACGTCGGGGCGGTTGCGGCTTTTCTGAGAAGCTTCAGAATGTGGCGAACGCTGGTGGACGATATGTTCTTATTTACGATGACCAAGCATATAAACACCAATATGACAATCCAGACGATCTGAGTCAGACGATGGACCAGCTTCTCGAGTTCGAAAATAACACGCCTGGAATCCACGCTGCTGGCTTTGTCTCCGCGGAGACTGCCGAAACTTGGCTCACATTTGCATCCTCCGCGGCACAGAGCAACAGTAAAATGCTCATTTATGTGAACATGGACTCCAACCTCACCTTCACCCCTTTTTTTGCTTGCAAACCACCCTCTCTTGCGCCGGGCCGCATCAATGGTAAAAGTACTTGGGGGCCCTCTGGTGATGCAAGCATAATGCCACTTGTTGTTGCTCCTGGTGGCAACATGGTCTCGACATTGCCGCGCAGTTGGGGCGGCTATGGGGTACTATCGGGCTCATCTATGGCTGCACCTTACGTGGCAGGGTGTGTGGCACTCTTGAAGCAGGCACGGCCGGAGCTGAAAGCGCGAGAGATTGTCAACTTACTTGCGACCACTGCGATGCCCGTTCAATTTTCCGATGGTACGACCAAAGATTATCATTTTCTATCCCCCGTGTGGCATCAAGGAGGTGGTCTCATTCAACCTTCAGCAGCAGTGGAAGCGAGTGTTTTGCCTGACGTTCCCAACGTATCATTTAACGACAGCGACTTTTTCGTCGGGGTTAGGACGTTTGAAGTTCGAAACATTGGCACTATGGAAGTGCTCTATGATTTGTTTGCCTATGGTACAGACGCGAAGACAAGCTACAGTAGAAATACTGGACTTGGCGATCTCAGTCTCTCTGCAGCAACCGTATTGTCGAGGTGGCCAAGCCCCAAGGGCGGTTTTGTATCTTGGGGGTGGAAATCACCACTAGCCGAGAAGCAATTCCTTGAGACTGTCCGTGGGCCACTAGAGTATTCGGACCTTCACGCCTCTGTGGTTGTTAAGCCTAACTCTCTTAGACTTAAACCTGGTCAGTCAGCAAACGTGTCAATCACAGTGACTGGGCTGAACAATCTTACCTCTCCTTCTGTCTCGGCTCGCTGCCCGCTTTGGGGAGGCTACATTGCTATGAGAAGCGCCGCTAACACTTCTGACAACGATGCTCAACCAAAAAAGAATTTAACGCACTTCATAGCCTATGGTGGCGTTGCATGCGCTTTAAGGGATATTGTTGTTCTTGCCGACCATAGCACCGATAATGGTCGCGCTTCAGAGTTGTTGAGCTCCAACTATACAAGTTCCAACTACACGGAGGCTAAGGATGATAACAAAGACTTATCAATTGAAGACCCTCAAAGATTACAAGGCACCTTCCTCGCAGCCGCTACCGAAGCGGATCAATACTCTCCCAAGTTTGTTGCCACACCTATATCGTCAATGGACGAATTCACCATCCCTAGCCCACAGGTCCAGTCTGTTGCAGGCTTTGCCATGACTGGAAAACCCGCTTCAAGAGGTCAACTCCCGCTTCTTCCCACTCTCAACCTCAAATTCGATCTTTCCACCCGGGCATTGACCATTGATGTTCAAATGCTCAAGAACGCAACAGAAAGTGTTAATCTAGGCCCAGCTTTTAGTCACGAAGTCACGCGGCGACCAGGAGGGTTCAATAGAGCCAACAATGTATACCAACCGTGGCATGGGCAACTTGCTGACGGTACCTGGGTGGATGCGGGCATATACCGGTTCCGTGTGTGTGCTCTAAGAACGTGGGGTAACATGGATAAACCACAGGATTATAGAGACTGTGTTGAGACAGAGGCTTTTCAGTTGAACTATGACAGCGACAGACAAACAAAAGATTTGTCTAAGGGCATGGAACAATGCGGCTTCTTTGACGAGAAGCCGTTAAAAAGATAAACAGAAAAGAGTGGTCTTTTCTTCGTTGTTTAAGATTTTTATTTTTAACTGTCGGATAAATGGATTCAAGCACGTGGAGTGATAGACTTGGTCACTGCATAACAGATTACTTCGGCGGATGGGGGGCGGCATTACGTAAACCGAATAACTCATGATGATAGAAAAACCACAATGGCTATTAAATTTAAATTGTGAATACGGGATCTCCTGCATAATTGTGGTAGGTATAACGTAGTCTAAACTCTGCCGTAGAAATAAGTAACGCTAGGTAAATTTTGGACCTAATAGGAAAGTCTACGTAGAAACAACGAATTGAACCTCTTGTGTTGTCTGACTATGTCAGCCATCTGACCAACCTTCTATTAAGGTGTATTGTAGCAATAGAGTAACGTCGCACACCCACTTCTCGCACACCCCCACATTTCGCACACCCATAAATCGCTCATGTAGAATTTTACCCTCTTCAACATTCTTTAATATCTTCACCACTTTTACAGCGATTATTATAATTCTTTGAATAGTTACTCTTATACGCTTAATGGGCCAGTATACGGAAACAGAAGTCAATCAAGCTCTCAATGCAGTTGCAAGTGGGCAGAGTGTCCGAAAGGCAGCTCATGATGCTGGAATTCCACCATCAACCCTCCAGTCTCGATTAAAGGGTTCACAGGCAAGAAATGTAGCTTTCTCTAGCTTCCAGAAGCTATCTCCAGCACAGGAAAGTCACTTAGCTGAATGGGTGCGTATCCAGGCGGCGTTAGGGCTGCCGCCAACACATCAACAACTCAAGGAATTTGCCCAGCGAATCCTAGACATCAGAGGCACTACCCAGCCACTTGGGAGAAACTGGATTCAGTTCTTTATTAAGAGAAATCCATCAATCAAGGTTCATAGAGCTAGAGCCATCGATTCTAAGCGTGTCAATGGGGCCTCAACTAATGTAATCAGGCAATGGTTTCAACAACTCGCCCTTCCAGAGATCAAGGCGATCAAACCACATCATCGCTATAACATGGATGAAACTGGTATCCTAGAAGGCAGAGGATCAAATGGCTTAGTACTGGGATCATCAGAAAGCTCATCAATGCGAAAAAAACAGCCTGGGTCTCGGGCTTGGACAACTATGCTTGAGTGTGTCTCTGCAACTGGTCAGGCGCTTCCTCCACTTGTTATTTATCGAGGGAAATCGGTTCAACAACAATGGTTTCCTCTTGATATCCATAAACGTGATATTTACAGTGGTTGGAAGTTCACAGCAACTGAGAATGGCTGGACTTCAGACTCTACAGCTGTGGAATGGCTTGAGAACATCTTTATCCCTCTGACTAAGCCTGATCATCCCTCTGAGCAGAGACTATTGATCCTAGACGGTCATGGCAGTCATGAAACAACAGAATTTATGTATCTCTGTTATAAACACAAGATATATCTCCTTTTCCTACCGCCACATACATCCCACGTTCTCCAACCTCTAGACCAAGCAGTCTTTGGGCCTCTCAAGGCGACCTATCGAAAAGAGCTTGGATACCTCATTCAACACAACGATTCTACAGTTGTAGGCAAACGGAACTTTCTTACCTGCTATGGAAAAGCACGCCAGATGGCATTTTCAAGCAAGAATATCAGAAGCGGCTGGAAAGCAACAGGACTATGGCCCATTTCGATAGCTCGACCGCTCATGAGCCCTCTACTGCTTGAGAATGCTTCCAAGCCCTCAAAGCCAGGCTATTCTACGCCTATGAGGGCCTCTGATGGTGGAAAAGACGAAAACTGGGCATCTGCTACATCCATAGTAGCCTGGTCAACGCCCAAGAAGACAGTTGATCTATATGATCAACTTAGCTTATTCAGCAAGTTGGATAAAGATCAGCAAACGCAGCGACTGTTGTTTCGGAAGGTTCAAAAGGGATTTGATGAAAAGGACTATCAATTGGCTACAGCAGAGAAGAAGATTGCAATGTTGGAAGCAGAAGTTGAGGCTGGAATGGTACGGAAGCGGCGTAAGGTCCAAATGAGCCCAAATTCGAAGTTTGCCAACATTGAGGCAATTCACAAAGCCCAAATTGAGGCTGGCGAAATTGAGGATAGCTCAGATGAATCTAGCGAGCCTGAATTACCTATTAAAACTGGCGATAGTATCACAGTTGCAGGAGACGAATCAGACTTATAGTTATGAAGTTGATGAATACCTCATGATGACCCAATTTATGGGTGTGCGAAATGTGGGGGTGTGCGAGAAGTGGGTGTGCGACGTTAGCTGAAGTATGGCTAGGGATGTAAAAGCCTTGATCGTATCCAGCTTGTTTCCTGCACTTTTCGCTTGCAGTACAAAAACCAAAAAGGTGAACACAGGAGAGAGAAGAAGAGGCATGAAGGCAATTGTGGCAGTGAGCACCTCAATGTGGCGGAAATGCCGGGCAGCTTGGAGTTCTGATTCCCTCAACTTCTGCAGCAGACGATGAACACCTTCGGACAGTCCAAGAAGCTTTATAGCCTTCATACCAGCAATAGCCCTGGTGATTGCGCTGATGCGTTTCTCTGTCGCTTCCATCCAAGTAACCTGGGCCTTGTCGGCATATGCACTCATCAACATGGATCCCAAGCTAGACACGGTTGCAACAACCGCAGGGGCCACACAGGCTATGCCCAACTCGCGGTAAAGCAGCCAAACGGCTACGGCTACCTGCAATATGTTGGCCCATATCTCGTGAATATCTTTGAAGCCTGCAATGATACGTTCCATATCAGTGCTGATAAGTGGTACGGCCAAGGTCATGTTGTTATGAGATGCGTCGATCTGGGTAGTCTTGTCGTACACGGCTGCCACGAGACAGCCGCGCATCTTGACAAGGCACTTGTACGTCTGTCGCCAGTAAATGCAACCCACAATGGCTATGCCAAGATACACAAGACCGTAGGTGATGATAAAAGCATAACCGGTGCTGCCTACAAAAGTGGCTTCTCCGGCCAAAAGGCGAAGAAACTCACGTAGCAGTAGCGGTTGGCAGAGGGTGAAAGCGACCTGGACAAGACGCGGTATGACTGGCGCCATTACTGACCACTTCAGGGTTCGTAGGAGCACTAGACTAAGTCTGGGTAGACGGTTGCCTTTCTTGTGCCAAATAGTCCAAAAAGCACCAGACAAGCGTGCCGTGTCTAAACCCTCGCTGAGAGGATCCAGATCGGTTGGTGCCAGAAGCGTCTTGCGACCTTTTGAGAGAACATCCCGGAGCCATATGAGAAGAGTGCGACTGAACACACCAGCCATCTCCTCGGAAGTCTTGTGTTGCCATTCTGGAAGCAGGAACTTCCGCTTCTCGATCAACTCCAAAGCCAAGAGGCCACCCTTTAGCACAAGAGAAGCTGTGAATTCGGCCGGTAGGACGACACCTGCTGTCTCTCCATGAGCTTTAAGCCAGAGGGTACGAGTTTGCACGGCGTCAAAGACGAGTGAAACAAGCAGGTAGACGTTTAACAGTGTCGAAGGGCGTGGTGAATACGAGTGCTCAAGCCATGACAAGACTCCGAGAGCGAAGACGTCCAACAATCGAAAGATTGCAGCAGCCAAACTGGCTTCTGTTCCGTAGGGTCCTGGATATGCGTTGGCCCATGACACGAGGAGCGCTACTTGAATTGCGCCATAGCAAACGACCGCGCTCAGTTTGGCCCGCCGCAATCCCGCTCCAACGGCAAACCTCTTCTTTTTCTGCTGTCTCGGGAGCAGGAAGAAAAAGCGTACAGCTGCTAATATAAGAAACAGACATGATGGGGCCACTGACAGCAGAGTCTGTTCAAAGAGCAGCGAAAAGTCAAAGTCGCCCCTGCAGCCGCGAACAGGACCGAATTCGAAATCGGCGCATGCAGAAGAGTTGACCATGCCGCAAAAAAAGGGTATCCATTTACTGCTTCGAAAAACGGAAAGAAAACAAGAACAGACAGTAAGGATTTGGCAAAGCTGCAATTCTGGCCAAAGAGCCAAGATGAATTGGACTTTTGTTCTGGACGGATAAACGTGAAGAAGACGCCGCTGGTTCCCTGAAGTAGAGCACATAAACATAAGTTAGTAGGCTACCCCTGCTCAAATTCCCTTGGCAAGAATCCTTATGGATATGTGCTGCTGACATAAATGTCGTTCCCATTTATGTTGTTACCAATTGTTCACTTTCATTGGATAGAATCCACAAAAAGAGGGTTGCACTAAATGAAACGGTCCACATGAGGCTCCACTCGGTCACCTTATACGGCAGGAGCACATCTAAACTGTTGCCACCTGTAAAGCACAAGAGCACTAGATGGCTATGAGCCCTTAAATGAGGCTCTCATGAAACTACACGACTGGCTTGTGCCAGTATTCTGTAAGTTACATTGACTTTTCACAATTTGTTTTTCATGTAAAGATGTTTTTCTAAGTCGGTCCAGAGAGATATTTTGATTAAGTCAATATCTATAGGCAGATTGTTTATTTTTTTAAACATAAGGATTAAGAGAAAAAGACCCCTAGCACCTTACTCTGACCCGTTCCGTGTAATCAACCTTGGAAAATTGATCTTGCTTCCTTCACAAACGCCTTGAAATACCGCCGCCATCGCATTCGACAGTCCTGCACCCTGAGCGTGAGAGATCCATTCATTCAACGGAACCTCCTTCACATCCGCGCTGGTATCCTTCGCTATATATTCCTTAATTCTAGAGATGTCAATTACCACGTCGCCACATTCGTTAAGATAGACGACTCCATCTGCTGCCGGCTCCATGACGGCGTTGGCAAGCATTCCAGTAACAGTTTGTGGCCGAACAAGATCGATGGTGCCATTCAATCCTGGTCCCACCGGCACGATACGTAGCCGCCGAGAATAAGCTAGCATGTTTTGCAACACGTCCGCTGCGATTTGATCTCCCTCCATTTGTGCTTCCGGTCGAATGATGCTTGATGGGCGGTGGATGAAAACTGGCAACCCGTAGGTAGCATGCACATTTTCGAGATACACCTCGCTGACCCATTTGGATGCGGCGTAGCCATACATTCCATCAACTGGTGGCGGGGAATCCCTAGCTGACGCCTCAGGGAAGGTATCGGCATTTGTGTACATGGCGATTCCTGCCGTTGAAATGAAGTGGAACGGGATGTTCCTGGGAAGGCATAACTTAACCAGCTCTTCGGTAGACTGAACGTTTGCAGGGCGCAGTGAAACATAGGTTTGAAGATGTGAGACGTCAGCTCCATTGTGGACGACGGCATCAACATCTTTGAAGATGTTAGACGAGGCTTCTTCAGTAAGGCCTAGTCGGGGAAGTCGCAAGTCGCCCTCATGCCATTCAGTTTTGGCGGTACGAGACAGAGCAGCTCGTTTCTCATTCGTGAGGTTTCGCGCCGCAATGCAGATGACCTTCTTGACCTGGGGCTGTGCTAGGAGCGTGTGAAGCAAATGTTGGCCGAGGAAACCAGTTGCTCCCGTCAGGACTATTACCTGAGGCGGGTGTCTCGGGGGCTGGGTTTGGGAGATGTTGGGCAGACCAGCTAGTTCGGGTTGTAGGGCAGTTTCTTTCTGCCAGTCGAGCCCCAACTTCTCCTCCGTTTCTACCACCCCGAGCAGCCCGGCCATAGATCTTAACGTACTTCCTTGGAAAAGCTTGATGAGCGGGACCGAGATGTTGAAATGGTCTTTCATCTTGTGTTGCATCTCAATGAGCGACATAGAGTTGCCTCCCACGGCAAAAAAATCAGATTCCGCATTCATGTCGTGAAGACCCGCGAGCTCTTCTGGAATGGCTTCTTGCCAAAGATTTCGCATCAATACTTCGGCTTGGGATAGCTCTGATGTCCCTGAGCCTTGCGGTAGCTTGACGGGAATTGGCAGGGTTGCAATGGCCCGCCTGTCAAGCTTTCCCGCAACAGTCCTGGGTAAAGAATCAACAGCAATGATTGCCGACGGACACATTGTAGGAGGTAGCGGAAGGTTCTTGAGCAGGTCTCGCAGGAAGACATCTCTGTTGTGCAGCGCCATATCGGTGGAGAGAATGACGTGGACAACCATAAACTTAAAGCTGCCATCGGAAGTGACCCGTAGAGATGCACCGGCGTCGATAATAGCTCCGTCTGCCGCTCTTACAACAGTTTGCTCAACATCCGTCAGGTCAATTCTGACGCCGTTTAGCTTGATTTCGGTGTCACCACCCATACGGCCTTTCAGAATAAGCGTCCCGTCTTGCTTCAGATAGCCAACGTCACCCGTTCGGTACATAGTAGTCCAACCGTGCTTGGAATACACTTCATTAGCGTATGGATTGGGTAAGAAAGAGGTCGCCGTTCGTTCTTCGTTGTTGAGATAACCCATTGCCACGCCCACACCGCCGATGACGACTTCTCCAACTTGGCCACAGGGCAGAAGGGTTTGGTTGCTATCGACGATGTAGAAGGACTCGTTGGCAGACGCGCGGCCAACAGGAATAGCTCCTTGATAGAAGTTAGGAATACGATACTGCAGCTCAGTCTTCGTTGAGCCACAAGTTGTCTCCGTCGGGCCGTAAACGTTGAATAGGCGTAGAACATGTCGGTCCAGGTTTCGGAAAAGTTGAAGAAGTGGTTCGAGTACCGCCTCACCGGCAACCAGCGCAAGTCCCCAGCTGGAGGCATGTAGAAGACCTTGGTGCTCGACCCGCAGCCAGCTCTTGTATTCAGTCGGTGTTGCGTAGGTGACCGTTACGCCGGATTTGATGATTTCCGCAATGACGCCGGCATCGGCTCTAACGAGATGAGAGACCACATGCAAAGTCGCTCCAACTCCCAATGCCAAGAAAAGCTGAGTGACAGATAGGTCGAAGCTCCACGCGCTTTGTTGCAAAACGACATCGCCTTGGCCCAGTCCATAAGTTACTGCACAGTGTGCGAACTCATGAGCTAGACTAGAGTGTTGAAGGATCACACCCTTTGGAGTGCCCGTGGAGCCACTAGTGTAAAGAATTATGGCTGGTGCATGCGGCTCAGAACGGATGGTAACTGGTTCTGTGGGTTGGACTGATAACTCGTCGATATTGATGACGAAAGCTCCCTCGGTAACGTGTAGTCCTTCCACCAGTGATACTGTAGGCTTGTGGACGAGGACAGCGGCAGGCTGGCTGTCACTGACGATCAGTGACAACCGTGCGACTGGAGTTGCTGCGTCAAGAGGCACATAGACTGCCCCAATCTTTAAGATGGCGAGAACGCATGCCACCCATTGCACTGTTGGATGCTGGAAGACGGCAACTCTAGATCCAGGCTTGACTCCCTTGTTCAGCAGTTCGGTTGCGATTACATCAATCCTTTGAGAAAGAGCTGCGTACGTCATCGAATTACCATCGCTGTCTCTTGCGGCAAGTTTTGATGAAATCGAAGGGAAAAGTTCATCGAATCGATGCATCAAGGTTGATGGCCATGTGGATTCGAACTCAGGACCTGAAATCGTGTTAGTTCATTAGAGAAGGCCTAAGTAACTGTTGTAAGTGATTGATTTTAATGCGTACCATTGCCCATAGCCAAAGCCTTGTCCACCGCCGGTTGTCTGAACTTCCATTCATTGCCAATTGGTTCGTTCGGTTTGCTAACGAACTCCCCAAGGATGTCCTCGTAGCCGTGAGCGATTACCAAAAGGTCGTCTTCTGAGTAAAGGGCCTTTTGGACATTCAACCAGATCCGCGTATCTCCGGAACCATTGTTGACTACAGTGAACGCAATGTCGTGGGACAGCTCCGCTTGATGTTGCTGTATGAGCGCGACTTTGCATCCAAGCAGCGACTGATTTTCTTGCACGTTGGTCTCGGCATAATTCATCAACGCCTGGGCCAGCGGCGGGTGTGATGAGTTCCGAGCCGCTCCCGATTGAAGCTCATTCAGAACCACTTCAAGAGGTATGGTATTCGTGAGGACCTGCATGATCTTGTCCCGGGCGCTCACTATCGCGTCTCCAAAGCTTTCTTTGGCGCTAGCAGCCATCCTGATTGGAAGTGTGTTCAAGAAAGGTCCGATACTCGCGTGCATGTGCTCCTCTCTTCGGCAACTGTCTGTAAAGCCGATGCAAACATCCTCAACCCCGAGGAAGCGGTACAGAAGTACTTTGAATGCCGCTAGGTACAGATGGAAAGGAGTTGACCGATATTTTCTTGCCACATCTCGAATCGCCCCTGCAATTTTGCTGCTGATGCGGAAATCATGGATGTGGGAGGCGTATTGCTTCATTGGAAGACGTTCAGAAATACGGCTGCGATGAAGAGGCAGCGGATCGGGGATTTGAGAGAATTCGCGTCTCCAGAAGCCAATGGCGTCTCGCCACTGACCAGAAGCGTACTGCTCAAACTGCTCATTGGAATAATCAAGATACTGGAGTGGTTCGTGCCCAGGTTGCTGCCCATGGTAGAGTTGTTCTAGGTCTACCATGAAAGCATCGTTGCTGCCGCGGTCGAAAATAATGTGGTGATAGCCTAGCAAAAAGTAGTGGTCCGAAGGAGAGTAAGAAAGAAGAATTGTTTTCATGGTTTTGCCGGTTGAGAGATCATATTCGTGCTTTCTCATTAATTCGTATTCTTCGAGTAAAGCTTGTTGACTGTAAATTCTTTTATGTTCGAGCGAGACGTTCGAGGACTTCATCACTGCTTGAATAACTTGACCGTCTCGCTCGAAGAAGGCGGTCCGCAGCGCCTCGTGTCGCTGCCCTAACGCCTCAATTGCTCGTTTCAGGTCGGGAACTCGAAGTTGTCCCCGAATGTGTAGCATTCCTGAATTGTTCAAAGTTGTCTTGTCATTCAACAGCTCGTGGGTGAACAGGAACATTGACTGGGTATAGGAAAGTCGCCCATACCTCGTCAATTGGATCTCTTTGGGTAGATCTGATTGTTTCTTCACCTTAGAGTCGGCTTCATTGTCCGAAGAATCCTTCGAGTCTGGGTTGCTGGAAGGCGGCGTTTCATGCTGCTCAGAGGAGTTATCCGACGAGCTTTGGGATGATGATTTCTGGCCAGGATCGGACAAGCCTTGTTGCGAGTTTGCGTCGCTGGAAAGATTGGGTGTAAGGCTCTCTGGGATCGTCTCGAGAGCTTGATCAACAAGCTCCTGAATTGATGCACCTTTCAGAATTCTGAGTGCAGGGATATTGACCTGGTATGTGTTCAAGAACCAGGACCTGATACGAACCGCAACAAGGGAGTCAAGACCGAGCTCGTCGGTGCGGACTGAAGGCGTAATTTCGTAATCGTCACTCAATTGCAGCATTTTGCGCAGATCAGCCGTGAAAGTTTCTAGCAATATTAATATTTTCACTGATGTTATGATTTCAAAACGATACAACTTACCAATGATGATGTTTTGAACTTCATCTTTCGTCGTCGCCCTCGTCAGCTGTTCCTTGATTGAGAGACCATCCTCTTTGTTGGATGCGCTGGCACCGTCCTCAGTCTCCCTTAGCGTCATACAAGCAAATTGAGGATACTTGTACCAAAATGCCCGGTTTGGAATAGATTCCGGAAGGACCCTGAGACCAGTTGAAATATGTGGTTGGACACCCGAATCCAGACGGCTAGACTTGACGGCTTCTGCAAAGGTTTGGTGCACGTCAGACTCTGAAAGGTTCAGGAATCCACGACCAAATACGGCTTGTACTCCAACATCACTGATCTCTCTGGTAATATAACCAGTGCCGAGAACAGCACCTAACTCCATCACAGATGCAGGAAGTCCGCGTCGTCGACGTTGCTGTGCCAGGCCACTCATAAACATGTTAGCGGCACAGTAGTTCGCTTGACCTGGGCTTCCAGTGAGCGCTGCTGTTGATGAGAAGAAGACGAAAAAGTCCAGCGGTTCGTCCCGGAACAAACGGTCCAGATTCAAACTTCCCTCTACTTTAGGGCGAAGGGTACGGTTCAATTGCTCCAGGGACATATCCCGGGTGGCAACGTCGTTGAGTACCATGGCTCCTTGAGCCACTCCTGCAATTGGCGGCATTGTGCTGGTAATTTCTCGATGGGTCTCACGAAGGGAGTCGAAATCGGTGACATCGCTATACAAGTCTAGTTAGTTTCTGTTACTTTATCTTTTATCATGTGACTTGCCTGCTCAAGATGCGGACTACTGCGCCGTTGCGCTCTGTATCTTCCAGCCAAAGCTTATCAATCTTCGGTTTACGGCTAGTTATTGTCAGGTACTTGGCCCCGTTCCTCACCATCCAGTCAGCCACAGACAACCCCATGTCTCCTGTGAGGCCCACAAGCCAATAGGTCTTTTCGGGGCTGAACTGGACGTCAATCGGCTGAACAGTGACTGGTACAGAGGCAGTGTTCCATTCAATCACCGTGAGAGGGTCTGAAGAACCATCCTTGATAGAAAGCTCTTCAAGTCTGATTCGACTAGTCACACTCGACTCGCTCTGCAAAGTGTCCAAGCTTGACAATGTTGCAGTCAGGGCTTGCTCCAACATCTCGCTAGCCTTGGCTTTGAATTGGGAATCTGTTCTCATTGCCTTTCCCACAGTAGTGAACATGGAGAGACTGTTCAGGATGTGACAATGGGGTGGCAAGACTGAGGTGATTGGCGACGACAATGAAAGCGGGCCGTCCATGGGTGTAAAGTCGACAAACCGGGTGATGTCTCTTGGGAGAAGAAGCTTGACCTGAGATTGGCGGAGGTATTGGTGAATCTGGAGCCATCCTCTCTTCTCTGCTTCCGTTTCTGACGCAGTGGTAAAGACCAGTTTAATCCCAGCGGAGTTAGCGTGCTGCGTAAGAAGCTCTGCCAAAACGACGGGAGCACTGTGGACGACAAGAGTATCGTCATTGCCGAGAGAATCCATGATTAACGGTAGCAGGATGTGAGAAGTAACCATGGCAATGTAGTCCACACCCAAGTGAGACGAAGGCGAGAAGGGGATTGACACAGCCGCGTCAGCAATTGAAGCAAGGGACTTGACCAGCCCAACATATTGAGCTCCATCAGAAACTCCAGTGCCCAATACAACAAAGGCATTTCCAAAGGGTGTTTTAATAGCGTTGTAGCTTGAATGGCTCAGTTTCAAACGAACAGAATCTTCACGACCCGACGCCAGACCCTGGTCAGTGAGCAATGGTTGCTCACGAAGAAGGTAACGGCCTTTTTGCTTTGAAATAGCAACAGGCGTGACTTGAGGGTCGACTTCCTTCGTGATATCTCTCCACGCTGAGTTGTAGCGATCATTGGCTTCTTGGAAAGGTCGAAGGCGCGGCACGAACTGACGTCCATCGGAGTCAATGAGAAGTTCCGACTCCACAGACCAGAGAGTGTTGCGTTGAATTTGGTCCTCAACAGAACCTGAGACCTGAAGTCTAAGGATTGTTTCTGTCAATGTTCGTCCATCCATCCTGTGAACATCCTGGAAATCGATGAAATGATAACGAAGATCCGGAACCTCCCAGTGAGCAGCACGAGCGAATCCGACGGTCATGTTGGCATAAGGGTTATCAATCAAGCGGTTCTGGCTCACCCAAATGATAGTCTTCTCCGATCCAAATAGTTTCTTCAGACTGTCAAACCTTTCATGGCTGATGTCTTGGAATACGGGCTGGTCAAGGTCCTGCAGCACAAGCACAGTAGCGTCCTGACCAATAGCAGCGTGATCCAAGTCATCCAACTTTTCAACTTGGGTGATATCTTCGCAAAACACGCCGATGAGTTTGTTGATCTCCTGCGCAAGGCGTGAGATGCGGAATGTAGTGCCTCCCACAATGAACAGATGCTTAATGATGGCACTTCCTGTGAAGAGAGAGGAACCAGCCATCAAAGGTTCTCTAATGAAATCAACCCAGTCATCGGTAGCCTGAGAAACCATGACCGAGTTGGCATAGGCAAAACCCTCGTTGGTCGGGGTCATGGTGTCGATGCCAGAAAAGCCGGTCTTGCGTAGAAGACTATCCCACTTGGATTCACTTACGGAAGGGCCCAAGACTCTTCCTTCATCGATTCCAAGCCACCAACCGGGAAGACAGCCAAACAGAGCTGTGCCACGTGTGAGGTCAAGATCAGTTCCTTCAGAAAAGACCAAGTAGCCCCCTGGCTTCAGTAGAGAGCGAACCTTTTGAAGAGTTTGCTCGATACTCTTGGTTGCGTGCAAAACAAGAGAAGCCACGACAACATCATATGAGTGCTTGGCGAATCCCTGCGATTGCATATCTTGCTCGAGGTCAAGAACAGAAAACGTCATTTGGTTACGATAAGCCGCAAATTCTGTCTGTGCATTGGCGAAAAAGCCTGCAGATACATCGGTGAAGGTGTAAGAGGAGAATTCATGGCCGATGCGGTTAAGGATCATCCTCGTAGCACCACCGGTGCCGGCACCGACTTCCATGATCTTCAAATTGGGGTGTCTCCGCGCAATTTGTTGGACGGTATCAGCCAGAACCTTGGTAACTTGCACCATTCCAAGAGCTGTCGCATAGTACTCGTCCAATAGCCCTGTCATCAGAAGATGCTCAAGCATCGTGGTCTCTCCCCTAATAGCGCGGGGCATTTGTTCACCAACAACATGCATTGCGCGGATCTCAGGAAGATGAGCGATCGCCTGCGTAGAAGCCATGATATCCTCCAACGTATCGTTGAGCCATTCCTTCTTGGCGTAGCGGTGCTTACCATCTGCGCACAGCTTGTTGGTATGGGCAGCGAAGTTGAGATAGGCAGCATGGAATTTGTCCTCTCGGCCAGGGTGATCCAGCGGAATTTCCTTCTCGAGTTGCCGAAGATAGAAGCAACACCCACGCTCGAGAATGTATGCCAATTCAGTTTCCTCAGCGGTGGCTTTGTATGCACCAGGAATGTCTGCGTTTGGCTCGGCATCGACCCAATCGGTGGTGTAAAACAATGGCTTATCATCAGAAATGGTTGCCTCGGTTAATGGAACAACCCGAAGTCCTTCCACTTGGAAAGCAGAAAACTTTCCGTCGCTGCTGTGGACTTCAACATCGCCCTGGAACCCCGAAGCGTCATCAAGATCTCCAATGGTCGCAACAAATGGTGCGTGGGGAGACTCTGACCAGCTGGTTCCACACAAAGATGGGTTGACGCGGATCCTTCGAATATTCGTGGGTAGATGAAGAGACCACAACCTTCCATCACGAGGGTAGCTCATGGCCAATATAATGCCATGGAAAGCAGCATCGAGTACGGCTGGGTGAAGAGCCAGCGTATCCTGATCCGATTCCGATTTTGTGATGGTGAGAGAACCCGAAGCCTTCCCCAGCTTCCTCTTCAAATCAAAGATAGCTTTGAAAGGCCCAGAATATCCGTAGCCCATCTCACTAAGCGCTTTGTAGAAGGTATCGTTTGGAACATCTATCATGTTCGGCGCACGAGGGCTGCTTGCAGGCAAAGTGTCTGCTTTCGGTTCGCCGAGAGTGATGCTCAAACCACCACTTGCGACCAAATTGAAAACGCCTTGGCTGCCAATGCAAGCTTCATATGTAAAGTGGCCAGAGATACGTCCAGGATCCTCCTGATTGATATGACTTACAGAGAACTGAATGTCAATACCAGCTTCTTCATTGTCATTGTCGAAGACTAAAGCCTGATGGATTTCAAGGTCCTCGACTTCAATTAGCTGAACGGTTTCATCCCCGGCAAGAAATTTCGCAGTTTCTAACGCAGTCGCGACGTATCCTGCAGCTGGGAAAACTCTCTGACCTTGGACCTGATGGCCGTGGGTCCAGGGCAGATCCTTGGTCCTCAGGATGTTCTTCCAAGTTAGCTGGCTGGTGGAGCTCTGAGGACTCAAATCGCCGAGCAATGGGTGCACGAGGTGTTTCCTCTGCCGCATGTTGCGGGATAGCGTCGACTCGTGCCAGTATTCTTGGCTATGGTTCCACTGGTACGTGGGCAATTCTGGTATGAAAGTGTGAGTCGAAAAAACCCCCATGGCATGCTCATAGCCATCAAAGTCAATGGCAATGTTGTCCAGCTGCGTCCATAGATATCCAATTGCGGTGGATATGCTTTGGTTAATGTCTTTGTTCCTCTGAAGGAGCCCCGTGTATGGAACCTCGACGTTGACAGCCTGAAGGGTTTCGGAAGCGGGACCCTTCAGTGCAGGATGAGGGCCAACCTCGATTGCGCCGTCGAAGATACTTGAGGAGGCAGCCTTCTCAATTGCCTGTCGAAAGAGAACTGGGGATACCATGTTTTCCACCCAGTATGACGGATCAACGTTTGTAGATCTATCGAATGGTTTGCCCGGGTGCACACTCGACACCCATGTACAGTCTAATGCGGTCGTGGAACTTTTCGTTGTGGTGTTCTTAATGGACTCAAGGTATGCCGTTGAACATCGAAGCATGTGGTGAGAATGATAAGCCTTGTCCACTTTAAGGCGCCGGACGAATTTGTTCTCGTCTTCAAAAATGGTAGCCAATTCTGAGATGGTCTGCTCGTCACCAGATAGGGTAACGCTTGAGGGTGAGTTACAGGCAGCGACATTAACCTTTCCTTTGAATTCGTCGTCGTTACAAAGCTCCTGCGCATCTTCTAAAGTAGTTCCAACGGCAAGCATAGCGCCTAGAGCTCCGTTATCACCCGAAGCCAAATGCGAATGGAAGCCACGATAGTAGGCGATTCGAATTGCATCATGAGCGGAAAGGTAGCCTGCTGCAAATGCAGCGGCAATCTCACCAGATGAATGGCCCACCACCGTTGTGAAATAAACTCCAGCCTTTCGGAGAAGCTCAACCAGAACAATCTGAACAGCTGTACAGAGAGGCTGTGAAACAGTAGCTTTCCCCACGTTACTCGAAGATGCCTCAGCAAGAAGCTCTTGACGAAGCGTGGTCTTGGGACGGTCAGTCTCTGGCAACTCTGCCAGGACGTTGTCCAAGTCTTTCAGAATGTCGGAGGCAAAAGTTGAAGTCTCTATGAGATCAGCCCCCATACGAGCGTACTGCGCACCCTGGCCGGTGAAGACACCTAGCAGGCGCACTTTGTGAGAACCCGTAGCTGCTGATCTCGAATTGAGGGTCAGATTATCGATTGCATTCTTGAGCTCTGCCTGAAGCCCCTCAATCGAGGACGCTGGGAAAGATACGCGGAGCGGTAAGCGAGCGCGACGTGCGTGCAAAGTCCATGCGAGATCCGCGGGATCCGTTGTCGGGTTTTGTTCCAGAAAATCAGCATATGCACGGAGATTTGCCAACAGGGATTGCTTAGACTGGGCGGAAAATAGGAAGGGGGTGCACAGAGACGCGGTGGGTTTGTCGCTCTGCACCATGTCCATACTTTCAAGAATGACATGGGCATTTGTACCCCCAAACCCGAAGCTGTTAACACTGGCTCGACGTCTCTCGCCCTGCTGAACTGCTGGCCAAGGAGTAAGCTCCTGTGGTATGCGAAGGTGTTTGTAGAATGGTATGACGTCCGGGTTAAGGCGGTTGAGAAGAAGATTAGGTGGAATATAGCCGTGGTTCATCGCTTGGACGACCTTAAGAACACCCGCAAGGCCTGCCGTACTTTCAGTGTGTCCGATAACTGTCTTCACGGAGCCGACCAACAGTCGTGATTCATCATCTATATCTTCGGGGCTCTTATGTCCAAAGAAGGCGTTATGGACTGCCTCAGCCTCCACCGGGTCACCTGCTGGGGTGCCGGTACCATGGGCTTCAAAATACTAATCATAGTCCATTAGTAACTTCTATTTCCATACTTTTGTTTGGTGAAGAATGGAATGTTGGTTTCCAAAGTGGTCTGGCAGGAGAAAGGAAGTGAGCATCTCAATTTACATACCTGACATCGGTCTTTCGTTATGTCCAAGCCAGCTTTAGCGTAGGTCTCGCGAATCAATTGAGCTTGTGCTGTTGCGCTAGGCATAGTAATACCACGACTGCGACCATCTTGGTTGACTCCAGTCTCACGAATGACGCACTGGATGTTGTCACCGGCCTCAAGTGCCGCACTCAACGTCTTGAGGACGACGGCAGCAACGCCTTCGCCACGGGCATAGCCATTAGCTCCTTCATCCCACATTCGTGACCGCCCATCTGGGGACAGCATCTTGAGTTTACTCTCCGAGATAAAAGGTTCCGGCCCAAGAATCAAATTACTTCCTGCCGTCACTGCAACATGGACCTCTCCCGTTCGCAATGCTTGTACAGCTTGATGCAACGCGACCAAACTAGAAGAACAAGCTGTGTCAACCGTGAATGAAGGTCCATGCCAGTCGAAGAAGTACGATATTCTGTTGGAAACAATACTTCGGGCCGTGCCTGCATCTAGTTTCAGCATTAGGTCTAAGTGGTTTTGGCAGCCAACTATTACCTATCGCATGATAAGTGGGAATGCTTTGTAAATCGCGGAATTGTAGAGCTTCATAGTCTCCAAACATCAATCCGACATAAACACCCGTATCAGAACCTCTCAGCTCGTCCATTCTCAAGCCACCAGATTCCAAACTCTCATAGACCGTCTCCAGCAACAGGCGCTGCTGAGGGTCCATAGCAGAGGCCTCCTCGGCCTTGATGTTGAAGAACTGAGCGTCAAATTGTGCAACATTTTCTTCCAGCAAGTATGAGTGCTTAACGTTGGCATGGCCTGGAAATTGGGAATCGGGATGGTAAAATCCGCGTACGTCGAAACGGTTTGGAGGAAGTTCGGTAAGGACATCGCGGGGGTTTTGCAGTAAGTCCCAAAGTTTGGACGGTGAGCTAGCTCCACCCGGGAACCTACAGCCGCTCCCTATGATGGCAATTGGCTCGTTTAGTGGTGCCATGGCTGTTCCGAATACAACAGGGGAGCAAAAGATTGATGAGCTGGTCGCTAAGCGTAAGACTCGAAAATTATTTTCCAAAAAATCATCTAAGTAATGTATTGATCAGTCTATATGACCTTTTCTTATTATCAAAATTGCAAGGCTATACATTCTGTTGGAAACATAAGAACATGCATTTGTTGATGGACCCTTGACACCAACGGACCGAGACCGATATCGTGGTTCGGAGCATTTCATGGATCGCCGAACATTTATCGAGTTCAGGATCACCGTTTCCTTTCGGTCGGACACTTTTTTCCCAGGCATTCAACTGAAGTTCCAATAACTCGGAGACCAAGAAGTCGCTGCTTTGCTTTCGTTACCGTGCCGCGCGAAAATGCCACGGCAACAGGCATGGCCGCTCATTAGTCATGAAAACGCTGCTCTTGGTCGTCATCCTATCCCACAACGCATTGCTAGGGTCTGCCGCCCTTGGTTTAATCTCCGATCTAGGGAAAGGTTATGATGTAGTTTTTTTATGAAGCTATTTCCTCATGGATAAGTAATAAAAGACAGATCTCTTTTCTAGACGTAAGTTCATTTCGTCGATGCGATCATCCTACCTCCAGCGACAACAAAATTCAAGTTTCAAAATGTTGTCCTCTCTTGCTGGTGCGGTCGTCTTCAACAGCCTCTTGGGAGGCGTCCTCGCCCATCCTACAGTCGACCATGACAGTCTTCTGAGACGATACACTCCTGATGAGGTCATCCGCCGCGATGTGGCAATCATCGGTGGTGGCTCTTCGGGAACGTACTCAGCCATCCGCCTCAAAGACTCTGGCAAGAACGTCGTAGTGGTCGAAGCCAAGGACGTTCTCGGCGGACATACTGAAACATATTTCGACGAAGCAACAGGAAGATACCATGACTATGGCGTCGTCGCCCTGGCCAATGACAGCATTGTCAATCCCTACCTCGAGCGCCTCGGTATCCCCATGATTCCAGTACCAACGGGAGGCCCTTCGTTGAAGACGGTTTACTTCGACTTTGAGCAGCAACAATTGCTCAGTAACTATACTCCTGACATTGATGCGGAGGCTCTGCTCCGTTGGAGTGAGGCAGTCGCTCAGTACCCGTTCCTCGAGGAGGGAGGTCTGGAGAACGTCCCGGTCCCGGTCCCTGAGGACCTTTTACTCCCCTTGGACGAGTTCCTTGAGAAGAACGGAATCGGTGACCCCGAGTTTCTGCACCATGACTACAACCAGGGAGTCGGCGACCCTCTCAGACAGACCACACTTTATGCTGCTAAGCTCATGAACGCGAGGACATTCGAGTGGATTACCAACGGCTGGCTTACACACGCCAACGGAAACAACCACGATATCTACGACAAGGCCTTGGAGGTCCTCGGTGATGACGCTCTTCTTGGAACTCGCGTGATTTCCATGGATCGCAGTGGAGACCTTGTTCGCGTTCTTGTCCAAACACCTTCTGGCATCAAGCTCATCGAAGCCGAGAAGCTGCTGGTGACCATTCCTCTCTTTCCCTACAACTTGGAGGGCTTTGACTTGTCGCCCGATGAGTCCCAGCTGTTCAGCCAGTTCAATGCCACTGGATACTACACGGCCATTTTGAGGAACACTGGACTGTCAAATGACATTCGAGTTAACAACATCGGCTCCAAGAACCCGTACCAACTGCGGAAATTCCCTGGTGCCTACGCATACAGACCTGCGGGCATTGATGGTCTCTTCGATGTTACTCTTGGGTCCCAAGGCTTCCTTCCAGACGCGTATGTCAAGTCGATTGTTGTTGACGACTTGAAGAGCCTCCAGGAGGCAGGTGTCATTTCGAAAGATGTTGATGTTGAGAAGACCGAATTCGTTCGGTATGCAGCGCACAACCCTTTCACCCCCACAGTCTCGGCGGAAAACATTCGGAACGGCTTTTACAAGAAGCTTTTCTCCCTGCAAGGTCAGCGACACACCTATTACACTGGTGGTTCATGGTCCATCCAGGATTCCAGTGGACTGTGGCGCTTCACGGAGGAGAAGGTCCTTCCCCTTGTTCTTGAGTAAAGCATTGCGCAGTACAGAACTGAACAAGAAGTCCCGCATTTAATGTTTTATTTCGGCTCAGGTTATGGGCACTCCAAAAACACTTTCATTCTAAATGTTTGCTCGGATCAAATTTCGAGGAGATCTTGAGAAACAGCTATCGAAGTTACAGGTGTTACGCCCTGTCGTAGATAGATTTTCTATTAAATACATGAACTTGTACACTGTATTGAACTGATAGGAAAAATTCGTAGTAAATCCATGTACTGACATATGGGGGTTCGCTGGGTCTTTTTATTGATATGGGAAAAGCTATTCAAAGGCCTTTCAATTTCGTGTCCCTTTATGTTGCATAATTGAACAAGGTCAACTTCGCACGTATGGAAACCCGCTGTCTAGACATATTTTGGTTTAATCTTGCGTTAAGGCTTCTAGTGTTTCAATCGTATGTCTGGAATTAGATCAAAATACCAGGAGTCTATTGAAATTGGTATTCCGTGCTTCAGTTCCAGGTTTTCCGGGTCTCGTAACTAAATACTTCTCAAAACTAGGAGTCCAAGTGTTGGCATGGCTTCTAACGGCCCCTAGGCTAAACATGAAGCTCCATTAAATGATGATGCTAAGTCGATCGTATTTTAACTATACTTGTCTGATGATAAGTGCCCCGGTCAAGACAACTTCAGAAATGATGTATGTCAGACTTTTTTGACAAGGCAATTTGATGAATTGCATATAGCAATAGTGGCTTTCCTGTTAGCCCTAAAAGACACAACTCTCCTACTTTCTTATTTGTATCGTCTATAGACAGGTGCTGAGTTCCATGGAAGTATCAATCTCAGTTAGTTCAAAACTTCTGCGCAGTGTCAACTACTGAGACAACCTCCTTTGACATTCCGAGATAAGTGCAGCACTTCCCATGTAGATGCGCAGGAGCTATCGTTGCTTTTCTATTTATTTGCCCACTCGTTAGGGCGTTATCAAAATTTAAAATCTTTTTTCATTTTATTATTTCATCACTTTATATTTTCAAAATTCCAATTTGTGCCATTCACAGTACCACTCACGGATGACAAGTCCTTGTACGAGGCATTTCTCGGCATTTTGATGCACATTAGAAGAACCCTCTTATCAGAAAAACTACAGACATCATTTCTTTGGCAATTTCAAGCGGTGAAATCAACACTACCTGTGGTGTATGGCAAAGCTCTTAGTAGCCGTGGCAGAATGTCAAAGAAGATAGGTGCTAACGTCCCACACCCACTTCTGGGCACCCCCCACATTTGGGCACCCCATTTACACCAAAAACGCCGTTTTTCGAAATTCTATATTAAACTAACTACTATACTTACTAAGAAAAGAAAATATATATAAACTATGTTAAGTATAATTATAGCCATCTAATTTTTTATAAAGGTTTAAATATAATAATAGTTATAATATAGAAGTTTAAAACTAAAAGCTTTAAAATGTTAGTAGATACTAGTAACTTACTAGTATTCCTTAACATTAGAAAAATATATTTTCGCTTATATATACTTATTTAAAAAATCTAGGAAATTAATATTTATACTTATTAAAAGTATATAATTATATCTAAAAGAGATTTAAAAGTATTACTTTAGTAAATATAGTATAATTAAGGGTTAAAATTCTATAATAGAAACTTTTCTTAAGGGAAATTTTAAAATATTATTCTAAGCTTAAAGAATTTTTTACTAAGTATAAGAATATATAAATCTACTATATCTTACTTAAAAATTCTAATCATATTAGTTAAATATCTCTACCTATTTTATATATTAAGATATAGGCTAGGTAAATTAGTATTATAAATGTTAAACCTTGAATTTATAATACTTATTATTAATAATACTAGTATATAGCTACTTAAGTATTATAATTAAGTCTTAATCTATTTAATATATATTTATTCTCTTTAATAAGTAAAGTATTTAGTTTAATATAGAATTTCGAAAAACGGCGTTTTTGGTGTAAATGGGGTGCCCAAATGTGGGGGGTGCCCAGAAGTGGGTATGGGACGTTACGGACCATGTCATTTAATTCATCTACCTGTGATTAACTTTACTCTTTGGTAATTTTCGATAAACAGGCTTTACGTGCCTGACAGCCCCATTAGTCTTATCAACCTTAATCTAAAACAATTTGAAGGTATTATGGCGCACATTCTAGTGACGTATCGCAAGGCATTAACATATTCTGACAACAGCGAGAAAGCACGTACACCGTAACTCTCCCGATACTAGGAAGGACCTCGTTAGCATGAATTTCATTGCGCAGTGTTTCTCTTCCCGATAGCTGGAATTGCAACAATAGCTCCGTTTATCCGATAGTGGAGTTGCGGTTCATAAGGAAGACCCCATTCGGCGAACCGATTCGGTATTCCGATTCGGGAGCCCACTCGGGGTATTTTTCCCTTCCCTGCCGGAGACTTCCCAAAACTTGGCACGCAATTCAGAGAAGAGGTAAGTTATTATGCAAAGGATGATGAGCATTCCAAAAGCAAGAGATACGTTTCGACTCATGCACAAACAGAAAGGTCTGTTTTGAGATTGGAGATATGGCTGACCTACAGACATGCCTCATCCAGCCGCACGAAGGCAAAGGGAAGCCCGTTGTTTCGCAGACACAACCTGTCCCCAAGTTGAAGGGAGCGCATGATGTCCTGATCCGCGTCTCCGCCGTTGCGTTGAATCCAACGGATTACAAGATTCCGGAATTCCACCCTACACCCGGCGCAATCCTCGGTTGCGATTTCACAGGAACAGTCGTGGAGGCTGGCTCAGAGGTTCACGATATCCCTCCTGGCACTCGTTTGTGCGGCTCTGTTCAAGGCTCGAATCCTGCGTGTCCTGAGACGGGCGCTTTTGCCGAGTATGTAGTGACAGATTCGCGTCTTTTACTTAAAGTGCCAGACTCTTGGAGCGACCTGGAAGCCGCAGCATTGGGAGCCATTGGGTGGGCAACCGTGGCCTTGGTCGTGGAAGACTCTTTGGGCCTTCCAGGTTTGCCATCTAAGCCTGCACCTTTGCGAGCCGATGGAACCCGTACTCCTGTCCTGGTTTACGGCGGCGCGACGGCAACTGGGACGATGGCGTGCCAAATCCTGTCTAGGTGTGTAGAGCCTCTTAAAGCAACAGATGTGACCGGATTCTGACCCATATTCTAGTGCAGGTTATGATCCGATCGTTACAGCCTCGGATGCATCATCCGCCTTGGTGAAGGAATTCGGCGCCGTCACATCAGTGCCTTACTCCTCGCCAACATGCGGAGAGACCATCCGTAAGCACACAAAGGGCACTTTACGACATGCGCTTGATTGCATTACTACACCTGAGTCCCTCGAGGCTTGCTTCACGGCCATCTCTCGTACAGGCGGACGGTACGCGTGTCTCGAGTACGCACCCGAGGAATGGAGAACAAGGAAGGCGGTCAAGGTGGATTTCCCCATCGCATATGTTATGTCTGGACAGGAAGTGAAACTCAACGGTGTCTTTCACCGCCCTGCCGACGCAAGCAAGTTTGACCTCGCGGTCCGTTGGCGACAAGAAGTGCAGAACCTTCTAGATCAAAAGCGCCTGCGATGCCACCCTGTACGTGAAATTCCGGGAAAATGGGATGGAATCGTCAAGGGATTGGACATGCTGAAAGCCGGCGAAGTGCGCGGAAAGAAACTCGTCATCAGACTATGAAAAACGCGATAATTCACGCAAGATTGTCTGCAAGAGCAGCTGCCTTGGCCATGTATATCGGATAGAGTAAGAGGTAAAATGATGTGTCTTTACACAAGGCATCACAAGCAATTGGTCTTTTTGAAGCTCACCGCCCAATTGTGACCCATTCTTGCAACGTGCATCGTCTTGGGTTTGCTTCCCAGGAGCAAACTCCGGATAGGCTTTCTCTGCACGGCAGGACATATTACCTTCCTCGTAAAATCAATTATCTTCTATTGTAAATTCAAGTATTGATGGCTGTGATTCATAGCGGACCAATATGTGTCTCCAAATACGCGCTTCTCGGAACGAAGTGGCAACCAAAGTGCTCTGGCTCGTAATGTTTGATCCTAGAAGCTTGGCTTCAAGCCCTGACATGTGATAGCCCTGCGCTGAATTTGGCAGAGAACCCAATTTAACATGAATGAATAATCCATGCAATGAATGTTGCCTTGGATACCAATATTGAGAGGCGCAGTCAGTGGGCAAGACTTTGGACTTTTCCTCGGCCGGCTACTCAGTTTCATTGGGTGTTATCCGATCATACGCCGCACTAGTGCATGCCCTACTCATGTTTGTTGAGAGCACCAACATGATGGCATGATTCTTTCGCCCAGACCTCGCATTTTCCTCACACAGCAAGAGCATAAAAGGACCAGACGTCAATAAATTGCATCTAGATTGCTAAGACTTATCACTCCCTAGTATTCTTGAGCGCCGACATCACTTGACTCGACGTACCACCACAAACATATTCTCTTACTGTTGTACGGCCATTTTGTGAATGGCTATCACAGCTCCAACCAAGACCGCCACTGCGGTAGATCCGGTATTCGGCAGCACCTCAGTGGTTTCAGATGGATCCGCAAATACGCCGCAGCAACCACACAATCAAGCTGATCTTATCATTGTTGGTGCGGGAATAGCTGGATGCGCAGCAGCAGTTGCCTTCGGTAGGCAAGGACGCAGCGTTATTGTCTTGGAGCGAAGCTTGAAGGAGCCAGAGCGGGTGGTAGGCGAGCTACTGCAGCCAGGAGGTGTGAAAGCTCTAGAAGCGTTAGGATTGACGGGTAAGTCTTCCTCCAAGCCTAACCCCTGACCCTGGAGGTTAAAACTAGTGTGTTTTCTGTTTTTTCCCTTGAAAGCAAACTCATAACACGAATCTCGAAGCGAGAAGCTGATTGAGCTACATCGTCAAGACTGCCTCGAAGGAATTGATGCTGTGCCATGCTACGGCTACCGCGTCTCCTATCACAAAGAGGCCGTCAATATCCCTTACCCCAAAGCTGTAGAGGCCCCGTATGGGAGTCCCGAAGGCCGCGCATTTCGCCATGGCCGCTTCATCCAAAAGCTGCGCGAGGCAGTTAAACGTACACCGAACGTAAAGGTCATAGAGAGCAAGGTGACCGAGATAGTGGAGGACAAGGCCATGGGAAAGGTCGTTGGTGTGACCGCCGAAACAGGGCCAGAGATGACAAAAGAATATGTAAGTCCCATTTGTTTACCAAAGGACATCTCCCTAGAGCCTTTTGAAGAGCTGTCATATCCACTTCGAATGGCGGGGGTTTGATGGACTGACGCGGCCGATCACAGTACTTTGGAAAGCTGACTCTTGTTGCCGATGGGTACGCTTCCACTTTTCGTAAATCATACCTACCAAACAAGCCCGCCTCCCGGTCAAAGTTTTGGGCACTCGAACTCCTTGAAGCGGAGTTGCCCACTCCATATTTCGGCCACGTTATCCTGTCAAACGCCCCACCCATTCTCCTGTACCAAATCAGCCCCCGCCAGACGCGTATCTTCATGGACATCCCGACTGGTCTGCCAAGTGCTAAGCCATCTGCCGGAGGGATTAAGGCCCATATGCTCAATGTGGTGCTCCCAGAGCTGCCAGAGGGATGCCAGAACAGCTTCAAGCAGGCGGTGGCAGGGGGTAAGTTCCGAAGTATGCCCAACTCGTTTCTTCCTCCATCCACGCAGAAAACACCTGGGCTGGTTATGATCGGAGACGCCCTAAACATGCGGCACCCGCTTACTGGGGGCGGTATGACCGTGGCCTTCAATGATGTGGTGCTGCTTTCCCGGCTGCTTGCACCGGAAATAGTGCCCTCACTCGACGACTCTGCCGCTGTGCTGAAGCAAATGGCCCGCTTCCATTGGACTAGGAAGCAGGGGTCATCTATCATTAACATCCTGGCGATGGCGCTATACAGCCTGTTTGCAGCCGACGATGCAGCGCTTGACACTCTCAGAAACGGTTGTTTCCGGTATTTTCAACGTGGTGGGAAGTGCATCGATGAGCCGTGTGGTATGCTGGCTGGTCTGATCAGAGCACCTTGGGTATTGGTGTATCATTTCTTCTCTGTTGCTTTCTACGCCATGTGGCTGCGGGTTACAGAGGTGCCCATTTGGCAGAAGCCATATGAGTTGGTCGTGGCATCGCCCTGGGTACTTTGGACAGCTTGCTGGGTCATCGGACCATATCTTTTGTGGGAATGCAGGGCTTAGTTTAGCAGTGTCGTAGTGTTAGGGGGCTCGTGGATTGTGGAGAGGAGAGTCCCCCGCATCACTTCGTAGCACATGTTTTTACGACTTTTGCATGATTGTTATCATTTAGCGAATTGGTAGTTGACCAGTGGTTCAAAATATACTCCCTGCATCAAATCGATAAGGATGGGTTGTTCGCCATGATAGCTAACACTGCTTGGCGAAGATATATGTCTTTCAAATCTTCGGTTCTTGCCAAGTCACTGTTTTCTATATTAACTGCTGAATCATAGACTATTTCATTACGCAGTTATCTCGCCGGCCCTGGTTGTACAGGTTAATAAAGATTCATGTACTGTTAGGTGACAGGTCTTGGGGAGTTCGGACTTTGATGGCATGACAAGGGTATGTTTTGCAAGTCACACAGGTACTCTCCAGCCTGGTACATTGCATATTGTACCGAGAATGTGTCAAATTGTGTACACACATGTTCGCAAAGCTTTCGCCCGGTGTAGAAGAACCCAACCGTATTTCAAGACATAAATCGCCCTGCCTAGGTACTCAAATTTGCACATCGGTTCTGTGAAAGGTGATTGGCTGCGGAAAGTGGGAGATGCCAGGGGGCCTAGCAATCTTCACAACTAGACCGCGGCGCCAACCGCACACCCTTGCCTGGCTCCCTCTGGATCGACTGTTAAAAACGAGCCTAGTGATGTAATAAGCTGTGTCCTAGCTAAAGCATTTTCAGTTTCGGTCCACGCTAATGTGTTTTTATCATGACATAAAAGGTGGGGCCGTATTGATGTGGTTAATGTCCAGGTGAATACGGCGTACATACAGCTACTGCGAAACATTATTTGTCAATTTTACCTTGGTGGAAGTTTACGTCGTAGTCGTCTGTCCGATTAGCCGGCTTGGACACCATGAGGTATGGTCATTTGCATGCCATGTTTGATTGGCCAAATGAATCGTGAGGTTAAACCTAGTGACAGTGGACGTTGACGGACTTCTGAAGTTTATTTTGTCTTTTCTTTTCGTTCCTTTCTTTGTGCAGCCAACCTGAATACTACTTACTGAGCATATCTCACTACTAATATGATATTTAATGCGGCTACGATTAAGCCACTTTGCGCGTTAATATGAAGCTGGTAATAGTTTTCTTGAAATACTACGAGGATAGCCAAGGCTTGCACATAAAAGTGTGGAGACAGATTTGCCCAGCTTCACAGCCTAATAACAAACATATCCATGCTTTCACAGCTTGCTCTCATGCCATGGTGGCGGGACGGCCCTCCCACGGGCCACACAACAGCCAGCTAACATGGTTATTTCCACTGACTAGGGAGAAACTGGGCCACTGACCTTTGAAGTCAAGGGTCCTCTCCCCAGTAACCTGCCCGCAGATTCTGGACCGCCTGGGTTTTGATATGTTGTGTTGATCAGCCACGCTGCCAGGGTTGTTAGCCAGAAGCGAAGGAACTTTGGTGTCTTGAGATGAAGTTGAGAGATGGGACTTCTGTTCATATCCATGCTCATTTTGCCAGGGAAAACCCCACATGCATTGAATCTTCTCCACATATACTCCATTCTGCACAGTAGTTCCCACAGCGGCATCCATACCACAGCTGTCTTCATAGCCATGGGGCTGATTGCCTTTTACCTGGGAAGTAACACCTTTTGCAACCCCGTCCATTTTCACCTATCAGATACATGAGCGGGTAGCATACAAAGCACTGAACAAGAGACAAGCATAGGGTCAGGATTCGCCAGCATGGGGCTCTGAAAACACGACGAGCAATCACACTTCCAGACCCCTTCTCAAGTCCTACGTTAACTCAGCTACATGTAAATGATACCATTGATAACGGGACTTTTGTATAGCAATGTACAAATGTAGCTTCTTGGCCCGACCACTGTGCGTCAATCTCTGTAGGTCGACGGCACAGGTGTTGAAAGTAGCCACTATGAAGATACTTGTTTTCACGCTGCTATTAAGTGAATATTTCAGCCTGCTTTCTCAATATCATTGCATTGACTAGTCTTCGAAACCCAGAAACATAAGCCATCTTATTTCTTGAACCATTCTACAGAGGTTGTCTACTTTTAAGTTTCTTTATTATAACGTTCGATAACGATATTTATCACTCGAGGCAGCATTATGGACAACCAAACGCCAAGGCGGTACGCTTGTGATCGGTGCCGTGAACAGAAACTTCGATGTCCACGCAACCAGCAAGGGGACAGAACTTGCGATCGCTGCCGCCGGGTGGGAGCTCTGTGTGTCACGAGCCATGGTCGACCACTAGGTCGGCCTCGTCTAAATGCAAATGTTGCAGCCCATGGCCAGGGCCCCGCGGCCAAGTCTTCCAGTCACGACCAAGGAATTCACGCGTCCTCATCCCGTCGAGATCTAAACCTCTCAACAGGCTCAAACCTGCCTCCATCGCCACTTAGTTTCAAAGAGTCGACAGCCAACATACCTAGTTCAGTGACAGCGGCAGCAAACAACACCTCCAGTTCCGCGGAAACGGATTTCGAGGCCATGTTTTACTCTCAGCTGAACGATCTCGAGCCTTCCACCTCGGGGGGTTCCAAACATAGCTCCTCTCGATCTCAAAGCTGGTTCTGTTCCGAATCCGCCATCATGCCTGAGATGGACTTCCACAGCCGAAAAGGCAGCACCAACCAACTTGTTGAGGATCTCCAAAACCCTATGGGTGATGCAGATTACAGTTCTTCAACCATGTGTGAGACGCCGCCAAGCAACCTGTTCGGCAACAACGACCAAATGGCGCCTCTCATAGGCGTCATTGGGACCATCTCGCGGCAGCTATCAGAGCTGAAGAGTCAGTCATGGGATCCCAGTTTCATGCGGACCTCCCTGTTTGACAATAACGAACAGGACTTTGGCGGAGCTGTTCGGCTGAACCCTTTGGACAATGTCATGCATATATCCATGAAATTCGTCTTGGTCTTGCAGACAATGGTTCCCGCAGAGTGCTCCAAGATTTCCCCGCTCTGTTCTCCGCCGACTCTGTCCCTGCTTCTCATGCTTATATCCACGCACCTTCAGCTTGGCCAGCTTTTCGACGCCATCCTTACCCGTGTTAATATTTGTCTGCAGGACGAGGGGCTTTCAGCACACTCTAGGCGTCTCCAGATCACTATGATGATACTATTCATAGAACACCATCTCAGCTCTGTGGAGCGCCTGATGGGCTTCCCTGCTGACTTTCGACTCTGGAGCCGCAAGAGCGAATGTACCGGTATTTTGGACCCGGAATCAAATCCACTTGTAGAGGCTGTCATGGGCCAAGCGCAGGAGATATTCTTGTCACTAAAACAGACTATGGAGAGTATACAGATGTCTTTACGCACTTAGCCTTTTGGAACTGTTATCAAATAGATTATAGAGCAATATGAAGTGAAATGAAGAATAATTTCTTTGAAATCAAGACCGAATCATATTTCATGTTTGTATACTGACTATGGAGTTTTACAACACAAAATACAAGGCATGTCGAGCATAATAACGTGTAATGTCTCATGAATTCTTTGAACAGCATCCATTGATTTGAAAATCGATTTCTTCTACGTCATTCCCATTACTTTTAAAGAGTATTAGTTATGGTTACAACGGTGCATACTCATGTTGAGAATCGAGCGTGAATCCGCTTGTACTAATACCTGAATGAGAGAATTGTGTTTCTATTCTTTGCTACACCCCGGTGCAGATGTTAATTTTCCAACCCAGGTCTGTAACTCACGTCCGATACGTTCTCGAAAGCTAGCATGTAGACGTACGTAGACACTTCAACTGTTATTTATCTACCAGTCATTTTCGAGATGCTGAATCCCATCTAACGGGCCGTTTGTCCTATGATAGTTTCACCTACTCCAAGGCTTAATGCGCACGTGCAAGTGCGGCTTGTGCCATACCATGTAAAGCCTCAGGTCTCGGTCCCAATTCACGCTCTCTTTGTTGACTAGATCCCAATCAAACTTCCAGCAGAGCTTGGCAAAAATTGCTCGAAGCAAAACATAGGCCATGGCTTGGCCAAGGCAGCTGCGCGAGCCAATACTGAAAGGTCGAAAGGCGCTTCTTTCATCATTGTCAAAAGCGTTATCATATTCAACATGGGTCTTCGGAAGCCACCTTTCCGGCTTGAACACATAAGGCTGGCTGAAATATCGCTCTGAATGCGTCGTCGCATAAGCGCATGACGATACTACAACCTATGCAAGCATTAGCTCTTTCTCCTTCTGAAAAGTAACAAGAGAAACATACCCCTTTTGCTATGTAATGGCCGTCAATTGTGTAGCCTGGACTAACTCTAGGTAAACCATACGGCACATTGGTGTGGATCCGAATGATTTCCTCAATTGTAGCGTTCAGCCACGGAAGGTCTTTGAGAACGTCTTCGTTGATATCATCATAGGACTTAAAAGTTTCTCTCAGCTCGTTCTGTAGCTTTTTCATTGACTCTGGATTTGTCATGAGGAAATAAAAGCCTGCAGATAACACGCTCGACGACTCGAAGTGGTCCAGGACTAGATGCCCCGCCTGCGAGACAAGGAAGGGGTCAGGGGGGATTTCTTGCTCGTTCTTCAAAAACTGAGACATGTAATCTAGCTGCTTTTGTTCATGTCTATTCTCCACGCGTTTTCGGATGATGGTGTTGTTTGCGTCGTGGGCTCTGACGTAACCAAGGGCGACAGAGGGCGGGAGAAGGAGGTAACAAAGCGGATACAATAAGGGAAATCGGCGCATCACTGTCCTAAATGTGGCCCAGTGACCTAGAACCAAGAGTGACTGTAATACCGGGTGGTTCTTGCCTATTTACAGTGTGTTAGTTGAGGACTTTGAGTACGAAAACTTGCTTTCAGTGGATGATTTTACCTGTTTCTATGTTACCAAAATTGTGGCTCATAGTAACTGACCCTCCAAGGTCAGTGGTCGCTCTTTCAAACCACTGTTGTTCAGATTACATTAGCGTTCTCTTCTTTTGCGTTTGTTCTGATGGCCAGACTAACTGGAGTAAGCTCTACACCCTCTTGAGTTGCGGGGGACTCCTCCAGCTTGTGGATTAGCTCGTCAATGTGACGATGAATGACAGGTTCGTACTCCTTGAGCGCACGAGGACTAAACGCAGGTGCCAGTTGCTTGCGAGCTTTCCGATGCTTTTCAACATCACGCTCAGAGGCCAAACCTTCGTACTTGTCACCAGTATCCAACAGATCTGACTTGACAAATGCCGGGCGACCGTTGAGGTTGCTATTGTATATGTCTATGAATTCACGTCAGATGTATTTTGTATGAGAATGAGCCATGAAAACTCACCTGCGTACGCCTTCGGGGTCATGAACACTAGTTCATTAGGGGCGATTCGAACAACGTCTCCTACTCCCAGTTAGTTCTTGCACGCTTCTCTTGCCTGTACTCACCCACCATATTCTTGTAAAGCCTGTTGCATTGCCCAAGGGTATCTCCCAGACAACCTTCACGTTGTTCACGTCAGACTTCAATTGAACTGCAATAAACGAGCACTATGCCACCGGATCGGAAAACCTACCACGCGCGGCCATACCACACGTTCGATACGGCAGCAATCTTAGGGCCAGGAAATTTCGCTAAGGGATGGAACCAAAGCAGATAGATACATCGCATCAAGGCATACGCAGTGATCTATCCAGTTAGTCTCAAAATCGATTCAACTAATAGGCTCTGAAAATACTCACGACACTGGCCGCAATAATGGCATATTCTTTTAGCGGCCGTCCAGTGATTTGGTGCCCCAGAAAGGCGTACCCTTCCACTGTGACGTTCATTTCGATCCTCAATTTTGCCGCGCCCTGGGCAAATTCAGAGGCCGTCTCCGTACGTACCCAGCAATTTCGCGCCGCCGTACAATTTTTATTGATTTACGGGTGTTTCCTGTTGTCTAATCAGTTGAGGATCTGATTCGGTCACAATTCGGTCGGGGACTTCTTTTCTTAGGCGGCCAAGCGATATTGTGCCGACCCCGAGTCCGGTCGCCGAATTCGGGTGAGCAGATCAGGAACCCTCCGCCTAAGAAAATCATCCAAGGTCGGAAATGCAGCCAACCTGGCCAGATATCGTTTTACTAGAAAGCCCCGCCCATTTTTTTTCTTTACGAGATGATCGGGGAGCGACTATATCGTTCAATTCTACGGCGCTGCACTTGTATCGGACTTGAGGTGGAGTCCGCTTCTTGCAAGCTACCTACGCTTCAGTGATCGATCAAACAGTTACCGTAAGCATGACGGGCTGCGTAAGGAGTAGGTATCTCCGGCATGGAGCATCCACTGCTTTGAGCACCCTGACACAAGCAGCTGCTGGCAAGACCACTACCCCTTTAGTTGCCACCGAGTTCTATCCTCGGTTATCACGACTAACCCCAGCCTAACATGAAAAACTGATTGACAGAGACAGATGAGGCTACGGAGGCGAAATAGTAGAAGAGCATTACACCTGCTCGCCGCTCTCGTGATGTCTTTTGGGAAGTCTTGATCACTATCTATGAGCTACCTTAGTTTCTTCCACCTTAATTCTACTACCAGACTCGCTAGCACAGTTCTCACCTATGCTGGTTCTTTTCTTCTTCATTTTTCAGGCAGAGCCACTCCGTGCCTATCTAACCTACCTTCTTTTAATGGCCTCATACTAACTCGAAGATTGGACTTGGAGATTTCAGTAGCCTAATTGAAACCTGGTACTTTTGTGGCCAATAATTATGGCCGTCTTCTGAGTAGCAAATAGCTTTGGAGGGAAACTCGAATGTTACAGGGTCAAGGAGTGATTAGCGCGCATCAATGTATGGTGGAGCACCAACACGGGCGCTTAAGCTCTTCATACGGCCTCCCCGCATCTCCAGTTTACTTTCCTTTTTGCTCGGACTTTTACAAAGTCTCTAAGACTCCAAATACTTTTTCAAACAATATATGATCTTTGTCTTTAATGTCGCCGCGCATGCCATCTTGAGGACTCCAAAGTCACTAAAATGAAACCCGTTGCTCCAGATAACATTGCCTCAGCTTCGGGTTCCACACCGACTTCACAAAAAGGCTGCGACACAGGTTCACGGACTACCAACGATATTGAAGAAGGGTATCATGTGTATCATCACGGCGGATTTCATCCCGTTTACATAGGAGACGTTTATAACGACAGTTATGAGGTCTTGAACAAGATTGGATACGGCGCCTATTCTACAGTCTGGCTTGTTCGAAATCTACGGAAGGAGTAAGTAGGACTAGAACCAATGACTTGACTGCCTGTTTCACAAATTGAGTGAACTTAATAATGATAAATAACAGTAAAGACGACGCTCATGGATTCCTTGCGCTGAAAGTCCTCAGCGCTGAATCTTATGGCGCAGAAAAAGACATCTTTGAAAGAGAGATCTTGATTCGTCTCAGAAGCGGAGATTCAACTTATCTTGGGTATAAACACGTGTGTCACCTAGTCGATGACTTTGAGCACAAAGGTCCCAACGGCAATCATATATGTCTCGTTTTCGAAGTTTTTGGCGAGACTCTTCGCAGCTTTGGAGCATGGTTTCCTGAGAGCATGATTCCGAACCAGGTGATGCGCCGCTTCACCATTCAACTACTACTAGCACTGGACTACGCTCACCACTATAAAGTGATCCATACTGGTATTTCCTTCTACTTTCTTCTGTATTGTACACTCCTCGAGGTCCATGACTCTAATTCTCGATTACTTTCAGACATCCAACCAAGCAATATCTTCGTCAAACTGAGGGACCCAACGCTCATCACAACAGGCTATCTGGCTAGTGTCCCTATCCCTCAGCAGGACAGGGCTGAGGAGAGATACACACCCATTCCATCTCGCCCCCTTCGCCGGCACTACTTCAGAGACGGTGATAGAGTGGACCTCTTCGACATCGCCCTAGGGGACTGGGGCGTCTCGAGCTGGGTTGATCGGCACTTGACGGAGACGATCCAGCCTGTTGCTCTGCGCGCCCCTGAGGTTTTGATTAAGGCCCCATGGGATACGGCTGCTGATATGTGGAACCTCGGCGCCGTGGTATTGGAACTATTCCGAGCCGTTCGCATCTTCAGTGGAGCTGGTCCTCCACGTGGGGAGTATCAGCTCAAAGTACACTTGTCAGAGATTGTGCATCTCTTTGGCTCGTTTCCTCGGTCATTACTGGATCGAGGAAATCAACAAATTGTTCGGGAGATCTTTGATGGCCAAGGAAAGGTAAATGATGGGATTATATCGGCTGATAGCCCGGTTCTTATGTCTGAAGAGTTTACTCCTGGATTAGAGCAAGACGTCCGAGACGAGTTTGTTGCGTTTCTGCATTTAGTCATGAAGATAGAACCTACGGAGCGACCGACGCCTGAAGATGCACTCCGGGGCCCTTGGCTACGGGCCTTGCAATAGCTATTGGAATCGCCCGGTTTCCTAGTCGTAACACACAACAAGACCGAAATACACATCTTTCGAGGGCCAAAGCGTCCATACAATGAAAATCTCAGCTTGCATTCGAATAATTCTTGTGACATGAGCAACATGGAGTTTTGAGCTAGTGCCCAGTGTTTCTACCTGTGGAAAGTATGTAATAAGGGACATGAAATTGTTTCACAGTCGTCTAAACTATTGATGTCATCTAGACAACATCTTCTCCCATCAAACACGTTCAAACACCAACATCATTATTTTCATATGCATCAGTCACTTTAATTTCTTATTATCATCTTCTGTAATCCATATCACTGTGAGAATTTGCACTATTCCGTTACCTAGCAAGTCTCAAAACAAAACAGGCTGACGGCTTGGGTCAAAGTCCAATCCACGAACGTGGTCAAAAATAAGAGCTCGCTTCCCAAAGCAAACGAATGATACATTTTTGGAAATCTTTTGACCGACTTTTCTCTCGAAGGCTTCTTGTGCCTCTCGGAACGCTTCAATGGATCTTTCTTCGTCCTTCAAATACACGGAGAGAATCAAAGAAAGCTTTGGTCCATCTTGAGAGCCAAAGTACTGGAGTATTCCCAAGTTATCGGGCTTTCTAACATCCCAAGTAATTGTTCTTGCCGTAGGTGCAAACGCCGCGAGAATATCGTCTTGGAGCTCAGCAGCAAGTGCACTGCCATCCTCAGGTGAATCCGCACCTTGAAGGTGATATTTAGCAACAAGGCCAGTATTGGACGCGGCGTCTTTGCCGTATATAGTTTGCTCTTGAGATAACAGGGCTATTGCGCCGGCCATGTCGTTGAAGTTTCTGCCGTCAGGACCGACCACAGACTTGACGTGGTCGCTAGAGAACACTGCGCCAACGTGACTGATGTCATTGAAATAAAGTTCTGTCGTATCATCATGACCGGAAAAAGTAGGTTGTGCTGCTGATTCATTCGAATAGGCTGAGTCAAAGAAATGGGTTTGATAATAGATCTTGGGCGCAAGGTCTTTTGAAGGCCCAGTGGACAGAGATCCGTGCACTTGGAAATGATAATTGAAAAATTCACGCCTCGTCATGCCCGATCGACGGCGGATAATAGCTACCATCTTGAGAAAGGCCATATTGCTAGGTAGAGTAACAAAGTTGTGTGTGATATACTTTACAATGGCATACAGCCTATGCCTCGGTTCTTGGTTTACTTGGGCTCGGACATCCTAGTTATATAAGGAAAGAGTCCCCTACTCGCTCCCCCACCTCTTCCGCGTGGACGCCAGCAGACCAGGTTATGTCGGTATGGCGGGGCCGTGAACTCTCGGCCTCGGGTGTCTAATGAACCCGAGTTAAAGCCTGTCACACCATCAGAAGAATTGAGGTCAAGCTTTTTTTATTTTTCATAAGTACAAGACTCGTGAGAAAGTTATTGGTATGGAGTTGAACTTGTGATAAGACTAATGTTTTTTTTTTCTTTTTTTGCGATTACTTCCTTCGTCTCAACTATGCTGGCTTCTCAAGTAAGGAGATTCGTGACATAATATGAAGGCCTAGTGTCTCTTTCTGCAACTCACTCCAATTATGACGAATAAGGAACATGGGTAGGATGTAATCCAGCTGAAGACACTTTTGTTGTTAATTCTATTGATGATATTCACGGCAATAAAAATTCAGTAGTAAGCTCCCGAAGAGAAGGAGCGGTCCGGGATGCCGAGTGGTTGAGAAGGCCTTGAAAAGCAGTATGCTGGCTGTCTATACACTCTTCAAACGCGGCTTACACCTGCAAGTTCTCTTGAAAGAATTTAGACACATTGAATTGTAGAATATTTTGTTCGGAAATTTGAAGCCAATCGCTGTCTTCTTCATGATTAAGAATTCAACTAGGTGCTTCTTCTAGCTTGAGCGAGGCAACTCCTAATATCGCTCATCTGCTGCATCCAAAATTAACACAGTTTAAGCTCTATATGTAATAGAAAAAGAGGCAGAAGCCAATCAACATCTTTTGATGATAATATCTCAAAGGTGGATGGTTTATATATAACAAGTTGATGGCTCAATTTAATCTGGAGGATTTGCACAATACTTTCCATCAAGCCATTGCCACAAAGGTTATCTCAACAGTTACCATGCCAACGTAAGAAATTGTCACAAGTCTTCCAGAAGTTATTTCTCCGGGTTGTGCGTGATATACAGCCCCTATCTGTTTAGACTTTGGTATTGTCGTGGCTAGCAGCGATCTTGACCATGACTACAACCACGGTAGGCTACCAATAATGTAGAACAAGGCACCGGAGATAGAAGTGAAGCTGTGTAATCGGAGATAGATCCGACAGGATAAATAACAAGACACCCAGAAATCCTGACCTTGGGATGAGACATCTGGAAGTCAGCATCCAACAGAATCATTCTCAACTGTCTTGAACTACTCATTTTATTCACTCCCAATTATCTCATTCTCGACCACGCGGCATATACAGCATAAAATTCAAACACAACAAGCCAAAATGGGTTCTTCTCAGTCCGTCACCACTAAGCCTAACAGCTATTTCGGCCTCGAAGCCATCAGCAACCACGCAGCTCAGACCTGCACCTCCCCATCCTGCGCGAAAGAGGTTCTTAATTTTGCCCAAAGCCAGCAGGACAGATTTCACCGCATCTTCGACGAAGAATCCAACTCAAACTACAAGATCAAGCGTGGCTGGGAGATGGACAAGCATCAAGCCAGCAAACAACTTACCGGTCGAGAACTGCGCCGATCTCTCCGCGACATGGATCGTGAGATGGCCCACCAGCTCCAGGTCAATTCCAACAAGTTTCGTGCTCGAAAACAACGCGCTCTTGACCAGTTCAAGAATGAATGGAAGAAGAATCAAAGAGCCAAAACTTATCCTTACTGGGGCCGAAATCTTCGCTGCTAATGAGCTCAAGCTTGTTAGTAACAAACTCATCATGAGCCACTTGGCTGCATGAAACAAACATCAAATACAAAAACCACAAAAAAAACTATAAAAAGATTGAAACGACAAAAGAAATGGATCAGGCTGAGTGGAGGGGAAACAAAGGCACCAGACAAGTCGAAGAAGGGAAAAGGGGGCAGGTTTTGGTGACCTTTTGGTACCATAATGACACTATCCAACAAATTGGATTAGTTGGTGTTGAAAGAAGATGTCTCATTGTTAGGTCATGGGATAATCATTGCTGTGGCATGTGGCATGGCTGGGAAATGGGTTTCCTAGTTCCTTACGGGGACTAGGTCGAGTGACTGTATATCCAATAAAAGTACATTCACTTTCATATTTGCGTGCATCCAAATATTGTGACTTCATCTGCACAGTTCATCGCTCGGTTTGAAGATTTAAAGAACGTCGACGGTCATAGCCATATAAAGACTGTTTGCCATGCTCTTAAAGATGCATGACCTGCTTGCATGCACAGTTGATTAAGCTTTTCGGTTCTTGAATCCGATAGTAGACAAGGTTCTAATCGCTTGGATGTTGATTAAAGTAGTAACAGACGAGCTATGGTTGTTCCAATTATTGCTAAAAAGGTTACTTTGACATGCGCAAACTGACATCCTCAAATCGGCGCCAAACAGCAGCACCTGAACTATACCGGTAAGACCTCATGAGATAGCCGCCTCCCACGCAGATTTCATGCCTCTTGCTAATTCAGCATATAACAACATCAAAGTTGTTTTCTGCCGAGAGCCCTTAGCTTGGACCCCCAAAGCCACAGAATAATCGGCGTAGGACATCCGAGGCCAATGAAGAGAAAGGCAAGCAGGCTATTGCCCCATCCATAACCCAGGCGAGCAAATAATCGTGGGGCAAAAATAGGGAAGATGAAACCAACAATATTGGAGAGCATACGACTTGCCGCGTTTGCTGATGCAGCATACTTAAACTCATCTAGTAAGTAAGCAAGCATGGCTTGGGCAAGCAAAAAACTGCCACACACAAATATGGCGACCCCAACGTCAACCATTGCCCAGTGCATGTGTTTTTCAGCTGCCCAACCATACCAGAAAAGACCAAAGGGAACCAAAACAACTCCAGGAATAAGACAAGGTACGCGAAATTCCGGTGTTGTTTTGCCATTTGGTTGACGGGCTTTTAACTTTGCAAAGACCCAGTCCATGAACCTGCCCCCGCCTTGTGTTGCTATCGTAATACCGATAGAGATCCCAATGTAATGGAGACTAGCAAGGAGCTCAGATTGGCCATAAGTCTCGATCCAAAGAGAAGCGAAAGTTGAGAGGAGGAGGCAGTATACGCCAAAGTTCAACGCCATGACCAATCCAATAAGTTGGATAATCGGCCGTTTCCATAACAGCTGTATCGGTCGACTTAGGTTAGTGGTCAGTTTAGTAGACGCTGCATTGAAGGATGTTGGGCCCGTTAATTCAGGAAGCGGGGACATTGCTTTTCGTTTACGGGCCAACAGAACAGGAGTATAGGTTTCTTTCACAAATAAAAACCCAAGACCCCAAATGATTGCATTGAAGATGCTCAATACCCAAAAGAGCCAGGGCCAATCCAATTTCTCCATGATGACTCCGCCAACGATCGGGCCAAGAGCAGGTCCGAGGTATGGTATAAAGGTAGCAATGGCTAGGGACTTGCCTCGTTCTTCTTTCTGATAGATGTCAGCCATGATAGGACCAGTTAACTATACGCTACACATTAGCAACAACATCTCGATACGAGTTTTTCAAGTAGGTAGTGCTACCACTTTGGCGACTTACTGTAATGCCTACGCTGGCACCCGATCCAGCCATAAACCTACCGATGACCATCAAAGCCGACAAGCGGCCCACGGGGCATAGAGTATTCCATAAAATGTAAAACGCATTGCAGAAAAGCCACACAGGTTTACGCCCATACGTTTCTGAGAAAGATGCGATTAGAAAAGGCGCAAAGGCAAGACCAAGAACGAATACGGAGAAGGTTATCTGCGTCATGAATTCGTTGATCCCCAAGTCAAGCCCTATTTGGTTCAAAGCCGGTGCCATGGTAGATGTTGTCATTAGTGTCACAAGCTGTCCGAATGATATAATGACTGAGGTCGAGACCTTGCGAGCAGCGGACCAGTTGTAGGGGTTATGGGGGTCAGTGGCGCTATCCCAAGTGCACTAATAATCCAAACTTTATGTTAGTCGCAATACTACTATAGAAGTTATGGCTATATCAACTTGCCCCATATTCTTCGAAGAGATTGGAAAGCTCTTCATTTTCGCCTGAAGAGGCGGTCAATGCTGTTGAAGTGGGCAGGTACCCAGATTCGAGAGACGCCTCCTGAGCAATTTTGGAGTTTGTCGACATAGCTTACGAATTTTTTGACAAATAAAATCAGTAAAAGTGCAAAGAGTGTAAGGCACGTGGGAATTAAAGGGTAGAATATCAATATTTATGTGCTATTTTGGAAGCAGCAGCACGCCATTTGCAAGTTGAGTCCCCCCTGCAAAGACGCGTGCGTCGTCAGCTGTTTACCCCTACACAATGCCATGCATGTTGGAAGGTTGAATTGGTACTTTTGAATCCATAATGGTGACTCACATTCCTTTTAGGTCAAAGGATGCATCAATAGTTACATGGGTGGTTTAACATGTTGGCTCGCTTCGATATCTCGGACGTCTACCGATTCTTACCCCGAAACACTTTACGCAAGGCTCTGTTCCTCAAGCAAGGTTACTAGCGGAATAGGTACCCGTTACTCCCGACAATGCTCTGTGGCAGATCTTGTTTCTCGATCTTTCGATTTTCTATGAGCTTCCTGATTCTTCCTCGTCTGAAATGCTGTCTTATTGACCTTTTGCACCCCGCAGCTAATCGTTGGATAACTTTCAAGTGATCCAATGACATGTCCTCAACCTAAGTCAACGTCATCAAGCCTAAACGACACTTCAAATGCTTATTTGATTCAGCAACAGCCCGTATTTCATGATGTAGTTCTTTCATAAGGCTTCAAACATCTAATTCCCAAGGTGTAAATTAGTTTGTAGTGCAGACTTTTTATACATTTAGTTGTTCGTTAGAATGTCCTTCATCGTGCAACCTGAGAAACAGTGATCGTGATCATGCAACACAGTTGACATATGGCTCAATCAAACATCGGATGATGGTGTTGATAAACGGAAGTCTTTTCATTATTTTGCCTTCAATGGTGAACTTCGTGACTTACTCACTTTCCATGAACCTAAAATGACATCAAATCCTGGAAATAGAGCATGTCGGCGTTGTCGGATTAAATTTTACAACAAATCCGAAGACGTCAAGGCCATCTGCAACTGCTTTGACTCAGAAGCAGGCATGATTCTTTTCCCAAGGTGTTCGAGAAACTTTCGTTATTCTGTGCCACAACAGCACATAAGATTATGCAACCTAACTAACCACAACTGGGAAAGATAGCTTACGCCGGCCTGCATTAGGCCTCCTTCCCCAGCTAGGCAAATCCTGCAAACCAGGATAAAAGTTCGACTATCCATGCTTTGAGCGAAATCTGCAGGCATAGATGTGGTCAAATGCAAGCGATTCAAATGCAATGCAACGTCGGGATTCTTTCCTTCTTGCTCCTCACCGCTCGCCGTGCCAGGCCGCCGATTGTATGTTCCCTAAGAGCCGAACTTTCGGAGTTGTAGCTCGGAGTTTGCATACCTTTGTTCAAAAATCGCCTTTCATTTGGCCAGCACAAATACTTTGTCAACACTTCATAAGTGGATTGGCATGCTTCCAACAGACGATCTGCAAGGTCATTTGTAGGCCCGGACCGCAATTGAGCCAGACTTCGTGGTTCTGCCTAGTAAGCCAAAGCAGAACTAGTATTCTCAGTAGAAATAATCATACATGAGATCATTTGCGGCTAATCAGAGAGATGTGATGATAATCTGCCCGAATGCAGAATTGCATCACTCTGCTGCGTGTAACGGCATGTCTGGGTAAAGGCGTAGGTAGGCCCCAACTCGCAATCGCTGGTGTTCGGTTGGATAATAAGAAGTTGAAAATATAAGCTAAGGTGTCGAAGGTTCGCCCGGGTGTTCACCTGCCTTACAACTGAGGTGGCTATTGGTTTGGATTGAACTGGCTTCGGTGCTTGGCAACTGCTTATGGGATATGCAGCCTAGGTACAAACAACCATTGCTGCGTATGCTACGTATGTGGATATCATTCCCACCCTACCGTATCTTCCCGAGAATTTTCCAGGGGCATCTTTCAAGACAACTGCTCGCAAATGGCGCAAATCGATTCAAGCAACAGCTTATATTCCTTACGAATTCGTTCGGCGTCAAATGGCTGCCTCCGCATATCGGCCCTCGTACGTATCTAAGCTTATCAAACAACTAGGAGAAGATGAAGACGGACAGATGTGTAACGAAGATGAAGAAGCCGTTATTTGGACAGCCGCAAGTCTTTATGGCGCCGCCGCAGACACGGCAGTTATTACCCTCAACGCTTTCACATTGGCTATGGTTCAATTCCCTAAGGTTCAACGTAAGGCTCAAGAAGAAATTGATCGTGTCATTGGCACAGATCGTCTACCAACGTTTGATGATCGTGAAAACTTGCCATATGTCAATGCATTGGTCAAGGAGGCCTTGAGGTGGTGGCCCATTGTACCAATGAGCTTTCCCCATACAGCTACGGACGACTTTGAGTTCAGCGGTTATCACATCCCAAAGGGCGCTATTATCTTGCCATCCATCTGGTGGTTCATGAAAGATCCAGAAATCTACACCAGCCCTGAAGAATTTGAGCCTGAGCGATTTCTTGCGCCACGCAATGAGCCTGACCCTACAGAGGAAGTCTTCGGCTACGGTCGTAGGGTGTGCCCAGGCCGTTTCTTCGCAGACGCCAGTCTCTACCTCAATATGGCACAAACGCTTGCAACTTTTAATCTCAGCAAAACTTTGGACAAAGATCGGAAAGAGACCACATTGGATGTAAAGATGAAACCAGGTGTTCTAGCATATCCCACGGAGTTCAAATTCAAAGCTGCGCCACGGAGCAAGAGGCATGTAGAGCTTATCAGGCGGCTTGAGGTAAAATATCCCTTTGAGCCAAGCGATTCTTCACTTTTAGAAAGTACAGACGATTTTGATGTTAGGTACTAGCGTGGGGTCATCTCATGTCGTTGATGCAAATAATTAAGGTCGTCCCTTTTGGAAGCTCATAGTACTCCTCATGACACTTAAAACCCTTTCAATATATACTTGCAATATATTCTGGTGTAATTGTGCCTTGTACTACAGGTCTTGTAGTCGTAGGCAGTCAATGGGCGTCCTTTTGTCTTCCCAAAGCCCCTGCATGTTGTTCCACAAATTTGTTTACACTCTGCCAACGCCATCAACCGTCAAGATTACCCCAAGTCTGCGATATTAGGGTTTGCGCCAAGTTTATGCTTTCGAATACTGATATAAGCTTGTTGAATTACGCTCAGATCAGATCTGCTTGCCGTGAATCTAAACTCGAGGGTTGTGGGATGATCCCACCTTTAGGAGCTCTGATCAACAATTTCTTCCATTGAGTTTCACTTTACATCGCCCATACCCTGCCTATCTCATGCACCTTTTCAAACTGCTTTTTGCTCGGTGCTCGGCTATTCATAGGTATACAAGCACCAACAATCTCATAAGGCGCTTACATTGATGCCGACCATATGCATGGAGACGGCTCTTCGGCACATTTTAATCGCAAGTGCAACCCGATAGCAGGAAAATCTTTCGTCTCTTCGCCATTATTGTCGGAAATACAGCCACAACACAGAGATTGTGTCAGCCACGAATTTTAGATTGGTGTATTAACAGTGGAACCAAGACCGGGATGGAGTTGATTTATAGATGAACTATTTTTGTAAACATAGGGGAAAGCTAATACGCTCAGTCGGTTACATTGGTGGTCTAGAATGCGCTATGGGTAGGCTCCATACTGGGTAGTATCCTGCTCGCTCTGACAAAACCGGCTTACTCGTTCCCTGGCCTGCTAATAAAACCGACTGGGGCTAACCAAGCAAAGGCTACATGATGGCCTCTGTAAATTCTGTAAGAGGTTGGTTTTCGACGATCGCTGCGGTATTTACCGGAGGAAGAAAAAGATTTTGAGCGCGAGTTTAAGCGCCACCATTTTTCGATTGAGCAAACCTGTAGATGCTTCTAGGTAAGCAGTAAGAGATTTAAATAAGCTGGAGGCCGACGTCTTGGCTTTCAATTTTCTCCCAGGCCAGCATTCTTTACATTCCCTAACAACTCTAAAATCAATTCCCTCTGCAACATTCGGTCTACTTCAAATAATCATAATTCAAACAACATGAAGGCCGCCACTATCCTCGCTGCTGTTATTGCCATCGCTGGCACTGCCCTGGCTACATGCGACAGCTGTGATAATCTTAAGGGTTTCGTTGTAAGTCACAAATCGTACATTGACATTTGAGCTGGTCTTCCACATAAAACATATCTGGAGTCTGGTAAACATAATGCTAACATTAATAAGTGCGTTGTGGGGAAGGGAGGCCCCAACGTCCATGGCTGTGGGACATGCTGCGATACTGCAGACGAATGCACTCAGTTCATCCAAGCGGGTCTTTGTGGCTAGAGATAAACCAGAAGCACCTTGGTTTTTTTCAGCCTCATTTACTTTATACAAAAGATATGGCCCATCTATTTCGACTTGGGCTGCTTACTTGGTCACATTGGATTACGAGTGCTGTTCCGCTTGGAACAGCCTGTTGAGGAGTTAATGGCATAAACAAAAGTTTAGACTGGGAATTCATCAAAAGTATATGGCATGGTGGATGTTTTATGATTCTCTCTGTTTTATTAAGAAGCAATGATTGGACAATTAGAAACATTTTCCTCGGGCGAATTAACGAAGTGTCAGTTGGCGCGAGTGGTTTCAGGCACGGTTGTTATGAATGGTTAATGTCCTCAGAGAAAGACAAGTCCAGATTACAAGCGTTACAATGATACACATCCATTGCATTCGATTTCGTGTTACGCTAGCTACGCCAGCATTGGTTTTCATGACACTTATGTCGCGTAACAGACAGTTCCCTACTCCTAATAAGCGTTGTAGATGGAAGCAAATACCTAATGCACAGCTGTGCCGTTTTGAAGGTTGAGCATTTTATTCCAGCTATACTGAAATGATATTCGTGAATTATGACGCGCAACCTAGTCTGGTGACGTCTCTCCTGGGGCTACTGCTGCATTTCCGGGGAAGACTGCGGAACTCCGCCGGGGCTCCCGATGCAGTTGCCCCTGGATCTCCGCACTGGGAGAAGGGTTTCAATGTTGCATTGCAGGCGTCAGCGGACTTGTTTTTTCATCAAAGTAATCATGAGGCATCTTACTGTGAGTAAGCGACAAGGGAAATCTGTCCTACGAAGTTGGTTGTTAGCTTGATTAAGGCTGGTGTCTCATGCATCCTGTGTTGTCATGATTATGCTTCCTATACTATCTGTTACCATATTGAGTGGAAGTCTTTAGGTGTCAATTATTATCCTGTTTTCTTTGGATGCCATTCCCATCTTGAACCCTTTTTGGCTATTTTACATTATTCCTATTCTGCATGCCCACTTATAGTGCTGCCTGCACATAGAAGAACATTACCATTTTGTACCAGAATTTTGCCTAGAAGTCGACCCTTACAGATAAGGCCCAGAATCTACTGTCAGCTTTTTGAATTATTTGAAAAAGCTATTACACACAAAATTAACAACATCCTGGAAAGTTGATGGGGTGATTTTCACCACTCCAAACTTACCATCTCTACCAGCATGGAAGTCAAAATTCGCTTACTAGCGTCCAGAACACGAGTTGGCATACTGACAACAAATCAATCTTCAGCGACAGTGATGTAATGTACCCCAATAATAGACGGTCAACTTTCAGGCTGAAATACGGCGGAAGCGGAGTGTCGGAGTGGCGGAGATGTGGGACAGGCGATTCCCGAGCGGTTCTCCGATTCCAAATGTAAACACGGGTACCGGGCACTAAAAAAAATACGAGAAGACCATTGTTAAGAATGTTCCACCCTGAATAAGCAAGCGGCTGCACCCGTACAAGCTCAAGAACCGCTTCCTACCCGGGTCCACAACCACGATTTGTCACTCAATGGAGTGCTCGTATTCTTGATTACACTATGGACGTTACAGTGACTTCGTTTAGCAACTCTGACTTTGAAATCATGCGGTAATAGGTCACTTGGTAGAGTAGAAAACTCATTTCATTGAGATATATAAGATCGCACATCATCCCTCCTATCGTCCATCCTATTTTCTAACTCATCAGCATTAACATTCAAGAACTTATATCTACTCCTGAACACCACCAACCTTACTCACCACCTCCTTACTCGTCAAAATGCGCGTCAACACTGCTGCTATCATCACTGCCCTCATCGCCTCCGTTTCGGCCGCCCCAGTTACTGGTGGCAACGGTATTGATGCCGAAGAGCTTATAATCAACGATTTCGCTGCCCGCCACCAGCAAGACGGCAGTGTTGTTTCCGTCGGCCTCCACATCACCGGTCATGATGCTACCAACCTCGAATGCTCCAAGACCGATGGGGTTGTTCTTGGTGAGGTTTACAACTGCGGCGACAGCAAATACAGCTTTTCTCTAGTCAAAGGTCGCTTTGACACCTGGGGTGTTCACGTATACCACCGCTGGGGTGTTGCGTAAGTCCTCTCTATAAGAACGAAGACTACTAGAATATAGTCACTAACAAATCGAAAAGGAGTGGCGTTTCTGGCTACCGCGATGTCCCTACCATTTGCCGTGCAGGCCCCCTCCAGACTACCGACTGCACTCGTACCACCCCCGTCTGGTTCTATATTGGAAGCGTTTGAAGGATCTTAAGTTACCACAGACGTAATAGGGCCGCCCTTTAATGTCATCCTCATGCTTGTACTGCATATGCATTGTTATTTATTTCGACCCCACTTAATAGATAAACCTTCGGAATGCTTCACTCTTTCTTTATATGTCTGTCGTCGTGTCTGGTCCTCCATTTTGACATGGTTTCAGCGTCATCAGTTTTTTTGATTTCGAAAAGGCCAATTGCAATCCTTCCAGCTACATCCCATTCAGCAGTGATCATGACCATCCGCACTTAGCGCGCCGCTTGATGAACCCTTTTCAGCGCTGAGAGACCCATAGTGCATTTCTCGTGATAGCCATATCTGAGCTACAAAGCTAAACAGGGCTGACGAACGTATGAATCCATGCGTTTTAAGGCTTTGAAGACTTTACATACTCAACCAAAAAAGTCAAACTGGTTATTTGCTAGCGTAGTAACTCTATTTACAACATGTCTGGCACAATGTGCCTACTTCTTCCAATAATTGGGCATTACAAACGCAAGTAGGATAAAATTTTCATCACGAAATCTTTTCTTTTAACCAGAGGTTTTCGCGCTCAATTTTCTCCACTTTGGCGGCAATGACAGTTAAGTATGGGAATAGTCTCTGGATAGTGGCTGACTGAGGTTGGGAACGGAAGGATACGAAGGATAAAGTTACAATCACCATAGGTCAGAAAACCATAATCATGCACTATGGGAAATTGAACACAGGCTAATAGGACCATGGTGCCAAACAATGTGCTCTAATATATTGGCCTGCGAAGCGATACGGATATAGGGCTTCATTGACGGCCACAAGGGGCCGCAAGGAGAATATTTTAACACTGAAACTATTAATAGGAAGCGGGCAGCATATGTAAACAGCAGACTTACACAAGCGCCAAGCTAGACCAGTTTGTTAGAAAGTGAGCAACAAGGGGATTGACGTCGGGGTAGGTAACGTACGGCGACAAGATCTTGACCATTCTTAGACTTGACAACTTGACCATTCTTGCCCTTAACCATGCAACTGCCAGTCATCTTGGTACACTGGCGATGAATGGGGAACCCTTCCTTGATTCCTGGGTCTTGTTCGATCCGATTTGGGTACACGCACTGTCGAGAATCAGCGACACAGTTCGGTTGTCTCCTGCCTACCAGTGTTACTAAGAGATCTGACTTACACAATACATATTTTGTCCCTAACAGGTCATTAGATTTTCGATCACAAATGGTGGTTGAATTCATTGGGGAATTACAGCATTGCAATGTTTAAGTTGCGGGACTTGGGTTGTTCCATAATCACACCACATGTCAGGGTCCCCTTGGCCATTGACCACAGTCAGTGTTACGAACAAAACTGCGCTAATGCTTCTTATCTTTGTCATTTTGTGACCCAGTGACAGCAGCTGGTGGTGATGGTCTGCTTGTGAGAAGAGGCCGTATGTAGGGGGGAAAGGTAAGGTTTGCAAAGTAGAATGTGTTAGGGTTGCCGCGGCATACCTATCTGGGGCTCTTGATAATTTATATCCATCCCATGCATAAAGACAAGACTCATCAATCGCTATAAATAGCAGTTGAAGAATCATTAGTTTTAAAGTTGCTGCGTCTTGCTCTCAACTGGGTGATCTGCTTTCAATTAAACGTGAACACGAAACAACTGATACTCCTTCCATGCTGCAGTCTGCCAACTTGGGTGTGCCCGGGCGATTAGCCACAAGACATAGCATACTTTCATGCCCAATACACTTACACAGCCATATCTGCACCTGTCGACTTACAAAAGGGAAAAATGTCTTACAGAACTTTCAAGCATGACTATGATCTTAAGTGCCTGCTACTGAAGAAGAAGCGTCAGCACTAACCGTATCATCAAACCGATGCTATGCACGGACGTTATCTTCGTTGTGTGATTAGGTTTCAGTTAATAAATTTGCCTTTCGTAAGCTAGCTCATAGTTCATCAAATTTAATATAGAGTTAACTTTTATATATTGCTATTACTCAATGTTATCGCGGTTGTCATCTTACTTGTTGTACTATTAAGTTGTTTAAGTTGTGGTGGTTATAAGTGTCGTCATATGTAATAATCCTCGCGCAGGAGAAGCTATCCCTAGCCCCAAGCGGCCTCCTTACTATCAGCTTCAATCTATCATTCTAGTTATAAACCAATTGCTTGGTATTTGTTTAAGATAATTTTACATGGTTAGGTGGCTTTGTTGGGCTTCGCTGGGCTACCGGTCCAATGGGTGGGATCTTGAAACAGGCACTCTAGTGGTTTCGCTGAACTTTTCTGCCCAAATACTATCACAACATCCCAGCTTTCTGGTATGCCTCAGCTAAGTTATGTCAGTGGTTTTGGCGTCTGTCTTGCACTACTCTATTGACACGCGCATGTCGTAGGGTTAGGAAACCTGTCGCTAAGCGTTGTTATCTCTTCGAACGATAAGACTACGCAAACTACAAGTTCCAAATCACCGTTGCCCTCCTTTGGCACTTAGATTCTCACACCTTGTTACTTCGAATAGCGCTGTGGCCCTTTGTGTATCCGATTGATGGGTACCGCAAGTGCGAGTCGGGCCGAATTTAAATAGTCGGGTGGTTTTGGCGTCCTCAAAGTTATCAGTTGAATTGCCGTGTTAGGGTGTTATTACTACTGCAACATCATAAACTACGGCAATAGCTTAGCCGCCCCTTATCTCTTCAATGTTAAAGTAACTCATGATGTCTTCATGTCATGGGGGCGGGCATGCTAACAAGGCCAGCTAAGAACTACCACATTGAGTGCTAAACGGCTACATTTATAAAATGGTGATGGGAACGCCAGTCAGGAACAGCGTAAAGTTTGTTCTAGAAAATCTAGTTATATAACTTCAACAACTTTTGTGGTACTTAGACTTTCTTGGAATACTATAACTAGGAACATATTAAGTTTTCTGAAATGATATGCTGTCATGTAGCTTTGCCAAGTCCGAGGAATGGAAGGGATAGAAAACTGGAAACAATGCTTGAAGCAATTTAGCACTTGATGGGATGGTGACCGACAGATGTACGTTCAACAGCAAATGGAATGAGAAAACAACAAAGCCTAAAAGAGTGAGCACAACAACTGACACATTACAGAAAGACCATAAAAGTAAGCCAAGAAAGCATCATGGTCTTCAACGAAGTTCTTGACGATCCTTCTTTTAACATATTACAGCTAGATTTGCATTTACTATAGACTTTGTTTGGATCCTGCACGCCTTTTAATATTCAAGTTTAAACCTTCCGTGTTGTCGACCGAATTCACCCTCAAGGCTGTAGGTTCAGCAAGCGCTCAGTCAACCTACAATCAACCTTTGTGGTGACAACTGTCGTCCAATTTCCGCTTACGCTATAGCGCTGGTATGCCAGTTCCTTGACAGAGGCAGTGTCAAACTTGACGACAAAAGATCCGTCTCTTGCGATACCCTGCTCAATCGAGGTCGGCTCAATTTCTTCGGGTTGTGCAACGACTCTGTTTGAGCCCTCGGTAAGATCGAATGGAGCACCGGCCCTAGAGACCACACGTACTTCGAACAAGGAGCCCGCATTTCTGCCTCTCGGACACCCATTTTCCACCTGGATAGGGTATGTATTATTCGGGAGTGGCTGATTCAACGGCGTCAAACTCATACTGATAGCATCATTAGAGCCGACAAAGATCGCAGACTTGTCCAGATGCATGCGGGTGGTGTAAATGGAGCGATCCCGAGTGGTGTCATTTCGTGCATGGTGCACATAAAAGAGCTCAGCGCCATCTGGAGTACGATGTGTAACCTCCTGTGCTCCAACCCTGTCTCCTCTGCTGCGGGGAGGTGATGCGACGATGCTCCCGTGGCCCGTAGAGTAGATGGGAATCTCCGCGTCTGGTGCCTGTGACAAAATCGGGTTCTTGGTAGACTTGCGGAACGGACCGAGCGGAGACTCAGCCGTCGCAAACCCTACGCCATAATTGGACGCTTCGTAATTGTTGGCGCTGTAAGTAAGCAGATAAACCGGCTTGTCGTCTTTTCCTGTCCGCTTGATCAGGGTACTTCCCTCTGACCATCGCCTATCTTTTTTGGTGCCGTTGTTAGCCTTGTAGTCGTTGACATGGAAATTCTCCCATTCTTGCGGGTCCGCTCCGTACGAAATGACAGTTGTCCACCCGTCTTTTCGCGGAGGACTACCGAGCTCGCCTGTACCGTTGTAGGACGTGATATTGCTCGGTAGTTCTGGCGCGTCCTTTGCATGGACGTCGATTTCCGACGAAGCAATCTCTGGCATGGTGCGTGCGAAGGGGTCATCCCACCAACGTCGATCCATCTCAACAACGATAATGTTTGACTCCTCAATGTACTTGCCCAACTTTTCGTCCCAATTCCAGTTTCGGTAGGCATTTCGAGACGTGTAAAGGTAAATGCGGCCATTGCTGTCGAAAAAGATATTGACGTCGATGGTTGGTATGTATGTCCCTTTTGGAGCAGTCTTTCCTTCTTCGAGAGTTTGCGGCGGCAACATTTGCAGCTCGTCCATGATGAGGTTCACATCATGGTAGTCGGGATCGAATGGGTAATAACCGATGGGCTGGGGTCGAATCTCCCTGAAAGGTCCTGTTGGTGATCGAGAGACTGCTACACCAAGCTTGGACGGCTCCTCAAACTTTGAGTAGCGAAAATGGTCCTTGGCCAAGTCCTCCCGCAGGCGCCCAGCAAAGAAAAAAAAGTACCATCCCGTCTTCTCGTTGTAATACGTCTCAGGGGCCCAATACCAGTCGCGAGCCCAACATGCCTGGCCGCCATCGACTTGTTTCATCTGATCATCGTAACACGCTTTCAACACGCCGCCAGGGTGCTTGCGCCATGTGGAAAGGTCTGGACTGATGTAGACAGCAAAATGGTATCCTGCATCTGCGCCCTCGGTGGAATAGGCGTAGTACTGCCCGCTCTTGGAGTCGTAAAAGACGTAGGGGTCTGCAGCTGCATGGCGAGCCGAGTTGTAAAACTGCGGTTCTTGGCTCTTGTCACAGTCTGTTGCGGCCGACGCAGACAGACAGAGCAGTGCTGCCCCAAACAGGGCAGTTGGAAATCGCATCGTTAACGAGAGGAAAGCAGCGCGAAGGCGGCGTGAACATGTAGGACAGTCGACTCGGGGAGCCAAGGACCTATTTGGGCATCGTCGTGACGGGTCATCTTATACGACATTTCTACGGCGCCCTCGCTTCCCCTCTTTCAAGTTGAGCTGTTTCCGAGGGACCGAGCAGCATAATCCTTCATCCCACCGTAGCATCGATCCCCTGGTCTGGGGTACAAACAAGGCGCGGGCCTAGAAGAGGCCCACAATTTCCCCTCACAGACCGGCACATCTTTGATCAACCCAAGCCTTCGACGGACGTCATCAACTCGTTGTACAAGGTAGAGTGACTTGTGGGATTCAACTTCGATGTTGTGCTTTGGAGCCAAGGCGGGGAAGATGTGGTACAGCGACTGGTGGCTCTCGGAGACTTTTGAACCTTGCACCTGCGGCTGTGAATTGGGTTAAACGGCAAGCATTTAACAGTTGATTTGTGCGCCTATAAGGGACCCAATAGGGCGGTTAGTCCGAACGAGAAGCGAGTAACTTCAGATGCCAGGAATCAAGCAGTAAGTTGAACGGATGAGCAGGAGTGAAACCAGGAACCCTTGGATCGATGGCAAACCTACGCGGCCCAATCTCACAAGCCTAAACAAAACTCTATCGTATTGCGACGATACCGTACTTGCGCTGTGAGGATCGACAATACCAGCCTTGAGACAATGATCTGGGTATGTTTCTTTCTTATCGTTCATCAAACCTCGCCCACCCCGACCTGCATTCCAGCGACCGCGGAATTGGGTTACATTGGTTTGCTCTAAGACATTTTTATTTGAATATGTTATTACACTATCGCTCCCTTGACGTCGGATGACCTTTACTTCAAAACTAAATGCCCCAATGGCGAACTCATTGATTGTGTATAATCTCGATATCTTGGAGCAGTGTTGCGCAGTTATGTGGTGCGTTTTGAAATATGGAAACCTCTCTCTTCCAACCAGCTCTGTTTCGTTCTGCTTTTGTAATAGATCCGGGCAGGAAGGCCTCACAGTTCATAGTTATCAATATCAACCGGTGTGTTTGTCTCCAGCGACTCTTTGATGGCTTGGCAAACAACCAACGCAGCTAGACCAGCCTGTACTGAGCACCTCGGAAGCTCGTCTTGGCGGATAACTCTGCAGAAGTGACGCAGCTGCTGCTCGAATGGAACTTCATCGGAACATGGCTTTTCGTCTCGCGTCATAGTCGAATGCCATGATTTCTTCGTATCCCGATAGGACCAAATCCCCATATCCGGCACGCTGAGGGTGCCGTTGGTGCCAAAGATGGTGTAAAACGGCTGTCCGGTCTTTGGGATCAGAGGATTCTCGCCTGTGCCAGCTTCAAAGTTGTAAGGTGACGGCACATTGTCCGAGATGAGGAAGGTTCCAACGACACCCGATTTGAAACGTAGTGTAAGAGCGGCTCCTTCTTCTGCCTCGTGCCCTCTTTCCGACATAGTCTTTTCCGCATAAACCCTGACGATCGGTCCAAGGAGATAGTGAAGGATATCAACTTCATGAATCATGTTGATCAGGATGACACCTCCATCTTTGCCCTGTCTCCAAGCGGTGGGAGCCTCGAAGTACTCGCTCGGTTTGTAAAGTGTCCAAACACCGTTGATGGCGATGACCTTGCCTAGCGATTCCTCACTGAGGGTCTTCGCAACACTTTCGATAACCGGGTTGAATCGCCGATGATGTCCGACAAGTGCCTTTACGCCGGCTGTTCGAAGATGCTCTACAAGCTCAAGCCCGGTTGCAATATCAGAACTGACTGGCTTCTCGACCAACACATGTACTCCACTTGACGATAACCGTTTGGAGACTTGGACGTGCGTGTGGTTCGGTGTGCAGACGATTGCAGCCTCGGGGGAATCAGGGGACTGCAGAAGCTCGTCAACGGAGGCATAGTGAGCTACGTTCAACTCTGAGGCCAAATCGTGTCCAGATGGCGCTGGATCAACAATGGCGACCAAAATCGCGTCTGCACTCTGTGCGACTGTTCTTGCGTGGCGTGGGCCAATTAACCCGGCTCCGATAACGGCGAACCGGACTTTGGAGGCTTGCGACGACATTCTGTAAGTACAGTTGTTACAAAAGCAATATTGAACAACTGGGCATTTGAACACTACTTTGTGGAGATTATCAAGTATAGAGAACAGCCGGTGCACGATTGTCCTAGATCAGTTGATGGAAGATGGGATGGAGACAGACTTTCGATTCAAGTGAGAAAGACCCGCAACAGAGGATACCTGACCCGAGGCAGAGTCGGTAGTGTATTCATCCGGACAGAGTCAGAGTCTAGGGCCCCCAAAGTTGCACATCGAAGCCAACCTAAAGGGGAACTAAATAAGCCAAATCCAGCCTCTGTTGCTTTTCGACTAATCAATCATTGTTAAGGTGGACAACAACTTCCACGAGTACTCTAGAGAATGAGGGTTAGATGGAAGATGTAGTAACAATTATTGGCGTATGAAAAAACTTAAACAAAACAACATGGGTTTTCAACGTTGGCCCATGACGATGGCTTCATTACCGCGGGATCGCAGTTGAATTCTAGGATCGCTGCAGTTGAAGTGTGATCTTCTCCGAAACCCCTACCTAAGTGATGCCAACCAACAAAAGGTCAAAACGGGATGATGCATCTTTATTGAAGCTTCTGAAAAAAGAAGGTAGAGAAGCGAAAAGAAAGAAAGAGAAAGACAAAAAAGAAAAAATGAAGGAAAATATTTGAATGCAAAAAGAAGTCGTAGAAAGCAGTGACGCTTGCCGCCGTTCGTGAAGTCATCAAGACTGGGAAGGAAACCAGCATCGCAAATGCCATTGGTGTGAGTGGTCGGCAGTGGGAACGTGGGGCCCGGGGGTCTCCGGTCAGGCCCGCTTGAATGCACACAGAGGGCAGGTGCAGGTGTGAGTGGTGGGTGGCTGCAGCGCAATCACAGGGAAGTCGCAGGGCAGGGCTGTGGATGCTGGCGGTGACATCAAACTGGGATGGTCCTTCCTTGGATTTGGATTGGGGGGAACAAACATCGTGGACCTTTTAGGCTTGACTTTTGCCGCATTTTGTTTTTCCTTCTTCTGAGCACACTCTCGCTTTTCGCCCATTCGATTCTCCTTATTAGCGGTTGGTTTGTCCTCTTTTACGCCGATCTCTCAAGCAAGCTGTGACTCCATTCTTCCCGGCTAGTCTTGCGATTTTGGGCTGTCTCAACGCTTCTAGCGCCACCAACTGACCCCGCGATAGTTCTTCCCTCCAGCCCACTCAGTGTGCGTCTTGCCCCGCCCAACTACGATTATTCTCTCTGAGCAGCATCGCTTCTGCTTCCGACACGACACAAATCGACTTTTCGGTCTATCATCCTGAGATTTGCGACGCATACACATTACGTCGACCTAATCATGTCGCCTACGAGCTCGAACGGCACGAATGGTGCCCCCGCCGCGAACGGCGAGGTGGACATTAAGAGCAAGTCTATCTTTCAAACATAGACCAGAAGTCTATACTGACGTTTTCTAGATCTGGGACATGTCGAAACCCCCAAGGTCGAGGGAACATGGACAGTTGAGAAGGCTCTGAAGGCCTCTCCCGGAACGGCTACTGCTGAGAACCCCAGCTCACCGCTGCCTTACTTCCACATGCTCGAGCGGCTCAAGACGACAAAGCGAGAGGGTTGGCGCCGTTTTGGCATCGAGAGGTGCGTATTTTTCTACCAGTTAGTAGTTGTAATCAAGCTGACTGTTCTGCCCGCATAGAGGAGAATCGATCGCCGACCACATGTACCGCATGTCCCTCCTCTCGATGCTCTGCCCTCCCGCCCTTGCCCCGCGCCTCGACCTTGCCCGCTGCATGAAGATGTGCTTGATCCACGACATGGCCGAGTCTCTTGTTGGAGACATCACTCCCGTCGACGGCGTCCCCAAGCCCGAGAAGAACCGACGCGAAGCGGAGACGATGGATTATATCACAAAGGGCTTGCTCGGCAATGTCTACGGTGGCCTGGCGGGCGCCGAGATCCGTGAAATATGGCAGGAGTATGAGGACTCCAAGACGCTTAACAGCCACTTCGTGCACGATTTGGACAAGATGGAGCTGCTCCTTCAAATGATGGAGTACGAGAAGCGTGGCCAGGGCAAGCTCGACCTCGGAGAGTTCGCATACGTCGCCACCAAGTTCTCTCTGCCCGAGACCAAGGAGTGGGCGGATGCGCTGCTCAAGGAGAGGGAGCAGTTCTGGGGTGCGAAGCAGCACGTCCACGGCGAAGAAGGCATCCAGGGCGGAGTAAAGGAGGACAGACGCCAGCAGCAAGACGAGTACTATACGCGCGAATGAAAGGGTTAGAGCAGTGGGGAGGCATACATGGGATGTAAATGACTGATGGATGGGATAGAATGATTCCCCTTGGCGCTATTTTTTGGACTGGAACAGGGCGCAAGTTGTCGGCAACGGAAAGACTGGAGGAACCAGGGGCTACAGAGACGGCCGGTTTAGAGCCAGATGTCGTGCGGCGTGGTTGTGGATGCTGTTTTGCATGACGATGCTTGCATTATCCGTATAAGAGCATGGTATTGCACGGCGGGATCGGGTACAAGGGCCAAGACATTAATGTAGGATGAGTATCCTTAGACACAGACAGACACGGGGGCAATAGACATTTGCAGTCATGACACTGGGACCAGAGCCATCAGGGACAAGACGACTGCCAGCTGCCAGAGCTGCACAAGGTGACAAGCTGGTGCCCAGCCACACACTTAGTTTGCATGATGGCGAGATTGGGGAGGCGGTGTGATGTTTTTGCCCCTCTGTTTACACACTACGGACACATGGACGCAAGGGCCCTAGGCAAAGACCCTGGCAACCGAAGGGCGCCTTTCCTGATATGGATGGATATTCCACAGAGCTTCCTCCGCTCAAAGGCACTGGATTTAAGGGAGGCGTTTGAAGACCCTGAACAAATTGTTGGGTTAAGAGAAAAGATGAAAAAAAAAAAAAAAAAAAAAAGGAAGTGGAAGAAGCTTCACACTGACGGTTGACAGTGGCAGTGTTAGTGACAGACACAAGCACAAACATTATACGATGTATCCACCTCGCTGCACAAATTGAACTCTCTCCTGCGCCATACCTATCCGTACATAGTAATTAATACACCTACGGGCCTTTCGGGTCAGTTGAAAATGACACGACGGCGACGCGCTCCCCTGACCCCCGGCTTGACAATCTTTGGACCATTTTGACCCTCCCTCCATATTGACGGGGGGACTCTTTTCTACCGACCTCCCAATTTTGCCTTTTTTGCGCACGCGGAAATCTGGAGAAGTCTGGTCGAAGCTCCCCCATCTTATCTAACTTACCCATTCTTCCTTTTTCTTCATATTTTTCTTTTCTTCTCGCCAGTGCGCCCGCCCACTTCCTGTCCGACCTGACCTACAACATCAACATCATCGAAAAACATCATCGAAACGTCGTGATCATCGACTTTGGCCCCTTGCGTTCCTGGCGGCGCATAACGATTTCGACGTCACTGCCGATCGCCACCATCAAGTTGTTCTTTCTTCTCTCGTTTGTTGATCAATCCTACCCGTCTATCTAGTCGACCAACCAGCGTTCGACAGCGACACCAACAAAGCCAACGGCTCTTACCGGCACTCGGAGCTAACCTTCAAGATTTCTCACTACGGAATCTACGTACTCTACGTACCCCCATTACACTACCACATCGATACGGCAATACCAAACGTCCCCAGGTCGAAGCCTGTTGCCCGCCAACAGCTACTCCCTGTTACCCCAAAAAAAATAATCCGTCCACGCCGCATTTCTCCAACCAGCTGCCTCCCGGACTCTGAACTTTGGCTGTTTCTTGCTTATAGCTCAATCCTGTGATCACGCGCCTTGTCAACACGGAAATCCGTTCACCTGCGTCGCCTGTCATCTTCCATCCTGACAGCGCCAGTTTTGCGCAGACTATCCATCGCACGGCTTGTCGCACGACGGACAAACGAAGCCAGCCGCCCGTCACGAATCGCCCATTTCCCTGTTATCCGAGACACACGACGCAAACCCTGGACGCTAGTTTCCCGATCGACCATGAGCTTCTCCCTCTGAGCTTCTGCGACAGTGTGAATCACCACCCATTCCCAAGCCTAGACCTTGTTCGCCCTCGTACCGTTTGTTGCGGACCCCCCTTGCGACAACTGAGCTTACCTCTACGACCTATCTGACGCCCCCGACGTTATTCCCCCCCTGGTTTCGTCGTTTAAACGACCTGCACGCCTACATCATGACCTTCGCATCCCAGTATCGCATGCCCGGCACCTACTTCGACGCACAGCCCGCCGGAGTACACCCGGGCGTCTTTCGCCCGCCTTCCTCACCCTCAGCAAGCTCCTCTCTATATCTTGCGAGGTCGACCGGCAGCTACCACTCCGAAGCAACGTCGGCTCTAGCCCAGGCCAAGCGTAAACGTCGAATCAATGCTTCCCGCGAGGCTACCCCTCTGCAGGAGTGGTGCGATGGCAATGTGAACCTCGACGGCTCAGCCGATCTACCCCCGACGCACGAGACCCCTCAACCGAACCGAGAAGCCCGCTACACACTCGCCGGCCAGCTCGAGACCCCCGGTGCCGCCGCCGCCAACCTGCCCTACGACAGCGGCAACTTGGACGATAGCATGTACTCGGATGCTGATTACCGAAGAAAATTAGGATCAAAACGACCTCACGAAGAAATGGAATCGCCAGTCTCCGGCCAGCCGACTGTGCTGGTCCAACCTCAACCGGTAGCAGAAGGATGGAGCCGTTTCGCAATAAACACTATCGGCGGCGTTGTCGGCAAGGTGTGGGAGTTCTGCAAGGCTGGCGCTTTCAGAGGCTTCTCAGCGGGAGGTGGTAAGGCTTACACCATCGATGGCCAGGGCCTACCAGATGCGCCGGCGGTACCTATATCAGAGCCTGAACCCCAGCCTCAGTTGTCAGAGAAGATGATTGATTTCGGAATCGAAAGCCCGACCCCGATTGTTGCGACTGTTGATACTTCGCCACCTGTTGCTCTCCCCCAATCAGACTTCGTACCCTTCACCCATGAAATGCAACACACATTCGCCCCCGAATTCACCACGCCATCACGTCCGGCGGTAAAGCGTCGACAAACTAGCGCTGGAAACCACGACGAGCTTCGCAACTGGGTCGTAGTAGACGAACCACAGGGTGGAGCCGGCAGACGATCACTGCCCCGACCGACATCCCGTCCGGTATCCCGTAGCACTCGGCCGTCTATGACGACAGGTCGGAGAATCAGCGTTCCCAAACCGCGCCTCAGCTCGACGCCCGCCGCCCCCCCACGCAGACCAACCACGAGCCACAGCACCATATCCCACGCCGGGTCTATTTCTCTGTCCCCGCGACAGCCGGCTAGCTTTGCGGGGGCTTGGTCCCCAGAAACCCCTTCGCAGCTGACGGGCCCGTCACCAAGTCGGATCCCCGTGCCTATTCAGCCTGCCGGCATGAGCCCGAACCCGTTTGCGAGAGCGAGCAACCCCAACATGCGCCAGAGCGCCATTCCCTCACCGGTACAATCCAACATCAGCCCCCACTCGCATCGACGCTCGCAGAGCAGCGCCTCGGCGGCGGCGACGTCGAGACCAAAGACGAAGGACTTTAACGTCGACTCGATCCGAGCAAGTCCCCGGCTAGACGCCGAGGCCAAGAAGCTTGCTGCGAGAAGGGCGCGCGACGAACACGACTCTGATGCGCGGATCGACGACTTTAACCAGCGACTCAAGGAGATGATTCGCCAGGGTCGCGAGGCCCTCGGCACCAAGATTGAGATTGACGGCGACGACGGCGGTTGGATGGATGACTGAACCTTTTTGCCATGCTGTTTTTTGTTCTTTTTCCCGTTTTTTTCCTCTCTCGGCAAGGCGTTTTGCTGATACTTTGGTTTGGTTGCATTTCGGGGTATATGCTGAATGGCGGGGAGTTTAAGGGGGCATGTCGTTGCGTTTTGATACCACCTACTTACTACGTGACGTGACGTTTAACGTACTTTACATATTTGCTGGCTGGGGGGGATTTCCTGGCCCCCCTTTGCCTGAATCATGGGGTTGACGGACGGTGTTTTCACACCGTCTTTGGTCTGGGTCATTTTTTCTTTAACGTTGATTGAGATGTGAAATACTCAATACGAATTTTCAAATCATGGCTATCCTGACGTGTACTACCGTTTAAACCGTAACGATACATGTTTTCTGGGTATCCTCATTGCTGGACATTCATCCGTGCTTCACGAGCATCATGTCTTACAGCGGCCTCTCTCAACGAGTTTGCTTCTTAAAATTTATGCATCTGGCCCTTTCCGCAAGACGAACACTTTTCCTCCCCCAGCTTCGCCAACTCGGCCTTACACTTGGAATGCTGACAGTGCTTGGTACAGTACCACCTAGGACACTCCTCCACAACACACCTACGCCGCTCGGAGGGATGGTCAATGGTCAAATGCGCAACGCCACACCGGCACCTCTTCAAATGGCAATCCCTCCCGGCGTGGCCCAGCAGTCCGCACATGCAACACCGCGCTTTACACATCATGGCGTTGCGGTGGTACTCGCTCCCGGGCTGGTCCCTGTCGGTCTTGGGACACTCGGCGGTACACACCACCAGACAGCGCTTGGCGAGATGCCGCTGCGGGAAGGGGCTGCATTTGCAGTGGTTCCGCGGGACGCTCTCGCACGCGTCGACGGTGTGCCAGCGTTGTCCGCAGTGGCCGCAGTCCGCCTCGCAGTCGTCGGTCCAGTGGAAGGGGGATAGGCAGTTGCGGCATGGCTCGTGGGGGTACTGGTCCTGGCTTTGGTCGTCGTCGTCGGCGAATTCGAAGGGGTTCGTATATTCATAGAGTGATCCCGAGGTCTCGGAGGCCCCGGAGGGCTCGAAGGGCTCGACGTCTCGCATTACATCTAGGACTAGATCTACCAGGGCCGAGGTGGAGAGGGTGACCCAGGATTGGGAGCCTTCGTCAAAGACCGTTGCGGCGCTGGGCGTGTTAGATGAGGTTATCTAGACTTGATGGATGATTCTTACGCCATTGTGGTATGGATGTGAAGCCTGGTTGTAGTTTGTTGCAGGTGAGGCTATGGATTGAGCAGGCGGGGCTCATCGGCTATGTGAGCCATGGAAAGTGAGGCTGAGACTTCTTCACCGCAGTCTAATGTGTGGATGTATGGAAAGCACTTGTTGCTAGCAAGAAGGTGGCCTTCAAGGTGGCGCCTTCCGAGTTCACATTGGGAGCATGAAGTGAGGTTGAGGAAGGTGCGGCTTATTGAAGCCACTGAGCACATGCCAAAGTACCAAAATTGGGCTCAACAGTGTTGCACTGTCTTATGCACGGCCTTACCAAGACATTCGAGGGAAGGTAAAAGACGAAAACTGATCCATTACAGTATGGTTTACCTAGGTTACGCCAAAATAATTGTTTTTATCATAGATGTCTTGATTACTTGTACATCCTCTTTTCTCAAGCCCATTACAATGCGTCTTAATGCTCTCTGCCAAGATGCCACAGTCAAGGCGATGCAACCATGGTGTTGAAACATCTACAAGCGAACCGCATCCCATAAAACCCAACGCTGTATCCAACAAACGCTTCACACCAATACTTCTACAGTTGATGCTCTCGAAGGAATATCGCCCCGATAAGCCCTACAGCGGACGAAATGAGCGACACGCCGTGGCTGAATCCTAATCCCTCGACGTATGCCGCCACTATGGCTTTCGCAATGTTGCTGTCGGTATGATCAATAAAGTCTACATTCGACGTGGCTTTGGAAATAATCTGCAAATCGCATCAGCAAAGCATCGAAAACATTGGCATACAACTCACCGTATTCCGCACGGCTGCCTCAATACCCATCCCCTTTAGCAACGCTTCCAGCCTCCATCGCATCCTTTCCATCATTACGGCGCTCACACTCGAAAGACCGAGAATCATGCCGATCTGCACCGTCAAGAACACGCCAGACGTCACTGCAGCCTTGTGCTTCGGGTTAACCGCTGCCTGGACGCTGATAAAGCCAGCTGACTGCACAAGACCCGCTCCCAGACCGCCTGGGAAGATGTATAGAGACTCCCAAATGTTGGTGTTTCCGTGCCATCGAAGGAGGAGGAGAACGTATGAAAAGGATGACGCGATCGTCGCGATGATCAGAAGCGACTTGTAGCGGCCAGTTCTGCGCAGATTAGCAAGGAAAGCGTGTGGACACGAGCGGTCAGCCTACTTTTTGATCAAATATCCAGCCAAGATACCACCAATGGCATTTCCCGCAACTGCAGGGAACAAATGAAGACCAGCGACAGTGTTTGATACTCTCTGGGTGACCTGAAAGTATAACGGTACCGAAAACAAGAGGCCTAGTTGGGCGGCAATCTGAGCACCGGTGATGACGTACGTAAGGACAATGTCTCGATGCTTCAGGAGCTCCAACGGGAGGATAGGCTCCTTTGCCCACCATTCCTCTGTAGCCGCGAAGAGGCCACCAAGAACAATGGCGGCTCCAAAGAGGATAAATATGAGCGGGTGCGTCCACGGAATTTTGGTCCCTCCGATCTCGATAGGCAGCAGGAAGGCCAGAACGAATAACGCCAGAAGGGCGGCTCCCAGAAAGTCAACCCTTGCCAAGGGGCTCTTTTCGTCAAGTCCCACTTTTGGCCCCTCGGCCTCTGCCTCCGTCTTTGAATTGGGCTTTCCCCTCGGCAAAAAGAACCAACATAATAAGACGGCAATCATGAAGATGGGAGCCTGGCCGAGAAACGACCACCGCCATCCAATCGTATCGGCGAGCCAACCTCCGATCGGTCCGCCGAGACTGCGGCCTACCGTGGCGGCGATATTGATGCCTGCTTGCCAGGCGGCGACGTCGCGAAGCGGCACAAGATCTGCCAACATCAGCCATTACTCTCCTATGAACCCGGGGTTTTCTTACCAGTGATTAGGAGCAACCCAAGCACGTTTAGTGATGAACCGCCAGATCCAGAAATCACGCGCCCGAGAACAACCTGCCACATTGTGCGGCCAACACCAATCATTACACTAACAGCTGTCAGCTACTTTCCAGTTTTGTTAACTCATTCGACTCACCATCCAGCAGCAAACAGCGTGTAAGCAACCATTAGCAAAGCACGGCGTCCATATATATCACTAAGCTTGCCATACTTTTTCAGTGTTAGTGGGTCCCCGATTGAAACATTCGGAAACGCTCACCAAAGTCTGAGTCGCGGCTCCAGCAAGTGCAAAAGCAACAAACAACCAACTCGAATTCTCTAAATCGTTAAACTCGGAAGCAATCGTCGGGTGCGTCGCCATAACCAGAGAACCGTCCGCGTTAGCAGTAAATGTCCCAACCAGCAGGATCGCTACAATCTTAACAACGGCCGATGCCGGCAACCCTTGCGGTTTCGTCGTTGAGTCACCGCCGGTGCGAGCGGGTGCAGTGCGTTCAACGTCAACGCACGCCTCATCGACCTCTGTCGACGGTGTGAGATGCCAAGGAAGGAATTGGCCGTCCGAGTCTCCGCTCGACGACGACGAACTGGAAGTCAAGGAGCTCTCACCTGACGAGCTCGATTCACGTCGAGCCTGCGACAGCAGCGGCGACCTCTCGTCGACCACCCCTTTTGCATTCTCACCTCTACCACGCAACGTCTCTCGGCGAGCCATGTTGATTCAGTTGGCGTAATGCGGAGGTGAGAAGTCACAAAAAGAGCCGCAAGCGGGAACGTAAATCTACAAAAGTAAAGGTGTCATCGGCTTTTTTAAATCCGATGCGATCTAGGATTAACCTTCAGAGTGACGGCAGCGTAGCATGTGTGTGTGTGTGTGTGTGTGTGTGTGCGGGCACTCGCACCCGCCGAGATCCGCAACGCCCCCCCAATAACTCTGACCAATCATGCCCTTTAGAAACTCCGATGTTCTATCTCGACCATTGACTCGAAGGCTGCCGGAAGATGATAAACAAGATAGGGCTTGACAGGAACAAACGTTGCCGACAAGGGGGTCCAGGCTCTGCAGTCTTTGTTATTGCGACATATTGCGCCATCGCTGCCATGCGACTTCGGGCGTCTGCGGTCCCCCACATAGAACGGGAAGCCGGCGGGGCCCGGTAGTTCCCCGGCCGGCTGGACGTGAGAAAACGAGTTCAACATCCGAACGACGCAGCAGAGATTGCAGCTGTCATTGAAACCTGCATCCAGAATTATGGAACTTGCAGCGGCATGTGGGGACGCTTTTCAGGCACAAGAGGTTTGTTCTAGATTGAATTTTTATTTTATTTTTCCCTTTGACAAACGGATCTCGCCTGTGCCTGGACGGTAAACTCGGCTGGTGCGAATCGGCTCCGGGATTCGGAAACATTGACGTATGACTCAGCAGCACACCTGACGTGAAGTTGAAACTCTGCTGAACATTTGACGGCTGCCGTTGCGGTGCCGATGTCTTCGGCCAATTTTCGCGTCGCGAGGAGACAGCATGATTGCATTAGATAACGGTCTTTGCTCAGTACAGGTTTGTGGTTCGAGTGTCAAGCCGTCACTCATGCCTCTCGGAACCCGCGCGACCGAGGTAAGTTCAGCTGAGTTGGTGCTACTAAAGCGAAGTGTGACATTTGGGAACGTTTCATGGGAGGACTGTTTGAGTGACCCGTGCCCGTTTTTGCCCGTGGCAAGCGGATGGCGAGAATATGACGACGTCCGGCTTTGCCACGCAGCCCAGATGTAATCCAAATCTACCAGAGGGTGAGTTGCAGGCTTCAACATCTACGTATCAACCCACTGCTTTCGTGTTCTCAGTGCTTTTAACATATTACAATGATGGCTAGAACAGATAGACCTACAACTGGTTCAGCTATCCATGGTTATCCCATGCAATTGCTGTACTAAACATATTGGAGTTTTAGCAGATAGTTGTAACGCAATTGAACAGTAATCTTAGTAGCAGTTACGGAGGCCTGTTTCGGCAAGGTATCTTTGTTTCAATACCTGCCTTCATGCTCGGTGATGCGGTCCTATCTTTACTGGTTGGATGTATTTACAGCCATGGATTAGCTTGACAGCAGGCGCGCATACAACCCCCACTCGGTTGCAGCTACCATCCTTTGGCTTATCCTGTTCTTTATGCTCAATCATTAACCTTGAAGAGGATTACCAATCGGCACTGGACAATCGTTAGTGTACCTCATGTAAATTTCGAGGGCACATCAACAGCATAGTTCAGACGGATTTCAAATAACCGTACTGGTCTTACTTTTCTTTTCGAACGTCGAAAATCAGATGTGTTTAATTTAATCGGCAATTCCTGGCATGTCTTGTTCCAGCGGCTGCAGGTAAACTCATCTACAGTAACGTGAATGAGCCGGCAAATCGAATAAATTGATGACCAATACTAACTTGCATTGTTAGAAGTGAGTTCCAAAACAGTTCATAAGGTATCGAAGAAGGCTTGGATGTTGTGTCTCATAAGATATGAGTACACACATGAATATAACACCATCTACATGCTGTGTCTAGGCTAGAGGTATATATAAAGCATCTCCTTGAGAGATTGTAAATGCTGATAAAGCTGGCCCGTTCAAGAACTATCATGAATTTTCACACAAGAGCAAATTGTTCATGATTCTAAAAACATTTCGCTGTTAATTCTTACTATTTCATGATCTGCTCGCAACGTAGCTGTTATTGGTCAACTATCTGGGAATTGGTTAACGCTACGCTTTGTGAAAAGAAAGTATGCAAAGCTATTGAAAACAGTTAATAGTGAGCTACAAGTGATCTTGATTTGAAATCAATTTAATATGTATACTTCTGATTACCTGCCTCTGGGTGACAGACATTGGTTCCTGCTGCCACAGAACTGCTCTTCATACCTAGGTAGTTTGAAGAGGCTTGCACGCCATTGAGGCTGATTATCTATCAGTAACAACTCCAGCTGAGTTGCGTTATACTGCTAAACTGTCGAAAACCCCTGCCACCCGCCTCTCTCTTTTTATGCTGGCTGGAATGGCTAGCCATTCTAAAGTTGGCTGTTTGGTTCTATATCTCTCGGCAGCTTCTGTAGCTTGCCTGTTTCTTCCTCCAAAGGATATGACACCATTGGAGAAGATGAGACGCAACGGAAAGCTATGGGACTGACAGACTGTTGCCAAACGTCACAGCTGTACAACAAGCTTTTGCCCTGATATTGCCTTACTCTCCAATATCTTCAGCCCTTCCAGAATGGCGGGAAACCCTTCCAAAAGTTTTACAGGATGTGGACGCAGTTTCCCCTCATCGAGGAGTCGCTGTGCGGTCACGAACCACTTGCGAGCAAACTCCTTTACCTCGGCATTGGCGTCACGCTCAAACGGCAGCGGCCAGTTAATCCGCTTGCCGTGCATCGTAGGACCCAATACCCAGTCTGGAGTAACTGTCTGCTTCCGCGTATGGAGTACATCTGGAAATGGTTCCAATCGAGTGTACTTGCCTCCAGTACGACCGAGACATGCGTAACAAAACGCCATTGTGTCGACCTCGGAGATGCAGTCCAGAGCGAACTTGAGACCATTCTTGGTGTAGCTCCTGATATCCTCAATACATGTCTTTGAGTTATAGTCGAACAGGATATCCGCACCATAAGACTTGACCAAGTCGTAGTTCTTAGGCGAGCAAGTCCCAATAACATTCATACCAGATCTGCCTCATGGTTGTTAGGTTCGTGTTACTCCTCCGTTATATATCCTGGAAGAACAGCACTTACAGCTTCGCCAGTTGCACGGCCATTGTGCCTACACTCGAGCTTGCACCATATATCAAGATATTCCTCCCCTTCTCTCCTGTCATGGGCGCATCTGGGTGTCCTGGGATGCCCAACGAACCGAACAGCGCCAGCCCAATTGTTGCAACCGCTGTTCCTAACGATGCTGCCTGAGCATCAGACATATTTTCCGGCACCTTGAGGCAGGCATGCGCGCTTGCACCAACGATCTCCGCAAAAGCCCCAACAGCTGGCGTGAGGTCGTGCATGCCTTGGACAGCACTGCACACTCTGTCACCAATTGCCAGTGGCACTGGCGTTACCTTTGCTGCATTGCTGCCAATGGCAAGTACTGTGCCTGAGAAATCGTGACCTGCGATTGCGCCTGGTGTGATCAGTCGACCTTGCATCTTATTGTCGACGGGATTCAATGCGACAGCCTTTGTTGATATGAGGATCATGTCATCCTCAAGCTCTGGCACAGGGGCATCATTCGTGACAGCCAGACCGCCAGTAGCTAACCCTACGACGGCGGTCTGACGGCTGGGAATATTCGGCGTTGTCATTTCAGTCGTGTTTCTCAGAGCGTGAGGTATCTTCCTTGTATGTGGGTATCTCAATTGGCATGGAGTCCCAATTTGATTCTAGGTGCGTATACAAGTTGGTAGTTAAGTTTAGCCGATCGATATACGTAGCAATGCACATTATATGCTCATTAACCAATAAGCGCCCAAGTTCGTTACCGCTATTATACGCGAGCTACTAAATCTTCTCTGAAGCATTGTCTGTCTTGGCTAGGGTCATCATATAACTATGCGACCGTCTCGTTACCGGTTTTAAAGAAGTCTCCGTCGGATACGGAGCGGGGCAGTGCCATACTAGATCGCCGAAATGATGCAGTTATATAAACTTCCCGCAGGCACGGACTCTAGCAATCACCTAGTTCATACACTGTGAGGGGCGAATCTGTAGATATACTTGACTCAGGAACTCTAAGTGTGTTTACATTGGGCTGTGCATTTGCCAAGTAAAGGAAATGCGAATGCCACGGAACTTAGGCTGCTGGTACAATAAGGAGGACAATTTACCTCGGGTTATCTGTGCCCGTCGTTTGCAACATCACATTAGGAGACATTACCATTAGCGGTAATAGGATTACCGTTCTCAACAGCTCTCACTCAACATCATCCAACGCGTTCATATCCATCCAAAAAATGGTCGAGACAGCAGTTACAACCACTTCCACCGACCCGGCAATCAAAAGCCATCCAGTTCAGCATCCTTCAGACCCGAGCAAATATGAAATCGAAGCAGTCTCGCCTGAGAAGATGGCCATCATTCACGCCACTGCGCCAATGCTCAAGGAACAGGCCATGACCATCACCATGTCTTTCTATTACAGCATGAAAGACGTTTACCCGGAGCTGATTGCCAAGTTCGCTAAACAGCCTCGACAGCTATCAACGGCCATTCTGGCCTACTGCCAGCTGTTGGATGATCCACCAAAATTGATGAAGGGAGTAGAAAGAATTGCGCAGATACACGTAGACGCCGACATCACGCCGGACCTCTATAGGCTTGTCGGGACGGGCTTCATTGAAGCAGTGGGAAAGGTTTTGGGGGATGAAGCAACACCAGAGATATTGGAAGCTTGGGATGAAGCATTCAGAGTTTTGTCAGATGTTTTGATAGCTCGTGAGAAGCAGATTTACGCAGAGATAAAAAAGAAGGAATGAAAGCCGCAATACGAGTCAACGCTATTTTTGGGCCAAAGCTTTTTTTTTATAAAGAACACAATCTTTCGCTACAGTTGAATTACATGATAATTTGAGGTTGGAGTTGATGTATGATTTCTTCAGCTCCCTTGATTCAAGTCACCGGTTTGAAAACTCGCCGAACGTCCCCGCTTTGGGGTAGGAGTAAGGTGTAAAACGGGATCGGAGAATCACTATGTATGACGGAGGTTTGACCCGACTTTTACTACGCACAGCTTATAACTGGCTTATCTTTCTTCAAAACTTTATTCGACATTCAACTTTTCGTATTCCAAAGCACACCTATCATTTCCCCAATACCTTGCATCATGGACATCAATCGCACGGGGGCTGACCCCAAACCATTAGTTATCATGATGTCCATTCCCACTTATGGACACACCTTGCCACTCTTGAAAATATGCTCGCATCTCACAGCGCGTGGCTACCCGGTCTTCTTCATTGGCGGCATTCAGCACCAGGCTCAGATACAGCGTGCAGGCGCAGAATTTATCGAGCATCCTATCTGGGGCATCACAGAAGATTTCAAAGCGGAACGAGACAAAATCACCAATATCTTCAAACGCAACACGTTCGAGGCTGAACAGGTTTACGTTGGGAGCATGCCACAACGTCATCAAACGCTTCGCCTTACTCTTGAACGAGTCCGTAGAGACTATCCCGAGAAAGAAGCCGTCATTGTGCATGAATGCATATCGGCGTTCGCAACGCTTCCGTTCTTTTACGGTGCGCCGTTGCCCGTAGGCTACAGCAAACTACCCAAAGTCATCAATATCCCCATCTATCCGATGTTTGTGTGGAGCATCGACACACCTCCGTTTGGACCTGGTTTGCCACCTACAACAACGTTCTTTGGGCGGATGATCAATTTGATACTCTATTATGTTATCATCAACCTACCGATGTACCGTCAGATTATGAGGCGCGTTAACGATGAGATGAAAGCACTTGGCGCCACCAAGAAAGTCACTGAGTGGCTTCCTGACGTGGTTACGACAACTGCACATGAGGTGTTGATGGTTTGTAGTCCCAGTATGGATTACCCGAGGTCTGACCTCAGCCCAAAGATTCGATTCGTGGGTTGCTTGCCAAACAACGATTTTACCACGTCGTTTCGTCCAAGAATTCAGCCTCCTGAATGGTGGCCCATTATTGAGGAAAACGCAAAACTTCCGTTGCAGCTGAAAAAGCATGTAGTGATGGTCACACAGGGGACTCTATCCATCGACTACAACGACCTTTTGATTCCACTCATGCGGGCACTCTCTGACCGACCCGACATCTTGGTCGTTGCGCTACTGGGGGGTCATGACAAGAAACTGACTCAAGGTTTTCACGTACCCTCTAACGCATATGTAGCGCAATACTTGCCATATGAGCTGATACTCCCATTGAGCGAGATATCCGTACAAAACGGAGGATACGGTGGTTGGACTCAGGCTGTTATGTATGGGGTCCCGACTGTTCTTGCAGGAGCAACGGAGGAAAAGCGAGAGAATGTGATGAGAGGCCAATGGACAGGGACTGCTGTCGGAATTAAGAAAAGGCGGCCTTCGGTCAAAGAACTCCAAGACGCAGTTGACACTATATTGAAGAATTATGGGCTGTACAAGCAGAAAGTGTTGGAACTTAAGGCTGAAAATGAACGTCTGGACGCCTTAGCCCAGATTGAACAGGCTGTAATGACATCACTCTAGGTTGGTTTGATATCAAGGTCTACACTTGGCATAGTAAATACTAAACTCACACTGTTATATCACTTATGAGTTTTTATAGCCTTGCCTCTGCCCTAATTGATCGGCATTGCTCAAAATCAACGAGTAAGTGACTTGCTTCGTCGATTACCGATAATCAACCATAAGGTTAAGCTTATAATTTGACTGCATTTCACATGATAAGAACCCCTTGAGTAATATTTGACAAGGCCCGCAGCATGGAATCCACATCCTTGAGCGCCGTGGGAACATGGTGACTACCCTCAAATTCGATACATTTCGCCTTTGGTCCCTTCCAGCAAGAGTCATACATCTTCTTTGATTGCCCTTTGTAGGGATCCTTCGTTCCAATAACATGCAGAGAGGCAATGCTAATAGTTTCAGTTGGAACAGAGGAATCTACGATAGTGAGATATGTCAGCACGAAGACGTTCTGCCATATTGGCAGCGGGCTAGATTTTCTTACCTCGTTCTTGGGAAGTAAGTAACGTTAGTGGTGGATAAGTGGCGCAAATTAGCCATGCAAACTGGAAGATGGGGCAGTATCCCCAGCAGCGACCCAGCTCATGTTGATCAAGGAGCAATCCTGTGGCAATGCCACAACCTTGGGAGAACCCAATGACACCTACAAAGGGTGCGTTGCTTGACTTCTTGAGCAGATTTCCTATATAATCCTTCACTATCTGACGCTCACGATTGATGTCCTCTTCTGTCAAGCCAAGATGCTCGGAGTTTGACTCTTCGCACTGCCAGCGGTAGAATGGGCCGGAACTGGCAAAGGTGGGATGCATGCCAGGTCCTATGCCACATTCAAATGGTGCATTGGCGAAGACGAAATCGAATTGAGCGCTGAGTGCCTTTGTGAATCGTCGTAGCTGCACCTTGAAGATGGCACCGCTTGAACCTGCTCCGTGCAAGCAGAGAACCTTGGGCTTGTCCATGACCAACGAGTTAAAGCGCTGTTTATGTTGATCTTTAGAGCTCTCGACAGTCGATGAAGAAGTTGTCAACTTTGGTTTAGCGTAGAAAGAACAAGCAAGGAGGTGATAGAAAGGGAATGGGAAACGATGATGTCTGCTTGACTGCTTGACTTCGAATACAGTCAGCAAGAGTAGTAAACCCAAAATCAAAATAAAAAATAAAGATAACGACACAATGTGTCATCGTAATCAGAATGTGGTACATAGGCCCCTTGTTGCTTACAATTTCTATTCTAAACTCAATGCCGTCTCTGTACTCCGTCTGCAATTCTGTCGTTCACTGTGAGAACGTCATTTTCTTGGCATCGATGTTACTCACGGTTATCGCCGGCGGGGTAAGACGAACCATGCAAGTGTCCGGTCCTAATCTAACCTCCAGCAAGGATGGCTTGCCGAGCTCAGAGAGAATCTAAATCAAATAGTGTTTGATATGTCCCACCATGCTACAGAGTGGCTATGGCTGCATGATAGCACTCAATGTTTTAGAGCTTGCACTAATATTTCTTGGATGTCAGCAACTTAAATAATATCCGATTCATAATGAGATTGCAGGCCATTCACAGCCCATGAATATCACTCTTTGGTCAAGACTATTGACAACGAAATTCACAATGAGTTCCCACTTCAAGATTGAGCCGCTTCACTCCTACTTTGGAGCTTCTGTTTCAGGCGTGGACTTCTCTAATCCTGTTCCTCAAGAAGTTCAACAAGATATTCAGCGTGCACTACACCAAGTGAGCCAGCCCTTCTCTGCACACAGGCCCTGTAATTACATCTAACGGCCTTTGCTAACACAATGCGTTCCAAAGTATGGTGTGCTGGTGTTCAGGGATACGGCTCTCGATGACCAGAAACATGTTGACTTTGCCAAAATGTTTGGTCCCATCGACAAGCTGAACATACCCCCAGGCAGTGGTATCAAGGCACGCTTCGAAAATGATGAATTGCAAGACCAGGGGAATTTGGGCCTAGATGGTGCTCCTCTCCCTGAAGATTCCCCCAAGTCACATTTCAACAGGGTAAGTTTAATCAACAAAAGATTAATTTATTCCAATCGCTCACACGATTACGCAATTTCTAGGGCAATTTGCTATTTCATGTAGACAACAGTTATCATCCCCAGCGGGTGAAGTACTCCATGCTTCGCGCATTTGAACTTCCTCCTCCTGGTACAGGTGGCAACACCGAGTTCGTCGACGTCCGCCAAGCGTGGGACGACCTCCCGGACCAGTGGAAGCAAGAACTTCTAGCGAAGGACTACCGTGTTAGACATTCCATGTGGCACTCTCGAAAGCTTGCGTCTCCGGACTTTTTCGCACGTCTTGATCCAACCAACTATCCATCATCTCTCAGACGGTTGGTCCAGGAGCACCCCGACACTGGTCGAGCTCACTTGTATATTGCCTCCCACTGCTTTGAGATTGAGGGCCTCTCCGCAGAAGAGTCAAAGGAGAAGCTTGATTATTTGATGAACCACGCTACCCAGGAGAAGTATATCCTTTCTTTGCCATGGTTTAACAATGGAGACTTCATGATGTGGGATAATCGCTGTGTCATGCATCGCGGCCAACCCCTTACAGGGCTTTACAAGCGAGACTTGAGACGGGCTACAATCCTTGATGAAGGCAAGGAAGCATATAGCTTCGATGCCAAAGACTACGACTTCATGAAATTTTGGTCTGCGGCTTTCCATGTCATGCAGCAGTACGGTAATGGGGTTCAGGAAGCCGCAAAGAAGCAATTAGGCATCACTGGCATGGACGTTACTGGGCTTGATAAAAGAATTCCTCAAGTATAGTATCGATAGGGAAAAGCCAGAAAGTTTTGCAACCACAGAAATGAGAAATGGTTATTTGCGCCTGAATTTGACAATTTATTTTCGCATCCAGTCTATGTCAGTGGCATTACCTTTTGGTGAATCCTAGTATATGATCTTATCCATTTTTATAATTCTCTTAGATTGATGACTTAAGATTGTTATACTTCTTATTATAGATGGTTCACTCATACGTGAATGTCCCATGTCCATATGCAACCTTGAATGCAGTCAAGCACAGTTATATAAGCCTAATAAGATATGACAAGTACATTTTCTTAAAGATTCGGAAACTGGTTTTTTCTTTTATATCAGGCGCCTTTTCTCTTGCGCTACTCAAGCTCCAGCTGCCTTTTTGCCCTTCTCCGACTTTTTGACATTAACTTTAAACGACCCCATGCCCCAGGCGAATGGGATAGAGAGTGCCGACAGACCCGCGGCAAGCAGAAACACGACTTGTATGCTTTCGGAATACGCACCCAAGATACCTGCAAGATCCTCACCAGAAAAGCTTTTGCGAAAGGAGGTGGCTCCTACGTTCAGAATGGTTTCAACTACGGTGGCATTGGCGAACCGCTCCTCAACCTTCGCTCTCAACATGCTATCGAAAGTGACACTAGCGGCAGTAGACGCAATTGCACTTCCAAAATACATGCCGAATGTTAAAGTAGAAGACGCAATGGAGATTTGGTCTTGAGCCAAAGCGGCTTGTATAGCAATACTGGGCTAAAGATCGAGTCAGTCTGGTGCAATCTACCATATTGTGCACGTCTGACGATATCAGTATACTTACAGACTGTAGAGACATTCCCCTTCCGCAACCCGCGAGGAATTGGGATGAAACCCATTCAGCAGTGGGTGTAGTTGGCGAGAATCTACTCATGAGGCTGCACGCCATAGTGTGCAAGGCCGTGCCTACAATTGCCCACGGGAGATAATGTCCCATCTTGCCAACTATACAGCGCAAAGTACATCGTTAAACATGAAAATTCAAAGGATGGGCTATGAGGAGGATAGAACTTACTTAGGAACCCCGACAAAAGGGAGAAGAAAATTTGACCTGGCAGCCCTGGAAGCGTGTACAACGCGCCAGTCATGGGAGATTTGCCCCGTACAGATTGAAAGTAAAGCGGCAGAAAGTAGCTCTGTACAGTGGTCGCACCGATAGTAAACATCAGGGTTGCTGCTCCGGACCAAACCACCCGCTGCTTAGCGACAGACGCAGGTATCAATGCTTTGTCGCCGATACGGGCATTCCAGGCGCAAAACAGGATGAACAAGACTCCGGAGCTCACAAACATCCCAATGCAGGTTGGGCTATTCCACGCTATTTTCTCACCGCCCATATTGAGGGCTAATAGCAGTGAGGTGGTGGCTCCTGCGCAAAGAATGCACCCAAGAATATCGAAATACCGGTAAAAATGGCAGATTACTTCCCACCAGGGGGGCTTGGTGGTCTGCTCCGGTATCCGCATGAAGGCTAAGAGTAGTATCGCCGCGAAACCAATAGGAAGGTTCATATAAAAGACTGCTCAAGTTTTTGCAGCTTGTCAGTAACACGTCCCACACAGTTGAGAAAACCTCTTCGTGACTTACTCCAGCGCCATGTGCTATACTCAGTAATCACACCCCCAACAATTGGTCCTAAGAGCATGCCAGGCGCTGCCACTGTGATCGTTACCCAGGTATTAGCCAAGTAATTTGATGCCATGTGAAGGGTGGCTTTTGTGTCTTACGAGACATGACCACTGCCGTAAGTCCTAAATCATGCATTGTCAATTCATACTCCATTCAGCCTGGACATTTATCATGAACTAACCTGGCCTTTTTTCGATAGGAGCTAGACCAGCAATGACAGTTTGATTCCCTATGAGAAGACCTGAGCCCCCTAGGCCAGCCACTGCTCTACCCACTATGAGAATCATGGAAGAATCTGCAATTCCACAAATGAGAGATCCCAGTGCAAATAGAAGTATGAAAGCCATGAGAGACCACTAATAAGGTACATTTAGCTGCGGCCCATTTGGTATTTGGAGTATGAACAACGGACCTTTGTAGGGAGAAAGGTGTACACCTTGCCAGCAATGGGCTGAAATACAGTACTAGTTTCAACAGTCCTCATTAGAAATGGTGGAAATCGGACATGGAGGCACAACAGCAAGTTACTTCGACTTACCTTGCGATGAAGTATGCACTCCCATACCATCCAATATCATGAAGAGAGTTGAACTCATCTGTGATATTGGGAATAGCCTGTACACGTCCAACATTGTCAGACGAGAAGGTCCTGACATATGGGATTCATTTCATCACTATGCTTACCGGACTAAGAATGGATCCATCTAGGAACTGGACGAATACAACAAGAGACGTTCCTGCCATGACTAACCACAACTTGGCGCCTTGTAAATATTCGGGCACATTATTTTCTTCCTTCTCGTCCATCAGGACTTTTGAGCGGGTGGAGTGCGAACCCATTGCCGAATTTGGTGGATTACTCGTTTCCATTGCTTTCCTTGATGTGTAGGAAAATTTTCAACTTGGAGGCTGGAGAATAGGTCACTTCCTGTCGACTGGCAAACAGGTGAGAACCTCGTTTCGGTGTGGTATTCCCGGCAACCAAGGGTACACTCTCGCAAAGGCTCACTGTAATAGATTTTACTGAAGCGCGTGTTACTAGGGAGGTCTAGATTCTCTCCTGAATCTCCGGCCTACGAACAAATGTCTGGCTAGACCATTGCGCTGTCTAGGGCTAGGTTGCTTGTAATAATCGTTGTCGCTTATTGACGTGTCTCGCTTGGTGATGAAACTTTCCAGGAACAATCCGTCGGAATACGCGCATTCAACTGCCTGTGGTTAACCTTGTCGACACGATTCAGCTTCTCGCATTGCCAAGAATGTATGATTATCCGACGGTGGCCGTCGGATAGTTTATACGCCTAAAGTCAGTCATCTGAACCATTCAGTGTATCTATCTTTGTCTTGGCTGTCCCGCAGATCAGGAACCTTCTCTGACAGATCCCCGTGTACCCCGCCCCGTATCTATGGAACTCCCGATCCATGTATAGAGTCGTTCAGGATCATCCTGCTATTCATACTTAAACTTTAGACATAACTACTTTGCCAAGACTGGTCATCAAGAAAATATACCAAGACTATAACTTCAAATACAGAAAGGTTACTATCATCTGAGTTTATCTATGTCATAAATCTTCGGTCATTGAGTGCCATTTTTGTTGGGTATTTTAGTTCTGTGTCTCGAGGCGCAACGCTCTCCAGTGTTTCTGCAGACTACATGCCAGCCATGGCTGTTCCAGAGCCTGTCGCCATTGTCGGTGTCGGTTGCCGCTTTCCAGGCGCCGCCAACTCACCATCGAAACTCTGGGAGCTCCTGAGGTCACCTCGTGAGCTTGCAAAACGGATCCCAAAAGAACGATGGAATCTCGACAAGTTCTATCACCCAACAGGTAGCCATCATGGCACAACAAACGTAACAGAGTCATATTTTCTAGACGAAAATGATGACATTCGGTATTTTGACACGAAGTTGTTTGGTGTGGGTACTGCAGAAGCAGAAGCCATGGACCCTCAACATCGAATGCTGCTTGAAGTCGTGTATGAAGCAATGGAGCAAGGAGGGTTTACACTCTCCTCGCTTCAAGGCTCAGACACCGCAGTGTACGTCGGAATGATGTGTACGGACTATAACATCACATTGGGATTGGATTCGATTTTCATCCCACAATACACGGCTACAGGAGTCTCGCCAAGTAATGCCTCAAGCCGTATCTCATATTACTTCAACTGGCATGGTCCTTCGATGACAATTGATACGGCATGCTCATCTAGCTTGGTAGGTTTTTTTTTTTTTTTTTTTTTTCATTTCTACTCTCCCCCCTACGTTTTGGCAACCGCTAAACAGTAGTATTTATAGGTTGCTGTGCATCAAGCAGTAGATCACCTGCGGACAAACCGTTCTCGTGTGGCTGTAGCAAGTGGAACCAATTTGATGATCGGCGTCTCCCCTTACTTAACAGAGAGCAAACTCAACATGCTTTCGCCCACTGGTCGCTCACGAATGTGGGATGCAGACGCTGACGGTTATGCGCGTGGTGATGGCGTTGCAGCCGTGATCTTGAAGCGGCTCAGCGACGCCATCGCCGATGGGGACGTCATTGAAGGCATCATCCGCAACACAGGGTTCACTCATGATGGTCGAACGCTGGGCATCACGATGCCAAGCGGTCAGGCTCAGGCGGACCTCATCAAGCGAACCTATGCAGAGGCTGGTCTAAACCTCATGACCAAAGCCAACTGGCCGCAGTTCTTTGAAGCACATGGTACTGGAACACCGGTGGGTGACCCCCAGGAGGCCTCGGCACTTGTATCAGCCTTTTACCCAAACGGTAGCGACAAGTATGACGAGGAGGATCAACTCTTCGTGGGATCTATCAAGACTCTTGTAGGTCACACAGAAGGTACGGCAGGTCTCGCAGGGCTTTTGAAGGCATGTCTTGCTCTCAAGAATGCCGAAATACCCCCCAATCTGTTATTCAATAGGCTATCTCCAGGCGTGGCGCCTTACTACAAGCATCTGTGTATTCCAACAGAGGTGCAGCCGTGGCCGGAAGTTGGGGATGGTCAGCCAAGGAGAGCGAGTGTTAACAGTTTCGGTAAGCAGCCATCAGCTATGAGAACCCCTGAAGTATAACAAAATATTGATGCCATCAATTGTATATAGGTTTTGGAGGCACCGATGCTCATGCTATTCTGGAAAGCTACGAGGGATCTATGCTCCAAGAAAGCGAGAGGACCAATTCAGCCGTGCTTCCCTTTACCTTCTCCGCCGCCTCCATTGAGGCGCTTCGCGGATTACTACTCAAATATGAGGTTTACCTCAACGAACACCCTGACGTTAACCTTGGTGATTTGGGGTACACACTCGCCTGTAGGCGATCAGCCTTGTCATACAAGGTTGCCATCACAGCATCAACAGCAACCGAATTATGTGAAAAGATTCGCAACATTGTTCGGAAACCAGAGGATGAAGCGAATGATGATGATGAACCAGAGTCATTTGCCTTGAGAACTACGCCAGAAGAATCTACCTCTTATCTTGGAATCTTCACAGGCCAAGGCGCACAGTGGCCTAGAATGGGTATCGAGCTGATCTCTTCGTCGCCTGTCGCCTTGACCATTCTCGCCGAGCTGCAAAAGTCTCTCGACACATTGCCGGTAGAAGATCATCGACCTAAATGGACCATTATTGAACAGTTGTGTGCCTCAAAGGAGACCTCGCGGGTCACGGCTGCGGAGGTATCACAACCCTTGTGTACCGCTGTTCAAATTATCCTTGTTGACTTGTTGCGTCTGGCGGGGATCCGTTTCGAGGCTGTCGTCGGCCACTCTTCTGGAGAGATTGGTGCGGCATATGCATCCGGGTTTATCTCTGCCACGGATGCCATTCGTGTTGCTTACTATCGCGGCTATTGGATGATGCGTCCAAGCGGTGGAAACGAACAGGGCGCCATGCTGGCCGTGGGAACATCTTACGAAGATGCCTCGTCCCTCTGCGATTCTGAAGATTTAGAGGGGAGAATCACAGTAGCTGCAGTGAACTCTCCATCCAGTGTGACGTTATCAGGTGACGAGAGTGCAATTTTGATTGCCAAGGATGTTTTCGAGGAGGAGAGAAAGTTCTGTCGGCTTCTTCGCGTGGATAAGGCATATCATTCTCATCATATGCTTCCTTATGCGAAGGAATACGAGGAGTCATTGACGGCTTGTGGCATCAAGTGTCTCACCCCGACCGAAGGTGAAGGAATTGTTCGATGGTATTCTAGTGTCACTGCCGGCACGCTAATGTCACCTTCGGAAGATGTCAATGCCTCTTACTGGGTACGGAACATGACAAGCACCGTTATGTTCGAGGGTGCGCTCAAGGCAGCGCTCGCCGCTCATCCTTCTCTCGACATTGCCGTTGAGGTTGGACCACATCCTGCGTTGAAGGGCCCAGCAACGGATGTGATGCAGAGCATCGGACCTGGAGGTGCTGGTACCGTTGACTCTTTGCCTTACTTCGGTACCCTTCAACGTGGCGAAAACGACATGAGTGCCTTTGCTCAACTGCTGGGAGAACTGTGGACTTTACGTGGTCCAGATCCGCTCCATCTTAAGGCCTACCAGGACTCCTTCGGCGAAGGCCATGCCCGGCTTCTGTCGGACCTTCCGACATATGCATGGGACCATGATAGACCACTCTGGTGGGAGGCTCGGTCGACAAGAAACTACCTACGGCAGGAGGATACGTTCCATGATCTTCTGGGCAGTAAGACTCCGGATAGTTCGGCAGAAGAGTGGAAATGGATAAACTGGCTCAAGTCAGACGAGATTTCCTGGCTCGCTGGCCACTCGCTTCAAGGACAACTGGTCTTCCCAGGAGCGGGCTACCTCGTCATGGCAGTGGAGGCATGCATGAGACTGGCCGGTTCATACTCTGTGCAACTACTCGAATTTAACGACGTCGATATTCGCAAGGCTTTAGCTATCCCTAACTCGGGCACGGAAACTGTTGTAGCTCTATCGGGTATACAATGGGATTTACAACAGCACGAAAACTCCGCAGATGGCACGAAAGGTAAAATCACGGCGCGGTTCACTTGCTCTACGCCCCCACGCAAGGATGCCAATGAGCTTCTTGTCAACTGTTGTTGTGAGGTGCTCATTGTTCTTGGGCAACACAATCCGGACATACTAGCTCCTAGAATCCACACCCCAGTCGCATTAGCCGACGTTGAGGTCGAAGACTTCTACGCGGCCATGACCCGGCTGGGTTACTACTACGAGGGCCCCTTCAAGGCTATCAGTAGCCTCCAGCGCAAGTTAGACGTATCGAGCGGCACTGTCAGCAAACCCATCCGCGAGCCTGAGAGCACCGAAACGCCATTATTCATCCATCCCGGCATGCTGGATAGTGTCCTTCAAGCCCTGTTTGCCGCTTACTCGGCACCTGGTGACAATCGTCTCTGGTCAATGCATGCACCACGCACTATTGAGCGGATCCGTATGGTTCCTGGCCTTTGCAGCGACGATAATACACCAGAGGAGCTTGCCTTCGACACGATCTTGACAGATGCAACGCAACGCAACCGTATGGTAGGCGATGTTGATCTGTACACGCCAAGGTTCGGCCAAAAAATACTCGAGATTGAAGGTCTGGCGTTTGTGCCTCTAGCCAAGTTCGCGGGAGCCAACGACCGCCATGTCTTCGCCCAGTACGCATGGGTTGCAGATAGCCCGAGTGGCGAGCGCGCTCTCGCAGAGACGACAGGATTTGAAGTCATTCCCGAAGGATTGGAAAAGGCCAAGGCCCTTGAGAGAATCTCATTCTTCTACTTGCGTACCATCCGAGATGTACTCCATGAAGAAAGCTCCAGCAAGAACAGGAGCGTTCCACTACCGGCACATCGGTTTGCACTCATGCGCTGGGCAGATCATGTCTATGATCTTGTCAAGAGTGGAGATCATCCTTACATCCCAGCAGATTGGATGAATGACAACCTAGCAACTATTCAAAGTATAAGCGCTCCGATCGCCGACGACGCGGATGTGAAGCTTGGTATTGCCGTTGGTCAGAACCTTCCTGACGTGATCCGCAAGGACGAGAATATCATGTCGTATATGATGGCAAATGACGTCCTTGATAAATACTACGAACAAGGTCTTGGTCTTGCAGACCTCAACAAATGGAGCTCCAACTTGGCGCATCAGATCTCCCAGCGGTACCCGCAGATGTCCATCATCGAGATTGGTGCTGGCACTGGCGGAACAACGAAGGGCATCGTTTCAACCCTAGACCAGTCATTCGCGTCGTATACGTTCACCGACATTTCACCAAGTTTCTTTGAGAAAGCCCGCGAGAACTTGGCCGCATGGGAAGAACGCCTTGAGTATAAACCTCTTGATGTCACGAAGGAGCCATCAGCACAGGGTTTTCCCAGTGAGGCCTACGATCTAGCCGTTGCGGGTAACGTTTTGCATGCAACACCAGATCTAGGAGAGACGCTTCAAAATACTCGCAAACTACTCAAGCCGGGTGGCTACCTTATGGCGACGGAGTGTGTCGACAACACAGCTATTCGAGCAGGCTTTGTACAGGGTGGCCTGGAGGGCTGGTGGATTGGTGCGGAAACTGGTCGTCCTTGGGGTCCGACTGTCTCGCTCGCCGAGTGGGATGCCCTGCTAAAGGCGAATGGTTTTGCCGGTGTCGAAACTGCCACGCCCGTACTCAACGGTCTATACAATCAGGCTTCTGTCTGGTTGGCTAGGGCCGTCGACGATGACTTCCGACTTTTGCGTGAACCATTAGCAGTTTCTGACTCACCACAATACGTTATCTCAGACCTGGTGCTCTTGGGCACTGAAGCAGGTCATCACGCAGGAGCACTCGCAAAAGGCATCCGTCAACTCGTCTCACCCACCGATGCCAAGCGGCTCAGAATCGCCGTGGAGAGGATACATGAAGTTGCTTCACTCGAGAGTCTCGTGGCAGAAGATGGGAAGGAATGTTACAAACTTCCCGAAAACTGTACTGTTCTCTCTCTCGTCGAGCTTGACGCACCCATTTTCAGGGGTATGACCAGTCATAGATGGGAGGCCTTGAAAAAGGCACTCATTCCAAGCTCCAGCATCTTGTGGCTTACCGCCGGTGCACGGAACGGTATTGAGCCCTTCGCAGCGATGACGGCTGGTGTCATTCGTACGCTCGTCAATGAGATGGGCTTGACTGCCTTCCAGATGTTTGATGTCGATAGAGCGGCTGACTTGCCCGTCGATTTGGTTACCAATAGCATTCTGTCTTTGGCTGTGCAGCACGAATGGAAGTCGAAGGGAGCTCCAAAGAACATGACCTGGACTCTGGAGCCCGAGTATGCGCTTGAGGATGGAGTCATGAAAGTTTTGAGAGTGGTTCCAGATCCCGAGAAAAACGATAGATACAACTCGCTTCATCGTCGCATCACCAAGCCCATCAGTCTCCTTCGTGGAAACACTACTGAGACGGAAGCACCAGTGGTAAAAATCCTCTACAACGAAGCTGAGAAATGTTGGAACTTGAGGGAAAAGCCACGCGCAACTCTGCAGACGGACCTGGACATTTATGCCAATGCAGGTGTCCAAGCAGAGGATTTGATGATACTAGACATCAACTATAGTCTCCTATCACCCGTACATACCCCAGCTGGCTGGCTCAATCTCGCCATCGGTAACGACATTGCGGGCGACGGTAGCCAATACGTCTGCATTGCACCCAAGCATGCCTCCACCGCCATAGTGCCCAAGGCCTACGCAATTCCTACAGATGGTGACAGCATCGTTCAGCCCTTCATGTCTTACATGGCTGGCTTCATATTCTGCCACCGGTTGTTCGAAGTGATCCCTCCCAGAGGAACCGTTCTTCTCCACAGTCCTGATGCTGTCTTTGCTGGCATTTTTGCAAAGCTTGCAGCTGACAGACACATCACCGTCCGCTTCACGTCATCGGATCCCGCTAAGACGAGCAAGCGTAACTGGACATACCTGCACCCTCGATCGCCTGGCCGGGCTATATTGGCTGCTCTTCCCAGGAATTTGGACGTCTTCGTCGACATGGCAGGCTACGGCACTCTAGTAAGCGACGTCGACACCAAGGAAGAGGGTCCGGAGCGTGTCTTGTCAAACGCGCTGCGCGAAAACCTCCCATCTCAATGCGCACGTTACGACATGTCATTGCTCTTAGCAGCACAAGCAGAGCCACTGCACAAGTTCGCAGCTACAGTGGCCTCTGGCCAACAAGCAGACATCATAGGCCGTCTTCTCCGGGACGGCAACAAGCTCGCGACAGACTTGCTATATGACATCCCGGATGGCATGCCTTTGCCTATGGTGTTCCTCAACGAGGTCTCGACGGAGCAGGAGACGTTCACGCAAAAGAAGGACCTCCGAATCATCAACTGGGGAGACAACGCCGGGGCTTCTACGAGGGTGGAAGTTGAGGTGGAACCTGTCGACCGCAGGCCTGGGTTGTTCCGAAGTGACCAGACGTATTGGCTGGTCGGCCTCGCCGGTGACATGGGGCGGTCGTTGTGCGACTGGATGATTGAGCGTGGTGCACGATACATTGTCTTGTCCAGCAGAAGCCCGCAACTGCCAGCTGACTGGCTGGACGCACACCACGCCAAGGAGGGCGTTCACATAGCCGGAGTAGCGATGTAAGTTTTCTCAAACCCTTCCCACCAGTTTTGTTGGGATCGAATACTGATATCATTCAGGGATGTCATCTCGTTCTCGAGCACAGAGCGCGCAAAGAACGAAATCCTCAACACCCTCAAATTCCCCAAGATTGCAGGCGTAGCCAACGGTGCGATGATCCTTAGAGACAAGCCCATGCTCGAAACAGAGTTCGAGTTGCTGCAACAAGTACTACGGCCCAAGGTAGACGGCACGCTGCACCTCGACAAGCTCTTTGGCGAAAAGGATGACCTCGACTGGTTCATCGTTCTGACCTCATTCGCGTCAATCATTGGTAACATGGGCCAGATGGCTTACTCTGCCGCCAACAACTTCCAGACAGCCCTGGTACGCAACCGCCGCGCACGCGGGTTACCAGGAAGCGCCATCGACATCAACATGGTCGTCGGTCTGGGCTATGTCCAGCGCGAGCGTCGCACCGGTAAACTCGACAGGCACGCAGCTGACCGTCTACTTCACCGCTCGCAGCTACTACCCGTATCCGAGCCAGACCTCCACCAGATGTTTGCCGAGGCTGTTCTGGACTGTCGTACGGAGGCGAAGGGAGGAGACCCGGAGATCATCACGGGTCTGCAGCACTTGACTACGGAAAAAGCAGCGGATACGTTCTGGGGCATGAATCCGAAGTTCTCCCACTGGATCCGCGATAGTCACGGAGGAAACGCCCAGGGTCCCGGCTCCGGTCATCAGGAGATGAGGGTTCCTCTGAAAACGCGTCTGGCTGAAGCTTCTGGGCCGGAGCAAGCGCTCAAGATTGTCAAAGGTATGTACTTTCTTTTCAGAAGAACGACCAGCAAATGCTAACAGTACGTGAACTAGATGCCATGTTGGCTAAGCTTGGACTTGCCCTCTCCAGCGAGAAGCTCGACCCCAGCATGCCGTTGGTAGATCTCGGTGTCGACTCTCTCGTGGCGGTGTTGCTGAGGAACTGGTCCATGCAAGAAACGGGAGTGGACGTGCCTGTGCTCAAGACCTTGGGCGGAGACTCGACGCTGGACATTGCGCATTTCATCGTGGAGAAGTTTGATTTTGGCGACGACGACGTTATTACTGATGATTCTGCATCGTCGTCGGACAAGGGGGGTTCTGACAGCGATTTTGGGGTGTCTTCCGTTACGACGACACCGTTATCGGAGTCAAAGAATGTTTTTGATACGCAAGTATGAATGGAGTTTTTGTATTTAGTCACCTCGGAAGTTGAGATAGAACGAAACTATTCAGATACCACTTTCAGTATCCATGTAACGTAAATTGTGCATGTTGACTTGCTTAAACCCAGTCACCCCAGTTGAGACCTTTCCAGTAAACAAGTCCGTCCTGTTCAAATTGCGGTCCCTCGGCATCAATCAGATAGCCCATCTCGCAGCGAGAGTACTCCACCTTGACCTGCTGCTGCTCATAAAAGGCGTCGAACCGAGGCGACAGCGCATCCCGCAGGGTGTCAACGTTGCCTTGTGGGTGCAGTGCGCGCCACGGGTGGGTGCACACGGAGCCTTTGCAAGACTTGGTCACTAACAACAGAGAGTCGAGGCGAGAAACGACCTTGCTTATAGAGAAGCCAAAGATGGAGGTGGCTGTTGATTCCTCATGGAGGAGATTGTTCAGTTGACCGGGGTCGGACTAAGAACGTGTCAGCGATCTACCATGTCAGGGAATAGGGGAGATAGACTCACGTTAAGGTCGTATAACTCGTGTTCGTTGTTGCACCACACGGAATAGTACAGGTTGTACTCATTCGACACAACACGAAGAGCCTTGTAGGTGTTGTTAAACACAAACGAATCGTTCCTACCGAAATAACCCCACGGTCCTTCAGATGCGGCAAAACCCCAGTACTCGACTGTGACGTGCTCATGCCGCGTCTTGGTGGCGTCGGCAAAGTCACCCTCGGTCAGCGGAATAGCGAGGCCGTCAAAATCGGCATGGATAGGAGCCTGCGCAAGACCGAGAATAGTCGGCACTAGATCTTGATGGGTAGTCACGATCTCAGCGACCTTGCCTTCGGGGACATGAGGTCCGCGGACAATGAGGGGGATGTTAATATCCTCTTCATATCCACACTCCTTCCCGGGCTGAAGACGGTGATGGCCGATGTGGTAGCCGTTGTCAGTTGTGTAGAAGATATACGTTTCGTCAAGGATACCATATTCTTCCAGTTTGGCAACGACGGAATCAACCAATTCATCAACGGCCTGTAGAGCCCGAAGTCGGTTGCGGTAGAAGTGATCGTTGAAAGCGACGTTCTCCTCGCTCTGCTTAGGCTGCTTCCTCACCCAGTTGGCGCCTGATTCCTTATCAGGGTTAAAGTTATCGGTGCGAGGCACAACGGCATCGGGGAAGAGATGGGCATGTCTTTCTGCAGGGATGGGCGGCGTGGCAATGATGCCTTTTGGGTTGTGGTTGCTGCCGTCGTCAATGACATTGGATTGGACATTTGAGTGAGGGGCAACAGGCGCGATGCCGAGGAAGAATGGCTTGTCAGCCGCGACCGCATCGTCGAGGAAGCCGAGAGCCTTGCCGGCAAGCACGTCTGTGCTGTAGTCACCTTCATGGCTGACGGGTGCATCTTTGTCCCGTTGAAAGGTGGCGTTCAAGTAGGAGTATGTGAAGGGGTCCAGCAAGAAGTCGGATCCAGTCCATCCGGCAGCATGGGGACTGTCGTAGTTGTCCACGGTGTGCGCGTTGAACAGCTTGCCGGTGTAGTAAGTGTTGTAGCCTGCATTTTGGAGGAACAAGGGCAAGTAGTTTTCGTTATGCCCCTCGGCTACGAACTTGGGATATCCACCTACGAGGGTGTAAGCAAGAGTGTGTAGCTGCGTTGTGAGAATACTCACCGTACGGTGGGAAGATATCAGTGACATTGGTGTTGTGAGCAGCTTTGCCGGTCCAGAGAGTAACTCTGGACGGACAGCAGACAGCTGTTGTGCAAAAGTGCCGCTTGTAAAGAGTTCCTTGATCGATCAAGTGTTTCTTGATGAGAGGTACATAGTCCAGAGAGTTCATGTGCAGGTCCTGGTCGTCGGTGAGGATGAAGACGATGTTGGGTTTACGCGAGGAAGCCGGCGAGATGAGAGGTCTCTGGCTGCCATCGGACTGAAGGAGAGAGCCGACGGAGGTCGAGAATAGACCGGCGAAGGCGACCAAAGATTTGAGAGACATGGTCTTGATTTCACAGTTAATTCTGCAGTGAAACTGAACCAGGAAACAGAGTATGAAGGTTTAAAAAGCCTTGATAAGTATGAGTAGTCAGCTTTAACTGCAGCATCAGGCCGAAGCTTGCCTCTACTACGAATTTCCGAAGTGTTTAGGGTTGGTACATGAGAAAAAAAGTATGTTCATTATACAGTGGCAGCAGGTCTTTTTTTCTTTTCAATTGAATTATATTTATATGTGTTAGTGAGGCTATCGCCGGAGTCTACCCCGGCGAGTCCTCCCGTCCGGCTTTCCGAGCCGTTTGCAACATCCAGGTACAGATGGCGTGCTCCGGCCTGTAGCCACTAACGCTGCCGAGCCGGCGAGCCACTTGGATCCGCAAGCGACATCCGTATTGCCCCGGTATTCCTACTAAACGGCGCTGCAAATCATGTGTTGCCAATCAAGCCGTTCTCGGGGGTTCGCTCGGAGCGAGTTCTCTTTGCTGGTTGACAGGCATACCCACGCCCTTGGCCTTTGGCTTTAGACGATGCATATCCGACCTTTTTACACCGCTGCACGGGTGAGTGAGTTTGGCTGCCGGGCCAATATATTCAGGCCGTATTACGGCCTTTGGGGCCCTCACATCGGATGCCGTCGGCGCCCATCGTCGACCACTGTAATACAGTCTGAGTGGCATCAAGCCGTTTAACGACAATCGGATGTCGGTGGGAGACCCTCCCACCATGTCGTCCATCAATCATTCAATAATCAGCCATGAGCAGGTCCTCAACCCGCCCAATAACCAGCACCAGGTCTTTCATCCCCAACGCTTGCAATAATGCTTCCTATCATCGGCGTAATCCTCATAAAACCTAGTCCACATAAGCCGGTCGGCGCATCGCGGGCGCCCGGGCCTGTCTTCCTCGCCCTCGTCGCACTCGGGCAAAGCAGCCGCCCACTGCTCCTTGGTATGCGGCACCCAGGGCTTCGGCAGCGGCCAGTCGCTAAAGTGCACCAGGTGAGCGTTTGAGACCTCGGCGACGGGGTCCCACGCGTCGCTGTCGGGCGCGAGGTACTTTTCGTGATCCTTGCTGCGGAACTCCCCCGTCAGGAGCGCCAGTCGGCGGTGCGGTAAGATGGAAGCCGAATCCTTGAGCATGAGATTCACGAGGTCCATGTCGAGCTTGCCCGACGAGAGGGATTTCGCGACGAGCGTCGCGTGGAGATGTTCGTCCGGCTGGAGGAGCATCACGTGCGAACTCAGCACCTGGTCGGCGGCGGGCGTGCCCTTCTCGTTGAGCCAGTACGCGCGAGGGACGGCGACGGGGGCCTTTGGCAGGGAAAAGTAGAGGTCCAAGTTGTTGAGGACCTGGGTGTCCGAGTCGAAGATCATGACGCGCTCGTATTCGGTCAGCTTGAAGGCGTGGAACTTGTTGAGGCTGTCGGCCCAGGTTGCGCTCGCCTTCGTCTTGGAGATGCGCAGGTACTCGAGGGGTCGCAGGATGATTCGGGGGTGGTCGGCGTGTAGTTTGCGAAGGGCCTTGGCTTCGGGCGATTTGCCTTGGGTCCAAGTATTGGGGAAGATCAACACCATGTCGTTCTGGGCGCCGAAGCGCTCGAGTCGATTAAAGTTGATGACCTAGCCCATTGGTGTTGGCTTAGAATTTCACTCCACAAACACACAGCTTCACCCCTCTCTCTATTTTGAAGAGCGTCCTGGAAGACTTACTGCATTGCACAGGTAATTTATATCGGTCGCATATTGAGCGTAAGCGAATCGTGAAGTAATCGCAAGCGCATTCGAACTCTCATTCTTTAAAAGATGCGGCGACTTCAGCACATCCTGCTCCCAATCCAATCGGTAACTCGTCCAAAGAACAGATACAAAGATGACACACGTCAGCAAGACGGCGGGTGCGCGTCTCGGCGATGGGATGAACATGTTCTGCAGCACAGCACAGTCGGCATTTCAGCTGACCTGGGGAATCGGGTGTGCAACAAAGCAGAATAAACACAGAAGGCCATCCATCCGGCTACCAGCCGCGAGGGTGAGGCGGGCAGAGCGAGTTTATCTTACATTTCCTACCTCCTCCGGAACAAGGCGCCGCAGGGAAGTTCCCCTTGGCGGCATGGCGGCAGGATTGATTAGTTGGGACGGAAAGGAAAAAAAAGCTAATTATACGAGGGCTGGGGCAGACAGACCGCGGCATTACACATCCCGCCCACCCCGAAAAGATGACAGTTCTGACACTTGGGTATGGCCTCAGTCAGGGATTCGCAGAGTAAGCCACCAGCCCGACGGACCTCGTATCAAATGCTTAGGTCTGTGGGGCCGCTGCTTATTTAGGGGTCTTGGAGAGTCTTGGAGGGTCTTGGAGGGTCTTGGAGGCATTCCTAGCGTCCACCCAACTTTGATGGTTGAGTGGGCTGAGTCTGGGACAAGACCTTGGCTTACAATTGGTCCAAGAGAAGATGTCTTTGGGGGTCCTGGAGGTGTTGGGGAGGAGGTAAATGGTACAATGTTACATGCAACGGTAGGAATAGAGCTTCGACGTCGTAGTGTCAGGGTCAGGAACTATACGGGATCAACCGTTAAAAGACATGATGATAGACAATAATCAAGGGGGAAAATGAACCGATACGGTACAGAATTACACGAGTCAAAATAGAGTCTCCACCTCAACTGAGTTCGACAGGTGAAGATCCCAGCGCATTGAAATCTAGTACATTAGTTCCGCTTATTCCATCAAAAATGCACAAGCCAGCATAGGCAACGATATTCTTCAGCTTTGAAGACCCAATCGTTTCATAGCAAAAAAAAAAAAAAAAGCAATAATGTGCTCCCCCCTCCACAGGTCTGTTTGCTGCAGACAAGTGTAGGCATCGCAACTTTGCCATGGAAATCGACACACCGGAGTGCTCCGTATTCCAACATCCATGTCTTGGCTAAAATGACATCATCAAATTATGTTGCTGGATGCGAAGCTTTTCTGTCAAGTGGGAAAAAGCTGTGCCGTAAGCCGAGCTGGAAGCGCAAAAACCCCTGTCTCATTCTCGATCCTCCAGCTAGCGAATTCCTCAAGACCCGCCGGAAAGGCGGCTCTCCCCCACGATCCGGGATACGAAGCTTTTTCCATGGCCGTCGCCTTCTCCGAGGGCCCGGGGACTCACCGTTTGCTGCTACTAGTAGACTTACCATGTCTGGAGCATGCTCCGCAATGTCTGGAGTCGTTTATGACTGCTAGACCGACTAAACGGCAAGACACATGATGTGTGTTTGTTTTGTGTCGTTACTGTGTGAGAGACCTTGCTCGAGCCAGCAGTGTGTGTATGCGATGAGAAAATAGAAAAAGGAAATAGAAAGAAAAAAAAGAATAGGAGAAAAAAAAAAAAGCGTAAGAAAAAGGCTCTATACATTAATAGTATCAATGACACTTACATGCACAAACTACCTTCCCAATCCCATCAAATACAGTTCATCTCTGTAAGCATCAAGTTTCGAGGTCCGTCGAAACCCAGTGTCAACATCGAGGGGGGGGACAGTCGGTCTGGATGAGCAGAGTGAGTTTCCCTATTCCTCTGCAAAAAAACATGGGGTGTGCATTCACAATGTCTTCGCTCACTTTTTTTTTTTTTTCGTTGCAAACAAAAGTCTCAAAAAAAAAAAAAAGAACTGGCTTTCTTCTTTTTTTTTTTTCCCCCCTCCCACCGCTTGGCCAAGCGTTTCCGCATCCTGGTACCAGCAGTACCGATTTTCTGTTTTTAGTGTTTGCTGGCTTTTGGAAAGTCGGTACCTTATTATACATCATGACGGGATGTGCCTACAACTATGCCGGATATCCTCTCTTCTCACTCTCAGTGAAGAAAATGACCATACGCCACAACTTCTTGACCATGTCCTCCGCCTCGTCATCAAGCGCCTATAAATCGAGTTAGCCAAAGGAAACAAAAGATCATGAACAAATAATGTGCTGATGAAACGTACTGGTGCGAGCTCCTCAACCAAATCCGAGGGCTTGCCGTGCTTGCGCAAATGCTCCTCCACCACCTCGACCAGCAACTCTTCTTGGACACCGAGGTATTCGACAATCTTCTTCTCCACAAACGGCCGCAGCTTTTCGCGAATGATGGCGTCGTCCAGGAAATCCCACTGGACGGTCCAGTTCCATAGTCCCTCCTTCTCTGACGGGATTTCCTGTGCAAGCGCGCGAACTGCTTTGCTAATCTCTTCCTCCGTCATCTTATCCGCCGCAGTCGTAGGCTCAAATTGAATAGGGATGAGCTGTCTCTTGGCCGTGTTGTCTTGCTCTTCGTCGTCGAGGAGACCCTCCACTTCAGCAACAGTACGCCGCTGCGGTGCTGCGCGCTGTGCCTGCGAACGCTGAGCGGCGGCACCAAGTGACAGTTTGAATGGTGCTGGTGCCGAGACAGCAGCTTGCTGCCGTTGCTCCATCTCCTGAGCTTGCTGGTCAAGGAATGAATCGGCCATGCCGCGTGCTTTCTCCATGTCCGCCGCTTCTCTACGGCGCTCGTCCTCCTCGGCTCTTCGGTCCGCCTCATCCCTAGCCAGTTCGTCCGCCCTCTCGATCTGGCGTTTCTTAACCCACGCGGCGTGGTCGCGGTAGTACAGGTGATTCTTCCTCGAGGCCTCGCGTTCGTCATCCCAGGCCTTTTCCCTCTCCAACTGTTCTTGCATGCGTCTTTCGAAACTCTCCTCTTCCTGAGCCTCACGGTCCTTTTCTCGTTCCAGAGCGGCAGCCCGGGAGCGCTCTCTGTTTACCCACTTTCGCTCTGCTTCGAGGTACATCTTGTCCTCATCCGACTTTTGCTTGGAGAGCTCTCGTTGGTAGAGCTCCTCGTCATCGGCGTCTGTGTCTTCGTCCTCACGGTTGATCGACAGCTCCGCATTGGAAATGCCGCCGTTCACGAAAGACGTCGTCCTCGTCCCATTCTGTCCCCTGGGGCCAGATGGCGCGTTGGCCATCCCGCGAGGACCAACCGGGATGTTGTTCGAACTGGACGGAGGCGGCGAGTCCAGTCTCGAAGGACGTGAAGGTGCGTTGCGGGTCCGTTCCATCTCCTCCATCTCCTCTTCGCGCTTGAGACGTTCCATATCTCTCTGGTTGCTGCGTTCTCTGAAGGCTGCGATCTCGGCAGCGACGACTTCTCGCATTTCAGCAGGAATGTCTGCCAGTTCGTCGTCCTGCGCCAGGGGAATGTTGACGACTTCGACGTTCTCGCCCGAGTTACCCATGCTGACATCGCCTTCGCCATCGGTCGTCGTCGCGGTCTTCGGGTAGACAAGGTCTCGTACCACCTGCTTCAGCGCTTCCTTCGCAGACTGCACCCTCGACTCGGCACCGCTGTCATCGCCTCTGTTCTCCTTGTAAGATTCGAGGTACTTGATAGAATTCGGGTCGATCGTGACCTGGAGCTGGACCATCTCGACTCCTTCAAATGTGTCGTCTTCCGAAGACGGGGCTTCCGTCGGGCTTTGGCGCTTAAGAGGAACCTTGACATCCTGCAGCAGTTCGGCGGCGGTCGAGAAGGACTCGGGATCCTCGTACTGGGCAAAGCCAAACTTAGAGCCTTTGCCGTCTGAGAGAACTGAGGCGGCAGCGTCCCATCGTCGAAGCTTGCCCACGGCATAGAGAAGCCTCTCGATGCCTTCGTCACCACCAGCGCCCTCGGGAATCTTGTGAATGAATAGCGTCCGCAACTTCTCTTCGTTGGTCGGGGGAACCAACGACTGCATGTGCTCTCGTGCAGCAGCCCTCGACTGATCGAAACCACGGTCCATGCCCAGTCCAGGTCGACCGCCTGTGGGTGTGCTGTTTTCCTTTCTCCCTGCATCGGGTGCGCCTGGCTTAGCGCCTATGGTTCCCAATCGGATAACAGGCGCACTGAAGTTAATGTTGGGGAGGTTCGCGGGAGCTTGGAAGTTAGGCGGCAGGCCGCTTTGTCGGTTAGCTTGTGCGTTGTTGGACTGTTGGACACCGGGAGGGGGTGCCATTCCCGGAGCAGAAGACATGCCTGGCGGAGGGCCTGGATTAAATGTCAGTATAACATTATGAGGGTGCGACTTGGTGACCCGAACCTAGACCTGGTGGGGGAGCCATGCCAGGCGCGGCGTTGGAGCCTGGGAAACCGCCATAGCTTGGGGGAGGCCCGTAAGGGTTTCCTGATCCTAACATTGAGTTAGTAGACGTATTATTGCAAGAAACAAAGTAGCATTACCTCCGTATGGGTTGTACGACATGGTGAACTATTCAGTGTGGGTGTTGATTGAATTGATACTCGGTCGGGATTGTCGATCGATGCCCGCGGGCAAAAAGCTGTTGTTTCGAATCACAGGAGACAAATAATTTCGGGCAACGTCAAAATTTTGTCGTGCAAGAGATGAGAAGAAAAAGAATAGTGCCCCTTGATTCGAAAGGAGTGACGGGCAGCAGGCGTAAAGGCGAGCAGATGGAGGCTGAACAAGGACAGTAACAAAAGAGCTCTCATAGCTCTTGGTCAATCAATATTCAAAATTCGGCGCGAGGCCAACGCGAACCAGCCTTGTAACGCGATGGGTCTCTGATTGGCTGTTGTAGTGGGGTCTATCGGAGCTTCGGCATCACCCTTATCCGACAGAGCTTCCGACTGTGGACTGTGTGGATGGTACTTGACCATTTTCACAGGAAATCTTCGCGACTGAGCTCGCCTGGTGACAATTGGATCATCAGCGTAAACCCGCAAAACCAACTTAGAACCATTGCGTTTGCCTGGTCCACCCAGTGCTCAATCGCCATGTCAGACCTCCTCTCCTCCGCCATCGGTCGATTAAGACTAACACTTTTTTCCCGTATAGGGCGTCCGAGATTGGGTTGTTGAGCAAGAGACTGCTCACCTGCTCCATCCGTAGTCCTTATATGCGAGCTTCACAAGTTGTTGTTCGCCAGCAGCCTCTGTGGACGCAACCCCGATGCTTCTCGACCTCGATTGTCCTGAGCAACTCTTCCTCCTCGAACAAGAACCCCTTCTCTGCCAAGCAGCAGCCGTCTACTTCAGCGACTTCTGCGCAAACAACGCCTCCTCCCCCTCCACCCGCCTCCGCTGCTGCTGCTGCTGCTGCTGCTGCTGCTGCTGCTGCACCTCCCGCCGAGAAGCAGGCCAACTCGCCCTTCACGTACGATGCCACCTCGGATGCTTTCGACATCTCCAAGATCATCGCCATGGAGTCCGATGAGTTCCTGAAGAAGCATTACCCCATCGGCCAGCAGGAACCCGAGCTGCGCACGCGTCCCGCGACAGGTCGTACAATTCACGTCGGCGGCAACCAAGATTTCTCCAGGGCCATCAAGACGCTGGAAATGCAAGTCAAGAGGAACAAGATCAAGGCCATCTGGCACAGGCAGAAGCGCCACGAGCGCCCGGGTTTGAGGCGCAAGAGACTCAAGGGCGAGAGATTTAAGAAGCGGTTCAAGGAGGGATTCGTGGCGGCCGTGAAGCGCGTGCAGGAGTTGACGAACCAGGGCTGGTAGATTTATTTATTTTTTCCGCGGTTAGACACATGCCAGATATCACGGGATTGAGCTGCGCGAGCATCCTCGCAGTGTACAATATGTAGCAATCATAGAGTTCTTCTAATAAATGAGGCTCGTGTATTATGGATCATGATCAATGAATGACATTAGGACGTTTGGTGACCCTTTTCACCTCTACTACTAGTACTACTATACATCTTCAGCCTCGAGCGGTCTTCTCGAGGGCGACGGGGCAGGGCTAGTTTTGATTCTTGGCCGGCTCCTGAAAACCGCCTCCATATCCTCCACTGCCATCAGTTCCTCCGCGAGAATTGAGGCATCTGGGTCCAGCTGCATGGTTTCCTCCTCCACAACAGGAACTTGACTGCTGCCCTCGGTTCTTGATCGAGCTCGAGATTTCTTGAGCGATCTCTGCCTGTCCAATTGTGCCTTCTGTCGAGCAGCCTCAAACCCTACCATGCTCCTGCGCGTACGCGAAACAAGGTCGTCCTCATCAGTGATGTTGATCGTAAGATCCTCCTGAGGTCGAGTAAAAGCCGGTCGCAGGGTTAAAGTCTCGTCTTCATCGTCATCAGGATCGTACCGAACACCGCGCGAGGACCGTGCCATTGAGAGCCTCGTTCGTTCCGCAAGAGAAAGAGTGTGCCTAGGCTTGGCCCTTTTCATGGGCGACGGCGATGCATTGTTAATGTCCTCCAGGATTTGATCAGCAAGTTCCTGGGTAGGCGACTTTGGTGGCTCCGGCTCCGACAATTCTTCCTCGCTGTCGAAAGAGACGCTTCGCTGCTCCTTGTCGACCGGAGGTGGGCTTAGAGACGGACTAGGAATCTTCTCGGTGACCTCGTTTTCCTCCGGTAAAGGTGGAGTCGGTGGCGGTATGGAGAGTTCATCTTGCGTATCTGGGGGCAGCACAGGAGGGCTGAGGAGAGGTCGCGATACACTAGCAGACCTTTTGATCTCGTCAGGGAGTTTGATAGAAAGTCGCTCAGGGCGTCGTGGTTGCTGTGGTATGTCCTGAATTGAGGGCCGCCGCGGCCCATGGTGAGAAACATGTCCATCATCCTCCAACTCACTCAACTCCGAAATTGTTTCTTCTCCGAGGCTTTCCCTAGCGCCTGAAAGCCGTTCTGGCCGTTCAGGCTGACGGGTACGTGGTCCCAGCATCTCGGCGAAGTTAACCACCGGCCCGGCCCCAACTCGAGCCAGCTCCGACTCGCAGGCGTCCAGGAGATCCGCGTAGTCTGGGGTAAGATGGGGTGTCTTTCTGGCAAGCTGCTTCTTAGGACTCATCCGACCCAAGTGTAAGCTTTCATGCTTGTCGAACCCAAGCTCAATTCCCTGCTTACGCCTCTCTGGTCGTGACGCTGTGGTAGGAGCGGCGGGGGCGGGCTTATCACCGAACATGTTCTGTCGAAAATCCTGCCATTTTGCCAGCCTCTCTCTCTGAGTCTTCACCCGGTCATCCAATTGCTCGAGTAAACCTTTTCCTTGGTCTTCCAACTCAGAAAGGCGTCCAGATTGCAATCGTCTCCAGACTCTGTCGAAAGGGGCCGTCAAAAGGTCATCTTTTCGGACGTTTGCGTCGCCGTAGAGAAGTGTCTCCATCCACTGTTCGTTGCCGGCCCAATTATTGCGGACCATCCTCCAAGTATCTAGCTTCATGTCGTCGGAGATATCCCGGCCCTTCGAGCGCTCTCTGGCAGCCTTGATCTGCTCTTTTCTCCGGGCGATTCCCTTCTCCTTCACGTCCAGCAGTTCAGCAAGGTCGCGATACTGTTTTCTGGCTTTATCCTTGCGCCGCATGGCATTAGCGATCGACACCCTGTGGGCGAAAGCAAGGGTCACCAGCTCCGATCTCTCGGCGCTGTATCCACGGTTTTCCAACGCCAGCTGCTGGGCAACAGCAGGATATTCGTGTTCGGCTTCCGCGACATCGGCCACCATTTTTTTCAGAACAGCCGACGAGAAAACGGCGAGAACCTCCTCCAGCCTCTCTCCCTTACATTCGTCCAACATGGTCTTGCGAACCACTGCATCTCGGCCAAGGACCCCATTCTTTTTGGCTTGCTCGAGGCTTCGGAGGAGGGCAGCTCGCAGGTTCAGCGATTGGACATGGTCTCGTGGTGGAAAATAGGGTTGCAGTTTCTGCAGTTCAAATGGTCAGCAGAGAAAAAGGTGTAGGCATTGGCATACGAACACTTCGGGCCTCCTCCGGGTCCCAGAGGACGAAGAGCTGGTACAGGGTCCATTCAACGCAATGGATGCGTTTCTTCTGCACGGAAAAGGTCTGCGCATCGAACTCCGGCCAGTCTGGATATGAAGGGAAGTCGAGCAGACGAAGATTGGTAAGAAAGAGATTGACATTGGATGTTGCTACAGGATGCGCAGCTAGCGAAGGGGTGATGGGTGCGCTTGGCGGCTTTGTTGATGTACCCGCGCGTGTTTGCCGGGATCGGGCAAGCAGAGAGTTGGGCGGCAGAGTCGCCATGACGACATTTTGCTGCAAGACGAGATTCTAGTAGAATCAGAGTTGAATCTTGTTCGGGTCCGACACCTCTGAGAAAAGGGGACGGAATGATTTAGTAGCGGCGTGTCGCATTGAATGAACTCCCAATGCAGGAAGCGCATTTGTTGTGTTGATGGTGGGGAGAAACGGCGGTGGAGGGATCAGCCCAGTAACGCCTAGCGGTCAAGCATCCTTGGGGGGTTCTGTTAGTAGAGTACTTGATCTCACTGCCCTTTCCTGCCTTGTCTCATCACAGTTTTTACTAACCGTCCACTATTTTTACTTCATATGCTGCTATTAAGGAGAAAACTAAGTGCGAATGAGACTATGGGCATATTTCTTTCCAAGTTACTTATTGACTTTGTCAATTGACCCTGTTTGAACTGTTTGGCTGCTGAGCACTACATTGAATTCTGAAGTCGAAACTACCCTTAATGACGTTGTGTGTAGTTTATTAACAAAGGACTCGCCAATCGGCCATTTTCAAGCGGATGTCTGTGCCAATAGAGTGGCTGTTGACAGCAGCCTAGAAGAACCTGGCAGGCGCCCAGGTGGTCGGTCCCAACTTCGCCAATTAACATCGTCACAGCGTTGCCCTGGCATCCACGCCATGGACTCTACATCTCTAAAGCTCCCCTGACGCGAATCAATGGCACATTCTGTCTACCTCTGTTTCTGTGGAATACCGCTTGCTTATGTTTCCAGTCGTGACGACATGTCTCCTGTACCTCTTCGTCACCTTGATGTTGCGCACTCCGTTCCATTCCAGTAATGTCTGTCGATGCTGCCAAACGGACCCAAAACCCTGAAGACCAGCGAAGTGGACCTAGATTCGCTATTGTGATCAATGGTAACTTGAGAAATGGAAATTTAGCGTCCCGAGCTGGTTTCATCCACTTGTACATCCAAGGTTTCTCTCATAGTAGGCCTTTGTTGACCGTGTTCTTTGTCATGGGCCGTCGTCACTGTTGCTGTCTCGCCAATGCCCATTTCCCGTTGCATTTTAAATCATGTCTTTCAAGACTCAAGTTCTGATTTGGTAACACAGTAGTTCATCTAATGACTTTCGTTCCAGATGATGAGGGCTACTTGGATAAGATACAACTAACTTAATATGATATCAAGAACGTTTAGTTTGTAAGTCGATATTTCCAACATCCGGAACCAAAGCGGAAATGGTGGCGAAAGCTAAACTATGAGGAACGACCCTAGTCTGAGCCTTCGGGCTGAGCTAACCAAATCAGCCATAACCATGGATAAATCGAAAACTGCAGCCGCAGGAAATCCCCAGTGACAGATGACATGAGCCGGCAATTGCACTGATGATCTGCGGGGGCTTCAGCCTTGTGCACCCGGAGCTGAAAGGTGTTGATTTAGTTTCCCCATGATTCCCTAGCTGGACTGCCTTCAGACTCCATCTTGACAATAAATAAGGCAGCTGGATATAGGCAAAGTGCGATGCGTAGTGTTTGAAGCCTGTCCAGTTAACCGCTTGGTTACCACTTAGGACATGACATATTGCTGAACCCAGGAATTAACGAGCTAGTCTTGATTGAAATAGTATTCCAAAAGTCTTCCACAATGTTGCATTCAATTTTGTAAATATCCATGGCTTGTTCTCAAGACAAGCTTTGAAGTAATTAAGCACTGAGACCTGCAGCTTCCAGGAGTTTTCATTCATGTAGTTAAACCCACTAGTTGATCACAGAAAACTTTGTGTTCTCTTTCGCAGTCTACCTATGTTGTAACACAACTGTGGAGAGGTTCTCATGCAAGGATGTCTGGGCAGCATAGTTTGTCTGTCGCATAATTCGATTTCGATATAATATCTAATAAAGACAACGTAAGCCGATTCCCACCTCGCCAGAATCACACACGTGTACGTGGGATTTCAAACTAATTTGGGCCTTTTTGCAACCGTGAGCATCAGGGGGCCCCAGAGATCGTGTCATCGAGATGGTAGGTCATCGGGCTGAAATTGAGATTGTCGTGAGGCTATTCGGTATGTATTCGGTATGGATTACGTTTATTTAATGGAAAATGTCTAATGGAAATGATGAATGTTCTGTGCCTGGGTTTGTTAGGTAATGGGTATCCAGCGACTCATCTTGGCACGCTCCTTGGCCGCTCCAGCGTCATGACCTTCGTCTCGGTTCCCAAGCCGCTTGAGCCGTGCAGAATTGATGTATAAATTCCAAGAAAAACTCATGAAATATTATGTTGTCTCTTCGTGCAGGCCTGTTCATCACGAATATCAGTCCCCCCCCGTTGTCGTCGGCCTTTGCGGGTGTTGTGGCCGGTTATTGAGAGCGTCAACCAATCATATGGAATCCCGAGCCGTCCATTATACGATCCCTCGGCAAGCATCACTCCCCCCAGAGGAAGTGATTGACTCTCGTTAAACAAGACAAGCATTTTTAAGCAACGACGATCTTACAAAGATGTATGTATTCATCAACCCGGCAGCTCCTTGGCTGGGGGAGCACATCAAGTCATTCGTCAAACAGCACGTGTCAGACGCCGTCTTCATCGACGACCTTGACGAATTGCCGTTGAATGCACCAACTGTTTTTCAGTTTTGTGATGGATGGGCTCTTAACCGCAACTTCGCCGCTCTGAATGCAGCGGAGACGGCGCTCATCAACGCCTATCCCAACAGTGACGCCTTGGCCAGAAAAGACTACCTCGCCAGGGTTGTTGAATACTGGGCGGCCAAGAGACCTGAAAGCATCCTCAGGAAGACCGTGCCTCTCACAGTCCGGCTGTCTCTTGATTATGCCGAGTATGTCGACGATTCTCTGACTGCTGCGGATGACCTCACGCTCTTGTATTCGCTTGAGGAGAATGATGACAAGCCCGCCTCGGAGCGTGAGTGGTGGATTCTCAAGCCAGCATTGGTTGACTGCGGCGCTGGCATCCGTCTCTTCAGCACCATGGATGAGCTTGCGAGCCATCTTGAGCTTGCCGAGTACGAGGACGACGATGACGATGAAAGCGATGAAAGCGAGCAGACCGTACAGGAAGTGGCCGAGAAGCCAGCCGGCGATGCGGACTGCAATTCCAACAACTTCTCGCCTACCCTGTCAACACCTGGCTTGGACTCTTTGGATGCGCTCATTACTGCAACTGGAGAAATGTCTGTCAAGGAAAGTAAACAAGGTGTTCAAAGAGCACCGAAGCCACAGTACGTCTTCAAGGAAGGCGGAAGAATTCCATCAGCTCAGATGCGCGAGTTTGTAGCGCAGAGATACATCGTTCACATCCCGCCCATGGAGAAGAGGAAGTGGCACGCCCGAGCTTACGTTCTTGCTATGGGTCGCCTCAAGGTATACGTCTTCAAGGAGATGCTTGCGCTACTAGCTGGCGAGGACTACGAGCCTCCTTGGTTGAACCCGAGCTTGAAGTCTTCCTTGACCAACACGGCGCTGCAAGACGAAGATGTCTTCATCAACAAGCAGTCGATGAGGGACTACTGGGCAGCCCCTGATGACTTGCTCCCGGGCGACTGGAAGGCGAACGTGTTCGAGCAGATCTGCGACATCTCTTCCGAGTTGTTCCGCGCCGCTGCTCACACCATGGCAGACAAGTTCACTACGGTGGACAAATGCTTCGAATTGTTTGCCGTAGACTTCCTCATCGACACGAGCGGCACTGCCTGGCTTTTAGAGGTTAACGAAACGCCGGCATTTTACGATGTTGGTATGGCCGGTCCTCTGGCGCTGCGGCTCATGGAATCCGTCATCTGCATTTCTATGGAGCACATGGGCATGGCCAAACTGGACGATGAGCACAATGCGCTGGTGAAAAAGCGAATGATCCAAGTCTTGGATGAGACAAACCATCTAGCAAAGAGTAACATCACTGAGATTCTCCCGGAAATTTAGGCGTTGGTGGAAAGGAACATGGTAAAACATAGAGGTCGGGGTTAGAAAAAAATAATGGGTATACAGTCTACGGCACAAAAGTTTAGGATATGCATACACCTTGTCATTCGAATTAGCTTGAATGTGATCATCTGCGCTCATGCAAGTCATCCGGCCTTAAAGCTGCTTTGCGTAAGCGACCAGACTTCCCCGGCTTTCGCGATGTTCTAGAATATCGGATTTATCGTATTCAATAGCTTGTTAAGGTCAAGCTTTAGCTTACGAACCCCACTTGATTGTCGGGGGATCATGTCATGCTTGAAACTCTCCACGGTAGCACAAAACACGAAGCGAAGATCATAAGTCTCCTGAGCCAATCTGGTATAAATTTATGCACCACAGCTATTTCATGAAACCATATAGCTTGATGTTATAGGTTCGGTCAATGGCGTTTAATGGTGCAAGAGTCTGCTGCTGCGATGCTTTGTTGTCTCGGCAGAGTCCGTCTCAAGTCTGTGACACAAGTCAGTTCAGTCCCGCAGAGCCAGAAACGCGTGACAACCTTCTGACAGCGGATAGCTCCGAGTAACGCTTTTAATGTTAAAATGCAGAATATCGACATGTTGCGAGTGTTGATTGCATATAAAAGTGCCGTTGAAACTTGAACAATGGGCTTTTGTTCCCAGCACTTCCCTTTTCAGCAGACAACTTCGCTTCCAAATCATTCAGCTTCATTAATCTGCTTAAATCACATTTACTCTTTTTTTCATTTTTGCTCCTTTCTCCCAAATATCTCTAAAATGAAGTTCTCCTTGACCCTCGCGCTTACTGCTCTTCTCGGTCTTGCTGCTGCCTCGCCTCAGCGAGGTGGAAGTAAACAACAACAAAAGGCGGATAAGCAGGCGCTCAGAGACCTTGCCGGCACGGATGTTGACCCTAATCTCGAAAACGGCACCATCCTCCTTGACAACGGCCAGGGGCGATGTGTAGCAGTTTCTGGAAAGGCGGTTTGCTCTGATTCTTCAGGAGCTACCTTGTGAGTCAATCAGCAGCAACCCGTTATTGACGGAAGATGCTCACAGTTCACAAAGTTAAAATAACAAATGCTCAACGTCTATGAATACCGCTGCCGCCCCAAGTTGTTGAACTTCTTGAAACCGCCAGGAGCGTTGCATGTTCAAGATTTCAATGTTGTTGCTTCGTCTACCCACGTATTTGAGCTGTGTTGTCTCCAGGAGAATAATCCAATAGGCTATGAATCAAGATTCAGTCCTGATGGTGATCACCTCAGTGATAGTACGTGAGGCACAAAAGCCCATAACGTCGACAGATTTGATTAGCAAAATACGCAAGAGGGGAAGTAGACATAAAACTATTTAGTCCGATTACAATAAGACCTGGTTTCAATAGACTATTAGACAACTATTCTCTTGGGCTCTCCCAGGGCTAGTGATCCCCTTCTTCAAATGCTGGTTGACCTCCCTTGAACGACCTTCCAAAAGAGCTCGCTTATAAAAAGTTATTTGTTGAGGCCGTGCTCCGTCACTTTAACTCTGACTCCCTTTGAATCCAATCTAGGGTAAGGAGCAAGCCACGCATGGGCCATTTGTACATCCGACTCTTCAGTCTCAAAAAGTTCAAAATCGAACCGCTCAAAAACTGTTGCAATTGTGATGTGAAGTTCAGCCAGTGCCAAGCTACACGAATCAGTCAGCAATCTTTTTCTTTGAATTGCGGCCACAATACTCACTTGATACCCAGGCACTGTCGAGATCCCTTCCCGAACGCCACAAAATATCTCTGGAGCTCCGGCTTCTCAATCCACCGTTCTGGGATGAAAGACTCGGGTTCAGGAAATACTTCCTCGTTCATTAGCACGTCGAGGGTAGTCATGGACACGGGCGTGTTTATCGGAATTGTCCATTCCCCGTATGTCAGTTCCGCATCCGGTGCCAGTCGTGGGTCACGCGAAACAACGCCGTGAGAGAGGCGAACGGATTCAAGCACACAAGCATTAAGATAAGGCAACCTTTCCAATTCGTGCCACTTAGTGGGGCTACCTGCTGCATCAAGTTCTTTACGAAGCCGTGCAGAAATGGCCGGCTTAGTTGCGAAATGAAACGTAGCCACAGCAAGAGCCCACGAGGTGGTAATTAGACCGGCTGCGATCATCAGCTGCGCCTCGTCCCCAAGCCGAGTGTCTGACTTTTCCGATTCTGGGAGGTCACTGTTGATGACCTCGAAGAAAATGTTTGCATGATCAGCCTCCGTGTTTTTCTCGTTGGCTTTTTGACGGATTTCTCCTATCTGGGCCCTCATGCTCTGCCGCAGGCTGTCAGTTACGACCGTCAAGTGAACTAAGCTCTTGACTCACCTGTCGAAGGGTAACCAAAGGCATGATATCTGGCTGTGTCGCTTTGACAAACCAGATTGGAAGCGCGTTTAGGATTTTGAAGATGAACGGGAAGTGCTGACCAACGGAACCTGCGCTATGGATAGTACGAAAAGCTTCGTACAAAGTCTCCTCAAAGCCAGGGGACTCGAGATGGTTATAAGACCTTCCAAATGCATATTGAGTAATGACATCTGTTGTCAAAGCGACGAAAGCGCGATCTAATTTTACGACCTGGCCATCAGCAGAAGCTGCAAGCTTATCGCAAAGGTTGTTCACTTTGGCCTGAATGACAGATTCAAAGTCAGAAATCTTGGCCGCGGCGAAGAAGGGGCTCAGGGCTTTGCGACGGATTCGATGCAATTCATGCGGCGACGTTGAGAAGCTGTCAGTCGAGAAACCGAAGCGGCCCGCGACGTAGTCGTACTTGTCGCGTCGCCCAGACCGGGTGTATAGCGTGTCAAAGTACGACGGGTCATCAATGTGGAGTTCCGTTGGCGTGATACGGATAATTGGTCCTGAAGTGTGTCAGTTCATCTTCTCTGAAGGTATCGATGGGTTTGCCAACCGTATTGTTTGTGGAGCGACTGAATATGAGTCGCGAACTTGCCCGGGCGAACAACGTCATGGTAGAACTCATACCAGTTTGAAAAGGCCGCTAGCTTAGGACCCGGGAACTTAGCAAGCGGGGATAGATACAAGCGATAGACAGCGAGACATATAATGTAGGTCAAAAAGAGCACCGTCGCTGCTCCAAGAAACGGGGCCGACAATATCAACGAGAACGCCATCGTACAACCTACTTCACAGCAGCTGCTCCACGATGAGATGTTTGTCGTAAAATGCTCAGGATCGACAGCGACCGCGTCACATTTCTTCTACTGGTCGCTGTGATTCCTCCTTTGAAGGAGGCGCTCCCCTTACGCTAGCTGAAGCTAGCTGCAAACGGATGCAACCCCGAATCCCAGCGTCCGAGGTTCCGGGACGGGCCCGTTGATGAGGTCCCCACTTTGCTCTCAAATTACCGCGTCTTCATTGGTTCTGCACATCAAGGGTTTGATAGGAATAATCTCCAAACGGAGGGAATATCCGCTGAAGAAGGAAAATTCCCGACATCCACCTCTACGGCACCGACTGTATGGTTCCTCGGGCATAAGCGAGCAAAGGGAGGACGATGACGCATTAAAGTGCAGCTACAGAAACAATGCCGCGAGCCTCGCTGCGACCGGATGATATTTGGCTTGGTGTCGTGGACACTCATATTTTGTCGAAAAGCCATTTCAGATGGCCTGAAAGCTCCCAAGCACAATGAGACTGGATAGCTCTCCACACCTCGGCATTTAAAACTGGGTGATCTGCCGTAGCTAAACCGCCATTGGGGCTTCACACTCCTTCGCGTCAATTCATAGACGGGTCTAAGTGTATCACTCGGGGATTCAAGCGGGATACAATACCCAGATACTGACATATGTATCTCTGGGCTCTGAGACCTCCACCAAATGATCTCGATCACAGCCATTTCTTCACGAAGCATTACAGCGGCCCATACAAGCCCCTACCTTCCTGCCAATTACCCATAGTGGCTGGCAGCAACCTTTAAGATGGACAGAGAAACGTTTCCTCGGCTGGAGGAAGAGAATGTACTTGTTAGAATGCCTAGTGCCAGACTTGGTAAAGATGCTGCATTCGTCAAATCAATTGACGTCCGTCGACATCACCACGAAACGCAGGCAGTGTTGAAGCTTCATGTGCATCACATTCAACTGATTGGGAGAGTTCCTGGGGCCTTTTATATGTTCATTCACCTCCCTGAGAAGAACTTCCAGTGCACCTACTTACGCAGCGGGGTGCGAATTCTCATTAATGAATCATACCAGGGATTTTCTTAGGAGATACGGAGCATTACGTTGTTTTTGATTGGAATTTTTCCTTCCAATAATCATCGACGGCATCATTCTTTCATGAGAGTCATGATAGTTTGACGCGTCAGAACCACAGGCAAGCGCGAGGCTTAGCAAACTCACCGCTCAAGTCCCTTAATAGCTCTTTTGCAGTCTATTCAAACTTAGAATCTTATTACCTGACTTGGGCCCACTACTAGTTCTCAATCACCCTTGATGAGGATGAGAAATCCCATAGTAGAATGCCGTAATAAGGCTAGGTACATGAAGAACATAACTCTTCCCGAAAAGAAGTGAGCACTATGGTGAGTATGCTTTGGCCGTTCAACCGCAGACCGCCTACGTACAGTTATCTTCCATTCGCCTTCGCCAGACTATTGTGCCAGCTCAAGGCCGATCTTGCTGCCTTCGAGAACGATCTTGCTTAACCACAGCTCAGTCCAAACCAACTCCTTAACATCCTTAAGTATTTATTGACAAGTTACTACTGCGAAAGTATTTGCCAAGGAAGTTCCCATTAATCAGGAGCGAACTGAAGTCGACTAGGCGCCGTCGTAGTCTTACCCATAAACTATGTCGATTAGCGATCGGACGTGTTGGTTTATGACTCGTTCCGCGCCTTACGATGTTCCGCGCCTTACGATAAATTAAAGTGCTTGGGCTCAAGGGGAGTGTGTTTGCAAAACTGACACTTGAAGAAATTGGCGGAAGGGCACCACCAGGGGTGGAGCCTGCGGCTTAGTCTGATTCAGCACTGGGAAAGTCATCAGGTACAGACATAATAAGGATTGACAAATTGAGAGCTCTTTCCTGATTTTGTGCGTGGTGCTGCATGGCCGTTCTTAGTTGGTGGAGTGATTTGTCTGCTTAATTGTGATAACGAACGAGACCTTAACGTGCCAAGTACCTGTATTGCTTTAACAGCACAATGGCTTCTAAAAGTGACCGGCAGCTCAAGCCGATAAAAGTTTGAGGCAACAACAAGCCCGCAATACCCTTGGATATTCTCCCATCACTGACCCTCCCGTATTTCTCTTTACTACGTACTCATATGCTGCTGTTCTCTTCACCTGTCGTGTCTTATATTATGCTCGGTAAAGTTCATCATTCGGCCAACTTAACAGCCAAACGAAAACGAGCCGTCTGGAAAGATGGACCTGTTTTTGTTCTTGCTGTCCATCTCACCTTATCCAGCCCAGCAAAAGTTTGTAATTGCAGTCATATGCTTTGTTACACACTCCCTCGCATTTGCGAGGAACTCCGAATCTGACACCATTTATTGAGGGCATACATTACCAAGACCTCTTTAACAGCTAACAGTCTCTCTATGGTATGGCTTGCGAAAGTCTGGGTTTTTTGTCTCGTACTCAAACTGGCTTTAAGGGATGGGGCCGAACTCTAAATCTCTAAACCCCTACTAAGGTCTCGGAAGTTTATATTACCTAGTTTGCTCTAAATTGCACAACCATGCCACTGGAGAAACTAACAAGTGAACCTCGGCTCATGATATGGCGATAAAAGTGAGCTCGCAGTTACGCTGGTGAGATTTTGCTTCGCCACACAGTTCTATGGACCTTGAGAAATGAGGAATGCCGTAGCTTCCGATCTAAAGATGCCAAGACCATGACCAAACTTTAAGAAAAGGGACCATATTCTACACCAAAATGCGCTACAGAAATGTGACCCAAATTCATACCAGCGTAAATGCAGATCCACTCTACATCTTGCATACAAGTATGCCAAATGGCGAGGTAAAAACCAATCAGGGCTTTTGCATTTATTGAGTCTGATTCAATCACGTACTTGGAGTGTTATTAAATGCTTACTCTTCGTAGGTTCTTTTAAGTCGGACTCAGTATTCTTTAATGATAAATTACACTACGTTACACTTTTGGCGTACTACTTATGTTATCATTAAGCTGCTGGGAAGGAGTGACCATTAGACGGGGTTTTGAGCCTTGGCGCAAACGAGGCTTAGCGGTGCTGGATGAGGTGGGAGAGTGATGCGCCTCCGCTGCCGAGGAAGATTTCAGTTATGGTGGGCCAAAATCAGTTGAACAGCTTTTGACCCTGCCGAGTTTTCGATCCTGCCGAGGTTTCGAGTCATGGACTTAGTATCGTTACGCCAAAGGCTACATCTTTTCTCATTTCGTTAGGTTGATCTTGGACTGCGATTGGCTATTACCACTTAAACAGCTTCCGGTCCTACCGATAGTTATCACAGCAGTTGCTACCTCGTTTAACTAAGGGTAAGGTATTTAAGACCTTGAACAATTCCCATGATCGAGGGAATCCTACAAGTTAGCAATTCTTCATCACTGCCTCTCCCTTCTGCCTGCCCAGTCTCACCGCCGCAGCTCGATACTTACTTTGTCTTACCACAGGTAATATTTGTTCCTGCAAGATACCACCCCGGATCATAATCCTAGAAACAACTGCTAATCAGCACACCAGTCACAATGAAGCTCTCTACTCTTGTCGTTATCGCCTCCGTTGTTTTCACTGAGGCTAAGATCTGCAAATGGACTCGCAAGTCCTGCAGCCCCAATGGCGGCCAGATCTCAATGGACGCTTGGATCCAACATTCGCGCGAGCTCTGTACGCGTATTGGCGGATCTCCTCAAGGACTTTTCAGCGATGAGGTGGTCTGCGATGCACCAGGTCTCTTTGTACCTAGACGGGTCCCAGCAGAGTTTGATGGAAAGACTTATAGCTGCTGTATCTTGTGTCCTGGGGATTCAAGGGGAGGCTGCTAAGTGGAAGTGCACAACGGCATTCAACCACGCGGCTTAGCACACAAGGGCAGCTTGGGCTTGGCCTTTGGGTGCCACTTTGGTGGTCAATCCAAAACTTACAGACTGCATCCAATCTAACATCAGGGTGCTCACCAATAAACTAAGTGGCATTCAACACTCTCTCGTAATTAAAAGTGAAGTCTGACCTGGTTTCTATAAAGGCTGTCACCTTGAACTTTGAGCAACCAAAAATGATTAATGTCACATGTCATCTTATGTTATCGAACTCAACGAGAGATCAACAAAGCTTAATGCCAAAATAGCGTGGTATCTTTTATGCTTCTTTAAACCTTTAGTGGCAAAAATCACAAAAGGGTAGTTGACATCTCAGGTATTATTCATTAAATTATCGACTAGCTGTACACTCCTATAAAAGCCGAGTCCACAGTCATAGAATCAATACTTGAGAAGATGGGTCTCAGTCGTGTACAGTTGGTGTGATGCCTCAAAAGCATAACCACGGTGCGGTGTCGCTAGTCCACTGTCGCAAATTAAATGCAGGCAACCTGGTTGATGTTGACGCGGCAAGCTAAGGTATACTGTTAACATCTCGGAATTCTGCTGTGGCTAAGGCTGACACTTACTTCCTGTGGTGGTGTGGCCACGGCCATCAGTCCAGTACTCGCAGGGGACAGCGGCCAGAATTTCATCAGTGTTTCTTCTGGTGCAAGCTTCGTGGACCTGGCCTGCAAATTTCATTCAATCGTACCTCATTCTTATTCTTTACTCGGGATGATGGATTAACCTACTGCCGCGGATGTTGTAAACCTGGTTGTTGGCAATCCAGCGGCCATCAGCAGCCTGAGCCCAGGCGTAGGTGCCGACGGCGTAGGTGACAGTGGCGAAGATGGAGAAACGCATGGTGATGATTTGAGAATAGATGAGATGAAAACTCGAGAAATGATGCGATGATGAAGAGGAATAATGATGTGACCATAAGTGACTATGCTGTCTACTTATAGTTTCAAACAATCCCTCATGGCCCGCTATCTAGACGAGCAGGCACAACTGCTAAGCCGAGTTGTCAACGTCGGTAAGTGTCCTATTCCTGTGGATCTGAGGGCTAACCTTTGAAAGGCAGGAGACTTGCCCATGGGCCCATAAGGAGGCAAATCAATTGTATAGGCGAGGTGCCAAATGACCAAAAGTGGGTTGTCCATAAGTTCGCTTTAGTCTCCTTGACAAATCGCGTTAGTAACTTATCCTACCCCAGAGCAACTGTACTACTATGCGCAGTATGTGTCCCAATTAGATCCTCGGTTCAATTGTAACTAAAGGGCACCAGATTTACGGAGCTGATCTTGTCCATCTAAGGCTACGCTGCGCTTTTCTATCGAGAATTGGTCAAATTTGATTGTAATCTGGTTTAGACTGATAGGTTGTAATGCACTTTTATGACGTGAGACTTGTCAAAGAGATCATTTGTTTTACAATGATTTGACTAGATCTGCCGTAGCTTTTGTGACATGTCTCAAACGATGTGACAGCAGTCAAGGTCTTAAATATCGGTTATAGACACTCGATATTCTAGATCACCTTCTTCATGTTTCTTCCCCAGTACGCTTCGCCACCGAAAAGTGGTGTTACAAGTGGGCCTGGGGGAATCGAATGTCCGAATGATATAGTGCTTAACCTAGCCCTCATTCGAACCCATAGTTGATGCCAGTTCCTTATTGTCTAAACATCAGATTGGTATGATCGGATTGGAGCGGAGTTGTACCCTTCTCGGGCCGCTCTAGATCGGCCTACCCTTCCCGAGCCCCACAACCCGCCCCATCCTCGTGGACTAAATGCCTATCATAATTGGCATGTTCGGACTGAATTGCAGAAGCGCACCCTATCCCGTCTTAGTCTAAAATGGAAATCTTCAACGGCATTCCTTTGTCGATTTTAAGACGGTGCCATGGATCGCCTTCGTATTCCGGCCCATATTCCTGTTCGGCTACTATCTTTGCCCCTCGCTTGTGCTCTTATTATCATTTTTTTTTTTTTCAACCTAGCGTCATACTTTTAAGTGCTTAGGACCATCAAGGTTAAATGTCAATGCATTGTGGAAATGGGCAGCAGATTTCCTGCCATGACGATAGATTGTAAGGGTCTTTGTTTGGAGAATCCGATTTTGTTGGATTGTCATTCCATTATTGCTTTACATCGTTTCTCAAGAATTATCATAGCAAAAATTGGACTTGCCTGTTTTGCACTCACTGATGTATTTTCTTTGGCCACCTGACTTTAGCCTATCCTTGCTCACACTATGTCCACATTAGGCAGCAAGTTAAATTTGGCGCTAGCACCGTTTGTTCCGGGGTTATAACCGATCTAGTGACTATTGGACAAGGGGAAATGTGTCACGCAGTCAATTTGCCCACCACTTATGGGGTAAAAAAAGATGCTTCCATTCATTAGAGACTGTCTAGGGGTTATTGGGTTGATTATATAACCGTCTATTCGGTAATTACCGATTTGAAGGTTTTCATGCACAAAATGACATCCCCGTTAGTTTTATATGGGAAACAATAGCCGGGTGCATGGGTTGAATGCATGCCCCGATATATGCAGTGGTCCGTGTGACACACCCCCTCAGAGAGGCAACCTGTTGTAGGTTGATTCTCTGTATTCTCATTCAAATACAGAAATGATACTATTCAGAACTCCGTATACTTACTACCAAATTCCAGATTCATACTGCGTTCTTCTCGATCAAATGTTCAATATTCATTGCAGCAATCCATTTGTGACTGTATTGGTGTTTGATCGCTTCACTGTAATTCTTTGGAACTGGTGGAAGTGTCTTTTGGTGTGGATTGCCTAAATCATCTGCTGATGCATCCCATTGATCTCTTCCTTTTACTGTATCCGTAGATTGCAGTGTGAAGTGGGATTCTCTTGCTCTTCTCAGTCTTTGTGATGATCTTGTTGCTTCTGGTGGCTGTTGATTTGTTTGACCAAGAGGGGCTGATCGATTGTAGATGTTGTGATTTCTGCTGCCACGAGGTCTTCCCCTTCTCGCTATGTTTGGGATTACTGTGGAGGAATCTTGTGGTATGATTTCTTCTGGTTCCAATTCTATGACTGGTGTCTGTTGTAGTTCGAGTCGGTCTGTTGAGGTTTCCTCTATGGTCTCACTTTGATCCGATTGTTCTGGAGTTGGCGATACTTCTGGAGTTTCTGGAGTCTCCCTCACCCCCTCAGTTGTTTGAGAATCTGACAGCTGTACTGTTGGTGATAGAGAAGTGGGTGTAGGTAATTGAAAATCCCCTGATTCTTTCTCCTGCATCGGTGTTGCCGGTGTTGTTTCTTGAGCGGCTGGATTCGAGGCGGGTAGTGGCCTGGTAATATTATCGCTGAAATCTTCTCCATCCCAGCCAGCTGTGTCTAGGTCTTGTTCAATTGGATTTGTGAATGGGATATCCATTTCTGTGAACTGGAATTCAAGTTCCATTTGGCTTAACTTGCTGGTATCCTCAATCCTTGGATCATACAGCGTGTTTTCGTCGAAAGTAACGTCTCTAGTTCTCATGACTTTTCCTATTGCTGGGATCCAGATTCTGTAGATATTTGTGCTGTCATAACCACATAGATAGCCAATATGAGCTCTTGGCGCAGTTTTGTTTGACTTTTCTATTCCTCTCTTGTAGTTTTGTGTCAAGGGGTAAGCTCTGCAGCCATATCGCCTCAAGTGTGCTAGTTGTGGCTTTTCAGCCCTCTTGTGGGTAGACTGTTGATGAGAGTTCAGCCAAGTGTTGACCAACCCCAATGGTGTCTGCCACTTGTGGCGTCTTCGAGGCAATCTGTTTGACAGATAAACTGCTGCTTTTGCCAGCTCTGGTGCCATCAATTCAGGAAAGCGAGATTGAAATCGAAGTGCTCTCATGATCATAAACACAGCACCTCCAGCTCTTTCTGCTGGGTTTTGAGCACCAGTGTACTCAGCTGATCTTTCAATCATATATCCATTCACAGCTGCCCATAGTTCAAACGCATTGCGTAAAGCAACCTCCCAATCTAGGCGTAGAATAGAGATTTTGATAAAGCACTGTCTCTCGAGGTATGCTGCTAATTCTGTCATAGCTTGTAGTCCCTCCTTTCGAGTACGAAGAGTTCTTATCCAGAAGAACCCTGACCAGCCATCGCTGACCAGCAGGATCACCTTCTCCCCATTGTATGCTTTGCTAAGTGTAAAGAAGTCGAGAGATAGATAATCTCCTACAGCAGTTGGCCAATGGTCTGGGTTTCTGCGGGAAATTTGGCGAGTTGCCTTCCCAACAGCACAGGCATCACATTCCACTTTTGTGATTCCTTTTATCTGTATCCCAAGAGCTGTTTTAAGTAGCTGTTCCAGTCCCTCAGCGCCTGGATGACCAAGTCTCTCATGCCACAACTTGGCTTCTGCTGATGATGTTGGGAGTGGTTGTCTTGTTGACTGAAAACCTTTGGTTGGTTTCCTTTCTACGGTTGGGCTGAATCTCACAGTCTTCTCGGTATTGCTGAACGAGGTATTGTTCAGCAGAGCTGGGCCAGCTTCAATAATGTATTGACCATATCGGTTTGGTGTTTTGAATAGAAGTCTGCCTTTTGAGTCGATAAGACCCGGTATTCCTGTTGTAAAGTTGATCCCTTTTTGCTTCAGCGGTTCTGTCCCAAGGAGCGATGTTGGGTATCCAGGCACAAGCCATACATTTCTGACTTTGATCTCCTTGTTGTTGGATTTGCCGCCTTGGTTTGGTTTGATGATCATTGTGCCTTTCGCAATTGCATGTACATCTCCTCCTCCAGTGATGAAGTCTTTTGTGACTGTGTAGTCGAGATCATGAAGTCTTGAGGAGTCGTTGCAGATGTGGAATCCTGTTCCTGAGTCTACTATCACACTGTCTGACAGTGGGAATCCTGAATAGAGACTTGCTTCTCCTTGATTGACGATAGTGACGAAAGATGAGAGTGATCCTTCTCCATCAGACACTTCTTGAGTATAGTGGGATGATGATTGTGTAGTGTTTCTCCAGTTTGAGGAAGATGTTGCTCGATCTGGGGACTTTTGAGACTGCTGATCGCTTGCCCCTTTTCGTAGTTTTTCAACTATTCTCTTTAAGTGTGGTTTCTTCTGGAGATACTCATTCAATCTTTCCAGTGCTTTCTTATTTTCTGGATTATCTTCATGATAGTTTGGGCCTCGCTTCTTAGGGTTGGCATGTTTGCAATCAACAAATCGGTGACTTTCGTTTGGGCAAGCTGCACACTTTTGCTCTCGTTTTGCCCCCTGTTTTATTCCTTGTTCGTTTTCTCCTTGCCAAGTAGCGAAACTCGTGTCTTTTAATGGAGCAGCATTCAGCCAGTCTGGGTGGAAAGTTCTCACCCAACTGCGGAAATCGTTAGCTTGCTCAATTCCAGCAGTCTTGCTGATCGAACTGTAGGTTGGGTCATCCTTGTATCGCTTTGTGAAGTCGTAAGAGGCAGATGTGTAGTAATCTGGTGCAATTTGCTTGACTGCTTTCAAGAACTCAGAGACTTGAGTAACTGGATCGCTGAGAGCAGGGATTCCGATTGTTTGGGCTTCATCCATGATTTCTCGATAGATTATGAGCCATCCTCCAAGTTTTGCTCTTTTGATTGATAGCATATGCTTGTTATATCTTTCCAATACCATTTGTTGTCTCCCAAAGTTGTCTGGCGCTAGCTGTTTTTCAAGAGCTTTTATGATATCCCTGACTGTTTGCTCCTTGCTGACTTGGCTGATATAAGTGGCTGCTACAGTGTTCATGATCCAACTGTGAATTTCTAGAAGACTTCGCCGAACCTGGTTGTATTGGTCTTTTTCTTCTTGATAGATAGCTTTTCCATAGCTGATAACGTTGCTATAGTTTGCTCGTTCTTCTTGTCTGAGGTCTTTTGGGTCTGGGAATTCCAATCTTGGCTTAGTATTAATCTTGGTTCCTTTTGGATTCACATAGTCCCAGACTTCATGAACGTTTGCCAGCATCTGTAAGTTGTTGAACCAGTGGTTCCAGTCGCTGTCAGTCTGTAGCCGCTGTGTGTATTTTGCAGTTTCCGTAGTTGAATTCATGATCTCTCTTGAAAAGAGAACTGGTCTCTCTCTTCTGATCGTTGTGCAGTTGATTTTTCGCCGTGGCCAAGATTGAGTTCGTGACTAGACACTTCTTGTTTCAAGTTGGTGATTTTGTCGATTGTTGCCTAGAGGTTTGAGGGTATATAGCCAATCTCAACGCCTCAATTCTCAACAAAACGCAAGACGCCCCCCTTGTCTAATGAACCTGCCGTTTAGTGTAGTTGGTCTAGCCACCCAACTTGTAGCTATTCGCAAGGACCGTAAGACTGGCAAGCTCCCCTTCGTGGGTTCAATTCAGGGTTGTGGAGTTTTCGCAATTTGTAAAAAGTCTTATCGGTTCCGTTACACGAAGACTATAAAGTGAACCACCTGTTCGTCTTATCTGCCCGAAGCTTTCAGAGACATAAAATGAGCAACTAGGTGTCTCTTCCGTTTCGTAATTCCAACCCTCCTGGCTGCGTATCCGTGGTATGGTCGAGCATGAACTTATATAAGGTTCAAGTTAAGAGTCCTGGGTTCAACTCCTCAGATGTGGTAAGTCCCCCTGAGTTGAGATGAACTTTTTGTGATTTTTTTGATAAGTGTTGATGATATGAATTGATGACCAGAAGTTCTTTTGTGATTGAATGTTTCAACACTTCAACGTTCAGCCTTGTGTGATTGGAATTGATGTTTTGTTTGGTGGACTTGACTGCCAAAGTCTCATGGGTCGGTAACTTCGTCAATTGAGTGCCCTTGTCTATGGCATAAGTCTGAACTGCTCCCTTCTGGAAGTCGGTTTTTCAATTGGTAATTGTCACCATGAGGTACTGGGCTCATAACTGTCACGCAGTCAATTTGCCCACCACTTATGGGGTAAAAAAAGATGCTTCCATTCATTAGAGACTGTCTAGGGGTTATTGGGTTGATTATATAACCGTCTATTCGGTAATTACCGATTTGAAGGTTTTCATGCACAAAATGACATCCCCGTTAGTTTTATATGGGAAACAATAGCCGGGTGCATGGGTTGAATGCATGCCCCGATATATGCAGTGGTCCGTGTGACAAAATGCTTGTTTCTCATGGCCTCCACCCTTACACTACGTCTTAAGAGCTCGAGGGTTTATCAGTCAAATCGATCCCGATGTTGCACTGGCCGGAATTCTAGACTGCAGTAGCTCTATGGCCTCCAGGCCTCACATGGATAGGCGACTGAAAGATATATATCATCGACCTATTTTGACCTTTCCTTCTACTTCTTCTTCTTCACAAGCTAAAGACTTTGATCACAGTTCAAAATGAGTCCTTTGTTTACTCATACGAATGTCCTTCCGGTTTAATTACTGTGAAGCGATACAATAACTAGAACTCTACTTTCGCTTGAGTACCTGGGTTACATTTTGGCAATACTATAGCTAGCAAAAAGATTGGCCATGGAACCAGGATCACAGCGCCAACCCCTTAATGACCTCGGAAGATTGGATTATCCGGATGACCAAAGCATCCTGTCACGAATGAGAAGAGAAGAACGTTTTGCATATGGTGAATCGCCTATCCAACCCAAGGACTGCTACTTGGTGGGTATATATACTATACGCGCTAAGAGGCGCTCTATAAGCGGTTTTATATCCGCGCTTTGCCCCTCTCTTAACAATGACACACAGCATCTGTTCATCGACTCCTATGTTTTCGCCACGGCATTTGCCATTGATACCGTAACTCAAAGAGTTGCTAGTGCCTCTATCATTTTTATAACACATTAATGAAAACAAGTGGTTGAAAGTTTCCAGAGGCCGCTGTCCCAGCTGAATGGATAAAACTGATCAAGCCCTACCGAGATATCTTCACATCAGTGCAATTGGATTTGCTATGGGCTCTGGTGGTGGTGAAGCCGTGAAACTACACCTTTTTGCTGGAGCTTAATGGTAGCCCTACATATATAAGTGTTGTCTTCTGTTTTTCTTGGAGCATATTTGTTGTGTGAAATTGTCCCCAAGTTCCAGTAGAGGGCGAGAATGATCACAATTTGCAACAAATACGCATGATGGGGAGGAAGCTGTGAAAGAGATCTACTGACGGAATTGACAGTTGTACAGATCCCTTTACTTGCAAAAAAGTTTGACTCCTCACAAACGAACAGAAAAAATTATCAACACTTTTTGCCTGTACAGCAACCAGTATTGATGGAAAGCATTGAACAAGCCATTTCAGCCTTCACAGTCAGGAGCCTTGATAGCAGTGGCTGCTTCCTACAAAAATTGATCCCCGCCTTATTCCCAGATGCACAATCAAATAGTTAACGCTTTCCTGGAACTCTCTGATCCTTTGCATGTCTGCTTTTCTGTTTCTCTTAACTCAATCAAGAAATGTATCAGTTGTGTCAACTTGACATGCAAAAGTAAGGTGGTTTTATAAACAATACAAGAATGCAAATATTAAGCAACTTTGTCTGAGCTGATATTCCTGTGGCAAACGTGCCTACTTTCTTGAGGAATAGGTGTGGCGGAATAATAGGGCCAATATGTGGCTCGATCTATTCGATACTGGGGATGGTCATGGTGAAACCTGCCGTTGAAACCTTTATAAGGGCGGCTTGCACCAAAACTGCTGTAAGTGTTACGGTAAGGAAGACTAAGTATGCGAAGGGAGGGTTATTTAGCTCTAACGTCCCACACCCACTTCTGGGCACCCCCCACATTTGGGCACCCCATTTACACCAAAAACGCCGTTTTTCGAAATTCTATATTAAACTAACTACTATACTTACTAAGAAAAGAAAATATATATAAACTATGTTAAGTATAATTATAGCCATCTAATTTTTTATAAAGGTTTAAATATAATAATAGTTATAATATAGAAGTTTAAAACTAAAAGCTTTAAAATGTTAGTAGATACTAGTAACTTACTAGTATTCCTTAACATTAGAAAAATATATTTTCGCTTATATATACTTATTTAAAAAATCTAGGAAATTAATATTTATACTTATTAAAAGTATATAATTATATCTAAAAGAGATTTAAAAGTATTACTTTAGTAAATATAGTATAATTAAGGGTTAAAATTCTATAATAGAAACTTTTCTTAAGGGAAATTTTAAAATATTATTCTAAGCTTAAAGAATTTTTTACTAAGTATAAGAATATATAAATCTACTATATCTTACTTAAAAATTCTAATCATATTAGTTAAATATCTCTACCTATTTTATATATTAAGATATAGGCTAGGTAAATTAGTATTATAAATGTTAAACCTTGAATTTATAATACTTATTATTAATAATACTAGTATATAGCTACTTAAGTATTATAATTAAGTCTTAATCTATTTAATATATATTTATTCTCTTTAATAAGTAAAGTATTTAGTTTAATATAGAATTTCGAAAAACGGCGTTTTTGGTGTAAATGGGGTGCCCAAATGTGGGGGGTGCCCAGAAGTGGGTGTGGGACGTTATCGACAAAATGATTAGCAAGAGATGTCATGAGATAATGGAGAAAAAGGCAAAAAATAAAAAAGGGACTGAGCAAAGTTCTTCTGCAGCGGAACAGTACTAGGAACTACGGAGAAGATTTAAGCTTTATAAGTCAAGATATACAACATGTGGATGTTTTTTTTAGGTAGTTCTTGCATTGCCTAGATTGTCAATTCCTGCGTTGCTACCCAACTCAAAGTGCCTCGGCTTCTGACGGACACGAGGAGAGTTACCACTTTTATACATATCGCCCAATCACATTGAAAAAACTTTAGCAGCAATCTGTGTGGGCCCGTCGGGGACCGAAGGCGAGAAATGACAGTTGTGGTCAGTCCTATGTTATTGCTCGATTGATATCAGTTGGAGGTTTGATTTTAAGCCTTAAAAGTAGAATAGCTTCCTCCATCTCGCTACTTTTTTAAAAAAAAACTTACAATCTCTCACAACTCGGTCACATCCACTTATTTCTGGGGAGACTCAACACCCTGATTTTCACGTTTCTAAACAAATACTTCGTCTGGTCAGCTTCCTAGACGATACTTCAAGTTTCCTCGCAAACACTATAAACAAAAAAAATGCATCTTTCTACGATCATTGCGGCTTTGGCCCCCGCCAGCCTTATCTCGGGTTATATAACCATCCACAGCAAGCAGTACTGCGGTGAATCCCCTCGCGTCGAAGTCACAAAGTGGGGCGGAAATTTGAACTCTTGCTACAACATGGATGGTGCGGCTGCGATCCAATTCACCGAGGTCGGACAACCCTACTCATGGGTGTGCAATGCCTACACCAGTTCCAACTGCCAGGGCAAAATCGTAGCCTTTTCCAGCTACACTGAGAACTCGGAATGCAACAACAGTCCAATCGGTTGGCTTTACTCTTACAAGTGCTACATTAAGTAAGGGAGAGATATAATGGGCTGAAGAAACCTAGGTAGTGGGATAGTTGCCAAACTGGCAAGGGCAGAAACTATCTCGTTCGGAGCTAAGGAAGTGAGAACCACGCGATAGAGGTTATATTCGGTTGTGCGAAACACAAGCATCTAACCTCTTGTGCAACGGGTACTTACCGCGAAGGGATTCGCTGAGGATAGCGATGTTTTTTTGGTCTTCTACAGAATAGCTAAGCCCTGGAAACAGCATGATTTGATATTTCTAGGCATGGATATGTAAATTACCACTTCTTTTCGCCTTTTATTTCTCATGACATTCCATTCCAAAACAACTTTGCCCTTCAGTCCAAGAATCCGGAGAGATCATGAACGGTGAACCGCACAAAAGTGGTTTCCACTACCAACTCTTATACAGGACTTTAGCGTGGCGCGGAGGAAATTGACTTAGTGCAGAGCCAAGGCGCGTCTTCGTTTTGACAGCATTCTCTTTATGTATCTTGCTGGCAAACCGCGAAACTGATCAACGATGTTAGACTTGGACACAAGCTACCACATGATACACCGCTCGAAATAGAAGTCGCAAGTTTGAACGGATGCTCGCCATGCTCAGCTCTTAGAAGTCATTTCATGTTTTTCTGCATCTTGCCCCAACAATAGACCTAAAATCAATTTCGCCAATTCGAGGTCAATTCTCATGGATCATTCCTATGCTGAGACACACCACAACCATGGTCTGCCTCAAGTAGAAAAAGTTGTTTAACAGTCACCCAGTTTGGATAAAATAGCTGCAAATATATGCCTTGAATATGTCAACTACTAGGTTGGTACAAAGGCAACCTACGAAGGTCTTTGTAATACTCCTACATAAATTTCAAGAAGAAAGCAATTCTCTTGAGGTAGTTTCTTTCCCATCGTGCATAATCAGACCAAGTAACTCGCTTACGCATGTGAAATAGGCCACCTTGGCGGACGGGTAGTTGAAAATTCTGCAGCGGTGAGTCGAAATAGATCGGCAACACTTGGATCGTGCCTGATTGTCTGTGTCATGGATCGTGGGCAGACGTGTGAATCTTACACCTACTAGCATGCGGCGCATTTACCAGCAGCGTTTAACAAAAGAAGTGACGTAATACAAAAATAATAATAATAAAGGAGTTAACGCTTTCTTCATTGGGGCAAAATGCCTTCAGGCGTTAATTGTGCTTGTTGCCCCCTGACCTCCAAAACTGACACGTTCGGGTCATGCTGCGGATGGAAGTCCCGTAAAAGTGGGGCGAGTTCATCGGATGTGGACCAAGCCGGAAGGTTTATACAGAAGTTGTGCAAGCTCGGGCAGTCCGGAACAGCCCTACCGGGCTACCACCGGATGAGCCACATCCACAGGGCAATCAACTCAGCTGTGTTGTGAGGGCTTCGGCTTCGATATTGTATACCGAAATCCGCTTGTGCTCCCTGTTACGTACTTTCAGTTCTACATACTTTGCAATTAGTAACTTGCACTGGGCACACCAAACCCGATGCTGGGCAATCCCTATCTTCAGTCCCTTTGAATACGGACATAAGGAATGTTATAGTCCTGTGATCGATGATGACGGTGGCCATAATTTTGACTCCAACGCTTAGCTTTTTAGAGTTTCATGAGCCACCACTTAATGTGTTCGAAGCCATGTCTTTTGTATCTACAACTTGTGACTATTTCCGCGGTACACCTTTTATACTTCCATCCAACTTCGCCAATCAAGCTCGACATCGAATTGATGCAATTCACACACGTCCCAGCAACTTTAGCTAGGATTTTTCTTCAATATAATTATTTCAAATACATGCTCCTATACTTAAACTAGTCTAAAGTTTCAATAGCCATGCAAAGTTACTATGTAAATACCCGTGGGCACATGCCAGATCACTTCCGATGTAACACACGGCAGCTTGACCCAAGCAACAAACAACCATATTCTTGATACAATCAAAAATCGAATGAAGTAAAAGGGTCTGTAGACCATCGCCAGTCCGTCGGGTTCATCCCAAGCTGATACCCTTTTACTTCTCCGGCACCGCCTGCTAGCGGTGGCGGCGGCGGCGGCGGCGGCAGTGCTACAGTATCAAGCATATCTGTACTGGCAACACAAGACAGCGCAGCCGCAGGGTCCATACTCGTATCTAAAGGGGCGAGGGCAATCTCACATAATTCCTTGAGCACGCTAATGCTTTCAGCAGCCTTGGCGAATCCGTTTCCCACCCCGACCTCGGATTTTGAACCTGCTCCGTTACCTGCCCTCATGAATCGGTCTCCGACCTCATCTAATGTGGTGATGAGGTCTATTGTGTTGCGAGCGCTCATGCGATCCCATACCGGATCTTCAAGTATGGAGAGTCGATAGAGCGAGGTAAAACAGAGACGGAGTCTTGCGAAGAAAGGATAAGAGATGGCATAGTATGCTGCTGGGGGTATTGTGTAGAAGTGTCCGAACCAAGCTTTAATGTAGTGCAAACACATATAAAGGCTGTTGAGGCGGGCTATGTCAGGAAGGCTGGCGGAGCTGTCAACTTTGTTTCTAGTTGGCAGAGCAATTTCCTGGATCACAAGCTCGGTATAGTGAATTTGGGAGATGATAATATCTAGAGACTATGTTAAATGAAGTATTCATGAGTAAGTGACAAAGAATGGACCATGTACCTGCGGATTGCAACTCTGGTGGCAAATTTCGAATGATACATTGAAGTCGGTCTTGCAGAAGCCTAGCATACGTGGATGCTGGCGTTCTAAGGTTGTTAAACTCGTCGAAGGAAACGTTAAGCTGTAATGTGTGGCTTCTGGCTTCCTCGCTGAGCAGTTGTATCCTGGTCAATGCGGCTAAAATTCGATCTGAAGGGACCTCAGACTGCTCATCGAGGATAGTAAGACACTCATTCATATGGGGGCTCCAGCGCAACGCGTCATTCTTCTCAATAACATCGGAGATTCTAGGTGATGTCAAACAATTTTCAAGGCGCAAGCAGATAAAAACACTTTACTCACATTGATGTGATTACGTAGCAAGCGACGATGGCTCTCCGTTGCTCCATCGTACGCGGCAGCTGAGACTTCGGGAAAGGATCCTGAAATAAGGTCTTCACTTTACCCCCGTTTTCTTGAGCTGTCTTCCAGCGGAACAAAGGACTAGAGGATGCAAGTGGTTCCGTGTATAGCCCCAAGTCAAAGTAAAGTGCTTTAGCAATCTGACACATTAAGCTTGTGAAAGACCTATCTCCTAGATAATGACTCGGCCTGTCAATGCTGTAAGTTTCTTATTTGGCATCTAGAACACAGCAGGCTTACCAACTAAGTATGATCAAGAGTCCAAGAAAATACTCAATATTCTTCTCGTTCTCATTAATTAACTTTTGTGCAACTGCTTGTCGCACTCGCTGTCCCCACGCGATTTGTTGTTTTGGGAGCCGCGTAGTCACCGTAATAATACAAAGCCATAGAAATGGCCGCTCTTCCCGCAGTTCCTTCGATGTAACCGTTTTCTTAAAGTGCAAGAACGGAAAGTATTTCAAATTTTGATCCCGAAACGACTCAAACAGGGCTTGCGCCTCATCTTCCGAAGGTAGCTCATCAGCTACAGTCTTAACGTCACACATCTGCGTTTTCATGAACAGTGACGTGCCCCCAGCCTCGCAGTTATCGATTTGAGGCAACAAACCGGACCCTACGCTGCAAGTGTCTCCGAGTTCTGATGGCTCGCCTCCTGCTGAGGTTGAGGGGTCAGGGGTCCTTGGAACCTTCATATCTGAGCTGGCATTGGTGTGAATGCTGTGCTGCCTGGACTGTTGCAGCATAGTCATGAGCCCGTCAAGCTTCTCTTCCAAACGTGCCGTCTGGCTGTAGAGTCGTTTCTTGGGGCGCTTTCTTGCATAGAAGCTCGGCTGACATGACTTTTGCAAGCGGTGACACCGCTCACATGCGCCGCCGGCGGGTCGGGAGACACATTTACATTTCGATCTGGAGCAGTTGACGCACGCCTGGCCATAGAGAGTGCGAGCGCCTCTGCTGGCCGGATGAAACTCCAAGTCTTGTGTTGCGTTTTCCTGCATTCGGAATTGCTGCGCCTCAAAATTTTTTACAGGTTAACAAATCAAAGTTGAGCTGGAAAGAATAGGCCGATAGGAGAATCGTCCACGCACGGATCACCGATTGATGGAAGGGGATGCTTTTTACAGTGGATTGAAAAAGGACCCAACTTAGCAATACTAGAAATCTCACCTTTGATACTAAACTTCAACTTAGGATCGTCCCATTAAGCCGCTTTGAATCTGCAACAGAATGATGGGCGTTGAAAACAGCAACAGACATAAAGTTAACAAAATGGCGGCAACACATTATCACAAGGAGCGTACATGCAGGTTTCTTATGGTCTCATAACCCACAAACTTGGTGGTGACTGAAAGCTGAGAAGGATATTGAGATATGCACGGATTTGGAGTGCTTATGAACGAGTTATGCATGGCAAGCGGGAGATCTCGTACCGGACCACCTAACAATATAGCACCACGCTAATGGCCGGACTTAAGCACGACGGGGTTTAATCATCGTCCGCGGGGCTCCACCCCGAGCTGTATGATTGGCAAAGTCAGGTAGAACAACGTCAGGAAATGATGCCGTCACCGCAGGGTTCTCCGAAAGAAGCCTGGAATCCTTGCTACGTGGATGATCTATCTGGTGATGGTTACCCATAGTAGTCGGGGTTGAGGCTAATGCTACCCGGTGATACCTAGGTACTAAACTAGATCCGCCTGCTTAAAGGTATTAATGAATAGGATACACCAAGGCATAGTGCTGAGTGAAGATTCATACACACAGCCCGGGATTCAGGCATCTTTTGTACCCGTAATGCCGCTGCCAGTATGATTACCGTGATCACATTCTTCCATTAGTCACATTCTCATATGCTCAAGAACGGCTTCTTCCCCATTAACTTCATACATCAGCATCTGTCTTCTCATGCTTTACCTCCCATTTGCAAAATCTTAGCGATATCAAGGCGTACGACTGCGATTATTTGCCACGCCTTTCCTCTCTGATCGTAACGATGACGCGAGAAAAACCAAGCGTGGCAGCCAACGACGGCGGCGAGAACGTTGCTCCGACCAAACTCCCCTACTGGCGATTAGTTACCGACCAAGCGGGTATCACTCCAGAGGTAGCCAACTACGCATATACTGGCTCTGGCACTGAAGAAGATCCATTCTTGGTGCAATGGATTGATAACGACCCTCGGAATCCTATGCTTTTCAGCCGGCGGAAAAAATGGTTCATCACGATGATGGTATCGCTTACAACATTGGCAGTCGCCCTTCTCTCTTCTGCCTACACTGGAGGCATCCGAGAAATAATTCAGGAGTTTGGGATATCTCAAATAGTGGCTACCCTTGGCGTATCGCTTTTTGTGCTCGGATTTGCGATAGGACCACTCCTATGGGCTCCTCTGAGCGAGCTTTTTGGGCGCCAGTCGCTTTTCTTTGGCACATACGCAGTGTTGACCGCGTTCAATGCAGGCTGTGCCGGGGCAAACAATGCCCATACCCTGATCATCCTTCGCTTCTTTGCGGGCGCTTTCGGTTCATCTCCCCTCGCCAACTCGGGTGGTGTCATCGCAGATATGTTCCCAGCAGCTGAGAGAGGACTGGCCATGGCATTGTTTGCAGCCGCGCCCTTCCTCGGCCCTGTCTTAGGACCCATCATCGGCGGATTTCTGGGAGCGGCAGCCGGATGGCGCTGGGTTATGGGGTTTCTGGCGGCCTTTTCCGGAACTCTCTGGCTTCTCGGAGCGGCACTTGTTCCTGAAACCTACGCTCCGTATTTGCTACGAAAGCGAGCAGCTAAACTTTCCAAGATGACGGGCAAGTGCTACGTAAGCAAGATGGAACATGAACAGGGCCGAGTAAGCCTGGCGGAGTCGTTCAAGACGGCGTTGCTACGACCTTGGATTTTGCTGTTCCGTGAGCCCATCGTCCTACTTCTATCGATCTACATGGCCATCATATATGGAACGCTCTACATGCTTTTTGCAGCCTTTCCCATTGTTTACCAGCAGGAGCGAGGCTGGTCTCAAGGTATTGGAGGCTTGGCGTTTCTAGGAATCATGGTAGGAATGATCTTTGCCATCATTTATACGATACCTGAAAACGGACGGTATCAGCGAGTACAAGCAAACAACAATGGCTATGCACCCCCGGAAGCCCGACTTCCCCCAGCAACGGTTGGGTGCATTGCAGTGCCTATTGGTCTTTTCTGGTTCGCCTGGACAAATCAAACGTCAATCCACTGGATGGTCAGTATCGCGGCTGGCGTTCCTTTTGGTTTCGGAATGGTCCTCTTGTTCTTGAGCATCATGAACTACTTGATTGATGCCTATACCATCTTTGCAGCGTCTGTTCTCGCTGCCAACTCAGTCATTCGCAGTTTATTCGGAGCTGCATTTCCTTTGTTCACGTCATACATGTACCAGAATCTTGGCAACAACTGGGCGTCCTCGGTCCCGGCTTTCCTGGCGCTTGCATGCGTGCCCTTTCCTTTCCTCTTCTACAAGTATGGGCATGCGATCCGCTCTCGGTGCAAGTTTGCCGCACAGTCCGAAGCATTCATGGCCCGACTTCGCGAAGGTGGATCTTCAGCCACTGAGGACAAGGAGGTCAAGGAAACTGGACCAACCGAAGCTGCAAACGACACTACCGATTCCGAAAGAGTACCAGATGAATCTGCCTATGCAAGTCCTCATGGGCAACGGCCTCGTACTATGAGTGGTGGCACGATGGTATCTACACATCGCAATTCTTACGACGGCAACCCATACGACATTGACAGAGTCAACACTAGGGAGTCATTTGTAGCAAAATGAGAGTGTTCCTGTTGGCGGTCACCTTCGCTGCAAGATTAGAGACCAGAAAGAAAAAAAAAGATTGCTTGCACCTGGTGCTATAAAATCAGGACCTATGACCGCCCGGCCAACCACCGGCCGGTACCCGTCACGTGGATCAGAGATCCGGCAGCCTCCTTTCCACACGTGACGGCCAACCCGGAGACTCCCTGTTATTCACTTCGAAACCTCACTTTTATTGTACTTTACAACTACGCTGTTGCTGTCAGATTTCATCATTTTGTCCCTATACCCGTACGGTGATATCTCTGTGGAATCAACAGAACCACTAGAAAAAAGACGATAGAGATGGCATCAACAAGGCTGACATGCGTCACCTGGCACCTTACTTAACCGAAATTGGAAAACTGGAGTTATGTAGACTGGTTGTTACGTTTTACATCAAATTCATAGACTAATGATGTTTTATATGTATCATTGTTCACATGTCCCTAATGGTAGCCGTAATGAATTACATGCTGAGCATAACGTCTTGAAACTGTCACATACTTGAATAGGTCGGTACCTTCCGGAGCTTTCGTTAATAAACCCATCTGTGGCGCCAAGTTGAAGTTATTTACATGCTGCAACAGCGATATCACAAAGTCAAAAACTTTGAAGGCAAATAGGTCACAAGTAGTGCTTAGTCACGGTGCCCAGGACTACGGAGGTCTACGGCTGGAACGGAGTCAATGTAGCCGAAACTACGCATAATAAAAACCACACCAGACGAGATGGCAAGAAACGGTTGAACAACATACTCAACGTCTTCTCTAATCCCAAAGATGATCAGCCCAGAGTGAGATGGGTATCGTAACTGTTTCGACTGAATCGTCTTCCAAACAGCCTTATATCCAGTCTGTACATCCAACAGACTGAATCGGATATTGAGGCGGGGAATTCAGATTGCATCCAAGGGCAGTAGCGGTCACCATCTCGCCAGCGGGCGCCATACGAGCTTAACTCTGCAGAGGCAGCCCGTTTGATCTCGGAGCTGGCCGAGCAGGATTCATCCGGAAGTTTGTTTTGAGTGTCGGAGGACCGCCTGGGGAATTCACGACATTTCCTCCGGTCGACGGGGCAAGGGTTGTTTCCTTCAACTTGAGCAAACTTTGCACCCGTCAGCTAGGATGCCACTCATGAACGTCTTGGCAGGTGGTTACGCAGCAATTGTTGGCCATGCTGTTGTTCAGAAAGGGCTCGGTTGGGTCTAAGAAGGGATTCGATAAAGTTGGCTCCAGAGGGCAGAGGGTCCCGGAGATAACGGGAGACTCACCTCAGGAGGGCATGTCTGCAGTCCTAATCCGTCATGAAAGCTGTCCCTGGACTCCTACTTGGAAGAGTCTTTGGGTATTACGTGTTCGTATTCGGTCGCTAGGCGCTTGTTTAAGCGGTAGAAAATGCACATTTCGTTAAACGAATGCCCTCGGAGGCCGCAGCGCGAACGGGCTAATGGTGACGAATACTGGTTTGAAATGTGTTCTGGCCTTCAAAAGTGCCAAGTCAGACAAATCTTTCGACCTCATTGTTGGACCACAGCTTCATGTTGAGAGGTGGCAAAGGGGAATTATGAGTACGGATGACTGTGGATAGGTAGGCAGTAAAAGCTAGAGGACAAGCTCTAGAGCACAGCTGAGCCACTCCAACTCTAGCCACACATTCACAGGCGGTAGTTTAAACCTGATCGGTCACAGTGACCAGATCGGGCATGGAAGCCAGAAATAGCACCATTTGCCCCCGAGCAGCCACAACATGGTCGTCTCAGACGTAACGGAGGAGCAAGGCTCATACCGCAAGCCAGCTCATCTGAGAAATGGCGGGTCCACGAACATTGCCTGAGCTCCGCCCTATCTCCAAGTGACTCATCTGAACGGCGCTGCCTGAAATTCACAGTTGACAAATTGTCCCACCATGTTGTTGAACGCCCAGCCCCCCGTTGCCCCCGTTTTGTTTCTCACGTCAAGGGGCAGGTTAAGCATAACCGAGCAAAGAGCTGCGATGAGGCGGTAGCGATAGCGAGGAAAGCGCCCCGCCGATTCGGTCCGTCCTCGAGGACTCAGACCGAGCATTTTCTTCTGACGAAGAGGCTATGACGTCTTTGAAGTATTCGGCCTGAATCCGACAGCCTGTGCCATGCTGCTATTTGTTTGGCTGTCTAAACGCCGGTTTGACGAATGACAAAAAGCAAAAAGAATTCTCATGCAAGAGGAGAAAAGAAGGTACCCACTAACGACTGCGAGTAAACACCTTGAATGGTTGCATAGGAAGACAAGAAAAACATCAAACATGGGATCGGTAGGGATTCGATGTGTTCGTCGTGCCAGGCGAGAGGTTGGGAACTCGGAGCATCTCGTCTTGAAAGAGCTGGCATTCGTCGACAGGTTTCCACCGCTGGGAGGCTGGCGTACTAGTAGGCATAGGATGAATGTCAGACATGGGAGCGTTTGGGGCGAATAGGGTAGTAGGAGACGAAGGGCAAGGGTCGGCCAGTGATCACTGTGTAGGTTATTTGGCAGCAGCAGAGAGAAAATTGGAATTATTTGATCCGATGCTGCACAGCCCTCTTGGCCAGGTTTACTGGGAGAGCCTGGGCCAAGCCTGCGACTGGCCAGGAGAGCCGATGACAGGCATGGCAGGCCGTAACGCTAGGCCTTTTTTTCCAAGGGCATCCCAAGATGATGGTGATAACTTTGGAGTGTCAAGGAGTAAGGGGACAGCACTGGCCCATGGATAAGCTTACCGCGGTATCCCGTCCCATTACCGTCGTTTAGGGTGGGAGGATTGACTTCTAAAGCCCCCTTGAACCCTGGAGGGGCGGAAGGCGGCGGAGGGATGGCGATCCGGAATGAAATAGAATGATTTAGTTTCGAAAAGCAAGATGCGTTATGAGAAGCCGATATCCAGTGGGCCGGAAGATGTTTACATCTAGGTTGAATGAGTATCAACCATCTGTATGGCGTTGGAGACGCAGTCTGAGGTGATCAACTGCAAACGCGTTGGAAGCTGTTTTGCGGGCGTAGAAACAATCCAACTGTCGCGACAAGTGACTGGTCGAAACAGACGTCCCATCTCTGAATATGGTTCCAGCCGGCAGTAAATCTGCCTAGGTGCACCAAGGTTGTCACAGGAGAGGCCCGAGAGTGAGTGGCTCTCACAAGTGGCATGCCCGGGCGCACATGAGCCACATGTCATGTCAGTCACACACGTTACAGGGCAAGGCCGTCGAGGATGTACTGACAGGTACGACAGGGCGATAGAAAAGGGAGGATTGTGATTTGTATTTAGGATGGGGGATTTGTGAAAAAGAACGGGGGGTGGCATAAGGTGTGCGAACCGTTCCGAGGCAACGGGACGAAAATGAGATACTGCAACGGGCAATATAACCGTCCTGATTAAGATGAGAATTCAAGCATCGAGTTCTTTTTGGCAGTGCATGAAATATGCGAGTGAAAGAGTTGAAAAGAAACAGTAAACATAGGAGGACAAGAAAGCCTATTTGGAAGGGGCTATTAAAGTTGCGGGATGATATTCTGGCAGCGCTTTGCCTACATTAGCCGTGGGTGAGGCGGCCCATGGTGCGTGGACTAAGACGATTAGAAGGTTAGCCAAGAAGCGGGAAGATAAAGTGAGAGACTAAGAAGAGTTTGCGGAGGTAGGGTGAGATGAGTTATGTGAATGTATGAGAGATGAAGTAAGGGGAGAATGAGAGTGGTAAACTAGACACCCGCTAATGTCATGTCACCTGCGTAGAGCCTTTCTAGTCTAGTTCATCCACTGCATAATTAAGCATAACGGAGGGATGACGACGAATGACAGCCTTCAGTAGGCGGTACTCGGTGACATTTTGACAATACTAATAATCAACTGGTTTTTTTTTTTGCTGCTTATCCACTGCATCTGAAGCCACACACCCACACAAGGTTAAAACTGCCCCCCCTAAAAAGCTTTGACACTATTTTGGTTCCCGTTTCATGCTACCTGTAACCATGTTAGAAGGGGGAGTTTGTCGGTACGTACCTGAAGCCCCTGGTTGACTAAGGCACCGGGACCTTACATACTAGTAGTGGTACTACTGTGTATGAACAGGGAGTAATTCTCCGAACCTTGCTGCTTCACAGTCACTCCATCAATGTCTTCACCTGCCACAGCATAGGTGGAATCCACCTATGCCGGTTCAACACAGACTGGTTTGCTGCCTCGGCTCGACACTTTGTCCTACCCTGAAGCCTCTTCGCCGTCAGCTTTCTGAGCACCGACTTTGCACAGTCTTTCAGTCACACATCCAGTCCTCAGACTATGGTCACCGCCCGTCACCACTCTTCGCATTCGGAGAAAGGTGACAGTCTCAACAGGCTTCTTATCCACCCTGGACCTTGATTCGGGACACCCCACACTTCCTTCACATGCACACCCTCCAAGCCCGCTAGAAGCCTTCGATACCGCGTCTACGATGTTCTGTTCACTACCGAGGGGCGCCTATGGCGGTGATCTGAATGAACTCTACATAGCAGTACCTACTAGTCGGTCGGCAACCACACCAAACTCTCTTCTCGCCATCGGCCACGATGCTGCGCTACGTAGTAGAATAAGGCACATTGCAAGGTTTGACTTTCCTTTTCCCTGAACCATAGAGCACATCATCGTGCCGAAGGGAACCCCCTCCCCGAACCGAATCTCAGCGCGTCGGGTGATCAATCACGGGAAGAGGGGGCAATCCTCCGAGATCTACCTCCAGGTACCCCCAATCGATGATGCTCCAGCACCCCGACCTCGTTGCTGGGTAGTATGTCGACAGCTCTAGGACGGCAGTGAATCATGATCCACCGACTAAACACGCGTAAAACCACCAGCGCCACCACAAACGGCGCTTCGCCTCCCGCTACCAACCGCTCGAATACGGGGCGGGGGCGGCGTTTCCTGACTCCCAAACGTGTACGGAGTGCTACCAGCGTTTCCAGCCCTGGAGATCACTTAGACGAGGAGACACAAGCCCGACGGCCAAGACCTTCTCGATCTTCGAAATACGGGGCCGCGAAAGGCTTAGCCTCTCCCATTACGGCATTCCAACCCTCAACAACCCCTGTGAGCATCACTATTACAAGCAATAAGCGTGCTAAGAAGGCCCCCTCAAGATCTACTGGGAATCACAGTCTGATCGTCGAAACCGTAAACTTCTTGGCCTCCGTAAGATGGGTGCATCATGTTCCTGGCTGATGGTCCAATCGGATTTCGCTAAACCATCCTTCACTCAACTCCCCTACTGCGTACGAGTCCACGTCGACTTGCTGACTACGCAACTTTAAGCTCGACGTACCTGACTACTCACACCTTGTTCCTGACTACTGCAACCTTTAACCCTCACTCAAATCATCAGGGCCCACAGCACGGCCATTTGCCGCCAAGACCTCCACTGAAACGGATTCACGAGCAAAGAGTCGCCAAGCTTCATGCATCTTGGAACCTAACCGCGCTCTCGAGCTTCAACCCCGGCAACATATCGTCTTACATGGCGACTCCTTCGTATTCTCATGACTACAGCCTGCAAATCACTCAAATCATTCTGTACCTACACGGTAAGCGTACTACTACTCCTGGTGTCTGGAGTGCCCGCCCTGCCCAGGGAGGCGCAGTACCTAGTAGGACGGGGTCGATGGTGGGCGGGTGGATTCGCGGGCGCTCCCATGTCTCCGTTGCTGTAGCCGCCTTTTCTCCAGCAGCTTAGATGCGATTTGCTGTGAGCCGCATCTTGGCAGCTTCAACATCATCCCGCCACGAGGGATCAATCTTGCTATGGAGTCGACTCCATCTCCGAGGCTGTCCGGACTGTGTCGTCTGTCTTGTCATCTCATTTGCGACCAGTCGTCCACTCGCGACAATGATTTCAGTTCTTCTGGCAAGTTCAAGCAAGACCATCTTCTCAGGCTCACCCCTCCCCTGAGTTGTCTTTTCTTTCTCTCTTAGCCACGCCCCTCACATTGCCCCCTTCATGCCCGTGCCACATGAATTGACGCGATACCGAGCTCCGCTTGAGGCCGACTTTGACTGACGGCTAGCCGTCCCCTCCCCAATTCCCAAGGTCCTAGCCACAATGGGGACACAGACCCTGATTATGTGGACAAGGTTCAAGGCACTATCGGGGACGCAAGGTAGGCCGGCCAGGGTCGTGATATGTACGTGATTGTCTCTAAGTGTGTGAGCGGCCCAAGGTGCGTGGTATACGTAGTAGCTGTGGAGAGAGGAGGAGGAGGAGGCGAGGGGCGGTTCAGCTGAGAACAGACCACGAGCTTCGACGAGCTGTTACTCGCCTGCTCTGCTACCAAACAGCATGGAACGATCCGATTCCGAACATCGAAATTTCCATCCCATCTCTCTAGAGGAATTTGTCAAATCTCATCCACGCCCCCTGACCAAGGGTGAAGAAAAAATGGAATGCCAAGGACTACCATCCAGATCTCTTGCTATATAACATTCCCTTCCACACCATCAAATCTAACCTTTTTCTTCTCTCTCATCATCACACACAGCATCTTAAGAAAGCAAGCCTTCTCTTCTACTCTCCTTCTTCACAAATCAGCCCCGGTGGCTTTTATAATAGGCATTCTTTTACTAATCTAAAAAAACCAAATTCCGACCTCTTTTTTCTTCACAACACTCTCTCAATCTACCAAGATGCGTTCCCAGTCCATCCTCGTCGCCGCTCTGGCTGCCTCCGTCTCCGCCCACGGCGTTGTCATGTCTGTTGATGGTGCCAACGGTGTCACCATGCCCGGTCTTACCAGTAAGCAACACCAGTCGCAGCCAGCACCAGCAGCCGCCCTTGTTCTCCTTCGTCTCTTCCCCGAAGAAACATGCTACGCTGTCGACGGCAGTAGTGGTGGTGGCAGCAGCGGTAGCAGTAGCACTATGATCAGCAACAAGGCTAACACCACAAACCAGTCGCCGACGGCACTCCCCGTGACTGCTCCTCCAACGGCTGCGGCTCTCAGGCCGACACTGCCATCATCCGTGACCGCGAGATTGCCTCCGGCGAGGTCGGCCCTCTGGGCCGCACTCAGGGCAACGGCCCCGTCAGCGCCGAGGCCATGATCAACAACTTCATGGGCGGTGCCGCCGCTCCCAAGAACAACGGCGCCGCCTCCTCCGCCGGCGTCGAGGACAACATCCCCAACAACGCCGCCAAGCGCGCCGAGCTCCACGTCCGCCAGGGCCTCGCCGGCCTCTTCGGCGGCGGTGGCAAGAACAAGGGCAACAAGCAGAACGGCCCCCCCGAGGCCCGCGTCGCCGCCACCGCCGGCATGGGAGCCTCCCAGGGCATGCCCACCTGCGCCGATGACGGCACCATCACCATGACCTTCCGCCAGATCAACCAGGACGGCGCCGGTCCCATGACCGCCGACGTCGACGGCACCTCCGGCGGCACCAAGGAGGAGGCCTTCCAGAGCGCAAAGGTCATGCAGGACGTCCCGGGTCTCGGCGTCCAGGGCCTGTCCCTGGCCACCAACACCGACTTCCAGATGAAGGTCCAGATGCCCGCCGGCATGACCTGCGACGCCACCGTCGGCATGGCCACCAACGTCTGCGTCGCCCGTGTCCGCAACGGCGCCGCCGCCGGCCCCTTTGGTGGCTCCGTCGCCTTCACCCAGACCGCCGCCGGCCGCAAGCGTGCCATCGCCTACCGCCTCAAGAAGCGCATGGAGCTCAACAACCGCGCATAAACGGTTTCCCCCCTCTTTTTTTAACTCGACGCGCCCCCTTTCCGTGTGGTGTGGGAGAGAGAGAGAGAGAGAGAGAGAGGGACGGTGTCAGAACCTTGGAGTTTGGTGGATTTGATCCGGGTCCGATGGGGGTCAGGGACCCTCCGGAGCCTTTGGATGGGATTCACGTGGAAAACTTGGGTATAGAAGCTCTTTGAAAACGACCATTCCTTTATTTGTATCCTACTACATACTTTTTTCCCCATTAGGTCGTCTCATTTTTCATAGGCAATTGACGCCGGTCGGAGTTTGAAAAAACTTGAAGGTTCCTTTTGATGCTTGTTAGCATATGTGACATGAACTTTTTGACAAATTTTAGTGATATGGCTTTATTATCATATTCACCTGGAGCAAAACATGACTGAATCAGTAACGCCTAATTCACCGTCATTGTTAAAAAAATAAAAATATAAAAATATAAAAACACCTAACCTTCACCCCTTTTAGAAAAGCGAAACCAGGACAAACAGTCTAAAGCTGTTTTTAGAAAGAGATGAACTGGGCCAGGCTGCAATCCAGCCTCGGAAACGCAATAAAATGATTCGTGTAGTTGAAATTCGAATTCGACCCCTTCCTTACCTGGATTACTCCGGGATTCACTGCGCTGGCGCCGCCCTCACTTCGTCCAAAGTCCAAACAGAATTCCCGCTCAGGGCACATCCCTTCTTCCCCCGGGACCACACCGACATGACACCGGACTTGTGTCAGGCAGGGCGAAACAAAACAACGCTGGCAAATCAACGACGGGGAAACATTTCAAATCTTTCATGGTTTTGGGAACTCGTCATTTTGCACGCTTACTTCGGGCCTCACGCACGTGTTTCTCGTCTATATCCAAAAAAAGAGAAAAAAAAGAACAAGAAAAAAAAAGAAAAAGATTCTCTCTACACTTACGACGCCATTCCCAACCGAGATGCTTCGGCCACCGACAAGAGGCCATCCCAACGCCGGGCTTGATGCAACGCCGTCGCATTACCAAACATTAAGGTCTATTTGCCGCCATTCACGGCACTGAACAAATGTGATATCGCTGCAGGAACTGCCTGCTTGCCCACCTTTGTGGTACTGTCGATTTACATGGTCTGGCAACCATGTCTGTGGCTACGATGAAAATAAAGAAGCCGAGGAAAAGTAACTCGGCAGGGATTTACCACCGACGACTGTATTCTCCAGTTAGCAATGCATGTGGTCATGGACGGAAACTTGACCCAACTAACCTGTATGCCGAGTCGACCTTGGGTGCACGCTTGCGGAATTTCGCGGCACCAGTGTTACTCTCTTTACCACCTTTTGATTTCGTGGATATCCCCAGGAGCTCGGCCTCCAAGTCTGACAACTCTGAGCCTTCGCTGCCGTGTGAGGCGTATGAAGCCATGGACTGTCTTGAGGCTGGGCGCGAGTCGGGATGACTACTGTGAGACCCGCGGCGCCATGAATGATGAGAGCCTCGTCTGCTCTGGTGCCGATCAGTAGGCGGCGTTCCCGTAGGTGGAGGAGACGCTCGCCCCCTGTCGTGGATGCTGTTTGAGGAATCTTGTCGTCGTACTTGACGTGAGCTGTAGTACCCAGAGTCTTGGCGATCAACATATCCCTCCCTTTCACGCATGGAAGAGCCGCTCTCCCGGCTGTCATCCAATGACTTGAGAAGTGTGTCGGATGGATCGTAATCAGCGCGGTCTGACTTTTGCGTCCGATGCCGATCAATCGGCCTAGCTTCTTCTTTGCCTCGTCGGTTGTGAGGAGATGAGCTATCGTAACCCTTGTGCAGCTCTCCTTTCTGTCTTTTGTGTCGATTTTCTTTCCACTCGCCCTCCTGATTGCCACGGTCTCGGGGCTGCTTGTGTGAAGAATCATCCCATGCGCGTTTGCGGCTGGTGATGGGTTGATAATTGCGGTTCTCCGGAGTCGGCGGCCGAGGCGGCAGAGAGGGGAATCCAGGAAGGCGCAGAGACTTGAAAGTGCTAGGCTTTTCCCTAATCTCAGGCTGTTGTTTAGCGGTTACTGAATCCTGTGCGGGTGTCCAGAAGGCTGGGTCGTGTTTCAAGGCGGTAAAGTACTCAGTCTCGCGTATGGGGCGGGAGTACTCTTCGAAATTATCCATGTTCACGAACTCGGATAGAATACATGCGGCGTCCCATGCCGGAGGCAGCATAATATTATCATGGTAGTCCTCAGGGCTTGGCAGGGGTTTGGCGATCGGATCTGGCTGGTGGGTTTTGGGCGGATCTTGGAATATCATTTCCTCTTCCCACTTCAAGTCGTCTTCCTCGTCGACGCCATGCTCCGAAACAGTAGGGGCATGCCGACTCTCAGGCGTGCCACTCGTGACCGGCGCCGCTTCTACAACTTTCGGCGTAGAGTCTGGTTTTGCAGGGGTGCTGGAGTTCTCTTTGCTACCGGGCTTCGGTCGAGGTTGCGACGAGTCTCGTTTTTGCTGCTTGCCATGCTTTTGCCGACGATTACGATCATGACGGTTGTTTTGCCCTTGACGATGGCGATTGTTCCGGTCTCGGGAGTGTTGGTTTGATTGGGGTTGAGGGGGTATGGGAGGCAATCCATGGATCGGTGGTGGTAGTGGACGAGGAGGAGTCGGTAGCGGTGGCGATGGCCCATGTCTTGGACCAGAGTGCCCGTACGGTTGAGGGTAAGAGGGAGGAGGTGGGGGTGGCTGAGATCCATATGGCGGCTGTGATGGCGGGGGGGCATAGGTCGACGGAGGGTAGCTTACACCGGGTGGAGGATAGGGGCCGCCAGGGGGTGGAGGAGGAGGGCTGGACTGGTATCCGGGAGGAGAGTACGAAGGGGGGTACGAGGGGGCAGGAGGATAGTGAGGTGGGTAGGTAGGGGGCGGTGGTCCTGGAGGACCTGGCGGGCCTGGCGGAGGGCCAGCATACTGCCCAGGGGGTGGATAATGATAAGGGGGAGGAGGGCCTGGGGGTCCCGGGGGTCCGGGAGGGCCCGGTGGTGGTGGGTAGGAGCTCGGTGGTGGCGGCGGCGGCGGCGATGAAAAATGAGGGTAGCTGGGGTAGTTGCTCGGGGGTGGGGGAGGGGCATAGCCACTCGGAGGTGGTGGATAAGCCGGGTAGGGTTGCGGGGGGCCGGGATACGGAGGGGCATGGGCCTGGCTCGGCGGCGGGGCGTATCGAGTGACGATCGGGTTGCCGCCGGGCGGAGCGGGATACTTTGTCACAACCGGACCGGATCTTCGACCGCCGTGTTGGTTATCGCCACCTCGCCCATAGTCAGAGCCGTTGGAGGTGTTCTTCCGGGATAATCCGCTTTTGTCCAGTTAGTTGCTCTGCGGCTCAGAGATTGGCATCCAGTGGAGGCACTGGGTGAATAAGACAACTTACGCTGGCTTTGCCCTCACAGGCTCAGGGCATGCTACGGCCCAGTGTCCCAAACCGCCACAGTTAATGCAGCTGGGCTCTTTCGTAGCTGGCCCCATCCCTGGCGCGTGATCCGCCATGGCTCAAGCGATTTGATGGATGGAGAGTGGTATCGGTGTTGAATGAGTACTCACGCCTGAAAGGGAAGAGAGTCAAACAACCGAAGAGGACTCGAGTCCGAAGAGGTTGTGAAGAAAATTTAGCAAAACGCAAGATTTGCAGAATTCCACAAGTCTTGGGCCAGGTGGGCCAGAACCCAGTCCTAGATGCTACTAATCTGAACAGATCAGAGAGGACAATAAGGTCTGCTCCGAACCAAACTCTTCGGCCCTTAGCAGATAGAGTGGTACTCTCGGAGCAACAAGAACTCGGTCCGGGGTTCGGAAGAGAGGCTACTCTCAATGATCGAAACAGGATGGACCGACCAATGACTTCAGACGATGAGCGGAAGTTGAGGAGAGCCTAGTCCCGAGTCCGAAAGCAGCCAGCTGTCAGTTATACTTTGGCAAAATGCGCAAATAGTCAAGAGGTCTCTGAAAAGAAAATGAGGCCATTCAGGGATGTCAAGCTGATGAGCTGATGAGGGTCGTAGCGGCGCATCGCGTCATGCGTGAGCTCCTTCCTCGACGAGTCGTGATGAAGATCAGACGTTAAAGTCCCATCCAGGCTGTCACCCAAGCAGTAGAGACAGCAGGATGGCGAAAGGCGACTATGATGAACGTTGGCGCATGTCAAAATGATACAAGGATGAGGGCGTAGGTGAGCGCGACGAAGTTGACCAAAAGTTGAAGGTTGCGCGCCCAGACTCAGGCGGAAAGTGGGGCTGGGCACCTACCCCGGTGAGGCACCATGCAGTAGCACCAGCGGCAACAGCTTCCGAGGGGGGAAGGCTTGGCTGGAAAAAAAATAAGGAAGGTATCGGAAATACATCGGCCCGGGAACAATTCTTTCTTTTTTTTGGTTCCCTTTGTTGTATGCAGAAAGACCATGCCGACCCGATTCAGCAAGGCGGGGGCAAGAGGCAGCAGCAAGAAGGCGAGGAAGCAGGGTGAGGGTAGTTGGGTAATGTAATCTCCAGTGCTTATGTGCCTGTGCATTTCGCCTATGCCTATGCCTTGCAAGCCTGTCTGTTCCTGTAACCCTACCAGACACGAATCTGCAGGGTTGAAAGCTGGGCGGTACCAAAGTTCTCAGCCGATAAAGCAGTTTTGTCTTATCTTGCTCAAGTAGTTGGTCTATGGTAGACAAACCATTGCCTTCAGTCAGAGACATGGGGTCAAAAATAGGACTAAAAAAGAAGGGCTGTATTCAAGGTCTATGAGCCCAGAGCCCGGGAGCAGAGAAAGGGGAAAGTATTGCAGCTGTGAGTTATTGGGCAGGACTGGCAGGGTAATTTCGGAAACCTCATCAATGTTGAGGCAGCAAAAGGCAGTTTTCCGTGGACTAGAAAGATGGAAAGTGAGGCTATCTCAAAAAGATTCTTGCCCAGATACGGATGTATATATTGTATCATGACTGGAAAAGGCAGCGTTTAGATGCGCTCATGTAGTGTAAAAATGAAAACGGTCGAATGAAATTTCTAGACCGAGACGAATCCTGACAAGAGAAGGCGAGCATGGTTATGTTACGAGGGCTCGTAGCTGTGAAAGAAGACGGACTGAGACACGTTGAAGGAATCTAGGGAAGATGAGAGCAAGGAATAAGGAAAGAGACAGTGCTGAGCGATCGAATCCCGACCAGAAATTAAGCAGATGCCAGGTGCTGTTTTCTCCCTAGGCGGCCAAGAACATTTGGCGGCTGCGTGCAATGCTCTTCGTAATGGGGGGATGTAAAACCAAGGAAATTGAGACTGCGAATCCACCTGTTTGGAGCAGATGCAAGCAAGCACTCTTCAGAAATACAAGCCAAGACCAGTCGATGAAAGATGAAGCGAGAGACCTCGTCGTCCTACCACTGGCGGTGTTTTGAAGATGACTATGGTGGATTCAACATGGGAAAAGTCCAGATGCACACCAGATACGGACCTGGTGTAGCGGTAAGAAGAGATGGAGGAGAGAGAGAGAACGCCATCCACCTTAGTACCAAGACGGTGTGAGGAGGGGCCGGGTCTTTATATGGCCCGGGGGGAGACCTGCTAGTTGAAGTTGGCCAAAAGTTGGCACCACCCCAAACACCACCCCAAGACCGGGCTTTCCTGGCCAAGGGTTTCGTCAGCGCTTCTGTCAGGGGCTTGCAGCGACCGTTGCCCCTAAAACGCCCATTGCGTACGTAAGCGAGAACACTATGAACCAGTCCCTTTTTGGCTTCAGTTTGTGTGAGTGTCTCTGCTTAGTAGTACTAATTGGTATGTCTCCCACCAGCATCTTTTTCATCTGGATTTGCATTTCTCAGCCAAAGGTCCGAGCTCCCAGCTGTACCATTTTGAGACGGTGGATTGATTGAGTTGGCCCAACTCTTACCTTTTTTGCAGCATGACGTCCCTTCATCTGTAGATGCCACTGCTGTCACCTGCCTACTATTGTCTAAAAAAAAAAAAGTTCACCAACCACGACAGAACTCTTTTCTCTGTTGAGGGCATTCCCACAATCGCCCTCCTCGTTTTTTTGGTCATTCTTTTTTTTTACTTTCTCCTCCTCTCTTCCTCTTTATTGCTCTCTGAACTGCCCGACGACGTGCGATACTCGACTAAAAGAGTACGTCGTATATATTTCCCCGCGTCCATTTCACCCCACGTCGCCCGTCCACCTCAACCGCCCATCTATCCACCCGCCGCCTATTGCCGCCGCGCACCTCGAGCTTCCATGTAAAGGCTTGTCGTTCTCGATCATGTTTACACAACCACGAAGCTTCACACCACACATCGCTTGCGCCTGGAGTAGAAGTGGCCATCGCCGACCTGCCTCTTGAGCAGCAGCAGCCTCGTCGTCCCTACAGTCGATACTTATTTGATCCTCCGTGTCCTGATTCCTCAACTTCCTTTTTTCGATCAGAAAGACGCCAGCAGCATAGCGCTTGCTGTCGCATACAACTAACGTTACGATGCCCGGACTTCCAGGTATGCTCTATCCCTTCAGCGCGACCGAGAGGGGTTGAGATTCCCTGTCTGACGTGAACGTGTCGCAACAGCTTCCGTCGATCTCGACGAGTGCATTTCGCGCTTGTACAAGAGAGAGCTCCTCGCCGAATCCGTCATCGAGGCCATCTGTGCCAAAACGAAGGAGCTTCTCATGCGCGAGAGCAACGTTGTCCACGTTCGCGCCCCCGTCACCGTCGTCGGCGATATCCACGGGCAATTCTACGACCTTATTGAGATCTTCAAGATTGGCGGATGGTGCCCAGACACCAACTATCTGTTCCTAGGTAAGGCGCCTCTGAGCGGGCCGGGCCTTTGCCCCGAGTAGGAAAGGGATGCCGGACAAACTGACCGATTGACACCCGAATTACAGGAGACTACGTCGACAGAGGCATGTTCAGCGTCGAGACCATTTCTTTGCTTGTGTGCTTGAAACTTCGATACCCCAACCGCGTTCATTTGATTCGAGGCAACCATGAGTCTCGCGGCGTCACCCAGTCCTACGGCTTCTATACGGAATGCTCGAGGAAATACGGCAATGCCAATGTGTGGCATTACTTTACCGACATGTTTGACTTTTTGACCCTGAGCGTCGTGATCAACGACAAGATCTTTTGCGTGCACGGCGGTATGCCCCTCCTTCCCCTTTCCCCCCCCTCTCCTAGAATATCCAACACCTTAATTAGAGGCACCTCCGACTAAACATCATTCCGTCCAGGTCTCTCCCCCTCCATCCACTCGATCGACCAAATCGTCATCATCGACCGCTTCCGCGAAATCCCCCACGAAGGCCCCATGGCCGATTTAGTCTGGTCCGACCCAGACCCCGAACGAGATGAATTCTCCCTAAGCCCCCGCGGAGCCGGCTACACATTTGGAGCTCAGGTGGTGAAGAAGTTCCTGGCGGTCAACAACATGGACCACATCCTGAGAGCTCACCAGCTCTGCCAGGAGGGCTTCCAGGTTCTCTACGACGACCGCCTCAGCACGGTCTGGAGTGCGCCCAACTACTGCTACCGGTGCGGCAACATGGCCAGCGTGCTGGAGGTCAGCGACACGGGCGAGAGGTTCTTCAATGTCTTCGCTGCGGCTCCGGAGAACGACCTGCACAAGGACATGCAGCCTGGTTCAGAAAAGACGGCGGACGGGAATGCACTCCCCGATTACTTCCTGTAGCCGCAATGGGATAGAAGCGCAAAAGCAGGTCATGTTTGGATTGTCACACACAACAAACACACACACACACACACACATGCACACATACATACATACATACAACCCAATCTGGTGGGGGGTGGCTTTGTTGGGAAAGGAAGAAGAATTGTTCTCAAAAGAAATCACGAATGATAGCATAATGGCTTGGTGCGGAAATATCACCACTGACCCCCTGCCAAAATAGACCGGGTTGATTTAACTTTGCTAGTTGGAGAGATGGTGAGATGGAACAATCACCCATCATATACACTTTACCATCACTCCACTTGCCCTGTCCCACCCATAGATAGTGAGACAGCACATCACACAAAAGACACCTTTGATGATCCAATGGACTCTTCTTTTTTTTTTTTGTATCCAGCTCGGGAGCAAGACCGAGCATGAGGTGAACTATCTGCCATCTACCGTCCAAATTTTTTGTTTCGTGACTTCATATGCCAGACCTTTTTATAAAGGTTGGAGCGAAAGGATGTATAGCAAAAAGGGGAAAAAAGAAAGAAACTAAATAGGCAGTTCTTCTACCTGGACAACTGCCCATTTGGCCTTTTTTCCCACGTCAGAACCTTTTGGTGTTTGTGTTGTGTGTAACCGTTTTTAAGTGTGAGTAAGTGAGTGATGGTTTCCATGCCTACCCCAGAGCGACCAAATAATCCCACCAGAATTGACTTGGCCAGCTCGATTTTCCAAGCTTTCATTCCCGTTTTCCTCCACGCTGATGCCCTCGCTTCAGTGACGAGTCGACGGGGACAATCTTGAGAACCGGTGACCTTGCTGTTTCTGATCTTGGCCTAACCTCGGGGAGAAGAAACCACGCTTTTGAAGTGCTGGCAACGATGACAAGAGGGGTGAGTCGATTATTAATGACGTCTTGTGCTTTACCAGTCCTTGGCGATGTCGAAAGACCACTCAAAGGTCAAGTGGGTCTTCTTGTCGTCGTCAACGAAACTGGAGATGGCGTTGTAGTGGCCACGGGCAAGCATGCCGGAAGGAGCATCCTCCTCTTGGACTACGAAAAGTCAGTAAGAAACCAGGAGCGAGAGATGTAAGGTACGAGGAAGGACTTACAGCGCTTGGTGTAAATGGGCTGCTTGTCGGTGTTGGGGGCGTAGCTGCCCTGCATTAAGAGTCAGTACCTACTTCTCGGAAGCGTCTTTCGGTGACGAGGGAAACTTACCAGCATCTCAGAGTCCTTGCTGACCTTGATACCCTTGCGCTTGACGACCTGGACGTACTGCAGACCGCTGAGAATCTCGTGCTGGACCTTGAAGGTGGCAACCATGGTGAACTTGGCGCCCTCCTTGATCTTGAAGGGCTTGTCCTTCAGGCTGGCCTCGGAGCCAGGAGCAGACAGGTCGATAGTGACAGGGTCACGGCCGGGGGACTCCATGGTGAGAGAGAGAATAATGCAGACACGAGGGTCAGAGGCGTCGGAGAGGTCCTTGCCGCCGCCGAGGCCGAGGGACTCCTTGTAGCGCTGGAGAGACTCATCGTTCTCGTCTGTCGTAGGGTTAGTTGGCGCCTGGTTCTCATCTTCTATGTGTTCTTCATTGTCTTGCAGCTCATATATGTCAAGGCCATGAGCTGCCCGTACAGCGTTGGGTGAAGTGTAAAAGTCGCGGATGAGGTTTGAGTCTCGCTGTTGCAGAAGGCTTGGGGACTTGGGGGAGTTGGGAGGATTGGGAGGAACAGGATGTGAAAGGGCTCGGGCTCGGTGAATCTGGCCTTCCAAGGTAGCCTCTGATATACCACTTGGTGTTGGGGTTTGAGAACGAGACTCTGAAGGGGTGTTGAGAGGCGCGGGAGGCACCTCGATAGAGTTGCGGTGACGAAGTGCGTTATTGCGGTTCTGACGCCGCATGACTTGACGCATGCCTTCATACAGTCTCTCCATTTTGTGAAGGATGAGTCCGTATGTAATTTTCTAATACTGCAGACACCAAAGACAAAAGGTGAAAATGGTGATAGTGAGATTACAGTAGTGATGGTGATGATAATGGTAATAGCGATGATGAGAGACGGCGGTATGGTGTTTTGTGAACTGCTTGGAAAGAGCAGGTGCACCTCACCTGCCTTGGGCGCTCTTTCCGGCTTTGGTTCTCCATGGTGTCTCCCAAGTATTCGGTGTTGAATATCTCACGAATATTGGTTTTCACCGAGGTGAATGCAAAGCCTCAGGGAGCTCCTATTTTGGCACACCGACCTCCAACCAAGGTGAGAGGAGTGAGGGGCACAGAGGACCCAGTCCTGAGCTGTTGCAGTCTACCCAGGACAAGAATGCAGAGAGGTACAGGAATGCATATACAGACAACAAAGATGAACATGAAAGAGAATCAAAACTCACCCATCTTCTGGTACTCAGCAAGACTCTGCTTGGGCTGGGAGAGCTTGTAGCCCTGAGTCTCCTCAGGCATGGTGTCATCTTGCTCGTGGGAAGCCATTGTGGGGGTAGTATCAGGAGTGAGGTCTAGATGGATACTGGGAGGAGAGATGTAGGTGAGGGCGATGCGTTGGAGCTCTGGATATCGAGCAGTAATAGCAGCAGTGAGGAAGACAGTGAGTAAGCAGAGGTGAGGTTCTGCGACGATGTTTACTCTGGAGGAGAAGTTCAGATTTAGGTTTGGTCGATGGGTTCAGGTAGGCTGGTACGGGAAGGCAGGGTCAGGTACAGTAAGGCAGGTAGGTCACCGCTTCCTGCCCCTCACACCTCCCGGCCGCGGGGGCCCAGCAGGAACCTGAAGGACTGGCCGCGGACAGGCCAGCTGACGGGCTGTGGGCATTGGATTGTGGGCTCTGAGCTGTGGATTGTGGATTCAGGGCCGCCGACACTAGAAGGGTATGGGGGTCCTGATTGGCTATAATCCATGGTGGGGTTCTGTTTGCATTGATTGGCCGGCATCTGGAACAAGATGGAACTTCACACACGAAACCAGGCACAATCCAACAAAGCCCTCGTGTGCATCTGGCAGCAATGGCAGCAAATTGCTAAAGAGTTGGCTGACTGATAGGCGAATAACCTTTGGTTTGCGTCTTACCTACTGCAGGCTACCACCTAGTGCCCTGAAGAGGACGAGGGTTTTTTTAAAAGGGCTCATTTTGTAGCCGAGTCGAGCCATGCCCCTCAATGACGACCTTGTAAATGTACCCTTCTGCGTAGCACTCTGCCCCTCCTGGGAGTGTGTCATTGATAGCCAATCTCGATACAGCGTGGAGGGGCTAGGAGGGGGGAGCGTCCGTCAATAGTGGCCAGTGTGAGTTTGGAGGAGCGGTCTGGAAGACTGCAGTTCTCAAGGGGGGCGTTCCGGGGCAACAGCAAACAACAATTTACTCTAACTGCCACTACTGGTACGGCCCTGAATTCGGTTTCCGGCCAGCTACAACCATAATGTGGGTGCTTCTAGTGCTGATGATGCTGACTGACGTTGCTTGGGTCATGGTGAGGTATCTTCACCTGCAGCAGTTGTGTATACTCGAGATTCCAGGGTGCAGATGAGCATGTGCCATGTGGAAGTCAATTCGGCCTCCAGGATGCGGGGCGTGCGGGTGAAATGCAAAAAAGGAAGCTGCAGCACTAAATGATTTACACAGCAGTTGCCGTTGCCTGGGAGGCTCTTTCATATCTTATCTCTGAAGGCGGATGGGGAGTGCCGAACAATCCCCAGAGTCAGGCATCTATCGGCACTGAGTGTCCTCAGTATGTAGTCCCTACCCACCTTCCATAAATGTATCCGTGCAAATTGTGTCTCTGCATGCGACATGTTTATGCAATTTTAATGCACAATTGAATATGTTAGCCAGCCGATTCCGCAATCAATCACGCATTGAGGTTGGGTACGGATACGGAGCCATTTGCGACATAACTGTTCAACTGACCAGTGTGCGAAATGTCGCACACGTGAGCAGTAAGAATAATAAGTCCATCACAGTAACGTGTGGCTTCTGAGGAGATGATGGCATCTTCTGGCGTCTTGGATCTGTTGTCGTTGCCCGGCCAGTGTCGCTGTCTCCATCTGGTACCTGGGTCCGGCCCTTTTTTTTATGGCGCCAGTCTGGGTATGGTGAGGACCTCTAGTATTCATTTACATCACTAGGTTCGTCCTTTGTCGCAAAGAGTGTGCCTGACAGATGGACTATCTAGAAACAAAATCATCTTCTTTAGGTCGGGCCGTGACCGCCGTCCCGCCTGCCACCTTATCGATAGCCCGAACATCTCAAAGAGAAACGTGGTCGTACGACGATGACTTGTAGGGTTATGGTTGGTTCATCATACAGCACAGTACCGCCCCGCATGCTGCTCTAACTCCTGCTCCTACTATACTTCTGCTCTGGTCACACACACACCCTCAGGCTTCAGAGCCCAGGGTTAGAGCTGGGTGCTTGCTCATCCTTGGTGCAACGAAGAATGTGCGGCACGAAAAGGGAAGACCCATGTATATGAAAGACCCTCGAAGAAGCCACCGACGGCCCCTTGCGCAGTGGCCCTGTCCCCGCCCATAGCTGCGAACGGCTCCGAGGGTGCTCTGAGCTTTTCGCGTTCGCGACGAGAATGTTGGGATTTTGGGAGCCGGGGGGAGGTAGGGTGAGGAGTGGTTGCTGGTGGTGGTACTGGGTGGTGCTGAGACCAGGAGGACTCTGGGAGCTCCTGGGTCCGACACGGAAAGGCAACGTGTTGCTGAGCTGAGTACGATAGGACAGGTCAAGGTAAAGCCAACCAAAGGAGATGAGAGTCGCTTCAACAATGGACCAGGGTCACCCAACGGGAAAAAGGGAAAAAGGGACCGTCGCATCAGATAATTTTCCACCTTCTCCGGCTTGCCCAGGGGACCTTTTTATTTTTCTTCCTTCTTGATTCTTTCCTGCAGCACACCTTACCCTATTGCATTCTGGGGAAGGTACCAGGTAGATGGTCGCCAAATGCGGCTAGGCAAGTCTTCAATAGTGGGATACATATCTCAACACACTTTTCGTCACTAAGAAAGAGGTACACTTATATGTCGCGTCTTTCTCTTTAACTGGTCACGCTTCAGCCCATTTGCTTTCCGAAAGAGCCCCCCCATGTAACCCCCGCCCAAATGGCCCGTCCTTCCCAATTTAATCCAATAAACAGAGGACTGCTGGACCCTCCCACTGCCCCAAATTCTCTTGCTTGAAGGGAAAGAGTAAGCTATTGAGAGTCGGTGCTGCAGGTGCTGCTGGTGCTGCTGCGGGTGCTACTGCCACTGCCGCTGCCATCGCCCGTCATTGCTGCTCCAGTCTGCTCCTTCTCTGCGGCGCGCGTGCCTCTTCCACACTTTCCTTACCCTCTCTTCGCGCCCATCCCGTTCCGTCTTTCTTCTTTTTTTTTTTTTTCTTTCCCCCTTCCCTCGATCTTCCATCATCCATCCTTTTGGGACACATTCCCGTCGCCCTCTTGAGTTCTCTCAAACCCTTTTACCGGGACTCCGTTCCCGTTTTGCTTGCATTACAGCCAATTCTAATCCTTTTCATTGACATCATCTCCACCCCCTGCACCGTTTTACGCGACAGGACTACCCACTCGTCACGTCCGCCAGCTCCCACCCCGTCTCGTAAGCGACACCTTCGTCTTTTTCGCGCCCAACTTGGTAGATGCGAGGTGTTCAGACTGACGCGACTTTTAGTCCTTACTCCTCCGACCGAGTCGTAGCCCTCCAGTGACAATCGCGATTCGTGCAATCACCCCTCGATTGTTCTAACGCGCGTATCGCCGTCAACTCACATACTCACTTTTAATCACCAACCTTGCCGGCGCAACCCAATCGCCATCAAAATGCCTTCCGCGACTATTAACTCGATCGAGAGGCATCTGCCTGCGAAGCACAATCCTCTCTTGCTCGAGAATGTGCCTTCTTGTAGGACACCTCATTGATCACTTGCGTCTGGACTGCCTTGCTCACACACTCACTCATAGACAACGACCTGGTCTCCCGTCGCCGCCTCGGCCAGACTCAGTTGACGGCCAAGATGGTCAACCTTCCCGATAACGACGGCGCCACCCTTGGTGTCTTCGACTATGCCCATCTCCGCGCGCCCCTGCCCAAGGGTATCGTTTCTGGTATCTTCAAGTCGAGCCCCAACAGCTATTTCCTTATGCGCCGCAGCCATGACGGCTTCGTTTCTGCCACCGGCATGTTCAAGGCCACCTTCCCCTACGCCGAGGCTTCCGAGGAGGAGATGGAGCGCAAGTACATCAAGTCCCTTCCGACCACCAGCCCCGAGGAGACGGCTGGAAACGTCTGGATTCCTCCTGACCATGCCCTGGCCCTCGCCGAGGAATACAAAATCTCCCCTTGGATTCGCGCGCTGCTCGATCCTGCCAACATCTCAGTATCCAACAACCCCGACAGCCCGCCAAAGAAGATTACCGCGCCGCCCAAGTTCGAGTTTGTCAAGGCGACCCCTCAACTGGCACCTCCTGCCACCCCCACTCAGTTGCGCAGATCCCGCCGTTCTGCCAGCCCCACGAAGACGATTATCCCCAGGCCTGTTAGATCTCCTAGGAAGCGCAGGACCAAGGCTGACTCTGTCGAGCCTCGGGAGGCTACGCCTACCCTCACTGCCACCAAGGTCGAGATCAACGGTATCATCAGCGAGGAGAAGGATGCTGAGAAGGAGGTCGACACCGCTGTCAAGACTGTCGAGACAGAACCTGCCGTTGTGCTTGAGCCGAGGGAAGAAGAGCCCAAGGCCAAGGTCATTGTTGACCAAGACGTCAAGACTGACGAGGATGGAAACGAGATCAAGCACACTGCCGTATCCCTTGAGCTTCCTCTGATGAGCTCTCAACCCCCGACAGCAGAGGAGACAGCGCGCATGATTGCGGAGGCCAAGCAGATGGTCGAGGCAGCCTCAAACCAGACAGAAACCGCCAGCCCCAAGCCCAAGGGCAAGAGGACGGCCGAGCAAATCTCAACAGGAGACGACGAGGACGAGAAGAAGGAAGGTGACGCCGACGCGGCGGAGGAGCCTCGCTCAAAGAAGGCCAAGACCCAAGAGACTCAGGTCCAGATCAAGAAGCAGGGCATGCGCAAGCGCGCCCTGTTCGGCTTGAGTGCACTATCAGTAGCCGTTGGGTATGTTGCAATCTTGCAGTAGGGGTGACGAAGTGATGCTAATATTTGGTTGTAGCGCATTTTCTTACTTCACCGGATCGTTCTAAGACGCCTGTACAAGTGTCAAGAAGATATCTGATCGTCTCTCGGAATCGAGTGACATTCTAGTCGAGTGGTCAGGCCTAGGGAGCAACGGAGTCTCCGGTTGCTCTTTGGAAATTGCTGGGATGGCAGACCTGGCGGCACACTTTTTACATCGCTTATTGCCTTTCTTTCACACTCATACCCAAATAGAGCCTTGGAGCAGACCCGGGGCCGGCTTTCTTTCACTCTTCTGTGTTTCTTGGGAATTGTTGATGTGGAAACAAACTATGTGTATATTGGAAGCGCCTTTTTGGCGAAGGCGATACGGGAGGGAACAGTCACGGTTCGGGATTGAAGGGTATTGTAATCGATGCATCGTTCTGGTGCTTGTTTCTGCGTGCGGGCATGGTGGGGAGTGTACAGATGTCAAGTAGTGTCTGATTTTTTTGTCATGTTTGGCGTTGTCTAGTTGGATGTCCTCGCTCACTTAGCAACAAGCACCAGCTTACAGATGAATCGAATCCATTGTTCTTTAATATCGGGCCGCAGAGAAGAGCTTCAGTCCCGCCTCTAGCCGAAGTGCCGTGCGTCAGAATTACGTTCCAGACAAACAGGCATGTTGCCCGTCGTCTTATGTCATCTCAGCTGGTGGCTGGTTCACAAACATGGCCAAAACAGCTTCTCAACGACGGACTCTGTAAGTAAGAACTTGTGATTCAATCTTGGTATTCTTGAATTCTATTCTATATTCAACGGGCGTTCCTGGAAGACAAAGACAAAAGATCTGGAGTCCTCTGGCCGCCCTGGCATACTCCCCTTGAGCCACACCTGCACGCACGCCCTTGGCGCCCTTAAGGGTCCCTCTTTTTCTCCAATCCGGGGCCGCTGACGCCATGCATGGGGGGAGAAAACGGTCTCGCTCGGGTCGGGCCAAGGTTGTCCGCCCGTGCTTCACATTGCCCACTTATGGCTAACACCGGCAATGGCCGGCTCCCCGGATAGGTGCAACACGCTCCCCGCATCTGGGGGAAGCTGGGGGGGTAGCTCCTCGACTGGAATGCGCCCCCCCCCCCCAACCTCTCGATCTCATTGAAGGCTGCCCTTTCTTTTCTTCATTCTATTTTTCCTCTGCCGTCTTCAGCGAAGCTTGGGGTTTTTTTTTTGGGTGTAAATTCTGCAACATGCGAGCCAATTCGACATTACGTACTTTGAGACTCGTCCAACGACGCGGCTTCGCAACCACGCCGCGGCGGCTGGATAATTATGGCTTCATCGGGTTGGGGCAGATGGTACGCGATCCCAGTTTAACCGACTGTGATTTAGATGGGGAGATTCTGAAGGAGCGATGATGTTAACTGTTTACAGGGCTACCAAATGGCCAAGAACCTCCAGTCGAAGCTGAGTCCAAAGGATGAGATCCGCATCTTCGACATCAACAAGGATGCCGTCGCGAATCTGGCAAAGGAGATGGAACAGTCTCAAACTGGTGGCGCAAAGGTCGCCATCGTAGACAGCGCCAGAGACGCCTCGACAGAAGCTGTACGTTTACCATCTTGCATTTCTTGTTGTGGCTTCATGGTCTTTTATATTATCCCATTCATGATCAGCATATCTGTGCATGATTGCATCTTGCATCTGTGACCTAGCACAGCCTTCCATTCCTTTTAACCGACTACTCTACGGGAGAATGGCATGCTAACAACAACAGGACACCGTCATCACAGTGCTCCCCGAGCCATCGCACGTAAAAGCAGTCTACAAGTCGATCTTGACAGACCTCCCCTCCCGCCCGCGAATCTTTATCGATTGCTCGACAATCGACCCCTCCTCGTCCCGCGAAGTCGCCGCCTCCGTCGCCGCGGCGCAGCCCTCGGGCCAGGGCATCTTTGTAGATGCGCCAATGTCGGGCGGCGTCGTCGGCGCGACGGCCGGCACGCTCACCTTCATGCTCGGCTGCGACGAGTCCCACCTGCCGCGCATCGAGCCCGTACTACTCCGCATGGGCCGCCGCGTGTTGCACTGCGGACCGCAGGGCACGGGTCTCTCGGCGAAGCTGGCGAACAATTACCTGCTGGCCATCAACAACATCGCCACGGCGGAGGCGATGAACCTCGGCATCAAGTGGGGTCTCGACCCCAAGGTCCTCGCGGGTGTGATCAACGTCAGCACGGGAAAGTGCTGGCCCAGCGAGGTGAATAACCCCGTCAAGGGCGTCGTGGAGGGAAGCCCCGCGGGGAGGGATTATAAGGGGGGGTTCGGCATAGGGCTGATGCGGAAGGATCTGGGGCTGGCTGTTGTCGCGGCCAAGGAGGCCGGCGCGAGGTTGGAACTCGCGGGGCCCGCGACGGAAGTGTATGCTGCCGCGGAGGGAGAGGAGCGGTGCAAGGGACGGGATTTCTCCGTGGTGTATAGGTATCTCGGGGGTGAGGAGTCCGCCTAAGCTCGAAAGTCGTTGGAAGGGGAGGGTTTTACATAGATCAAGCACGTAATTAGAAAGAAGACTGAAGAAACAAAAAATAAGAACTCATTTCCTCAAAATGTCAACCCACCCCGCCGTAGACGGACCCGGCATTACTCTCTTCTCCCTCAGGACGGATCTCTGTTCGTCACGCCACCACTTCGCTCTAGCCTTGGCTTCTTCCGGGCCGAGGTGATGGAGACACAGTTCGCAGGTATATAACTTGGGTTTCGGACGTCGATGGCTGGCGTCGATGAGCGTGTATCCCGGCGCGACTTTTAACGCTTCGAATTCCAGCCCGGAAGGGTTGAGCGCTGGGTCGGAGGGGTCGGGGTCCGGGGCCGGGTCGCGGAGGAGGCCGCAGTGGGGCTCGGAGGCGGGAGCGGCGGGGCATTTTTCGAGAACGCGGCATCGGGGTTTACCGGCGCGGGTGTTGCAAAGGGTGCAGATGTAGTGGGTTACGTCTGCGAGGCACATTGTTAGTGATGTTTAGTTTAGAGGGGATGGTATTTTCTACATGAATAAATGTAGGGTAGGCGAAGGGTATGAGGGAGAACTGGCGGAGTGGCCATTAGTATCTTCAGTTGTGAACATTCATCAGATAGCGAACATGAGAGGGAGTGGCTGCGTCACAGGAATTGACTAGTACGCAGTGAGTCGAACAATGAAATGAATACAGATCACTGTAGGACAACCGAGCTGGCCGAGAGCACACCCACCATGCCCCGTTTTGAGTCAAAGAGACAAACATGAGAAAAGTGAACAATGTCATTGACTCTAAAAAGTGCCAAGCACAACTCAGAATTCCCCAGTCGAGGGAGTGGGCTCTAACATCCTGTTTGCCCTTGAGGACCGTAACAGGCCCTACCCAAACGCCGTTTCAAAAGACTAACCCTCGTCCAAGCGGATGAAATCCTTCTAGCCCGATCCTTCTAACTCTCAAAACCCGTCACAGTCTGTCATTCTATGCTGACTCGGGACCAGACTCGACCTTTGTGCCCTCGGGCGTCGTTGTCGTCGTCGATCCGGTTTTCTCACCCGCATCCGCCTTCCGGGAGTTAGCCATCTGGGGGAGGTAAAACCCGGGGTGGAAGACAGTCAGCAGAGACACGCAGATGAGGACAAGCCCGCCGTCGAGAATCATGAACGAGACCTCGTCCTGCATGATGTGGTTGCCCCATCCGCCAGCCATCTCAGCAACACTACGCGCACCGCGTCAGTATCTCTGCAGCAAAACGACTACACAAAAAAAAGGGGGGAAGTGCCCAAACTCACCGGTAGATACAACGAATCATGACGCAGGCGTAAGCGCCAGTCATGCTGTAGATGAACGTCTTGAACTTCTTGTCGTGCCAAATGGCCAACGACTCCGGGTCCGCATCGGGGGTCTTTGCCCACTTGGACAGACGAATCCAGTAATCCGCGCCCGCGACGCCAAAGAGCACCAGCACGACGACCTGCAGCACGATCCCGGCGATGATGGCCTGGTTTCCGCCGTCGAGGAGCTTCTTGTTCGTCTGGCCCGCCGCGGCGGCGAGACCGCCTCCGATGGCCTGGATAATGAGACACGTCAGGTCGGCGGGGAGGAAGATGAGCGGGTACCACCGCGGGCGGATGCGGGAGAGCGCAGGGTTGATGTTCGCCGAGACGTGCTTGAGGGTGAGGTAGATGCCGGCGCAGATGAATGTCGGGCCGAGGATGATTGTGCAGATTTGCATCTGGAAGGCGTCCTTGTTCCACGGGTTCGCATGGAGAAGGGTGCGGCCGACGTAGCCTGGGGTGAGTTCCATGTTAGTCAGGCTTTCAGAACAAGAGGCGAGGAGCTCGGGTAGAGTGTTCGTCCGGTGATAGATAGTTGGGATGAACATGAGTGTGGGGGTTTCCATACCGACTGTCTCCAAGACGCAACCACCAGTTACAAAACCCATGAAAGACCAGGTGCGCTTCTTGGTGCCGATGAAGCCCGACGCCAGCACGATGATGCCGAAGGCGACGGCGAAGAAGATGTTGGCGCCAAAGTTGGGGTAGTACGACAGCACCGTCATCTCGACGGGGCAGAAATCCGAGACTTCAGTGCATTCCTTAAAGGGACGGCGAGTCCCAGCGGTCCCGTTTGTCGCCATGATGGATTCGTGAGTTCGTGGAATCGAGGGGAGAATGTTGCTTTCGCGGTCGTCAGCTTCCTTTGGCGGTCGAGATCGGTGGTCGAGGTCGGGGCTCGAGGTATATACGGCGCGGAGCAATGGGTCCGGAAACAGCGTGCTTATTCGGTTCCTCCCAATATCAAATCCTTGGTCCAAAAAGGTGAACAAACAAAGTCGTCGAGCCGGAGATGTCGACCAAACTAGAAGGGGACTCGTCGAAATATCTACGAAAGCCCAACAACCGCAAGGAAAGAAGCGGCTCGAAGACGAAACGAAAAGAATGCACAGATGGAACAGACAGGACGGCGCGGGTACGAGAGCTATATCCGGCGCGCCGGCATTCTTACATATGTATGCACGGGAATCATTGACCTTTGAGCGTCGCCTCCCACCTGTCCGTCGACCAGGGGCAGTGGAGTTAAAAGGGTCCTTGACGGCTTTACAAAGCAAACACTGCGCCGCCCGGTGGCTAGGGATCCAACATTGGTAAACGAGCAAAACGAGAAAACCGAGTGAGAGCTACCCCGTCCTCTCCCCGTTGAATGGACCACTACACATTCGTAGTAGCAGTACAGAAAAGAATAGAGGTGCGGCAAACGGAGGGAGGCGCTAATACTGGAGCCAAGATGTCGGTTTTGCACCCGAGGACCCGCCTTATCTTCTCGAAAGGGAAAGTAATGCGCCCGTAAAAGGGGATTTGTAAGGGCCAAGTCGATGTCGTGCCTCTGTTGTTTGGCCAGTGAGGCGCCTCCCGAATGTCACATCTCGTAGGGCTCGAGAGCCGGGGGAGAGGGGAGATGACACCCACCCCCAAGAACAGGAATAAGAAGACGATGCTTCCATACATCCTCTCGCTGGTTTTTTTCTTTTTTTACCCCCCCTTTTCACTTTTTTGAAAGAGAGGACGCTCTCGATAATATGGTACCCGTTTGCGGCTCTTCTCGAACAAAAAGAGAGACAACAATAAACATGACAGCGCCCCCCCTCGGCGTCAATGTTTTAAGACATCGCCACGGCATTATCAGGTGGAGAAAAGTTCCCATGTTTTTCTATACGCCAATACCCCGAATCTTAGCTCTCGCCTAGCGCCTTGGCCGAGCCCGCATCTTACCCACCTACCCGAGCCTCACGGAGGCTAAACGAGGTGTACGAGTTAAGCGATGTCCCTTGTTGGCGGCCCTCCGAGTGGCCTTACCCCTAACCGAGATATCTCGGCTGCGCAAGCGAAGCGGGTCGTCGGGTCTCTCGGGCCACTCTGCGAACAACGACCTGTGCACGATGCCTGCTACTCGCGTGGCTTTTGTCAGTGAGTGTATATCCGTACGTATTGACTAAACATATGTATACATGGATAGTATAGAAGTTGCTTGTTGGGCCGCTGCCCGGAGCAAACCCCGTGGGATTTCCCACTCGGCGCCCAGACTGTCGGCGCCATCAATCACGCCGATTGATTGGAGTCGTCTGCTAGATTCTATCGTGAGAAGTTGGAGTAAGTGTGTGCGGTATACGCGTGTGCTTCCTGTCCTAATTCCGCCAATCACTTCCATTTCACCCGTGGTCGTTTGTTTTCCCCTGTCCTCGTCAGTGTCTGTCTGCGCTGAGGCTGATGTGAGATCTGTATTTATCGCCCCTCGTACAATATCTAATGGCAGATTCAAAAGTCGTCCAGTTGGTTTGGTTGAGCATGACTCGGATGTGAACTTGACACCACTCTGCGGATATTTCATCCTTGTAAAAACTGATATTGATGTGTTTGTGTTCTCCCCAATTGAGGACCGTTATCTAGTTTTAGTGCTGTTGTATTATTGTCATGACTTGACTAGCCGTCCACTTTCGCCGTCGTCGTCACTTTCGCTCTCTTCTTCCTCGTCGTCGTCATCCTCTTCCTCTTCATCATCCGAATCTTCTTCCTCCTCCTCGTCATCTTCCTCTTCTTCGCTCTCGGACTCTTCTTCCTCTTCTTCGTCGCCTTCCGCCAGCCAGTCGTCCAGCGTCTTTCCTCCCACACCTCCAACAACCCCACCGAGACCGTTGGGCTTCGCTGGTGCCGCCTTAACAGCGCTGTCAAGCATTTGACTTGCTGGCACAACCTTCTCCTCGCCGTAGGCCGACGGTGCCGCCTCCGTGTCGCGCAGTCGTCGGTCAGGCTCTGAGCCCTCGGCAACCCATTCGGGAAGAGGATCGTAACCCCGGAGCCCGTGAATGCCACTGCCACCCGCCAGCACCAGTGTTGAAGAGCCGAGCATGAACCCTTTTCGTGTCTCCGACGGACTGGGAGCTTGGGGTGCCGGCTTCGGTGCCAGCAGCATCAACGTAGCCAGCTGCGGTACCGATAGGAGGGCCCGGTACATGCGTGCCCGATCACGAAGGTCGTATGAGGTGTCATAGCGAACCAGTAGTAGCGCGTAGTCCCAGAGTTTGGCGACGGGATGATCATCTTGACTTGGGACGACCGTCTCTTCCTCGCTCTTGTTCTCGTTCAGCCGGTTCAGGTGATGGAGGTAGACCTTGGCCGCGAGGAGAAGGATCTGGCCCTTGGCAGCCTCCGATTCGCTGGCAAAGTCCTTGAGAAGGATCCGCAGCACATCAGCCGCGATGTTGTCCTCGCCCTCGAGACCTGAAAACTCGCCCACCAGCCAGATGATAGTCGCCCGCGCCTGGGGGTCTGTTGCCGAATCGAGATTCTTGGCCAGGCGCATAACCGTGCCGACGTGCCCTTGAGGGTCTTGTTGGATCAAATGCCGAATAACCGTCAGCGACTCTGCTGCGAGTGTTCCATCTAGACTTGTGATTTGTCCCAGCAACAGTCGTAGACACCGAGGCGCTGTGGATGAGTCCGTCTGGGCACATCGTCCGATGGCGCGCACAGCCTCCCGCACCAGTGCCTTGTTCGTAGACCCTGAAAAATGTTCGAGCTCGTTCAAGATAAGGCTCTTGACATGAGGCGGTGCGTGGGGGAAGATGAGCGTCAGAATCTCCAACTTCAACTCCCACACCTGTGCTGGGTCTGTCGCTCTGACCAGGAAGTGACTAGCATACCTGACAAAGTCGGTCGGTCTCGTCAAGCAGACTGAAACAATGTTGTAGAGTGCCACCTGCTGGATATCCTGTGGGCCCCTGAGAAGCGCCACCAATGGGCCGATGGAAATCTTGACGTAGTCTGGCGTACCAATGTCCATGTAGCACCTCGTAACGGCTATGACAACAGCCGAGTTTCGACTTTGAAGCAGAGGCTTAATGCCGTTGAGTAGTAGAGCCAGGTCGGGATCCAAAACGATGACCTGCTGCTCGTCTCCTCCCTCTTCCGTGGTCTCGCCGTAAAAGTCTCCCAAGTCCGCCGTCTTTTCCTGACTCTTGATACTTCGCATCCGCCTAGGGAAACACTTTCTCGCGTAGTATGTCATCAGCCTCAGCGTCGCCAGCTGGCTCCATTCGTCCATGTCTACAATCTTCTTGACCAATGCCCGATAATGCTGATGGATGAGATCGATCCGGTCGGGGCAAACCTCGAGGAAAGCCGACACTGCCGCACCAGCGACGAAGTACTGCTTGTCGCCGATTAAAGTGGTCAAGTAGTCGAGGAGCTGTGGCAGCTGGATGGGGTCGAGGCGATAGCATTTGGGAATGGACAGAGCAGCGGCACGGCGTACAAAAGGGCTCATATCTGCCACGCCCTTTTTAATTGCAAGGGAAACAATTTGACTGATTACGGGTACGCGAATGCCTGACATGGTCTTGAGGGCGAGGGCGCGGACTTGGGGGTTCGTGTCGGAGAGGGATTTCTGAATGGTGTTGATAGATAAGAGGGCGAGATCGGGTTCCTGCTCGGCATGATGGATGAGGTAGATGTAAACGAGCTTCTTGATTTCGATATTCGGCGAGGCGACATTCTTGACAACCGAAGAAAAGAAAGGCAGCGTCTTCTGGCCGCGATACATCATCTGGACGGATCTTCAGTTAGCTCCAAGAAGACTAGCAGCTGGCGGTGTCGAAGTCCCTACCGAGAGAACGCGACGCAGGCCGTCCAGAGCCTCGCGCTCATTTCGACTGTCCAGCAGCTTCTTGATCTGAGTACGGTCGAGAGGGCGGCCGGTGCTACGGGCGCTGCGCGTCGCCGAGGCGGCATCGAGGGTGAGCTCTCGAGCTGGAGCGGAGGACGTTAGCGAAGGACACGAGACGGTGAGGGTGGGTGAAAGGGAAACGTACCGCTCTCGAGCAAGCTGGAGATCCGCGCTATGGATTCCATGGCGAGCGACGGCAGAGTCCAGGCTGAAGTGGCAGGCGAAAACTATCGAGCCTCGTGGTTGGTGTTGAGAGAGATGGAAGCTGTATTGGTTAGCAGGGAGAGGGAAATGACGTCTCGAGCTCAGAAGGCTGAAGCCCGGGCCGACGAGGGGCAGAAGCCGGCTGGCTGACGTGCTGGCATTGCATAGCTAATTCGGCTGGGTGCGGATGACTGACTGTACATCCACTAAAAGATTGGCTATTCCCGCCAGTAATGAGCTGGTTTCAGCGGGCGAGGTCGCTGAGCTTAACGGGTGTCTGCCCCGCCAAATCTGTACTTTCAGCGGCTTCTGCCCCACCAACCGCCCAATTGGCGCCAAAATCGACAACTACTCAGTTTCGGGAAATACTCCCGTACTTCAAGGCTGAACACACTATACAGATACAGACTTACAACACCTCGTCCACAGATTCACTAAATCTCCGACTTCAACCTAAATCGTGAAAAGCACATGGCTGAAATCCACTTAATAAAAATTCATCGGTAGTACGAAACTGATCTTCGAGAGATCCGCAATGGCTCCGACGGTGCTCTCTCCAGCTTCGCCATCTGAGCTACTCCATTATATTGTTACATACCAAACATACCCAACCACACTTATCATCTGCTGCTCTCAAGAAGAGTTCATCTCTTCATTGGTAGCAGACGTTAGGAAAAGAAGTACTCAAGAGGACTCACACCACTCTGAGGAACATCCTCCACATCCTCTCCTCGCAGCGCCACTGTTCCAGGAAGCAATTGCACGTCACATCCGTCTGCTCTTCATCCCGACAGTCATCCATCTTCGCGCCAACTTATCAGTCTTCTCCCCAGAAGACTCGCTAGTACCGCCTCCGCCGAATATTTCCCCGTCATCGGGGAAACATCACCCGCCTCTACTCCTCGTCTACGGGTTTCTACATCTTCACAGAGATAGCAGCGAGTGGAGCGCCCAGGGTATTAGCTGTTCGGCAGCCTTACTAGTAGAAGCCGCAAGACGCACTGCATTCAAACCAGTCATCGTCGAGCCCAAACACCTGGAAGGGCATAATGAATTTGAAGCCTTGCTTCACGACGATGCACCCATCCTGAGTGGTAGCTCGCGGAGGACCGAGGGTGGGTGGACCGGTAGGACGGTTGAAATAAGAAGGGTCTTGGGCAGATGGTTTCACTTCCAAACAGGACAGTGGGATATTCAGTGGGAAGAGCACGAGGCGTCTTGAGAGAGAGAGAGAGAGAGAGAGAGAGAGAGAGAGAGAGAGAGAGAGAGAGAGAGAGAGAAGCAGACGCAGATTGGTCTGCATATTGTTCATATTGATACCCGTTAAACGAGCTTTTCACAATTGCCTCCCCCGTATCTTCGAACATACTCCATCGCAACCCCAAACGCCGAGCCCATGGTATCCTTACCTCGTGTCTTCGTAGCAAAGGGAATAGACAAAACCAAAAAGACAGAAAAATGGAACAAGAATGTGCAAGCAATCTTAGATAGACTGTTCCATCTCAGTGATGTACAGCTTGATGTGTGAGTCCATCTTCAGGAATTCGTCGTAAGCGCTGTGGATCTCGTTCTCAATGTTCTCCTTGAGATCAAGCATCTATCAAATTGTTAGCAAGCGGCCTTGAGCAAAGAGGGCTGACTGAATACGTACCTTCTTCTCTGTCTGTTCAATACGAACTCTCCGCCTCTCGATATCCTTGCCCTTCTCTGTCCGCTCCTCGGTGAGTTTGCGGTGCACGGCACGGAGCTCCTCCATCTTCTCCTTGGCCTCATGAGCCTTGGTAGAACTTTGCTCGCGAAGCTTTTCCGTTCGCTCGTTCCACTTGAGCAGTTGACGTTGCAACAGGGCCTCGGTCCGCTCCACTTCTCGCACGTTGTTACCGCGCTCCGAGAGGGCGTCACGCTGCTTGGCGTTCTTGAGGTTCTCTTCCTCCTCCTTGGCCAGCTCGACACCAATCTCGTCGAGGATCTTAATGCAGGATGCCACATCAGTACAAACCACCGTAAAGGAGTCGGCCGATGTTTGTAGTGCGCGTGAGCGGCGGTCAAGAGCGTCGATATGCGCCTTCTCGCTGTTGAGTGTGTTGCTCAGTTCCGTCAGGCTAGCCTGCAAAGCTGAGGGGCTCTGCATGACATATGGCCGCAGCTTCTGGCTTTCTTGTTTCAATGCCAGCTTCTGCGCCGTCTTGTCCTCCAGCGCCACTGTAAGCTCCGTTTTCTTGACCTTGGCATCCTCAAGGCGCGCAGCCACACGCTCCTGGTTTCGTCGCAGCTCCAACAGTCTCTGCTTCAGCTCTTCGTTGCGTGTTGTCTTCTCCCGTACCTGGGCCTCCATGTGCTTGCGGTTACGCTTCATCTCGACAAGACGTGACTCCATTTCTTGGTTCTCGGAGTACAAACTCTCGATGCGCGCTTTGGTGGTCTCGGCCTTGTTGAAGTGCTCGTCGATGACGGGTGTCTGCGACTCGCGGAACCGCACAAAGTTGATAAGGTAACTGAAGATCTTGACGAGGCGGTCATGCGACGGCTTGTACAGGTCGTTGAAGCTGAAATCGTTAATTCCGCATTCAGAGAGAAGACGTCGCAACGACACGTAGAAGCCCATCAGGTTGCGGGTGTCGGGGGGCACGATGTCCGAGTATTCGCCGCAGATATCCTCGGTGGCGGCACGCATGGCTGGTTCGACGGTCTCGCGTGTCGCATTCAGCAGGAGTTCGGCGAACCACTCGAAGATCATCTGAACCTGGAGAGGGTTCGGTTTCTGGAGGTCAGCGACAGTGAAAGGAATGCCGATGTCCGTTATGCAGCCGACAATCTCCTTGTCAGGAAGACGCATAAATGCGTCGGCTTCATCTTCCTTTTTGCGCGTTGTTCGTGACTGGGTTTGAGAGGTGGGAATGATGCTCATTCGAGGATTGTACGACATCTTGGGCGAACCTGGGCTCCTTCTTGGGAGCGTGCACTTGGGTTTGGTTTATGCAGTTGTTCAGTCGCGGTGCTGTTGGGTGTTGATCGGGCTGTTGTCGCGATTTTTGGGCGACCAAAATTCAAGATTCACGTCCATAAACAGAAACAGCAATCAAGCGGCGTTGTTGCTCTGACAACCTCGATGCTTATCGATAAGAGATAAGCATTGCACGTGGGTCATCACATGACCAAAACCAGACTGGATTGTTTCCATGTGCTCCGTGCGCCAATTAGAGAAGGGACGAAGGAGTGACATTCACAATTGGGCAGGCTCCATAAGCAGGCCCCCCAAGAGTCCGAATGGAAACCGTTGCACTGCCGATTTGCCAACACCACTCGTCCCGAATCGACCTGTTTGTCCGGAACGCCAGGAAACTTTACCGCGAAGCACATCATGCGACACTGACTCGAGATCAATTTGCGAAACTGCGCCTACGAAAGCTCTTCTCATGACCGCGGAATTCACAACCGCAAGATACTTGTTTGCTTAAGGTAAACTTGAAGTTGAATATAGTGCTATGACGACGCACCCACCTTTTGCCCTCATGCAAAGATTGCCGCTGGAGCATCGACGAGTCTCGCCCAGAATTTTCCCTCTCTTCCCACAAATCAAATCTCCGTGTTACTAGGGTGTTGGAAGCGGACCAAATGGTCCATGCTCAGAACTCATTGGCAAGCCCTTGCTCTCGGCGGCAGATGACCTGGTTCCATCGCCACGGCTTCATACTTGGTTCTCTAGAGGCCAATTGGACGACAACAGGTTGATATTCTGGAGCCAAGCTGAAGGGGAACAAAAGATGAGCAGATGAACACACCCTCTCGCCAACAGCGATCGGCGCCGAACCCTAGCCCCTTCCCGTCTTCTGCCCACATGGCATTCAGGCATCTCCGAACCTGTCGTGTCTTGTTTGTCTCGATTGACTCCGGCTTCGACTTTTCATCTCCCAATCCAGAAACCCGTCTATTTGGGCACAAAGCCATCTCATACCTTCAACGATCTGCTACTGGTTGGCACTCGACAGCTTCCTCTCTGAAACGCCGTCAACTTGGGCTATGATTGGTCGAACTCTAACCGATTTCTAATGACAGAAGCCCCGAGCGTGAAACATAATATATTTGCTTTTGGCATGTCCTAGTCTAGCGTGGCCGCCAATGAGCATTTCATCAGATGAAAGGAGTTATGCTTGACTACTATTGGCCCATAGAACCAAAGTCCGTCAAATCTGCTCTGACCTTTCTATGACGGTTCGGATTGCAGCCATAAAACAGACGTCGAAATACCTCAGCTGTCACTCCCCTCCAGATTGGTTGACAGGTCAAGAGGTCAAGGAGAGCAAATTATTCGACTGTCCGTGGGTGACGTGCAGAATCCGTCGTCCACGGCGGGCTTTTGGGGAAGAAGCACGAAAGGTATTGCTAGTCAGTCATGACGATCCATGTGTCAACTATTGACGAAAGATACCTCATTTACCCCTCAAATAACCGGCTACTGCAATAGTAAGCGCCGTAGCAAGCTTATCTGACGGCTCCCCGCTTGATCAGCCTCCTTGTCGCAGGGCCGGTCTTGATAGGAATGAGAGCTTATTGCTTTGATGAGCAATGACTGGCATTGACTCCAACGTTACGGAGCAACGAAGAAAGGGGTGATTAAAAAAAAAAAAAAAACAGATCAGCCTGCAGTCATTCACAAACATACTCGCCGTGTCGCACTCTGCAACATTGCACAGTACCAGGAGCAATATCCGGGGAGCTTACACTACGTTTCGAGTCTGACAGGCACGAGAGTAATAATGCGTCTAACACCTACAGCATGCATGAGGCCATGCAGGAGAAATGATGTCGGAGCACGGTGCGTTTGACAACATCTCCCAACAACCGTTAGAAGGTTGTTCAAAAACCGCCCGTCGCCGCAGAGTATCACCAAGACATGCAGCTGGAAGCCATGGAGTGACTTCCAGCCCCCAATAGAAGCAAAATGAAGCCGCAAATGAGGCATGACGAAACTACGCCGTGTAAGCTGCATGGTCAACAAGAGGAACGGCCCCCGCCGCCATGACGTTGTAATGGGACGCCAATCTTAAACTGATCGCCCCCAGCAGGGCTAGGAATAAGGACCCTGGGCGAACAGGTTGGGTGAGTGAAGCCACATCAGTTGAAGCTGGCTCACTTGCAGCCACACGCCAAAAGAGCTGCAGCTAAGAGTGTCATTGCGACGTCTAGCAGAGCGCTTCCTTTGACGGTATGTAGCCATGCCAGCCACGCAGCGAATGACGTAATGGCTTGAAACATTTGGTAACATCGCCCCCAAACATGGGAGATTTGAGTTAATGAAGAAGTCGTTCAAGCAATGGCAACAGTAAGCCCCATCTGTTCACGAGCCATGAGCAAGCTTATAAATCTGACAATGAACATGCAACATCAACAGGAGGGTCGCCGAAGTTTCAGCGTCGTAGATTGCTGCCCTACTGTAACAGCAGCCATGGGGTCACGGTACGGCTACCCGTCCACTCCACGATGCCGATCTCGTCAGGAGGGAGAACTGAGAAATCTTGCGTAACGGGTACGATTCCAGACCCCAAGGTCCATGCTATCGCCGGTGAGTACCGGGCCCCGAAGCCTTGGATAGCCCGCAAAAATACGGGCTGCAGCGTCCTTGAACCGCCCTGTTCAGGGTATTGCGGACGAATACGAAGAAAAGTTGAAGGCATTCCACCAAAGAGACCAAATAGTCCTGCAGGTTTCCACTGGAGCCAAGACCGCACTTCGTACAGACTAGATGGTCGTACTGGTTCGCCCACTGACGTGTTGCCGATACGGCCCCCACTGCCTGCGGACACGAGATGACAAAAGTATTGGTGTCCTGTCGCCAAAGTAACGGTACTTGCGTAGGGAGGGGGAAAAAAAAGGTGACCCCTGCCTCAATGGCGCATGGCCCCCTGTGCCTGGCAAACAGCACGTTGGGCGGTTCAGGATTTTTACAAGTACAATCCCTCCAGTCCACGCACACATGTACCACTGCGCTGTCCACCATGGCAGCCTCATTACGAATGCGTCTAACAGCGCTTTGAGGTATTTCTCAGTGCCTCTAGTGCGTTAGCATACCATACTTTCAACGGCTCGGAATAGAAATCTTGTGTGGCCAAAAGACAACTAAGCAGCATCCACTCCAACAGTCGTGTCTAACAAGGCGGTATGCAGAGGCAATGAAGAGACGAGCTATTCTTGGAGCTAGAGTGGTCAGATGGTGTCTCCCCTTGACAGCTAACCCATTTACGGCTCAGGTCTCGCCTCCTTTGTCGTGCTTTGTCACTTTGCCAGCAGTCTCTCGAGGGATGGGACCATGAGGGGTTTGAGATAGGAGTCCCTGGCAGGAGGAGAAAGGGCAGAACTGCTAGTTGCGCTAGTTCTAGCTTTCTTGATGGGCTGCTCTCCTCAGTCGATCCCCCCGCCCACAAACTGACGGCGGGACGGTCGGTAGTTGGCTGGCGCCAAATCATCGCCAATGCAGCCTTAGGGAAGTGATAGAGTCAAAGCCCAGCGCATACCTCGTCCCGTGCAGCTGTCTGTGAGTCGAGCTTGGGGAGCAGATGAGGCGCACTACCTGAAGGTCAGGGCGGGGTTGATGGAAAGACACACGAGCCACCAAGCTTTCGGCCGAAGTCACATGATAAAACAACGATAGCTTGCTGATGCTGCCTGGTTACCATCTTTGGGAGGCGAGCGTAAAAGCTGATGATGATGCTATGGAACCGACGCTCTTCAGACCCAGACGGAGCAGCTCCAGCAGATCAGCAGTGTAGTGGCCGGGAGTGGTGCAGAGTGCCCCGGGGAGGTTGGACGAACCTGCTGGGGGTGTTTTCGCGGCCGCATATCTCAACTGTCGCTAATACGGCAAAGAGTTGCAGCGGGATATAATCCATGGGCTTATTTTCCCGGTCAGGCCGTTGTGCCCAGCATCAATTATTTGGTTCATGAACAAGGGCCATTGAGATTCTCTTCCCCATCTGGCGGACGAGTGGATCACAATTGGATTCAAACCGTCGCACATGAATGTTCTTGGTTTTCTCGGGGTCCAGTATGCGACGCAGCAAGGAATAGCACTATGGGGGCAATATGGACATCCCCAAATAGGACAACTGCCCCAATTCGATGCGGCCATTGATGACGATTTCTCATGGAGGCTGGGAGTGCTCGAGTCGGACTCGTCTCCTGGTTTCTGCCATAGTACACCTCCACCCAAGTGCGTAAATGGCTATGACTCAGGAATAAGAAGCATAGCCTTCGAAAAACCTTGGAATGTTTTCCGTTGAGGACCCGAACTCAGACTCAGGCTCGCAGAACTTCCGGCAGACCGCCTCGGCAAAGAAGCGCTGGCCTTTCTGCTGCAACATCCTGCGGGCTGTACTGCAAGCAAAAGCAAACGGGCCAATGGTGAGGCGCAGCGTTGAGCATTACATCCACCGGCAGGCTGCTGTTCCTGTTCCTATTCCTGTTCCTGTTATCCGCAAGCTCCCATTGAGCTGTTTGGTAGCCAACAGTGGAGCGAGAAGTGTAAAACGGACGAACAACAAGCCAGCCAACGTTGCCACGCCTGCGCAGTACGAGTTGTAGCCGGGACGAAGGCACGGATACGATACCGCAAGGCACGGGTACCTTGCCTTAATCCCTCCCACATCCCTTCTCTTTTTATTTTATTTTTGCTTTTCTGGCACCTGCGCATGCTTTCTTCTTCTGCCCTCTCAGTTCCCTGAGCACACAGCAGGGTACAAGTACGGGTACCGCCAGGGGAAACCCTCGACTGCGACCGTTGAAAATCAGGATGGAAAGGAAACTTTATCAAAGCTTTGCCTTGGGCTTTTGGGGTTGTGAATGCTCCAAGCATGGACTTTCAGTAAAGTGTACTTTGGGTACCCACAGAAGCTGGTCGAAAGAAGAAAATAGTTATTTTGACACAAAAAAAAATAATAGTCAAGACAAGCCTCCAACAGGCGAAGCAAGACATCAGGACAAGCGATGGAACAGACCAGGACACTGAGACATCAAAACGCCAGGGCGGCGGGACAGGCTGACCATGGCAGCAAGCCAAGCAGAGTCCTCCTCTACAGAGGGGAGAGGAGAGACACTTCAACAGCCGGCCGCTGTCCCCCGTTGACCATCTCGCACATCAGTCAGGCCAGGCCAGGAACCAGCGCACCGGCAGCCGCAACACGCATACAGTGCATCGCATCGCATCGCATCATTCGGCCGGCCATCTCTTGCTGTTCAGTCCGCTCCAACCGGGGCAGACCAGGGCAGAGACCAGGGCAGTCAGGCAGCATGTGGTATGCTGGGAAAGCTGGCGGGTTCCACCCCGTTGATACTGGAGGAGAAAAATCCTGCGCCGATCAAGGCCAGCCCATGTCCAATCGACGACATTGGCATTCCCCCTGCTGGCCGGAGGCTGTTGGCCATCCCTCCCTCTCCTCTTTTTGGAGGCCGTTTCTACTGTACTTGGGAACGGCCAAACAGGGGCGGATACAGGAGCCGGAGCATACTGCATAATACTATGCTGTAGCAATCACGGCATTCCCTGGCGACTTTGGCATCTGAGTTCTCTACCAGTACAGTCTGCTTCTCAAGTGTGTGAGATTTATGAAAATCTGCATAGCACACCTCAATGCCCTCGAACGGGCATACACACACACACACACACACACACACACATATTTCCTATGCACACCAAATGGCCCTCTCGATATGCGGCAGAATGTAGCAGGAGGAGAAGGAGAAACAGCAAGAAACACACCCCCGGCAGCGGGTACACACTATGACCCATGTTCACACCCCTGACCCTTGACTAACCCTGGAGCCCTTCCTAACCCAAACTCAGCAAGCCCTGGCCATCCGTCCTCTCTTGGTGTGGCCCCAAAGGTCCCGGCTCATGCTCCCTTGCCCTGCCACCATGTCAAGCAGCTCTCTTCCTATTTGGTCAGCACTGTACCTTACGGAGAATAGATACGTACTGCCAGGTACATCGGCACCAGCATACACACTATACCACCAGCACCAGCCAAACTATGCTAGCCAAGCTCCAAGCTCTTCCACGTCCCAGTCCAAGTACACTTCGGTCTCCTACGGTCTGCCTCCGGTGTGTGTGTGTGTGTATGTGTACGTAGTCTCTATTCAGTCAGTCCAGCAGCACCAAGGAAAAGAAGGAAAAGGTCTGCTGCCCCCTTCTTGTCCAATCTGGGGGTCTTGACTGGACTGGATTTTGATTCTTTTGGGACCCCCCATCCATTATTTCATCATCTCTGGCCATTGCCACTCTACATTGCATATGACTTCTCGTCCCTCTTTTTCCTTTACACGTTCTGTGGCTACTCCGTACTTCCCTGCTGTGTCCCATACCCTTTCTCGTTTTCCTCCACTAACTCGCTTTTTCTGACGGACCCGACCTCCTATAAGCCCAAACCCATATTAACTGCTGCACAAACCCTGAACTTCTTCCTCAAGCAGACAAGCTCTCCGTATTCCTCTCGCCCGGAAAACTACCTGGCTTTACTCTCGTTTTGCTTACACATTGCGAAACTGGTGGCGATTACAAAGTCAGCTGCCACTGCGACACCGAGTTTGGCCGAGTTTGGGAGAAAGACATCAAGGAATAATCAGCATTAACATCTAAACGAGGGCGCCCGTACAACACGCACATGCCCCCCGATCTCGAGTAATAAGCACCGATCATGCGCCCATACAGAAATCGGTCTTGCGACGAACAACCTAGCATTCAACGTTAATACATACATAAACCCCTGCCAGCGAAGACGACGCTGCGCATGGGAAAATGGCCATTTGGCCCTTCCGCCGGAGGAGCGGTCGCAAACGCTCGCGAAGCGGCGCAAACCTGTCCGATGTCGAAGCAGTAGCAGCAGCAGCACCACCACCACCAAGAAATCTCACCCCTAAGGATGCCTCACATGACACTACGGACAGGGCGGCAACGCCGAAGAAACAGCGGCTCGAGCAGCGCCAGCAGTACCAGTACCAGTACCAGTACCAGCACCCCTCCAAGAAGCTGCACAGAGGGCCCCGTACCTACAGCTTCTCCCCCGGTCGCCACGACTCCATCCGTCTCGCGGGGCAAAAAAGCTCGGGTCCACCGGTACCTGGCCGGCTAACAGGGCCCTTCCCAGCCGACCGAAATGACGGAGAAGAAAAAGGGGATCCCGCCTGGCAGCGGGCGCCAACCCTACATAATGCACGCCACGGCCAGAAGAAGGCCTCCTCCCGCAGGAAGTCAAGTAAGAGGAGGAGAGCAGAGACGGATCGCGAGGCGGAAATCAAGGCCATGACGAACTTCGCGCCGGTACGGCCGGCGGCAGAGGACTGGACCTCCGGTCGGCCGATAAGAAAGCAAAGCAAAAGAATCAAGACGGGCCTCGGCTTCCGCAGGAGCTTCGAAAATCCAGCATCCGACGTCTCATTACCGATATCGATTCACTCGAGCATGTCATCCGAGTCCGAGATGCACTCATTCCGGGTGTCTGCCCTCGCGGCACTGGCACCGCGACCAACATTACACTACGCCGTCTCTCCGAAATGGGCTCCTGGGCAGAGCAGCTCAGGGCAACCCCGCCCGCATCACCAGAAGAGAAAGGTTTCCGAGAGAGTGCCCGAGTCGGTGGTGAGGGCACACAAGAGGGTGAACAGCTTCGCCGACGACCTCGACGCCGCCGACCTCAGAGAGCTGATGGAGAGAGACAATAGAAGGAGAGAAAGAAAGAGGTTACGAGACCAGGAGAAGATGGAGAAGCGGTTAACAAGAAGGGCAGAGAAGCAGCGTGAAATGGAAGCGGAGGCGAGGCATAGCGGCTCGCCACCGCCCATGAACTTGGAGAGAGGAGTACTGGGCCGTGAAATGGTGGGCCTGGGAATTGACGACACAACGTCCGCAGTGGTAACATACTCGAAGAGACGGGCGTCCAGCTCGTCATCATCATCACATCGACCGGCCAGGATATCGATCGAGGAGCCGCCGGCGGTAGTGGCGCCTCAAGCAGAGCCTATGGAGATTGACCACCACCACCACCACCACCTCGACTTGCACCGAACGTCCAGTATCCAGCCCGATGTTCCTCTGTCGGGGCCATCGCCCGAACCCGTTATGGAACGTAAGCCAAGCACGAAATTGACGCCCAAGGGAAGCATGAGACTGAGACGGAGTTTCCTGCGGTATAAGAAATCACGGTCGCGGTCGCCGAACGCACCGGATGACGAGCACACCGTCTCGCCGCTGTCGTCGAGACAGGACGACATGAACCCCAAGGCCTCCGAGTCCAGCAGCCGTGCTCGTCTCTCATTTTCAGCCCTTTTCCGATGGGGCAACAGGAAGAGGAGAAACTCGGGACCTTCGTCATTCTCAAATACTTCGCGCGAGGAGATGCAAGCCGCCGCAGCCCATGCACAGACACTGTCTCGGGCGCCGCCGGCGGAGGAAGCACAAACGGTATCGCAAACGGTACCGCCAACGACTAACTACATTCCCCGGAAGGTCAGCTCCGGGGTGCCCAAGCGTACCAGGTCTCGCTTCAGAGAAGATCTGCCAGAGCTCCCCGTCAACGCTCCCGAGCTTCCCCTCAGTCCCCCGGACTCACGCATGGGGTCGCCGGAAGCGGAAGAGCCCTTACCCGCCGTCTCAGAGGCCAGAACGGTAGAAAACGCCCTCGACGACTCTCCCGCTGTCGTGAGGCACGACACTCCCACCTCTGAAATCCGCCGCGTCGACGAAAAGATGGAGAGACTCGAGAAGATGAGGCAGACACCTACTTCCCTGCGTCACAGCATCCAGCCCTCGCCCGAGCCCGTCTCGCTGGCGTCCATCGACTCGGAGGCCTCGTGGCTCTCGGGTCGCATGAGCAACCGCCGATCATCCGGCATGCGGGCCCGGGCCAGCATGCAGCGCTTCCAGCAGCGGAACCGAAGCAACTCGGTGTCCGGCAACGACACGGAGGAGGAGCTCGCCGACGACGAGTACCTCTCTAACCTGGCCACGCCTTCGCGCGAGATGCTCGCTGATGAGCGCACCCCTCGCAAGTCGACGGGTGACGCATTCCCCAGCAGCGACGAGGAAGAACTGATGGACGACGGCGATGTGAAGTGGGGTTCGGTCGAAAGGCAGCGCACGACACCCGTTGTGCAGCGTCAGAGAATCATGAGCCACCAGGGCCAGCTCAACGTGTTTGTGGACGACAGCCAATCTTCGGGCGACAACTCGGACGGCGAGGCGCCCAAGCTCCAGCGCGCCACGAGCGTGAGCCTCAGCAAGGGCCCCGTCAGGCATGTGAGCTCGGGAAGCACCAAGATGCTCGAGGTCTCGCCCCGCACGAGCGTTGACCAGAGGAGGACCAGTGATGCTGTTTACTAAAGTGTGAAGTTTATACTAAAGATGACAGGGAAGATGTGCCAGCCCAGCCCGCCGAGACGACAATCATTTGCATTTCTATAATTCACTCTTCGCCGACGATGAAAAGTCGACACCCGACGCTCTTTTACCATTTCCTTACCACCTGTCTAACTACCGACCATATTCGCTCATTAACACTATATTTCCTTACCACTGACGAAACAAAACGACAAAAAAACACTTGCAAAAACTACAAAAAGCAAATGACGAATCTCGACGCTGGCTGGCTATCGACCATCATCTTTCTTCTGGACTTCTCCACTGCAGACACACACACACACACACACACACATTCTCCAACACCCTCGAGATGCGGTTCCATCACACCGTAAATCGGCTTTCTTGAATTCATCTGATGTGTATGATACGACCTTAACGACCCTTTACCGCCTTTTCTACAAATTCTGATGCACACCGGCGTACGCGCGATACATGTGCTTCTTTTTTAACTTCATTTCGTGTTTCTTGGCATATAACCGTTTGATACCACGCCTCTCTCGCTCTCTCGTGCTCCCTCCCTCAAAAGGGGGGGCGACAGGAGAGTTCCGAGGCAATTTATTAAGAATCATTTTTTATTTTTTATTTTTACTACTTGTGCAAAAGAGACAGAGGAGGACGGGGGTTAGTCAGTCCCCCCTCCCCCCCCTCCTTTTGGTACCTAGCGGCAGTACAGCACGCGGCACTCTTTGAGGAATGGCTTTTTTTTCCCCCCCATGTGAACGGCCTGTTTCACGACCCTTGCGGTGCGAGTTCCCCGTTTCCTCCTTTAGCCTTGTCGAGGCGAATGGGAGTTTGGGCCGGGGGGGGGGGGGGGGGTGTATCTCCTGGGACAAGGTGGGATGTGTGCGGAAAGACTTAGACTGGACAGGGGGGAAATTTTACAAATCCCAGCATGGGTAGGAAAATCCGGGGAAAATGGATGGGCATTCATGGTATTATTGTGCTGCCATTTTTGAGGGGGTTTGTTTTGAGAGGGGAGAGAAATGTATGTAGTAGCTACAGGAACGGTTTTTTCCTGGATGAGAGATACCCTAGTAACTTCACCCCTTACGAAAGGAGGGGGGTGGGGGAAGCCTAGTTATGTTCTGGAGACGAAGACACGCACTTTTTGTGTCGTGTTTTTTGAATGAAAAAGATTCAAACTTATTTTTTTGTGTTGTTGTGATGTTCTTTTCGGATGTGTCATTGGTTGATACCCGATTCATATACATGTAGCAGTAGGTAGACCATGATGGTGATCATGGTAAGCATTTTATTGCAATGTTTGATGTTGAACTGGTAAATTCACGTGTAATTTTACATAGCAGTCCATTGAGGACAAGGGTATCTTGCGTCAATCGTGAAATCCTACTTAGTTCGCTTCGGCTCATCCCAACCTGGGTGACGCCCTCGGCGACGCACTCGGCGATAATGATAACCGTCCACCGATAGAAGGCGACCAGTTCCCGGCCTCGGGACCACCCGCCCGATCCGCCCATCGCATCTCGGCAAACTGCTCATCCTCCAGGACGAAAATATCCGTCGGCTCGCCCGCGGGGAACTCACCACCCATCGACAACGGGGCGAAGCAGAAATCGTCACATTTCACCCGGCGGTAGAAAACTTGGGAATACGACGACGACGGCGGCAGCGGCGACGACATTGTGGGCGATGCCACCGATGACGAGGCGTGCAGGACAGGTTCAAGGTAGAGCCCGACTCGAGATCGCGGCGCAGTATCGTGGGGCCGGTCGCTCGCTCCGATGGGTATAATGATCAGCGGAGGGGGGGACCTCGGCGACTCCGTCTGTAACAATGGGGGACTGCCACGCTGACTACCTTGCACCATTGGGATGAGCTCCGCAACGATGGATAATCCCATGTTGGTCATGCTAAAGAGACGGAACGGAGAAGCTTTGTGCAAGGCGCGCTGGTGGACATCGCGGGACCGGGCAAAGTCCGCGGGGGAATCGGCCAGGAGACCGGAGGATTGGGTGGCTCTCCGGCGGCGCTCGCCCGTGTGGGGGTCGACTTCCTCCTGTGTAGGATCGACCCTCCACGCGAAGATTGTTTCATCTGGAGAGGTGCGGATGATCTCGTGCTGAAGTCGCTGGAAGGCATGGGTTAGGCCTTCACCGTATAAAACGGGTATGTGTACGCCAAACAGGCCCATGAGACAATATGCCAAATCCTCTGGGCGGGTGGTCTGACGGGCTGCAGCCCACGACATGCGCTCTGCAATGGAGTAGTCCCGCGGGTGGCGGGCTTTGGAGAGAACGGACTCAAACACGCCGGTGATGGCTGCGATGGCGCCGATGAAGGGCTGCTCGCCGCGGTGGAGGCCCTTGGTACCGATGCGAGTCCAGTCAGAGGCGTAGAAGATGGCGCGACGTGGCGCGATGAGCTCTTGCAGGGTCCAACCGCGGGTGAACCATTTAGACTGGGCAAGGGCGGGCATCTCGCCCATGGGCGTGGAGGCGGACGGCGAGGGGACGTCGGAGAGGTAGACGAAGCAGACGCGGGAAAGGAGGTAATACGAGTACATTGAGTTGATGGCCTCTGAGAGCTCAGCGGACGAGGTCTTATCGATGCAGCACGAGTCGATCCATGCCCAGCTGATGTTGTGACGGAGGGCCTGGATGCAGGTGCCCTGGATCTTGAAGAAGCCGGCCTTAGTCCGCGCCTGGGGGAGGTTTTCCTTTTGGATGTCTTGAAATGTCACCTCGTCGGCGCCCCAAGTGTGGGAGAGGATGGCGTATGGGGGGACATTGGCGCCAAACATATGGAGCTCGTAGGTGGTGGTGTTGAGGAGCCACATGTTGACGGAGAAAGTAGTTGAGTATGTATCGTGTGATTTATGTTCTTCTACTCCTTCTCTAGGAGTAAACCCTTGCCAGTCGGACTACATATGGACGTGTTGGAGGCGAGAAGGGGGAATATGAGAGAAGAGCCTCACATGGGGCGCAGCTAGGCGCTGTGCAGGCTTCCATTTGATGTCGGAGAACGCCTTATGTATTATTCCAGAACGGGCGTGGATCTTTTCTTCTTTCACTCTGATATGGTGATGTGGTCCCTCTTCTTTTCTCGAGTTATCACCAAACAAGAAGTTTAGGTCTTGAGCCATCCGGTGAATAAGACCAAATGGTGCCGATACATTAACTGGCGATGACAGAAGACGGAGTATTTGTTAGTCAGTCACACGACAAGACTAAGACAATAGTCAAGTGGTTGCACAGAAGGAGGGGGAGGGGCAACTAAGTGTGCCTGACAGCTGTCAGCCAGACATTTTGAGGGGTGGCACGTGGTCTTCCAGCTGGCAGCGTAAATGGCGCCTTTGTCACTCAGGGTCTGGAAAGAGACGAAAAGCACTCAAAGCAGGAACGAACCAACAAAAACTAGCGAACAAGGCAGGGGGCGCCCCACCTCTGACAAGTGCCCGGACCCCGGCGGCAAGTCCGCCATCGGCATCGGCAAGCCCAGTACCGCACTTTCCCGCTGTGGATTTGTGTTGGCATTGGCATTGGCATTGGGGGGAACAGGGCGTAGGGCGGATTATGACATTTCGCCATATGACTTCGCAATGTCACATCCCTCCTCAACAACGCCAACAACAACACTCCCTCTTTAATGTTGCGAATTCGAGCATGATACCCCCATAGACCAGTTCGAACATTCAAAGAATATGACGACGGCGACACTGTTCCGAGTGTTTCTGCGCCGTCAGACACTCGGCTTGCGCACTCGTTTCTCCCAACAGCAGCAGCGTCGCACGAACTCCTCCAACTCGGGCACCGAGCCCCCAAAGCCGAAGCGACAAGATGACCCTATTCCCGTGCCCAACACGGTCGCCACGATTCCTCTATGGCAGCGCCTCGGTCCGCTGACTCGAGCTGCCGAGGGTTATGCGCGGGCGCAGCGCAAGAGGCCTTTGACGACGCAGTTCATCAGTTCGCTGGTAATCTACTTTTGTGCCGATCTCTCAGCTCAGCGCATGAGCGGCAAGGACTACAACCCGGAGCGCACGATGCGATCGCTGATTATCGGCGCAATATCGTCGATTCCCAGTTACAAATGGTGGGTGACTTGGCTCGAACGCGGCGACTATGTGTCGTGGTGCTGACTGTGTGTTTTGACAGGTTCATCTTCCTCTCCCAAAACTTCAACTACACCTCGCGCCTCCTCTCCCTCGGCACCAAGGTCGTCGTTAATCAGGTGTGCTTCACGCCCATCTTCAACTCATATTTCTTCGGCATGCAAGCGTTCCTGGCCGGCGACAATTTTGAACAAATCATCGAGCGAATCCGCCGGACGGTTCCCGTGAGCATCGTCAACTCGTGCAAGCTGTGGCCCGCCGTGACGGCTTTCAGCTTCTCGTTCATCCCGATGGAATACCGCAGCGTGTTTTCGGGAGTCATCGCCGTCGGCTGGCAGACTTATCTCAGCTTCCTGAACCGACAAGCCGAGGCCGTCGAAGAGGCCGAGGAAGCGGCGCATATTGGAGAGAAAGCCCATGCGGTGCAGGACATTGCGGTTCATAAAGGGTCGGTAAAGATGGAGGCATGATGAGAAGAGGGGCCGGAAAGAAAAGATATCCCAGACATTCTAGACAGAATTCGGTTTCATTTGTATTGCATTGGGATGGCGTTTTATTAGAAGGATAGAAAGTCATAAACATGTCATGATCTGATGGCATTTTCGTATTCGTTTTACAAGCTAAAAGAAAATGCCGAAAAATAAGACAGTTCGATCCGGCACTGTAATGCACTGTGCTGCTCCCACCGATGCCAGCTGCCAAACGCCTGCCGAACCCAAGCACCCAAACTTCGCGTCAAGTTCCGTCCTCGGCAGTGACATCTGCAAAACTTCAACCTCCAAATCCACACCACCGCCGAGCCATTGAGTGCTGGTCAGGACCAGCAACTCTTCTCAGCAATGGCGTCCATCTGCATGCGATCCGCCCGTGTGCAAAACGCCCTCCGGTCGGCCAGAAATCCCGTCGTCATCCGCCCGAGACTCCCTGGCAACAACCTCACCCGACGTCATGCCTCGACCGGCTCTAGCTCTAGCTCTTCCGCCGACTCCTCAACCGGCTCGAACCTGAAGCTTGCCCTCTACGGTACCGCCCTCGCTGGCTCCCTCTATGTGTCCTACCTCTACGTCACCGACACCCGCGCCTCCATTCACCAATGGCTCGTCCCCGCCGCCATCCGCTTTATCTACAGCGACGCCGAGGAAGCTCATCATGCCGGTACGACCCTGATGAAGACCACGTACGATCTCGGTCTGCACGTTCGCGAGCGCGACAGGACTCTCGCCGAGCACCCCGCCCTCGCAACCGACGTCTACGGTGTGAAGCTGTCGAACCCCATCGGCATCAGCGCCGGTCTCGACAAGCACGCCGACATCCCCGATGCCCTCTTCGCTCTCGGTGCCGGCGTCGTCGAGGTCGGCGGCTGCACGCCCCGCCCCCAGGAGGGTAACCCCAAGCCGCGTGTCTTCCGCGTCCCGAGCATCGACGGCATGGTCAACCGCTACGGTCTCAACTCCCGCGGCGCTGACAGCATGGCCGCTACCCTGAGGGAGCGTGTGCGCAAGTTTGCCCGCAAGGTCAATGCTACTGAGCAGGAGGTCCTGGACGGTGAGGCTGGTGTGCCTGCGGGCAGTCTGCTTCCCGGCCGGCTGCTGGCGGTGCAGATTGCCAAGAACAAGGAGACGGACGAGCGGGACGTCAAGGCCGTCACCCAGGACTACGTCTACTGCGTGCAGGCACTCGCCAAGTACGCCGATATCCTGGTTGTCAACGTCAGCAGCCCCAACACCCCTGGTCTCCGCGATCTCCAGGCCACCGAGCCTCTGACGAGGTTGCTGAGTGCTGTCGTGGACGAGGCCGCCAAGGCCGACCGCAAGGTTCGCCCCAAGGTTATGGTTAAGGTGTCCCCCGATGAGGAGGAGGATACGCAGGTTGAGGGCATTGTCCAGGCCGTCTGCAACAGCGGCGTCGACGGCGTCATCGTCGGCAACACCACCAAGCGCAGAACGGGCGTCGTTCCCGAGGGCGTCAAGCTCTCCGCGAAGGAGCAGAAGGCCCTGATGGAGACGGGAGGCTACTCTGGTCCCGCCATGTACGGCAGGACGCTGGAGTTGGTCAAGAGGTATCGCAAGAAGTTGGACGCCCAGACCCTCCAGTCCGGTTCGGCGGAGGAGGCCGCCGCCATCCCCTCAGTCGACGGCACCCTGTCGGGCAAGGTCCACGACTTCGTCGAGGGCAAGGACACCGCGAGAAAGGTCATTTTCGCGACGGGAGGTATCACGAACGGAGAGCAGGCGTTGAAAATTCTGAACGCTGGCGCGAGCGTGGCCATGGTGTACACGGGCCTGACTTATGGCGGACCGGGAACGATCACCAGGATAAAAAAGCAGATGGTGGAACAGGCGTAGAATACCAAAACATAGAACTTGACTGCTCGACGCGATTTCTTATATTTTTCAATTCACAATTGCTCGATGGGCATGTAATGCGACCGTTTATAAGACCAATATCATTCAGTGACCGTGCTTGAATTGGAGAAGCAAGGGCCATAAGCATTGGCAATTAGTGATAGTCAAATGGCGAAGGTTGTGAGTGCCGGCGTCATCGATTACATGGGGATAGGCCAACACATCAAGTGATGTGTAGTAGACGACTAGAATCAATTAAACATGGACAGACTTTGTCAACACCTACCTTAACTCACATACCATTATCAAGGTATATATAACAGCACACTTGATGGCAGAGTCCAAAACCGCTTCATCGATAGCATTCAATCCCATTAATCGCCAAGACAGGCAACATCTATCTCTAAAATAATCTAAAGTGCGACATTAGTCCGGCTTCGCCTTGAGTCCGTCGGAACCCCTCAGGATCCTGGTCAGCTTAAACTCCCAAAAGTCCAACGAGCTATAGAGGAACTTTTCAAACTCCCCCTCGGAGAGAAACGGCACCCAGAGGCAATCCCGTATAGCCCTCGGAATCGAGTTGATGATGACCAGGATGAGCGGTATGACAGACGCATCGGCCCTTTGCGGACCGACGAGGATCCTCAGCGCCTCGTGCTCCCAGAACTCCATGCACCGGTCCAGGACCCGTTGACTGTCGCACTTTAATATTCTGAGCCTGTATCCCGCCGCCTTCTCGTCACAGTTCTCCGGCAAGCCGCCGCCCCCGAACAGTCGTCCGACACACAACCTCGCCTCGTGGAGACCAGACATGGTCTTGGACAGGAACTCCATACACAGACAGAAGAGCCCGATGAAGAAGAAGCCGACGGAAAGCAGAACCCAACACCGCGCCTTCGGGATGAGCCTGGCCGGGTATCGACTGTGCGGGTGCGCGACGATCCTCCTCAGCGTGCGCGTCGCGTGCGAGCAAGACCACACCACGAGCGCGATGACGAAGTACCTCAACCACCGCTGCCCGCCGCCGCCGCCGCCGCCGCCGTGATGATGATGATGATGATGCTGCCTCTCGGGACCGCTGACGACGACGACCCGTTCGATCTCGACGCGAAGCTTCTCCGCGACGCCGAGTACTACGCTGGGTACGGCTTCCGCGCGCCGCGCCAGGATACTAATACTTTTGCAGTCTTCATGCTGTGAGCGCGTCTCCGCATTCATGTGTGGCCGTTTCTTGCTTTGCTTCTTTTCTTTCTTTTCTTCTCTCTTCTCAAGGCGACCGCATTCCATACGAAATACAGGCAGAGCGAAAGAAAAAGAAGTGGCGTAGTTTTGCCGCGGGATGGTGATGTCTCTCGCGCTCACCTTTGTGTCGGCGGGTTTTTTGTTGGGGGGTCATCACCCGGCCTCCGGAGGGAACGAACCATGGCTGACGTTGACGGTTCAGGAGAGTTTTGTGGGATCGCCCGCTGAATGGACTGGAAACTTCGAGAGTTTGAAGCCGAGCAGGGAGGGACCTTGGATTTGGGGGGACCGCCGAGAATATCATGGAGAGAATGGTGTTGTTGCTCTAGTTGTGTCAGACTTATATCGACGAGCGGGATTCACATGTCTGGCTAATAGTTCATCTAGCGGGAGTCGTTTTCTTTCCTAATAAGTGGGATCTGGTGCTCAATGTGGCGATGACACTGGTCGCTGAATCATGAGAACACGACACTTTGGGATATGCAGGTTCGGAGCGTTTCGTGGATTGTGTTTCGAAGCGTTAGTTGCTTTGCACCAGTCTTAGGTGGCCGCTACTCAGGTTCTTGCGTTCTTCCGTAATCTATTAGATGCAGTGGAGGCTTAGACTGTAGACAGTGCCTAGAGATACGTTACAAAATTGTTGGAAGCAGAGTAGTTACCCTTACTACTGAGGTACACGCATCATAGAAGAGCAGCATGAATTCCATTCATCAGGCCGAGGGCTGCTACATCTTCATCTTGGCCCAAGACCGACATTTGCAAGTTGATCGACGCCTAAGATATTGAATCTCCTGACTCAACAGAGGACTAATCAGGCCCCTTCTGCAGACATGTCATTCTCCGCTATCGGGGAAGGGCGACTCAGGCTATGATCACCATCGCATCCAAGTTGTCCTGTAGCCTGTTGGCGTGTGCGCAGGAGGCTGTGTAGTAAGTGGTTCAAGTGTCTTGTTCTGATCACTATGCACTCGACATGTTGATACGGGCAAACTTTAAAATAAGGGTTGGGCATGGCCACTGACATTGCGATAATTACTGCATGGCAGCTGAAGAAGGACCTGACTAGACAGAGATGACTAAAAGTAAGGTTGGCAACACCGTGTATAACAGTCAGAATGACCCTTCCTCATTGCCAGGCCAGTAATCTACCCCAGACAGCCAAGACTTGTAAACAACAAGTAGTCTTTTGGCCACGCAAGGTAGATTGTGATTAGAAGTCTTGGCCACCAATAAACTAATCAGCGGCGACAGGAAAGTTCCCGACGCTAAAGAGGCCGTGGCATCCATGGAGGATTAGCTAGACTAGCCTATTTGTCTGATGTACTTGGCCGATACTATTCCGCGTGATATGGAATCTTATTTCGTGTAGTCTACGAATAGTATGGCTGATGCAAGAACTGCGGAGTATCAAGAACCGTTCAGACTAAAGTTGTATCCACTGTCGGTTGTAACTGAATAAGCCATGATGGATCGATGCGTATACCATGTATGGTGGACATACACGTGAATGCGTTAAACAGTCATTCAGTGGCTCGCCTGGGCCTCTTCAAACCCAATTGGATTCGAATTAGGAAAAGTTACCTGAGCGATGGACTTTCAAGCCCAGTATCCGTCCTTCCAGAGCTCCTTGCTGTATCCTTCGGTCAGTCGCTCGTCCTCGCCATAGACTTCCTGCCAGCCGACGAAGCCACGGTCAAGAACGTAGACAGTCTGTGGTTCCGCTGCAGCAGTCCCCTTTGATGGGTCTGCAGGCTTAGAGGCGAGGATCTGGTCGCGTTCCCGAAGGTAGCGAAGGGCGGCGCTGGGTCCTCGCTGCTGCGACAAGGCGCAATGGAACACGACAGTCTTCTTGCCTTCGAGGCGGCGGACGAGGGTCGGCATCATGACGTCGAGGGTGTTTGCGGGCATGTTGATGCAGCCCTTGATGTGGCCGCCGATATAATCTGTTAAGGAAATGAACTGTTAGCATGGAATTAATGCTGAAAGCTTGAGGGCGGACACACCATTGTCGCGGACGTCGACTACGGCGACCGAGGGGTTCGCGGCCGCCTGCTCCGCCAAGAGGATGGTGGAGAGCTTGTCAGCGGTAATACGCTGTAATGTTGCGATGGTCGTCATGGTGCGTTTGAAGGGCAGGACTCGTGTCGAGATGACGTTCATCGGCGGGGGGGTTCTGAGCTGCCGTCGAAGCTGAGTTGGGGTCTGAGGCGAAAGATTGCAGCTACCGTTTGGCGGGGAGCTTTGACGCGGGGCACTCAACCCCTGCCAGTGCCTGCCACGTGGGGAACCTTGCAACAAATGAACTAGGGTTATGTAATCAGACGCTTTAACGCATCCAACGAGTACCATATTAGACTTAATGTCAATAACGGAGGCCTTGAGAGCTATCCAACTAATACTATCCTGATATCTTTTTCTTTCTATTTCTTTGAATACCTTGTTAGTACTGTTCTGAGTTCTAATATATACAGCCAGCTCAACTAGCTTGCATCACAACTGAGTCTCTGTTAACCCTTCTGTCTCTCTCAACGAGGCATTGGGTTCTCCTCCGCAATTGATATTCCATGAACCAGGGCACATTGACGCGATTTTGGCACATTGAAGTGATTGGTGTACTGGACTTGTGTGTCTATCTCAACATCGGCTGAAATTCTAGGGTCAGAGAGTGGAAACAAGACTAGGCCTTCCAAGGTATCCAATACTCAAGTCAACGAGACAGCTTAGAATTCCACTTGACGCTACCCATCCTTCTTCAAGCAATAAATCGAACTTACAACTAACAAATCATATTCAAGACACCAGAGTGCCTCGCTTTTGCCCCTCTTGGCGACTGGGGTTGATGGCTAGTTCTGCTCCACAGCGATCTCGGCCTCGGCGCTTATATGGACCTCCGCCTCCGAGCCAGAATCATTATGGTCAAGGCTATCCCCATGGTCCTTCACTCCCCTTTTCACTTTCAAGTCTACTTTCCCTGTCTCCAGTCGTAATTCAACGTGTCACACTCCAAAATATTGCGATAAACTGTGTAGCTCTCATCATCGTAGGATTTGGCTTTAGCTGGAAACTCTATTTGCAATGGGAACGTCTAATTAAACGACATTTACACATTCACTAAAGCCTATGAACTAAAAAACTAATTTTCAATGCAGAATACTTTGATAGCCGCTATGTTTCAACTCTACGGATTGTAGTCTGTGTATCACGCCGCATCACTCCATAGAGCTCTCGCTACATCTCGCACAAGAACCAACTTCTCCCACATTCTCTCCTCAGTCGCCACACCCTTGTTGATGTTGTGACTGGCAAAACCACACTGAGGGCTCACCGCAAGCGAGTCTTCAAGAACTTCTGCTGCACTCCTTTTTTGCCCCTGAGCCATGATCTCAGCGGCCTCATGGACTCGTTTTATAAGAGCCTCCTTGTCCTCAAGCTCGGCGGTCTTTGTTGAGACAAGACCCAGCACCACGTTTTTCCCCTGAGGAATGAATCTTAGAGGTTCAAAAGAACCAGAGATACGAGGGTCATCAAACTCCAGATAGAACGTGGCGTAGTTTAGCTTGGGAAACACCTGACTTGCAATCTTTTCATACGATCCTTGAGCAAATGAAGGACTGTTGGGCATGTTTCCACGGCAAAGGTGGATGCCAACGTGCAGGTCTGACTGAAGATCCCTTAGGCACTCGTTGTGTGCCCAGATGTAGAGATCAAGCAAGGACTCAGGGCCGATGCCATCGGCTCGTAGACCTTCCCGAAACTCCTCCACAATGAAGAAAGCCAGGTTAGGGTCATCGATCTGAACCGATCTCAGGCCCGAATCATATAATACCCTGAGCTCAGCACGGTAGGCCGAAGCCAAATCGAGAAAGTACTCTCGGTCCGAAGCGTACACCCCGGGCGCGAATGCCCGGCCTTTGGCAAGGTACATGTGTTGCCAGGAGATGGATGGAATAGCCATTTTACAGTCTTTCCAGTGTTCCTGAGGCACGGCCTTCTTTATCATTTCCCAAGCTGGCAGGTAAGCCGAAGCGACATGCTGGATCTTGCCAGTGGCGATAACGGCGGCAAAGTGATTCAGCCCCATCTTGGCGAGGCCGGTGATGTTGGGTAGACCGGGGCGAAAGTCTTGAGGAATTCTAAGGTCTGGGCGCACTTCCATGCCTTTGAGGTTTTCGAAAAACCCGTCAAAGAAGATGGTGCGTTCATATTCACCAGAGGTGATGGGCCGAATCGAGAGGTCCAGCTGCTTCTTCGCTGCATGGGCGATGGCAGCAGATGTTGCTGCGGCTTGCTCTTGTGATAACTCGTCCGAGTAGAAGCCTAGGGAGGCACGCTTCTCTAAGAGGGAAGCGGGCCGGATGAGAGACCCGACTTGTTCAGCACGGAAAGGGGGAGACATATTGGGGAATAGGGTACTAGTAATTTGCTAGACTGGGAAAACGCCATCTTCTCTACGCGGCTGCCCTCTGGTACTTATATAGGTCCAGGGGATCTCTCTGAGTACGTCCCTCATTCGTGCAACTTGTTGCCCTGAACAAGCCCTTGTCAACTACCCACTCTGTTTTATCTTCTTCTTTACACTAGCCAATATGCTTGACAGGGGTTTACGGGTACGCCTGAACTCTGTGGTGTATGTATGAAATCTACTGGCGTGTGGAGTAGTGTTGGTGGGGTTATCTCGATTGCTTTCGTTCTTCTCTTGGCGAGGTGCTTTAGGTCTCTCCGAGCCCGCTTGCAACGTCGTTGGGTGATCTGCTGTTACTGACGTGTTTACAAAGACAAGTAGAACGTCAAGCTGTCCAAGTCGAGGTTGATCCAATCAAAGCAATTATTCGCCACCAAAGCATTTCATTTGTTTTATGGCAACCAGCGCTCCAACAGTTCTAACATTTCTTTAACAATATTTTAATTTCCAAATCACCAAACTTCGCTGCCAAACCCCACTTTCTGGTCTACTCCTGAAAGTTCTCACGAGGCCGCGAATTGATTACAGAAGCTTCCCTAACGCGCAAGAGTACTGCTCCGCAACCGTGGTCGTTCCCTTCACGGACTGCGATGCCATCAACCGATCAAGACCTTACGTGCCCCATGAGTCCGAAGCCCTTCTTGGCTACGCACAACTAACACGCCGGTTGACCGTGCACAAACTCCTTTGGAGAGACTGAGGGATAGAGGTAGCCAGCAATACGCGTTAAATCAGTGATATTGCCTGCTGGGCCATGAGCAGGAAGAAAGCTGGACTGAGTTAGTATTGTGACGCCTGAGACTAGAACAAAAGAGGCAGACTGGATGGTACTTACGCAGCGGTGGTGGCGACCTTATCTCGAGCCAAGGCATCAAGCAGCTCGTGCACTGCGGCGTGTTCAAACGTCTCAAGGAATGCTAAGTTACCGTGATCCGCATCGAAGACAGCCACGGAGCTCGTGTTCGTTGGGCATGCAGGTTGAATGAGCGCATAGCCGTGGTCCTCAGCGTGGATTGTTGCGTCCATGTCCACAAGGGCAAGCAACGTCTTGCTGTCCTCGAGCACCATAGATTGACCGCGTCTTCGGTAAATGTCAGCTACCGGCTTTTTGTTTGTCCTTTCATTAGCTGCTTATAGGACTTACTTATACGTGACAATTTGGTCTTTTGGTACCGTTGCGTAGTACTGAGCAGCGTGTTCTGGGACAATGAGCTTCGCACCGTTGGCGACATAGTCCACAGCGCCGAAAGCGTGGTCGTGGTGATGATGTGTGGGCTACTCCATGTAAGCATATAGTAACGTCCTTAACATAGGTACTTACCCAAACGTGAGTGATGTTCTTCCCAAGAGTTGTCTGAGCCCATTCCATAACAAGCTTGCTTTGGTGAGGCGGCGCATCCAAGACAATCACAGACCCATCTTCAAGCTCAACCACGGCCTGTCGCAAAGCCAAAGGACCCTCGGGGCTGATGACCCACAGTCCGGGCAAGTCCTCAAATGGCCGGGATGCGGCTGCTGCTATGCTCTCTGATGTTCCAGTGTACGCACCTGGCCAGAGGAAGATGGCGGATGTCTCTCCTATTTCCGAGAAATCGTACTCTGCATCGCGGACAGGTACACTCGCCACAGGGATCGTTACATTACCATGAACTGTGAAGAAGTCGCTGGCAAGTTCGGCGTTGGCGACCACCTCATCAGCCCGGTAGTCTCCGATAAGATGCTTGCCGTTGTAGATGGTCTTGAAGCGCTGAGGGAATTGCACCCCAGAGACTTCGATATAATCATAGACCAGGAGATCATGGGTAGAAGCACCGAAAAACGGATGGTTTTCATAAGAGCGGATAATGTATGGCCGGTTGCTGTTTGGATCGAAAAGTACCGTAAGTCCTAGCTCATTATCGTGCACTGAAGATGCATGAAGATGTCAGGTGTGTTTAATAATGCCGAAAAGATTTGTAATGGGGATTCATACCACCTGGCAGCTCAATGCCCGCCCCGGTTACACCTGATCGATAAGTGAAGTTGCCGTTGGCAAGAATCTTTGTAGTCTGTTAGTTGATAGAAGAATTACCTGAAATGGACTTACACTAGTCAAAAGCAAAGGATGCCACTTGTTCGCTTCGCTAATCAAGTAGGAGGATAGTAGACCTGAACAATGATTAGTGATTCAGATTCGAAGAAACTTGATTTGCCCATAAACAAACTTACCGTCAAGATAACCTTGAGGTTGCCCACCCGGACTGTACAAATCATAGCTTCCTCTAACAACAGCTGCAAAGCCGTCGTCTCCTCCTTCAACCAGTAGCGAGAAGTCCATGGGAGCAAGATTAGCCCTTCCGAAAGTCCATCCGGCTACGTCAGCTGTCAGTAGAAGCCTTTTGCGAGAACATGTAAGAATCATCATACGCCCAAGAGCCGCCACTTTGTCAATTCGTTGCTTGACATGTTGCTCATCGAAGGAGTAGGTGATGGTTTGTTGACCCGAAGTCACAGCAGCATTGTCTACACCTTTAACAGAGATTCCTAACATCAACGTCTTTCCGCGAAGGATCCTGGTTCCGGTCAGTTTACACATCCGATTGTACTCAAGCTTTTTACCCACGTTGATCCTGTATAAGACAGGGTGCGAATCGAAGAAATACTCGCATCTCCGCCGAGGGCATTGATACCTTGACTCAGTAGAGTGGTGGGATCTTGAACTGCGTCGTTCTCGCGGTGATGTAAGCCATGGCCCTCAGCCAAGCCAGCAACGGTGATAACACAGTGATTCAAACTTCGAATAAGCATTTTGTTATATAACGAAAAGAAGAGACGAAGCATGTATGTTATTTTCATATGAGAAATTTACTGAAAACTCAGGGGGAAACGTATTTAAAGCAGTAATCTCTAGAAACTATCACCGCCCCTCAATGATGTGATTTGACCCAGGTTGAGCTGTATTCCTAATCATTCATTGCCCAACGCGTAAACCCCTGAATTAAAGTGTCATTCTAACTTGAAATGGCTCAAGCTACAACTCTGACGAGGCTGTGCTTGTTGAATTCTCAGGTCAGTAATTGAAAGTCGTAAGGCTTGTAAACCAGAGACTGGGATATTTGCACGGATAGCTCCGTGTGTGGTCTCAAGACCATGTATCTTACCCCAGACCAGTACAATGCGCGCGGCACCGCAAACCTTAATCTATTAAGGACTTGGCACTTCGGATTTTGAGGACTGATTATATCCGCAAAGCCGGCACATTCGTCCTTAGGTGTCAGGTCCGCGATGCTGAAGTGATCGGTGAAGGGTCAAGTGGAACCCAGAGTCGTGAACCAGGGATATGACGCGGACACGGAATCTTCAAGTCAACATATAGTGTAAACTTTCTTTATTCCAGGTAATTGATCAATTGGTCAATGCTCATTTCGGTTGTCCGTCTGATATGAAGGTATAACTATTCCTGAAGTTGATTTCCCATTTTCTCCAGCGAGAGACTGAAGCGGGTGAGTGACCATCGTGCTTTAATAGCTAGCTCTCTAGTAACCTTTTGGTTTTGGGTCTTTCTCCATCTACTCGTGGTCAGGTTAGAACACCACAGTACAACAGCTTCGAAGTGGTGCAACACCCCATTCTTCACGTGCCATGGCCCTGACCAACTACTTACCATAGAGCGGCCCTTTTACGTGCTAAACTTATGCAGCTCATGGTGAACTTGTCAAATAGGCCATACCAGTGCAACACGGTGCATAAGGCGAATCAATTCCTCGGTAAACTTTTTTTTTTTTATTCTTGTGAGACTCGTAGACTTCTGAATCTAACGGAAGATATAAAGACAACAGATGTTGGCTCCTCAAACGTTCAACTCAGCCGCCTTGGCGTCCTTGATGGCCGCCTGGTAAGGCTCAAGCTTCTTGGCAAGCTTGCCACCGGGTCCGCAGAACTTGTCAACAATCTGGGCACTGCGGCCAACGTAGAGCTCCGGCTTCATCATGCCGTCGAGATCAGCCCAAATGGGCTTGAAGAACTCCGTCTTCTTGATTCTCTCCACGAGATCGTTGGGACGGCCCTCGTTTTGCACCTCGTTCGAGGCCTGGAACGAAAGGACGCGAATCTGCTCATGGGCCCTGAAATAGTTAGCATTGTCTGTGTCTTTTTGGGACAAAAATCACTTACTCCTGTCTGGAAACGCCCTGGGCGACCAGTCTCATGATGATGTTTTCCGTAATCATGAAGGGCAGCTCTGCCAAGAGGTTGGAGTGAATCTTACGGGGGAAGACCACAAGGCCTCCAGTCACGTTTGACAGGGTAATAGTGATAGCGTCCGCGAGAAGGAACATCTCGGGGATATCAACTCTTCGCTACACAGAAAATTAGCCCCTGAACATAGGAGATAATGAAAGTGTTCAAGGTGTAAAGGGACCGCAAGAAAAAGCGACGCAGTATCTGCAAATTGGGAGCATGGAGCATAGAGCTCCCGCTCCGGGATGAAACAACACGTGGAGAAGAAGAAAAGTACATACGCTGGCGGAGTCGTCCAAAGATCTCTCCATCCACTGGGCCGCATGGGTGTTGTTGAAGTTGGCTGCCTTGCCTTGAAGCACCCTTGCGAGACTGGCAATGCGCTCAGATCTCATAGGGTTCTGCTTGTAGGCCTACAATGTGTTAGTGCTTCTGACATAGGGCACAGTGTGGGAGTTCAAACAGAAGACGAACCATAGCACTGCTTCCAATCTGACCCTTCTCTCTAGGCTCTCCAACTTCCTTCATGTAGGCAAGATGTCTCAAATCAGAGGCAATCTTGGTGACAGTAGATCCCAGACCAGTAACAGCGTTGGCCACGAGACAGTCAATCTTTCTCGTGCTGCAATGGCGTCAGTCTTTGCCACATACATTAAACATGCGTCTTGTAGACTTACTAGGTCTGCGTAGAGATCTATTGAAATGTTAGATGGCGTAACAACAGTTATAAAGATCAATGTATACTCACATCATAGCACTCTTCAAAGCCAGCCTTCTGGCAGATGAGCTCATTGAGCTGATCACACTTGGCGTGGTCACCGCCAAAGCTGCAAAAGTTAGAATTGTTCGTTTACCCGCTCTCTTGATACGATAGACTCACATCTCGAGGAAGCTTGCTTGCGTGCCGGTAGTACCCTGCGCGCCGCGGAAGCGGAGCTCAGCTCGCACACGCTCAAGCTCGGCGAGATCCAGCATCAGGTCCTGGGCCCATCCCGCCGCTGAAGTTGAATTAGCATGATGCGTACAGTACACGTAATTGATAAAACTAACCTCGCTTGCCGACAGTGCTGATCTGGGCAGGCTGAAGATGGGTGAAGGACAGGGTTGGCTCAGACTTCCACTCAAGTGCGAACCCCTGGAGGTTGTGGAGCACCTTGGCAAGCTTGGGGATCAAGATGTCAAGGGCATCTCTCATGAGAATGAGTTCCGTGTTGTCAGTAACGTAGCAGCTGGTTGCCTATTACAAAGTCGGATTCAGTCAGTACCACTTCTCTTGTCAAACATGTCTAAACTAGCAAGAACCAGGGTGGGGAGATTTAGTAATTGTAACTTACGCCATAGTGGATAATGCCGGCCGCCGCGGGGGCAACTTGGCCGAAAGCATGGACGTGCTGGAATTATATCAGTATACGAAGCAGTTTAGCTTATAACTGATACTTCTTACAGCCATGACATCCTATACATGTGTTAGTCTTTCGGTGTTAAATGAACCTTTTAAGTGACACTTACATGACGGCGAATCTTCTCCTCGACACGGGCAGTCTCAAAGTCTGCGTCCGTAACGGTGAGGTTTGCCTTCATCTGCTCCAGGGCCTCATCAGTGATGGTGTTAATTCCCAGCTCCTTCTCGCTCTGGGCGAGATACAGCCACAGCTTCCGCCAGGTCGAGTGGCGAGACCGCTGGCTGAAGAGATGGGACATCTCCGGGCTGCAGTAGCGGCCCGTCAAGGGCGTTTGGTAGGTATCGAACTGCGAGGCCATTTTGACAATATCGTGATGCGATTGAAGATCCAATATTGATGAGTTGAGTAATGCAAAATTTCCATGCAGCAATGTGTGTGCTGATGAGTCAAGAAGGTCCACTTAATTCACGTGCTTCTAGCCACAAGTGGCTGAATTGAGTTCTGCGTCCTGTCCGAGGCCGGCGATTGGATTACATAAGGCAGACACAACGTACGTTTAACTTTCAGGTTGTCACAGCTTCATCAAATCAAAGCCTCTTCTTCAGTCGAAGCAACTAGCTTTACTTCTCCTGCATTGCGATTCAGTCGCAGATGATTAGAAGAAGACTTACGCACTTCAATGACACTGAAGTGATTCGAGGGCAGGGACCTGCGACGAAGCAGTCGGAGCCAAGTAACTGTAACGCCTCCATTTATGAGCTACATGCATAGCATAAACGACGGCAGCTCGACTGGAAATATTCTTGAAAAGAGATGGTGATTGGTTACAAAACTGAGACTTCGGCATTGATAAATCAATGAAGGGTATTTATACACTACGGCCAGCAGGTTAGCTTTGTAGAAAGGATGACATATCCTTCTCCCTATCGAACAAGCGGTGTCTAGCCACGCCCCTGGAAGATGGGCCATCTTGCAGCCAATAGTTACAGAGCTTAAAACATCAGTATAAGATCCAATGGTCGTCCAGTAAAGAAATCTCCGTTATCCAATCCCAGCCATCGGGGTCCCTAGTTCCCTGCGTGCTCCTAAACAAATCCTGTTTCTTCCACAACCCTTTCAACACATGCGCTGCATTCTTACAATTGGCAGAGAAAGTAATTTGCCAGATTTTCTCCATCATTGCTATAACCCAATTTCTCTGATTTTCGCGGGTGCACTCGGCACCAATGATGAAGGTTGGCCATATCAAATCCTTTTCCACCCTATCGTGAGCGCCTAGGAACGCGAATTCCTGTATGAGCTCATCTACTGAGGGAACAGCGATACTGATATCCTTTGTGAGGCTGCGATAAACTCGTGTTGCATAAATGTCCGCGGTCAGTTTCCAAATCTTGCTGCTGTGAAGGAGCAGGTCATGAAACCTCGAAGAGGCAACATGACCAACACCGTTCATGTATGTGGCCCATACGTGTGGATCAAAGTCCCTGATTCGGTGTAAGCTGGTTAGTATTCCTGAAAGCTCCTTGTGCGTATGCATTGGCTTCGAGGTGGGAGTGTCAGCAACATAGCCTGCCCATCTTTGGGAAGCTATGGACTGCAGCGCTGTTATTATTTCGGAGGGGCAACCTAAGCATGTCAGATCTCCCTTAATATTTATCTCATCCCGTCCCACTCCATGGTCTTGTGCTTGGGACACCGCACCACCAGGCCGAAATAGGGTCGATCCGATCGTATCGAATCTGACCAAGATCAAGTCAGCACTATTCTCTTAGAGAAGGGGATTAGAGCTGGAATACACAAATATTTCATCCGCGATTTGTTCGAAAACGCTTGACCAGCTTGATGACACCTCGCGATCTTCAAAATCCAACATTTTCTTTGCGCCTTCAACATGGACTTTCCAGCAGTTGGCCCCACTCTCGGTGAGATCCAACAACACGAACAGAAATGCTGCGTAAAAGATGTTCAAGTTCGTGCGCCTTTTTGCGTTTGCCACCTCCTCTGACAAGGACCTCAACGCGACCATCTTGAGGCGGATATAGTTTTGTTTTACACCAGAGTGGGAGGAGTTAATCATGTGTTTGGATTCTGTGTCAGAGAAGAGCGGCATGCCTGTAATACTGTTGGCAAAGTGGCAAGCAGCCAGCGCAATGATGGCGTTTTCGATTACTGGCGATGATTTTGAGCGAGAAATTATCTCTTGGTATGGGTTGAATACATTTTCGCTGAAAATTAAGAGCGGACAGACGTGCCGCTCGACTGAATGTTTTGCGGTTAGCCCGTTGTAGATGGATAATGTCAGATCAACCAAAACCCACAGTGGTCAATGAAGAACCGTACGTCACGAAGAAGATTTTGGCACGTCGGGTCTGTCAGTCCCAGACGCAAGCTTCCTGCCTGTGGAGAAACATTCTCTCGGTGGCATTGTGGATATGTCGACGTCAAACTCAAATCATCAGTTGAAGGCGGCTTATCTTGCGGTGGAGTGAAGCGAGTGATGATAATTCCGGATCGAGAGTACTTTTTCTCAGCCAAAGGCGACGGACCTGTGTCGGGAAATTCACAGTTCTTCCGAGGACCTCTGTTGGCGACACCGCGGACCCAAGTCAAGGGTTTGGTTTTTCCATAGCCGAGGCACTCCACCTTGTTGGCTTGACATTTGTTACAGTGAGGCCTGGTTCCATCACATTTGTGACGTCGACAGCGACAGGTCCAGCATGCATTCATTGGCGAATGCGGCGATAGTATATTGGGGATACTACTGTTTACTGGGATGCGTGGGAAGTAGCTGGATAGTTGACTGTTTCGTTGCTTGTCGGGTCCAATGTTAATGCCGACCCAGAAAGTTCCGGAGGGGCTGGCCGATGGTCGCGCCAAGGACTATGGAGAAAGGAAAACCAAGTCTAGCTAAAATGGGCGATTGAAATACATGTCATGCATGAGAGCATTGGCCAAGAAGTACCCACTGGTCAATGTTTTCCCTTTTCGCCTAGTCATAACTTAGTTGGGCTTTCTTAAAGTTTTAGGCGGGCCGCTTTTTGGTAAGGATGAATTCTTTCATTGGTTCTACTGCCAGCAACAGTGTCAGTATGAAAAGTAGTTGCGACACTATTGCCAAAGTAACTATAACTATAGTGACTGACTAAATGGTAACTGTATGGGCGATAATCAGGAAGACTAGGGCAACCAGGCTGGCGGTGCCTTCACAATCTGTTCCGATCCTGCTATGGCCTTTGTTGCCTAGGTTCTGACTATTGCATGGGGGGTTTGCAGCTCTAGACTTTGTGGGCTCGTGCAAGCAATCCACTTATTTACAATGTTGACCCTGTTGCTTGCCTTCTCATCATCTTCAAACTTGGTTATTAGTTTATCGCTGTCAGTCCGCAAGGATTCCTCTTTGGACTCTTTTCCCTGGCCTGCTGTTGTGGTAACAACGACATGACTTTCATATCCTTTTTATCTTGGCCTGCCAGGCTTCAGCTTGGCATTTGGAGGAAGAAATACCACAAAATGGGCTTCCATAAAATATATCTTGGCGCACTTTTACATCTTTTTTATTAAAAAACACATAGTTTACATTGTAAATTACCCAGTTTAACTGGCAAGTAGACAGATCGTTTGTCAAGCCAATTAGTGTGTCGCCGTCATGAGCACCTATCTCATAGACTACTATTGCCAGCCTTGCATGTCCTTCCTATTCACCAGGGCAACCAATTTTTAACCGATTTAACATAGACAAAGATGTAGACCATGGCGTAGTTGGTGAATGTGAAGAGCACAAATATTCCCAGATAAGGCCAGGCATCGCCGCTAGTTAAACCGATGGAAGACAAGTACTGCCAGGCCGTTAGTATTGGCATTGGGCCAGATCATGGAATAAGGGTATCCTTACATCTTCGCCGGAAGAATATTGACAGTAGCCGCATTCGCTGGAAGCGGCTGGGTTTTCCAGATATCCTCTGCTGCCGGACAGCCAGTCCATGGCGTATTCGCCACAGGTAGTATTCGAAGGCGCTTTAAAGCGGATCAACTCCGAATCAGTACATCTGACGGAGACTCCATTGAGGACCATCGACACGATCCCTGAAATCCAGTATGTAAAAGGTCCGATGTAGTACATTGTGTAGCGCCACACAACAGGCATGAGCTCTTTCGGCTGTAGCACGCCATTGAAGAATTCACACATGACGACAAAAAAGGGCATCAGGTTCGCAGCCATGCTTGCATCGGTGCTGATAATAGTCAGCATATGTAACTGTTGTTTTTGAATGATAAAAGGGCTTACCTGAGGGCCACGATCCATTGTCCCCAAGACGTTGAAAAAAGATGGAACATCAGTATCATGAGGAATGTATAACCTGCCGGTGTTCCAAGTGGGTAGCCGACCAGGAAGTAAAATAAGACGTAGAAAAGCACAGCTCCAGCCATAGCGTAGGGTATCTCCGAGATGACGTTTGCTGTGCTGAAGGCGGTCCAGCCGTATATGCGGCTCGGATACTCCCTTCCGAGCCACACATTCCTGTTGTCGTTGAACATCATAGCACACGCGTTGATGAACTCGGGGATAATCATCAGTACCAGAAAGCTTGAGAAGATGCGATATTGCATGTCTGCTTCGGTATTGCCGAGCTGCAAGAACATCAGGCCGTTCAGAGCCGAATGAAAAAAAGAGCAATAAAGTCGAGAGTATATATAATCAGGAGTCCTCCAGTACTGTAGGGAAGTTCTTTTTGTCAAGTGAAGGATTTGTTGATAAGTTGAAGAGGCGTACTGTTTCGAAAAAGATGGGTCGTGTTCGTTTGCCGCTGCTGTACTGCTGGTGGTTATGGCTGTGATCTTTTCCAGGATAGCAGCTGCCTCATCAGACTGTGCCCAAATATCTGACCAGCTGCCCATAGAGTTCTTTGGTTCTTGGGTAGTGACCTCTATCAAGAGGTCTGCGACATTCTTGTCCGACTCCGCAGGCACGCCGTATTTTGCGAAATAATCGATGATCGTTCTCCCTTCGACTCCGATATCTCCGAAGTAATAAACTCTGCCGCCTCGTTGAAGCGCAAGAGCACGGTCGAACTACGTTGTTAGTGATCAATGTGTCTAAGGAGGGATTGCCACAACTTACGAGCTCAAATTGTTCTTGGCTCGCCTGATGAATGGTACACAGGATGGCCTGACCAGCGTCCGCTAGCCGTCGAAGCAACCTGATGATGCTCATCGCTCCCTGACTATCCAGTCCCTACATTCTATTAGCCAGGTAATATCTGGGTCATGTCTACGTATACTTACGCTTGTAGGCTCGTCAAGAAACAGTAGGAGGTCTGGATTGGCGCAGAGCTCTACACCAATCGTTGTGCGCTTTTTTTGCTCTAATGAGAGTGACCTGATTACCATGTCTTGCAAGTCGGACATTTCTAGAATGTCGAGGATTTTGTCCACGTCTGCGATTTTATCTTCTTTGCTCTTTTCTGAACTTTGCCTCAAGAGAGCAGAGAACTCGAAAGCCTCTCGGACTGTACTCGTCTCGACGTGGATATCCATTTGCTGGCAGAAACCAATCCGACGGCTGAAAGAGGGTCCGATATTCTGGTTGCCAATCTTCATTTCGCCTGTCACTATTCCCGTGCCCTGCTGCGACAAAACCGTCATCACTTTCAAATGACCATCAGCATTTGCTCATTCATAAAAAACGGGCGATTCTAGTGTCGACTCACATGTGCTTTTACCGGCTCCTGAGGTGCCGACGAGAGCTGTGAGGCTTCCAGGTGTGCAGAACCCAGAAACACCATGAAGAAGCTGCTTCTTCTGACCATGCTCTTGGACGCTATAGTTAATATCCCGCCAGGAGAAAGTCGCACCGGACCTCTCAAGATTGCTGTTAACTTTGCGTGAATCCGCCTCTCCGTTAGGCCTCTCGACGACTCTGACTTCGTCTGTACTCTCTTCATCGCATTTACTCGACGCAGCCTGATGCTTGAAGCTACGGATGCTCTCGAGGCCTTTGTTCTGTCCAGTAGCCCAGTCCACCTTCTCAACTAACCAGACATTAAGAAGGCACAGTGCTACTAAGAATAGCAGGAGGATGCCGTAGTTTCGTCCAATGTTACTAAATGAGAAGCCGAATTCGCTGTTGATGTAGCTATCTCCATTCAAACTTAGTTGATTCGGAGGTACGCCCCTGGATGCACAGGCTTGGAACATCTCGTCGTTGTATTCTGTGCCAGATGGGATGATGGAACCCCTGCCACATGGAAACTCGCGATTGCGGAACTCGACTGCCATTAGAATTTCGAATGTGTAGAGAACCGGTGTCAAATACTGTTGAAGTTAGACTCTTTTAGCGCCATAACTTTGGCAGACTTTGGGTCACTCACGCCGAGCCATCCTACCCATGGCACATCGGACATCAAGCTCGAAACCGGTCTCAAGTATCCACCACATGCCATAGTGATAAGTGACAAGATTCCGCAGTATCTTAAGGCTACTTCCAGATGCGGTGAAGCTGCACCAAAGACACGGTAAGATGCCGTGTAAGCCATAGTGCACAAGAAGATGGCACTTAGAAATGTAAAGAAAGCGCCGGCCTGAATCGACGGTCAGTGGGATTATTTCCAAAGTGGAAATGCAACAGAAGCTTGGAAATACCACTCACATCGGACCTTAACCCGCTGATGAAGTACGCTATCAGCGAAAAGACGGTACTCTGGAAGAAAATGATGGGGATATCCATGACTGTTTTCCCAATAACCACAGCACTGGGCCTCACCATCGCGTATCGTTTCTGCCTGCTGATAACCGATCTGCCTGAAAAAGCTGAATCAAGTTCTCCTAGCTGGAACCATGCGACTAATCCGGCTGCGTAGAAGCAAAAGCCTCCTCGGGAGTAAACGCCATCCGTGTCAACTGGCATGTTGTAGAACATTGATGAGAGAATGAATGCGCAAACCAAGACACAAAGGAACTTTGAAATCAGGGGTGCGCGGTGTCCGTTCAGTTGCCAAAACTCCCTCTTGACGCATAGGAGCACTTGTCGAAAGAACGATATGTTGTATGAAGAGCGAGAAGCAACATACTTTGATTTATGCTTTTCGGAATGTTGCTTCAAAGCTTTTGTCATTGGCAAAGAACGTCCCTCACCGTTCTGGGAATCGGTCCCATGAACACTGAACTCAGCTTCGTATTGGTCAATCTCAGCTTGAACATCTTTGAAAGCTTGGCTGGCCTTAAAGGCTTGTTCGAGATCCACAGCATTCCGAGGTACGGTAGAATCGGACTTATCGCGGATGTTGTTGTCGGCATTGGCCGAGGTAATGCTTGTGAGGAAGTCGCTCATGGTTTGCCGGGGGAGGCGCTGGTAGCCCATAGCATTGAAGTAAGCCTCCGCACTCTTCGCAGGGCCTTGGTAAAGCATTCTCCCTTGGTCAATAAGAACAACCTTGTCCATGAGGTTGAAAATGACGTCCGAGGCCTGGTACAGCGAAACGATAGTTGCACGTTGGCATGAGTCGGTCATAAGACGAAGTGATTTGATGTAGTCCAGGGCAGAAGATGCATCAAGACCACGAGTCGATCCATCCCATGCTTGAATGGAGGCGTCCGATGCCAGCGATTCCAGGATGGAAATGCGCTTCCTCTCGCCGCCTGACATGCCTCTTATGTATTCATCGCCCACAAGAGTGTCCAGAGCCTGAGTCATGCCAAACGCTCGCCCGAATTCTTCCAGAAACCTTGGGATCTGATCACACCATTTCCTGGGTGTCTTGTTGCGGAGGGCAAACTCCAACGTCTGACGGCCTGTAAGAGTGGGCAAATGGATATCGTCTTCTGGAACATAAGAGACTGCGCCTCTGAAATGTTTCAAAATATCGGTAGGAGAAAGACCCGAGTAATCGATAGACCCCTTGATGCCGAGGAAGGAGGAGTGATCGTTGCCGATAGTACGCAAGAAGGTGCTGCATCCAGATCCGGGGTTCCCCAGTACCCTAAATGTTATGATTAGTGGCCATGGTTGAAGATGGCTTCAGGGATCGTGTGCAAATAACATGACAACTTACAACAGCATCTCTCCGCTGCGAACGACGCCTGAGAAATCACGGATCAGAGCTTGGCCGTTTTCCATCTTGTCGGAGGATAGCATCCTCTTCAAAGTCCACTCATACACGTCTTGGAAAGTTAAGGTTCTCCAAATGGCATCTTTGAGAGTCCGTACTGGCTCCAGGCCTCCAGGCCGGCCGTATGTTGACACCGACTTGAGGCAAACGCTGAGTGGGAAGGCTTGGGTTCTGGCCTGCTGGTCATCCCTCAAATACCTCCCTAGCTCAGGGAATTCCGTTTCAGGCTCATTTGTTATTGTGCCGTGCAGCCCGGCAATTATATCCTCTGTCTCCTGGTCGATAACGACGTGTGAGCCGTAATCAGTGTCGTGTGGGCGTCCGTGATCATGATTGGATTTCGTTGGCCGCAAGGGTGGAAAAGGGGGCATGTTGATTGTTATACACTGGTTTTAATACCCAGATTCCCTTTTTTTGTGACAATGTTCATTGAAAAGAAGCTGAAAAAGGACCAAAAACGAATGCGCTTCATGTTCAGAACGAGATCTATTTAACAGTCAGAGGTTAAAGATGGCCGATGTAGTTTATTATCCATTTTTGGCAAGTGGGTCCGGTGCATTGGAATATGGTTTAGTGGTCATGAAGGACCCGTAAAAATCTTTCGCCCACAAGCCCCGCAAAGTTGCCTTGCCTCATAGTGCCTCATGAGTAATTGTAAGGGTTGGCAATTGGTAAAAGTATGTTTTGGCTGGAGATGGTGCCAAGAAGATTTTCGGGTTCCCATGAACCTCCCAAGACCCGCACTAAACTTGCTGCTGAGAAATCCGATTTCACGGATTCTGCGGACAGCGAGATGATGCGGAGACCACAGAAGGACCGTTCAGAAGACCTCGCCTAAGCTGCGCAGCTAAACCTAATGGAGACACAAGGCAGCATGACATGCGCTGGTTTCTCTGAGCGTTGAATAGGTAATGTATTCTTGGTCCATTGGAAAAAGCGACCTGCAGACTCTAATCAATCCTCTTATATAATCGTCTGCCAAGTCATCCTTGCATGCATATTGACGGACAATGGTATTCTGATGCGAGAAATAGCTTGCCCACGCTGACCGCAATCCCTTACGTAGGTCATGATAGAAAGGAAGTGGTAACAATAAACGGTGTTAAATGCAATCATATGCCAGAGTCATGTTTTGAATATACCCTTGTTCTTGGACTACTTGGCTCGAAATTCATCAATCCTTCGTCCCAGATATCTTCCCAATCAGAAATTCAGTTGAAAAGAGCACATGAAGATGCTTATAATGTCCGATCTCATCCCAGAGCCGCTCCTCCACCTAGGTAGACCGGGCGATTGACGCCATAATAAAAACGATGTCACAAAGGCCGGTGAACTCCCTCGATATTCTCGTGGATCCCACGCAGCCAATAGTACAACTGCTAGCCCACACCAACACTCGGCATTTTCTGGCGGCAGAAAAGCATACAAGTTGATTCATCAACGACCTTGCTAGCCTGTTGCTCTTCAGGTTGCTCTGCTAGCCCGTAGTGTCGTCCGAGGAATTTGGCATCATAACGGCCATCATGGAAAGTTGGCGTCATAATCTATGAGCGAGACGCGCGATGATAGTAATGCAGGGAAACGCTGTCCGTGGTAGTTATAGACGCAAGGTACTGGACCGGAATGAACAAACGCCGTGTTGAGTTTCAGTTGATTTACTGATTGATGATCGGTTGATTGATTGCCAAATGTGCTATCAAACAGGCAGCAGCAGGCTGTTGCATAGGCCTCTGATCAGGTCACTTGCGACATTGACCACAACTTTCCTGGCCTGGTACTTAATTGAGGCTGGGTGATTGCTGTATATACTGTTGGAGAACCTTCAGCAGAGACTTCGTGACAAGCTTCCGGGTGATTGATCGGCTGTTGAGAGGCTTCCCATCTGGTTGATGGGACTTTTGAAAGTTGACGGGAAAGACTGGACTCTTAGAACAATGGCTGCCGGCATCTGGAGGCCCAGATGAAAGGACGTCAATGATCTTTTATAGAATCTCGCTCTGTTCCTCCAACCCCAACTCTTTCCTTAAGAAAGAACGGGCATCCCGGCATAATATCGTGTCTGGATGATCCGGCCCAAGGGCTTTTATATAGCCCCTCCAAGCCCAATCATATAGCTCATTAGCTTCTTCAAGCTGCCTTTGCTGCTGCAGGAGGTAAGCCAGGTTATAAACGCTTACAAGCGTGTCTGGGTGCTCTTCGCCCAATGCCTTCTTTTTCATGTCTAGAGTCTTTCGCTCCATCTGCTCTGCTTCTTCAAATTTTTCCTAGTCTTGTAATACCACGGCAAGATTACCCATGCTTAAAAGCGTGTCTAGGTGCTCTTCGCCTAACACCTTCTTTCTGATGTCTAGAGTCTTTCGCTCTATCTACTCTGCTTCTTCAAATTTTTCCTAGTCTTATAATACCACGGCAAGATTACCCATGCTTAAAAGCGTGTCTAGGTGCTCTTCGCCTAATACCTTCTTTCTGATATCTAGAGTATGTCGCTGCATCTGCTCTGCTTCTTCAAATTTTTCCTGGTCTTGTAATACCACGGCAAGATTACCCATGCTTAAAAGCGTGTCTAGGTGCTCTTCGCCTAATACCTTCTTTCTGATATCTAGAGTATGTCGCTGCATCTGCTCTGCTTCCTCATACCTTCCCTGCATCTGTAAGACTACGGCGAGATTACCCATGCCTATATGCGTGTCTGGGTGCTCTTCGCCTAACACCTTCTTTCTGATGTCTAGAGTATGTCGGTCCATCTGCTCTGCATCTTCATACCTTCCCCGGCTCCGTAGTACTACAGCAAGATTGCTCATGCTGGCGAGCGTGTCTGGATGCTCTTCGCCCAAGGACTTCTTCCTGATGTCTAGTGTCTGTCGCTGCATCTGTTCTGCCTCGTCGTATCTCCCCTGCATCTGTAAGACTAAGGCGAGATTACCCATGCTGGTAAGCGTGCTCGGATGCTCTTCGCCTAAGGACTTCTTCCTGATGTCTAGTGTCTGTCGCTGCATCTGTTCTGCCTCGTCGTACCTCCTCTGCATCTGTAAGCCTAAAGCAAGATTACCCATGCTTGTAAGCGTTTCTGGATGCTCTTCGCCGAATACCTTCTTTTTGCTGTCTAACACCTGTCGCTCCATCCGCTCTGCTTCTTCATACTTTCCCTGGTATTGTAATATGACGGTAAGATTACCCATAAAGAAAAGCATATCGGGATGCTCTTCCCCTAGTAGCCTTTCTCCGCTAATTGTTAACCGACGATCTAGCTGTTCTGCCTCTTTATACTTTTTCTGGGCGCAAAGTACAACAGTAAGATTATTTCCCAACTTGAGGGTAAGAGGATGGTCTTTGCCCAGGACCGTCTCAGAGCCATCAACTGACTGTCGACTCAGTTGTTCTGCTTCTTTATACTTTGCCTGGTAGTTCAATGTTATTGCTAGGTTTGTAAGGCTTATTAGCGTAGCGGAATTCTTTTCTCCTAGTAACTTTTTCCTGCTGTTTAGTACATGTCGGTGCATTTTTTCTGCCTCTTTGTATTTTCCCTGTTGTTGCAGTATCATGGCAAGATCGTTGATACTGGTAAGTGTGTCATAATGCGCAGCACCTAGAGCCTTTTGCCTTATCTCAACCGCCCAAGTTAATCTTCTTCTTGCAACTTCATAAGACCCCGTATGATATTGATAAACTCCTGCATTTGTGAGTAGTTGTGCTAGATCCTCGGCATTTTCCTTATTCTTGGACTTGTTATCACAGACCATCTCGACATGAGGGTCTAGCTGCCGGCATTTCGCCCAGTTTTCAGGCGTAGCCATTGGATAATTTTTCGACAAAACCCTTAGGAACTTCCGCTTCCATGTACGCGTTTTGTCAAACGAGGAAAGCCAGAGTCTCGTACAGAACTGTACGAGCGCGTGCATTTTAAGCACGCCTTCCTGCGTGGTTACTGCCACTAATGAGGACAGACGGAGCATGTCGAGATCGTCATCAAAATCGTCATCCTCGTTGTCATATTCGCTATCATTCTCGCTGTCATCGCTGCTGTCGTCCTGGTTTTCTTGGATGCTATTCTGAATGTTTGCGTTGCATTCACTTTTTTTTTCGTGCTGGTAACTTCTGAGTACCCATTCTGGAATTCCTTGCGGATCAAAGAAACTCATGAATACCAGCAAATCGGCTGCAGATTGTCTCTCCTGACGAATTTTGTCAAACGTCATCTGCCATGTTATAACGATTGAGTTAGAAGCACTTGGGTCGCGTCGGAGGTCGCCCATGTTCCTACTGAGAAGGCTCGCCTTTCTCTTCTCGCTCCTTCGAAACTCGTCTAGGTATACAGCCGTTGACATTCGAGGCCCTCTTTGTAGAATATAAGCAGCCGCCTGTGTGATGGCTAGAGGCATATACTCGAGAGCCTCAAGCAAGTCGGGCGCGGCAGCTTCATCATAGCTCTCTTGGAGTTTGTTTCTGAGCAGCTGCTGTGCCTGATGCTCGTCCATTCCTTTTATTGACAAGACGCTCCGACCACTGCCAGTTAGTCTCTCAGCCACATCCTGGTTCCTCGAAGTGACGAGGATCATCCCGTTGCTGCTCTGCGGTAGAAAGGACGCGAGTGGCCGTTGTGCTGTGGAGGTGACGGAGTTGGGTGTCGGGTAGAAGACATCAGCATCATCGGCATTGTCGAGAACCATTAGCCATTTTCCGTTCTCTTCAGTGCACAGCCAGTCATATACCAGCTGCAGCACATTGACATTGGGATCAGAGAGGCGCGGCAGCTGCAGCCTCTCTGCGATGCTCCGATATGCCTCTTCGAATCGCACCTGGTTGCTTGTATGCACCCAGAAGATGTACGTGTTCGGTGAGCTTTGCCGGATCTCATGCGCGAAGTGAACAGCTAGCTGCGATTTCCTGTGATTATCAGAAAAGAGGACGTGGACGTAAGGAGGGGTGCCTACCCAATGCCGCCCAGTCCGACGAGGGCAGCTCGGCTGGCTGGTTGACTGCACTTATCACGTAGCCATGCCATGATGCTAGGCCGTTCAACAAAATCAGGGTCCGGCCGGAAGGGTACGGTAGAAAACGGCTTGCAGGGTTTCGACGCGCCATCGTTGGCAAAGTAGAAGTTGTTCGTCCCGCCGTGCGACGCATGCGGGGCAGCGACAACATTCCGGCCACTGATCCCGGCATTGAAGGTGGCTTCGGCCATGACACTAGTGCAGGGTCGGTCGTAATCGTTGCGAATGGCGTCAATCAGTAGGAGGCGTTGTCAACGATAAGTATTTCCGCAGATGTCCCAAGAAAAACAATTCAGGAAGGGAGGTCTTAAGACCTACGCGAGGCTTACTTGCATCAGGCTGTGCCCTTGCATTTCGTTGAATCACGTGTGGTTGGTTCGTGTGTGTCGCGCCGCCTCATCGTCGGGACTTGGCGGCGGCTATGCGTCCTTTTGACAGGCCTGCCGCCCGACGATTTTTGCATTGGCGAGATACTGGCGTGACGTAGTATTCTCACTCACTATTTGAACATACATATCTGCAGAAGGTGTGAGATGATTTCAAGAAAGACCAAAATTCGTATTGTCATTGATGTGAAGTCTTTAAACTATGCTGAGACTGAAAAAAAAAAAAAAAAAAAACAGAGCTTCTGCGCCTGTGATAGCCGGCTATGGGCTCGTAGCTGAGTTTTTAAGAAGGTTGATTTCGCCCGGCGGGTTCTGGAGAGGTTACGAGGCTGGCCACAACACCCAAACCGTTGAATGAGAAGAGGTTCTTGACTCGGCTGGCGATGGCGACGATAGACCCAGTGCCGTCGCATTCTCAATCAGCAGGTAGAGTTGCTATGAAGTAATGGCTGATAAGTCTTGGCGATCAAGCTCGTCTACTATTTGGGAATCTGTGAAGAGAAAATTCAAGTAGCAAGGCTTCTCAGTGTCGTATTAATATTGCAAATGCTGTGAAAGCTCTAAGCTGATCTCACGATAGTCCGATAATGCGTTATTCGGATTCACAAGCAAAAGCTTGCGTCATGTTCTAGATAGAATCTCCGATAAGGCCCAGAAAACAACGAGCATTACAGCGGTTAATTATGCAATAGTGTAAGAAGAGGGCGACTTTAGAGGCTAGAGAGGATAATTTTTACAACTAGTAATCCGGGCCAGGATAAGTGAAAGAACACAGGACAGAGAAATAACTCATCTCTCGTAACGACATGGGTATCAAGCTGACTAAGGGCTTAGCAGAGACAGGTCCTTTGTGACACACTTCAAGCACAAACCAAGTGGCCGAGATGCTTGCTACCAGTGGTGATATTAGGGCACTAGCACACTCCCAAATAACTCTATTTTGCCGATTTATCCTGAAGGTCCACTAGCTGTCGTTGCAACTTCCTCTTTCGGGTAGGCCACGTCAATGCTAACGACAACAACAGACTAAACTCCAACTACTTGAGCTTCGAGTGCCTCACTTACAGAGGACAGGTTTTGAAGGCTTTCATTAAAACCAGTCTTACGAAAAGAACACCGAAGACTTTCCTCCAAAATGCAACTTCCTCCACATCCAATACTTTCACTCCAACTCACACCCAGCTTCGATTCAGAAGAGGTCAAGAGTCTTGCCGTATCATTTCGCGTGCAGAACCCTGTTGCCGAAGCTGATCAGCCTATCTTCTCATTCTACCCTTTCAAAGACAACGTCCCAGCTCATCCGTTCCGGGAGAGCGACATCACTGCTACCGACGATGCGGGGTCTCTATCCATTCACTTCCGTGAGGTGCCCTCCGAAGGTCGCAATACCCAGCAACATTGGTATTTCGACAGAAAAACACAAGGCGATGTTATTCTGCATTATGAAGTGTTTCCCCGCCACGTCGATGTAACGACCCCTTTGGGCGCTCGTATCGATCTACGACGAGATCAGGGCGGAGTTCACGGGGTTGGTCAGTGGTTTTTGCCTTTGTTGATATCCGACAAAGTTTTCACCAACGTGGTCAGGTGGAAGTTACCGGTTGATGCGCCTGAGACAACACGATGTGTTTGGAGTTATGGAGAAGGCACCAAAGCTATCGTTCGTATCGGCTCATCCGAGACTCTCTGGAATACTGTCTACATGGTTGGGCCGGTTCAATGCTACCCCGAGGTTCCTCCAGATAGTGATGAGGGATTCGCAGCCTGTTACTGGTTTGGGGAATTGCCGGAAAATCTCGACCAACTGAAAGGTTACAACACCGCCTTGTTTCCAAAACTCGCTACCTTTTTCGAGTCCCCGGGAGAATCATATCGCATCTTCATCCGCAAGTCGCCAGTGGGATTCGGCGGCAGTGGTTTTGATGCAAGTTATGTCTTGGAATATGACAACGCCACCAAGAATGAGACGGAAGATTCTCTCGTCCTACTCTTCACCCATGAAATGGTCCACAGCTTTGCTAACATAAGTCCCGAAGAGGACGGTTACGAGAATGAGTGGTTCATTGAAGGTTTGTCTTGCCCATATTTTATACTAAACGTTTCACCTAATTTGACTGACACAATGACTTGAATAGGTATTGCAGAGTACTATAGCTCCTTTCTCCCATATCGCTTCGGATTCCGAGGAAAGGACTTTCTCATCCACAGTCTCAATGTCCACCTTCAGGGATACTACACTAGCCCGCGGATTACTATCGACGTGCAGGATGCAGCAAAGATCATGTTCACTGACTGGTACGCGGAATGGATATCGTACAAGCGCGGGTTCGCCTACCTACTCTTCATCGATCTCTCCTTGCGGAAACATTGCGGCCGTCACGACATCTCAAAAAGTGGACCACTCGACGAAATAGTAGTCGACTTGTCGAAAAGATACAGACAGGGCGAGACTGTACGCTCTGCGCAATGGCTTGAAAGCCTGCGAAAATACTTCGGGGAAAACGGATTTCAACTCGCTAAGCAATACGAGGACATGCTTCGCGGTCGTCTTATCATGGACTTCAGCGGGCTGTTCCTCGAGCAAGCGTCAAAACCACTCAAAGCCTGCCAGCTTCCAATCATTCAATACGGCTTCGATCGAAGAAGCGTTTCCACGCGCATCGTAACAGGTGTAATAGAAAACTCGCCAGCGGCTGCTGCTGGCTTATGGGATGGCGCACACATTATCTCCACGTCAAGAGCGAGTCTTTGTATGGACGACATGAGTAACAAGTACAAATTAGTCGTTCAAGACGGTGACCAGGAGCGGACTATAGAGTATATCCCGCGTCTGAAGCAGACAGCTGGGGCTTGGCAGCTGGAGGAATAACCGCACAAGGCAGGGCAAGTTTGAGAGACGAATGCCGATATAGATGTTATCTAATCAAGTGTAATTATTCAATCAAAATTTAATTTAAGGAATTCCATTGAACACGTTTATAAATACTCCGATAATTCTTGCTTGGACTGGAGCTGGGGGCAAAGGGAAAAACCAGATCATCGTTCTTAGCCCGGTAACTTTTCCCATTTCATACCTATTGCCCCGATGATCGAGATTACCGCCACTGCCATGGGTACGCGGAACGTTTCTTGGAGAGCTTTGTTATAAGCCTCAACAACAGCATCAAGCAGATCTGCTGGAATCATCTCTTTCAGATTTGTAGCACCCATATCCGCAACTGTCTTCCCATCAAGACCTCCTGTGCCGTGTAGATGTTTCGTGAGGCCGTTGGCAAAAACTGAATTGGCAACCGACATAAGTATGGCTGGCCCCAGATTTTGAAACAACGTGACAGCTGCGGTACCTGCAGGTATGTCTGGAAGTGCGAGTGTTGACTGGACGCCCATCATTGGCTGCTGAGTTCCGGTACCAAGCCCGATGCCAGCGATGATAGGATAAGTGATCCATTTGGATGGGCCTGTGTTTATTTCGAATGTTGTCATAAGTCCAAGACCAATAGATGCCACGACTGTAGCAATGACCATGAAAGGGTTGTACCAGCCGGTGAATGTTACGAGGTAACCGGCACAGAAGGCGGCGACAACCTCTCCGCCAACATAGGGCACAAGCTTGACACCAGACTCCCTTGCCGAGTTGTTCTTGATCGCCTGAAACCAAATTGGCAACCAAATGTCGGCCGTGTAGTAGGCGGCATCGATGCAGGCAGCGTAAAAACAGGCAAATGCGACATTTCGCATTTTCATCAGACGAGGAGGAAGGGCGGCTTTGTCACCCTTCCATATCTGCACGACAATGAATGCGATCAACAGAGCAGCGAAAAGCACCAGGAGAGCAATCATAGGGCCGCTACCCCATGCATACTCTGAGCCACCCCATTGCAATGCTAGGAGTAGGCAAATCATGCAGGCAAAGAAGATGGTCAGACCAAGAACATCGAACTCTTTCAGCTTCTGTTTCAAGGTCTTATTGGCATCCTGGTCTGACTGATTCGGCGGCCTAAAGGAGAAGAGAATCAGAGCTAGAGTTGCAATTCCGATTGGAATACTGATGTAGAAAGCCCAACGCCATGAGAGATGACTATCAGTTAGAGCTCCTGAGATTAATGGTCCGATGATGCCACCGACGCCAGAGAATGCGCCTAAAAATCCCGTGTAGACTGCACGTTGACGGATCGGCACAGAATGAGCGAGGACAACCCAGGCACCGATGATGATGCCGCTGCAGCCAATTCCGGTGATGGCACGTCCGATGATAAAAGCAATGGAGTTCGGAGCGCTTCCACAAACTGCGAGGCCAATTTCTCTGAAGGTAATGGCTACCATGAATGTCCACTTTAGGGAGAAGAGCTCATAGCATTTTCCATACACCAGTTGAAAGGAGCAAAGCTGAGGCCAAATTAGTGACAGCTCCACAAAATCCAAAGAACCTAGAGTGACTTACGCTCAACATGTATGCGGAACCGTACCAACCGACATGTTGCAATGAGTTGAATTGATTCGTGATTGCTGGAATGGCGGTTGCAATAAGAGTCATGTCGAGAAACACCAGAAACACAGCCATGGCCAGTCCCAGAATAATGAGAGCCAGCCGGACTCCTTTCGGATACTCAACATTATGGTCATCTGCATCTCCAGCTTCTTCGGCCTCTTTGACCTCTTTGACGTTATTGAGAATGATCTCGGCTTTCTCGTCAGCTACCACTTCACCGCTTGTAGGAGTGCTATCAGAGCTTCTGGGGGATGACCGGAGAACGTTCTTCCCATCGTCGGCTGATGGCGCCGCTGAGAATTCAGAAGAAGCCATGATAAGATTTACCAGATTGTCTCCGAAGTGCTGCTCTTCGAAGGCAACCGGAATTTCTGTGCAGAAATGTATACGGATCGCGAAGTGATATCAGTAAGCCCCAAGTAACCAAACTCGTCATATTTTCCGAGTGCCTGAGATTCATAAGCGATGTCAGCTTCCCGTATTGTAAGAATTTAGACGGGGAAGAGTGTAAGCTTGTTATCTAAGTGGCGATAAATCATTGCAAGGGGTAACAACCAGGTGAAAATAGGATTTTGCACCTCGGCCCTTTTCGAGTTGGTGTACCGGCATGATGAACCAAGTCGGAAATGCGGCCAAGGCGAACCGTAAGGCAAGAATCCCAAGATTCTCTATTGCCCCTGCATTTGGTTCATCGCTCTAGTCAGAAATCGGAAAGGTCAAGTCTAGTAAGAGTAACGCCCGGGCGGATCTGTTCCAGGGGTCATTTCGAGAACGAGAACGTCGCATCACTTTGTGTAACTCATGAACGAACCATCAGCAGCCTTGAAGAAATATCACTTGATGTGACTGATCCAATGCCATGAGACAATGAGGCTCTTGGCAGCGATCCTTCTGCCCAGAACTCTGGATCAACCCTGCGAATCCCCCATAGCCCTGTTGAAAGTAGTCACAACCCCAGGAAGAAAGATGCCGAAAGAGGAAGCTGGAATTCGACGGCCCCATATCTTTTGCCAAGCTTTGCGATTACGAGTTCACTCTGTAGCGGCCAGAACCTTTGTTCATCATCCAGGCGATTGGTAGGATCGGACCGCTGGGGTAGGCGAGGGTGACATTCTTAGGACCTTCCAGAGAAAGGAAAGGCGTAAATTATAGGTCACACAATCACTCAATCCTTCCATTCTTGTCATCTGGGATCATTGGACAGGGTTAACTACAGTTTTCTTATGGCTCCTCGAAAGCAGGAAGAAGACTGGGCGGGCTTATCTAGGAATCAAAGACATTGAACCCATATACACATCAGAACTAGCGGCAGTGGTACATTATTCTAGCATATTCTCCAAACCCATCAATTTTGACATTGACATCATCCCAAAACGTGCACATGTGCCCCGTTTGAGACATCGGTAGGCTAGCTCGTGGAGTAGTACATCATTAATTTCTTACTCGTCCTGAAGAATAATCGCGAAAAATTGAAACATAATCAGTAGTGCTATCATAATATCATTCTGCTAACCTTGATTTTGTCGCCTCACCTGACATTTGTAACTTTGTTTGTTCAAAGGGATCGCTATCCTTACCTTCCCCCTGACGAATTGTAATAGCTTTACCCCTTTGGCAACTCTTGTACGTAGTGCCTGTATTCGTGAATTCCTTCGGTCGGTTTTCTTGTCTTGTATCGCCTTCGTTTGGTAAAGTCTGGTCACTTGATACCAGGCCGATGCGCCCGGGGCTTCCCCGATGCTGACGATGACCCGAGACTAGCACATTGCCGTGACAAAGTATCTTGTCTCTAACCTTCTCACGGATTGATGATGGCTGCCTGGTTCTGCCAAATCCTTGAACATAACCACAAGAGTAGCTTGTAGCCTTGGCGGTCTTCATGTGCCTGGGCCTTGAACCAGGGAAAATGCCTTGCTCATCACCACCACCATTACGAGAATCACATCACTCCGGGATGTGGCGAAGTGATTTGATCACATCAATCATCGAATGAAAAGTTTTCTTCAACTAGGGCAGAATCCTACGAGGGTGAGTGGAATCGTCCCATGGGGCAAAACCATGGTGCAAAATCGCGGCCTCCAAATTCCAGCATGGTCTTTGCCGAGAACGAACTTAACCTTACGAAGCTTAGGATTGTGCTGCAAAGATGCCTCCAATATGTCGCAAGCTACGGGCATTGCCTACATAAGTCAAATCTCTGTATTTAATTTGTCCCTGGGAACAAATCTTGCAGCTGGAGTTAGATCTATACGTTTCCCAGCAGCTTGACGAATAAACGCAACACAGGAAGAGCCATGTCAAACTACAATCAGACCCTCGCCCGTAGTACCAAAACTGCTGAAACCCTATTCTTCCATTATCAGCAGTTTCAAGCCCTTCGGCAACAAGCCCAATGCTCTGGCGCTTCGATTATTCGACTCTCCTGCATCATAGCTTTAGGGGCATACTCATCCACCGATCTATTTACTCTGTCATGCCAAGGCCGAGATAGAACATGGTCCTGCTGCAATACCCAGTTGCTTCGAAGCGACAGGGTTTTATCCGTTCTTCGGGATTCCGAGGCTGTTAACCCAAAAGCCAACGAACCGCAATCAGAATCATGCCAGCAATTCGCCCTATCAACATTAGCACTAGAAGAAGACCTACACATCTTTGAAGATATTCCTTCCCTCCATATTTTGAACGATGTCTTTCCCGAGGTGAGCTCACATGATGTCAACATTTTGTGACGTCACTCTCTAAATACTTGTGCCGCTATATCTTTCCTATGGTCATGGTCGACTAACCAGTTTATAGATGGAATTGCTTTTCACAGCAAAGTGGGATCCTTTTGCCCAGGGAATTCTTTTGCGATGTGAATACTCTGAAGCGAAACATTCAAATTGGCACGTGAAACGCATCCTGGCTACAATTCTTCAAGTCCTCGAATGCATCGTCTCACAACCACACACGCGCCTGAGTGACTTGGAGCTTATGAACGAAAGAGACTACCAAGAATGCAATGCTTGGAACCGAATCGTTCCTCAGAACGTAGAAAAGCCTGTTCAGGAATTGATTGCAGAGCATGTTCACGCAGCACCTTTGAACCCCGCCGTTGATGCGTGGGACGGGAAGCTTTCGTACGCCGAGCTGGACGATGCCTCAACGAAGGTTGCTCATCACCTCGTCCAAATGGGCGTTGGTCCCGAGTCTACAGTCCCTCTGTTCTTCGATAAGAGCATATGGAACATTGTAGCTACTGTTGGCGTTTTGAAGGCTGGTGGCGCATTTGTGCCCCTTGATCCTTCACAGCCTGACAGCCGGATCTCACACATCTTGAAGCAAGTTCAAGCAAATGTCATTCTGAGTTCAGAAACTCACAGGGAAAGGCTAATCGCACTTTCAGACGTTGTTCTCTGTTTAGACAAATCATGGCTCGAATCTACGCCCAGTCCTTTAGGCTGGAGTCTCACGTCAGTGAGACCCTGGAACCTGGCTTACATTATCTTTACATCCGGAAGTACAGGGGAGCCTAAAGGCGTGATGATCGAGCATTCAGCCTGCTCGGCTAGCATTGTCGCTCATGGTCGTGCAACTGGTTTCAACAAGAACACGAGAGCTGTTCAATATGCACGCCACACTTTTGACGCGTCAATCGCCGAAATTCTTACTACTTTAGCCTTTGGTGGTTGTGTGGTGGTGCCTTCGGAAGACGAACGGATGAACAACATCAGCGCCATCATTCAAAGAAAACAAGTCAACTGGGCATTCTTCACGCCTTCACTGATTCGACTATTGGATCCATATGAGTTACCTGGGCTGAGAACCGTCGTTCTTGGCGGAGAAGCCGTCGGCCAGGACAACATCGAGAAGTGGGCACCACGGCGTAACCTCGTCATCGCATATGGTCCTACTGAGAACACCGTATTCTCAACCATGTATAGAGCTTCTCCAACTGAGAAGGCTAATATCATTGGACGTGGTCTCGGAACTTTATGCTGGATTGCCGATCCGGATGATCCCACTCGTCTCTCCCCGCTTGGCTCCATTGGAGAGTTGTTGTTAGAAAGCCCCCAACTGGCAAGGGGCTACTTGAACTTTGCGGAAAATGAAGGACCTAACAAAGCCTTCATTCGAGATCCTCCGTGGCTTACCAAGAATGGTCGACGGGCAAGGCTTTACCGCACCGGAGATTTGTGCCGCTTCGACGAAAATGGTGTCATCCACTTCGAGGGCCGAAAAGATACACAACTGAAGATATCTGGCCAGCGATTGGAAGCGGCTGAAGTCGAACACCACCTTCGTGCGGCTTTTGGTACGAACGACATTGTGGTGGATGTGTTGAAGCGACCAAACCATGGATCGGAACAGCAATCCAAAGTTCTTGTTGCTTTCGTGTGCTTGGAGAAGCCTATCTCAGACTGCCAAAGCAGGGAAAACTACATAATGCCCCGCCAACTTCCGGCGCTTCAAGAAAGGATCCCTACGGTGGAAAATGAAATTTCAAAGAGACTTCCATCTTGGATGTGGCCTTCGGTCTATATCCCTTTGATCAGTCTGCCCCTGAGTCCAAACGGCAAAGCGGACGTCAAGAGGCTACGCCAAGAAGCCAGCGGCTTAACTCCCGAGCAGTTCTACTCATACACTCAAATAACAACTCCTGCAGTGGACGGAAATCAAAGACAAGAAAATGTAGAGACAGAACGACAGAGTTTAATGAGAGGGCTTTGGGGTGAAATCCTCGGAGTCCCTAAAGACACAATTTCAACAAACAGCAACTTTTTTCGCCTTGGAGGGGACTCATTGGCTGCTATAGGTTTAGCCGCAACAGCGAGAAGAAAAGGCTTGCACCTGGACTATGCGCAAATCTTTAACAATCCCATCCTCAACGACCTTTGCCAGCTTCCCCTAGTGGAGGCCAAGAGAAAGGCTGCCTCTGTGAGGCCATTGACGCTCCTCGGCGAAAACGCAAGGATTCTCAATGAGGTAGCAGAAGATTGTTCCATCTCTATTGAAGATATCGAGGATGTATTCCCTTGCACCTCACTACAAGAAGGTCTCATGGCTCTGTCTTCCACCACAGAAAATTCCTTTTTAGCCCAATACATTCTTCACCTTCCCGTCAACACTGACGTGGCGAGGCTGAAAATGGCATGGGAGACGGTCGCAAAGGCGTATGGTATCCTACGCACTCGGTTGGTCGATACGTCAGCAGCCGGCATTCAGCAAGTGGTTGTCCAAGAACGTCTGGCTTGGAATGAAAGCTTCAACCTTGACGAATATCTTGAGATGGACCTAAAGCAGCCATCAAGTTTCGGGGCTCCACTCAATCGATTCGGTATCGTCTACGACGCAAGTGGTAATGCCTCGCGGATGGTTTGGACGGTCCATCATGCCATAACGGACGGTCATTCAGTTGGCGTCACTCTTCGAGCAGTCCGCGATGCCTTCCAAGGGGCTTTGAGGCCATCAGAAACGTCCTTTTCATCATTTATCCAATATTGCAAGAGTATGGATATGGAAGCAGCCACTAAGTATTGGGAGTCTATCTTTCAAGATGTGGACTGCGAACCATTCCCAAAAAGACCACCCACTACTACTCGCACATCTTCGAATCAAGGGTCAGCATTTGTCCGCCGAAAGGTTCCTGTTCCATCATCTGAAACGGGGGCAACTACAACAACCATTCTTCGTGCTGCCTGGGCGTTAGTAGTCAGTCGTTTCAGCGGGTCAAAGTACGCAGTTTTTGGTGTTACTTCATCTGGGCGAAATGCCTCGTTTGATGGCATTGAAGCTGTTCCTGGTCCAACCATTGCGACAGTGCCCCTGAGAGTCAACTGTGACGAGAAAAAATTCGCCCAGGACTTGCTTGAGAGCCTTCAGATGAACTCGGTCAACATGATTCCCTTTGAGCAGATCGGAGTGCAGAACATTGCTCGCATAAGTCCTACCTGTCAGGCAGCTTGCGAATTCCAGAGCATGATAATCGTTCAGCCAGAAGTGGATATGGCAACAGACGGCGCTCCATTCACTGCTTTCGACAGACCACAAGATCTTGACAAGTTCAACTCGTACGCGATCATGGTAGAGTGCACTCTTCAAAAGGATGCCGTCCTCCTGAATGTGAACTATGACATCGAGTATCTGGACTCTCTGCAGATGGAGCGACTCTTGGACTACTTCGAAAATGCGCTAGCGTTTTTAGTTTCCAGCGAAGCTCACTGCATCGAGGAGCTCACAAGGCAGCCAACTATTCAAGACTTGATCCAGCTTCGAGAGTGGAACAATTTGCTTCCTGAAACAGTTGAGGCATGCGTTCACCACCAGTTCGAAGAACACGCCACAACTCGGCCCACTGCACAAGCCGTTTTTGCTTGGGACGGCTGCCTCAGCTTTTCAGAACTGGATAGAAGGGCTTCACAGCTAGCTCAAGTTCTTGTGGAGTCGGGCGTTGACCTGGAAAAGAAGGTGGCGTACTGCTTCGAAAAGTCCATGTACACTGTCATTTCGATGCTCGCTATTCTCAAAGCCGGAGGCACGATGGTTCCACTTGATCCCGCTCATCCACCAGAGCGTAAGTCTTTTATCATTCGAAGCATCAATGCCGACGTTGTTTTGGCTTCAACTACCAGCGCGGCCTTTTTTCACAACATGGATGTTCCAGTGGTTGTCGTTAATTCAGCGCTTTTCTCTAAGCTTGACGAAACTCAAGCTATGTTGTTTTCAAGCACAAGAGTTCAGCCGCATAATGCAGCAACAGTGCTCTTTACGTCGGGAAGTACTGGAGCACCTAAAGGCGTTGTTCAAGAACACAAGACGCTTTGTTCTGCAGCGAAAGCTCATTCCGAAGGCATGCAAATGTTCAAGGGGTCTAGAATCCTCCAATTTTCGGCTCATGTTTTCGATGTCAGTGTAATCGAGATCGTCAATGCCCTCATTCTAGGAGCTTGTATCTGCATACCTTCAGAAGAAGACCGGACCAGTGATCTTGCTGGTTTCGTCTCAAGGTCGGAGGCCAACTGGGCTTTCTTGACTCCTTCTTTCGCACGGACACTTGATCCCACGACGCTGCCTAGCTTAAAGACCGTCTGTATGGGCGGCGAAGCCATGACCTTGGATAATATCCAGACATGGGCTGGCAATGTACAACTGATCAACAGCTACGGCCCTTGCGAAGGCAGCGTATGTACGGTGGCTAATTTAAGCAAGGGGCAGTTCAGTGCGGACAGCATTGGACAAGGGTTGAACTGTCTTGTTTGGATTGTCGACCCCAACAATCATGATAAGCTCCTCCCAATCGGCAGCATCGGCGAGATTCTGATTGAAGGTCCGAACATAGCACGTGGCTATCTTGGTGACGCGGAGAAAACGAACAAAGCATTCATCACCAATCCAGCATGGATGGCTAACTTCGAAACCAACGGTACCGATAGAAGGATGTACAAGACCGGAGACCTTGGGAGGTTCAATTCTGACGGCTCGATATCTTACCTCGGACGCAAGGACACCCAGATCAAACTCCGTGGACAAAGAATTGAGCCTGGAGAAATTGAGTATCAGATCATCAACAGTCTTCCTAACGGCTCTAGCGCCGCTGTTGACGCTTTATTGCTTCCCGGATCCCATACCAAGTCTTTGGTTGCTTTCATTCAGCTTCAGGGTCAAGAGGCTACAGATGGCTTGGCGAGTCGCCTCAAACTGCAGCTTTCATCTGTGCTTCCGGCTTATATGGTTCCTTCTCATTTTCTCTTTGTTGATACTATCCCGTTTGGCCCAACCGGGAAGCTTGACCGACGACGACTAGAAGCATATGCTTCGACACTGAATGCCTCGGAAGAACCAACGACTGCCTCTGCAGATGAAAGACAAAATGACGTTGAAGACGCCAACGTCTTGAGAGCTGATGAAGAAATCGCCTTGGCTATCAGCAGCAAGTTGACTGATTTGCTATCCGGGCCAGGCGATGCTCGGCGAATGGAGAAATTGCGTGGGCGCAATTTCAACCCCTTTTATGCTGGCATGGACTCCATCCAAGTCATTTCTCTATCAACATTTGTTCGAAAAACCTACAACGTCAGTCTGCCAGTTCAAAAGTACATGAACAGTGCAGCGACGATAAGAGATATTGCGAAGTGGATCGCCGAGGATCGTCATGTCACCCAACATGAAGATGGAGTAGATCTCCTTCGCGAGATTGACATTTACGACGAGAGCCTCGCATCCCTCCACCCACAAAGCTTAACTCATCCGCCGATCACAAAAACACCACAGATCATCTTTTTGACAGGCGCGACTGGATTTCTCGGAAATGCGCTCCTGGCTCAACTCCTAAAGCGGCCAGAAACACGAAAGGTCATCGCTCTGGTCAGAGGTACGAATGTCGCACACGCTAACGAGAGACTCTTTTCTTCCGTTCGTGGAAGCAGTTGGTGGAATGAGGCCTATGCAAGCCGGCTAGAAGTTTGGCACGGTGACCTTTCGCTGCCAAAGCTTGGCCTAAAGGGGTCACAATGGTCACGACTTGATGGTTCAAGCGCCGATGGTGACTTGGTTGAGGCTGTGGTTCACAACGGGGCAGTTGTGAACTGGATGGCGGATTATTCGGCCCTGACGTCGGCTAACATCCTCTCAACTGTAAATCTCTTAACAGCTGTCTCGCAAGCTACTGCAACTCGACCGATACGTTTCACGTATGTATCAGGAGGCCATCTCTCGACTTTACCGGATAACGTCCATGAGATTGCTCAGGAGCTCAAAACATACCCTGCGTACAGCCAGACAAAATTCGTCGCCGAGGTTCTTGTGGAACGCTATGCCAACCGGCTTGCTCAAGCAGGCTGCGAGTTTCTTGTCACGATTGTGAAGCCTGGCTTGATCATGGGAAGCTCGTCCGATGGCATTTCCAACACGGATGACTTTCTTTGGCGCGTGACTGCCAGCGCGTTGGATATTGGAGTGTGTCCTAACGACCAACAAGATCTATGGATTGCCGCAGCCGGAGTTGATCTTGTTGCCCAAATTACTCTTGACGACTGTTTCCGAAAAACAGCGGATGGGAAGCACCAGGTCGTCAAGAAGATATTAAATGGTATAACCATGGAAGAATACTGGGACATTGTTGCCCAAGAGACTAGACAGATGACTAGGCCTACCAATACCGAGGATTGGTTACGCACATTGAGGGGTGATGTGGAGAGTAAAGGATCTGGTCACTATTTGTGGCCAGTTATGCATTTCCTCGAGGACAAGGGTGGTAAGCTCGGTCAGCCCATCGGGCAAATGACTTCGGACGACCAGCTTGAGCACAAAGATGCGGTAGAGAAGGCACTGCGAAGAAGTCTGCAGTATTTAGTCGCCATCGGATACATAAACTCGAGTCGGGCGAGCAGCGAAGACGGCGACAGCACAAGTGAGCCCACTCTTCTAGTTCCTGGTTCGGTTGTCTTTTCTCGAACACCGACGACACCGGTATGGGACCAAGCAGCGGACTCCAAGCGTCTGGGATATGGAGGAGACAGCGATGGCCTAAAACCGGCTGTGTCAATCTCAATCACACCGCTGCGGTCTCCGAGTCCCTTGGCGGAAACTAGGAGAGCGCATTGAGGTTTAATTGTTGGTGGGATGATGGCAGGAGCGAAGCGCTTGAAGGCTAGCTTTGACTCGCGATTTTCCATCTTGGCACATTTCTTCAGTTCCAGTTTTATAATCTTCGTTTTAGGGAATATAATTGAGTGACGATTGATGGAATTAGAGTTGTGGATCAGTACTTCATTTGTGTGGAAAGTGCTTCCTCTTGGGGAGACTAATCGCGCCGCTGTGTGATACATAAATCAGACAGACTATAACCCCCAGCGGTATCTGGTGTTTCAGTACAAAAAAAAAATTAATCTTGGTGTTTAGTTAAGTTCCAATGGAGTGTGATTTGTTCTGGAGACATCGTACTGCCATAGATTGCTGGGGCCTCAATATGACCAGATACTACCACCTACAACCCAAGTTTGGAAGTTGCCTAAGTTGGAGGTTGAGACAAGCGCACGTTGCCAAACTTACCAAGTCTCGCCGAGTTCGCAATCTATTTAACTTTCGGGCGACTTAGCCCAGGGGCCCATGTTCTGGTTTACTGGTGAGAAAGGGTGGAGCAATTGGCTGGCTTCGGCATCCCGACACATCCCGTTGAACAGTGGCGGAACAAGCCTGGGTTCCATTGGCGGAGTGGATTATCTGATATGTAATCCAAATTTGAAGCGGTGTCTTGGCATAGAACAATAACGGTCGATACTGTTGTCCGCTCGAGATCCTGATTATTAACCATCTCTTTCTGTAGCGAACCTATTTCGCTTCTCGGCCACGGGGTCACTCTGATCCCCGAGTCATATATATCAATCTGGATCCACCAGTCAGCCTCATAGCCATGACTCCAGACCCAGAAGACTAAAGAGGTATTGATCAGGCTGACAGGCTGACACCGGCACCATGGCGCTGGTTTCCAAAAGTTGAGATGTCAGCATGCTACAGAGATCGTCCAAGCATGGTCGTTCCTAACGCACATCCTTATGATGGGCAGAATTTAGGTGAAACCATGTGGTGCCAAAGACCGCACCCCACATGATAAAACCCACATCGCCCGTCAAGATCCCACTCTAATCTCTACAATTTATTATACTTTTTGATGTTGAAGCTCCTCAGTGTTGAGTCTAATAATTAAGATGAGTCGATGCTACTCGGGTGAACCATGGAACCCATACGATGTATAGTCGCTTGAGAGCGTGTACCGAGTTTTAATCCACGACTACATGCGTCGAGGGGGCTTTGATGAATAGTGATCAATGGGACTCTTGCCGGTTGAGAACAGTTGTCCGTTGGGCTGCGGGTATAAAAGGTGTCCGACAGCACGCAAGAGGGCGAGAAACTGACACATTCATCACTTAACACGCATCTAAACATTCATTATCCCATTCACGGCCACTACATCAATCATCAACCATGCAGCTCAACTTCTTCGTCGTCCTTGCTGCCGTCTCGGCTGTTATGGCCGCCCCCAACCCCGTTCCTCAGACCTCTTGCAGCATTGCAAAGGTCAACGAGTGCATTAAGCAGGTATGTCAAGCCCATAGCTTCTTTGCCGTAACTCCACTACACTTTGATATGTAGCAGTAAACATTTACTGACTCTTGGGTTGATAGTGCGGTGGCGGTTCCTATGACTGCTTCAACAACACCTGCTTCTGCCCCTAAGCGGCCTGTCGCCTGCGATCACGCTGGCCGTTCTTCATTTCGTCAAGCATGTAGTTACATTCTCTGTACAATATCCAACGGCATGTTGTATCATAGATTTTCGTTAACGTAAATGTACATAACAATGGGCTAAACTTTACTTGTGCTCTTACTCTGATCCCATATACATGCTGTCTCCATACTCTAAAAAACAAATCTCTCGTGCCTGATACATATGCAACAACATGCCCCTTTTACAGCTTACTCTTCTCAGAGATGAGCGTGTAGGATTTGGGCAATGATTCTAACAAGTCCTTGTTGATATCCCCAACCTTTTGGATACCCGCCACATTCATAAGAATGTCCAAGTCAGCCAACAAGCCCCGGAGCACATGCCGGACCCCATGTTCGCCCATGATACTCAGCCCCCAGATCCAAAGCCGTCCAACAAAGACAAACTTGGCCCCCAAAGCAAGCGCCTTGACAATGTCCGCCGCGCCCCTCACTCCACTGTCGAACGTCACCACTATCCGGTCGCCCACCTTCTCCGCAATCTTCTCCAACGCATCGAGACTGCCGATGGCCCCGTCCACCTGCCGTCCCGCATGGTTGCTGACAACGATGCCCTCGAACCCCAGATCCGCCGCCTTTTCCGCGTCGTCAACCCGCTGGATACCCTTGATCAGGAACGGCTTGCCCCCGCTGATCTCCTGCCACCTCTCCCGCGCCCACGCAGCCTTCTCCCAGTCCCACGCGCGCCCATGCCAGACGCTATCGATCCACATCGCGGCGGCCTGCTCGGGCTGCCTCTGCGGGTCGATCCCGTTTTCGGCGAGACGTTTCTGGAACACGGGGTCGGTGAGCCCCAGGTCCGCGCCGATGCCGCGGTAAAAAGCGTAATTCGACGTCGCGACGTCGTCGTGTCGCCAGCCCAGCTGCCACGTGTCCGTGGTGAGCATGCACGCCGTGAACCCGCTGTCGTGGGCCCTCTTCAGCAGCGAGATCGTAAGCTCGTCGTCGTGGGGCATGTAAAGCTGGAAGAAACGCGGCCCGGGCGGGATCTTGGATTTGTCCGCCGACTGAGCGTCGATCTTCGTAGACTCACGACCCGCGTCGTTGGCACGGCCGACGTCCTCGATGGGGTACGACCCTGCCGTCGACAGACTGTAAGGGATACCCAGCTCTCCGGCCACTTTTGCGACGGGAAGCTCGCCTTGCGGGTGGTAGATCTTGTTGATACCGATCGGGGCGATGCCGAACGGTGCAGAGACCTCGTGGCCGAAGATGGTGGTGCGGGTAGAGCGCTCGTTGGTGTCTACCAGCTGACGGGGCACGATCTTGTGGCGGAAGAAGGCCTGGCGGTTTGCCTGGTGCGTGTGGGAAAGTCCTGCGTTTGAAGATGCGTAGTACCTGGGGCTTGTTTAGAGTATTTCTTACATGTAAATCCTGGAGTAGATGATGCTATACCAGCCGTTTTGTGTAAGTTTCTTCTTTGCGAGCTTCTCAAGTTCGTCCGGATCTAACTCTCGTCAGTCATTGGAAGATTGGATACTATAACTATTGAACCTACGAGTATTGAACAATGGAACCTCGCCATCGTTCAATTTCCAAAAGTTCTCCCGCTGATAGAGGCCCCATGGTGGGGTGTCGCGGTTCTTGATGTGTGGGGATTTGGGGTCTGCCATTTTCGTAGGATCACAATGTCTTTCTGTATATCTTGATGAGACCTGGTGAGTGCAGTCAAGTGTGTTTCCTCTTCCAAGAAATCCAGAACTCCGTGTACTCGAAGCTCGCTTTTGATATGATCGCGTCCGTGGGCAAACTCAGTGGTCACAGATCAACAAGCTCATGACGTAACCGATAGCTCATGAACGGGAACTACGCCATAGTTTCCACAGAACCCGGCCGTCTGTGCCGGGGCGTCTAAAGCTTCGCGGGCTCTGGGGAATATCATTTTTCACGACATTTCCATAAGTTGATGACTTAGCTTACAATACCTCGGTGGCCTGTTGGCAAGTGGTGACCTAACCCATGCTCAAGTGAACCAACCCTCCGGGCTGTGGTGACGAGGGAGATGATCGCCCAATGTAACCGAAGCATTCACACGGCAGTTTCGCTCACTACAATTCTCATCTTTTAATTTCAATAATTGCATCATCATTCATATGAATCGATATCGGCTAATAACAGAAAGATATTTCATCCAACAATACACCTGACTCAGGGGCATTCTGATCTCTTAACATACATCCATCCAATGGGACTCGGAGGTACATATAGTGACAGGAAATAAAAAAGACAATGCCGCATCCAGATTAGAGACGAGAGTTGAGCACGAACTCTCCGGGCGCGTGGTAGTTGGGTACCTTCATCTCCAGAGCGGCGCCGGAGTATCCGAGGTCCTCGGCGACGAGCATGGCGGCCTTCTCGCCGATGAGAAGGGCGGTCGAGTACGTGTTGCATCCAACGTTGTCGGGGCAGATACTCAGGTCGGCAACCTTGAGTCCCTTGACGCCGTGGACGTTCAGGCGCTCGTCCAAGACACCGTGCTTGACGATGCTGTTGCCCTCCTTGGGAGCCATGGAGCAGGTCTATTAGTCGGTTGGTTAGCTTCGCTTCAACCCACAGACGTTAGTGAATGCACAGAGTTCTACTTACTCCGAGAGAGTGCCAGGTGGTCTCCACGTGGCGCTTGACCCATTCCTCAACGGCCTTGATGTCCTCTGAGCTGTACTTGAGCTCGTCGCGGACGTCGACACGGTTGCTAGAAACGGTCTTCTTGATGTCGCACTTCTTCTCCGCTTCGTTAAGCGGCTGCGTCCAGCTACCGTGCTGGATACCGGCGGTCAGGTTGCCGGGCAGGGCGTATTGATTCGTGGTTGGGAGGTCCAGATCTCTGGCGCGGGCGTCGGAGTCGTAGGCGAAGGTGGGGTGCATGTTTGCGACCTCTCCAGCGTATGCGTCCATGCGGCGGGCCGTCTCGCGAGACTTGATGTAGCCCCAAACCATGGGGACCATGTCGCGCTCATCGTTCATGAAGCCGGCATCGAAGTCGGGCACATCGTATGGGTCGGGAGAGGTGATGTGGGTAGATCCACGAGAGAATGGGTACTCAAGGAAGTGGAACATGGTGAAGAACTTGCCGGGGGGCCTGAGATATTGTCAGCGTCGGAAAGTCTTGGACCGCAGCGGAAATGGGACTTACATGACCATGTGGTCACCGAACCAACCGGAAATGACTGAGTAGTGCATCACCGGCTTGTCGGGCTTGTTCTCAAAGTACGACTTCCAGCCATCCTTGAAGTGAGGAGTAGGCCACCTCTCAAACTCCTTGAGCTCCTCGGCAGTCGGGCGGATCTTGACGCCGGCGTCGATGCCGTTGGTGGCAAGCGGGCCGGTGCCCTTGATGTTCCACTCATCAAAGACGCCTACAAAAAAGTCAACGTCAAATATCATGTTCAATACCAGCGGTTATACTCACGCTTCTGAACCTCGGGGTCACCGCGGACGAAGTCATCGAAGCTCTCGACGCCGGGCTTGGCGCGGAAGACGGAGAAGGTGAGGTAGTGGTCCTGGAAGTTCAAGCCGACACCGGGGAGGTCGACAATGGGCTCAACACCGGCTCTGCGGAGCTTCTCGGGGTCACCTGCGGACGGCATGGTCAGTAAGAGTGAGTGAGGGGTGAGTAAGGCGGGCTTTGCTCACCGACACCGGATCGCTGGAGGATGAGAGGCGAAGACAGAGTTCCGCCAGAGACTACGATCTGCTTGCGGGCTCTGAATGTGCGTCCCTTAAGCTGGTTGGGGTGAAGAGGCTTGCTCGGACTAGGCAGTGATTTGTTAGTTGTGTCGGTTGTACTGATAAGAGAACTTCACTTACACCGTACGGACTCCGACAGCGCGTCCATTCTCAATAATGACCTTGTCGACCTTGGTGTTGCAGGCAAGGTACAAGTTGGAGTGCACAGCACGGGTCGCATGAATGTAGGCGTGTGCACTGTCACTGCGACGGCCCGTCTGTAGTATATTGAGTCAGTCACCCGCCTCTGTAACATGGTGGCCTCGGGATTATGCTCACGTCTCGGTTGATCCACTTCAGCCAATGCTCAGCGCCGTGGCCAGTTGACAGATCCTGCAGATCATCGACGACAGGGATACCCTGAGATTCGGCAGCTCGGAGGAAGTCGTCCTTGATTGGGTAGGTACTGTCAAGTGAGGTTAGGTTCGGTCTTCAGGTGTCTAGAACCGCATCCATTAATTCGGGAAACTTACTAGTTTCCAAACGAAACTTTGATCGGCCCCTCGAATCCGTGAACGTCCCTGTCACATGGTTAGTTAAGCAAAGTTCCCGAGATTCTTCAACTCGGCGCGTAAGCTTGCTCACCGGTTGTGGGAGGCGCGCTGATATGTCTCGTGCTTCTTCATAAGAGGCAGCAATTCCTTGGTGGACCAGCCCTTGGCCTGGAAGTCATCGTAGTCGGAAGCTGAGGCACGAGTGTACATCTGTTGCACGATATTAGCCCACTTTCAAATTATCTTGTAGGAAAGTTCACGTACCATAAAGTTGATTGAGGATCCTCCGCCCAGAATATTGGCGCAGGGCACAATGGCCTTTCGGCCGGAAAGCCATTTTGAAGGCCTGGACTCGTAAAATGTGGCAGTCTTGGAGTCCAGCTTCATATTCCGGGGGTAGATGCCAGGTCGGAACACCCATGGGTTGTTGAGGTTGTTCTCACCGCCCTCGATGAGAAGGACGGAGAGGTTGTGGTCCAAATTGGCCAAACTGTCGAGTGTTAGCGTTTTCTCATTCATCACAAAGTCTGGAATATAGAGACTAACCGTCCTGCGACAACACATCCTGTACTACCACCACCACACACAATAATATCAAACTCGTCGGGAATTGCTCCGCTCATGGTGCCAATAGACCCGATATCAAAGCAATTGTTTGGTTTTTAAGAGATTCAAATCGAGCAATGTCAAAGCGGCATGAACACCGTGCCAGGTCAACTGCAACACTGATAAAGCACTTGCAGGAGTTGAAAGTTCTAGATGATTTCGAACCTGATGGTCGGGACGGTCGTTAAATAGATGAGAAGGCTTGCACATAGGATCATCTGTGCTCTCTTCAACCCCGCTGTTTGTCTTGGGTAGCATCGTTCCCGACCCCGACATTACTCCAGACCCTTCAGGATCTCAAACCAAGACCCGGCAGGAAGGGAGCAGGTGAGGGGAAGCCATGGAGCATCCCTCCATTAGTCGCAAGGTCCTGCAGTTTGATTTGATCCTGAGTATGCAGAGTCCGTGTCATCCGGTGTTGCTGGGCTGTGACCTATCACCGACGCGCGTCTGTGAAGTGTATCACCCCCAAAGCCAATGCATGGCAGCATGTCCATATCCCCCGATCAACATGCTTCTTAGCTTCCCCGCACGAAATTGAGCGGCACGGCGACCAGCTTTCATGCGGCATGTCGATACGTTGTTGGCAAATATTAACCAGCAATGAGAGAGGGAGAGAGGCGAGCAACAGAGGGAGAAGGCCAGCTGCCGGTGTTTCCAGCTTGCATACGTGCAGGTACTTCCGCAAGCCCGAGAGTGGCTCTAGTCCAACACTGCCTCGATGAACCAATGTGATATGCTTGCCGCTGACAACAATTAAATCGGAGATGCAAGGCCTTCGCAGATACGGATACGTTGCTCCTCGGTCGCCAAGAATCTGATAAAACCGAGTGAGCCAAAGTCCCCTAGGAAGTTGAGCCGCACAGCAAACCTTGTCTCCAAAAGGCGCCGTGTGACCATATTTGGAAGCTCCAGCTTTGTCTCATGCTGCGAGCTCCAAGCTTAGAGGAACCTTCGGTAACGATAGGTTAGCCCCGAGTCGAGTCGGAGTTCATTCCACTCGCTCCATGCGAATCCGCTTGTCTTCCAGTCTCTCTTTTTCTCCGTCCCTTTTCCCCTCACCAGGCTAGGCGCCGGCCTCAAACTGGACCCGATGTTGCCGCATGGACATTATCCGGGTATGAGCTGACTGCCGCACCCCGCGTTCTGCACCCCGCAATTCAAAGTCTGGGGAAGCATGGGGAGAAGGACTACAGTTGCAGCCAGATGGCATCTCCTCCAATCCTCCAGCCGCTTTCCTGCAAGCCAAGTCCCTACACTCAGCTTCAGTAAATGAGGAGAAAAGGGTATGTTCAGAAAGGGAATAGCGAGTCAGGAGATAGTGACGTCAAGTTCACTCACCGAATTATCACCGAGATGTTGGTCGCAGAGTTGAAGTCTAAGCTTGCTGTGCCAGCCTCTTGGCTAGATCGCGGCTCTCGATTGGAGGCTTTTACAACATGCCCAGTTGCTTCTCCACCTCCCTTCCACGTTCCGGGCATTATTTTTGTTTTCATGTCAGACAGTTTGAAGCAATCAAAGTAGCTTCACGCGCCGGAGTGTTGCAGGACAACGAATCGTCGCTGCAGTTGTGTCGCCAACTTCCCATCATGGTGCAGGATGCTGCATACAATCTCCACCGCCCTCTGCGTGATGGTGGCTTCTCGAGGTTAACAAAGTAGGATTCTGTTGATGGTGGGGGTCCCACCACTCGGAGCGCGGTCCCCGGAGGAGCTTGTGACGGCTGGGTGTTTCGAAGGTCCGACCATTGTAGCATCGATCCCCCAGGCATCCGTTCATATTCTCTGCATGGTCTAAAGACCCTTCCTATGATGGTGGGTGGTCACCAAGCATCTGGTCTCGTCCCCTGCTATCGGAGAGTTCCAAACTTCGTTCCCCAAATCCTTCCATTTTGAGGGTGTTCACGGCAAATGAAGCTTCCCATGGGTTACTCCGTCCCATAGCTTGGCCGAGGTTCATGTCGTTTTTTCTGGAAAGCAGTGAGATTGATCCTTTACAATGTCGAATCCGATTGATACGTAGGCAAGTCACGAGTCCTGTTAAGGTTTTTGGTTTTCACACAATTCAATTGAGAGAAGTACGACGGTAGCAGAGCATTGAACGAAAGCTGCAGGCATGTTTTAGTGACCCTTCGCTGATGATGGATCAAACGGCAGCGTTCGACGCAGGAGGCAAAGTCTCGACTAATTGGCTCGAAATAGAAGCTAGTAGCATGTCAAGAAGTATCATGCATTGCTACTATGCAGCAGCGAGGCAACGAGACTGATGTTGAATGGTTGCACTGCGAACGAATCAGTTATTGAGTCCAAGGTGAGACGATTTGTTTGACGGAGAAACAATGCCTAGACCCCCACAGCCAAGCCAATGGAAACCCCAATGCTCAGACTGTATCACAGCATCCATTGAAACAGCCTTGTTCATTCGTCCATTAGATGCATAGCAGCTATGAGGCAATGCTTACCCAGGTCCGCCCGGTCAACGAGGAGGGACATTCTAAGCGATGAGTGACCCAGTACTATAGTCCAGCGTGAGCATATTAGTTTACCCCGGAGTCTAGGACGCCTGTCGTTCTATCCGGAGCAATGGAGCATACAGGAGAAACACGACGGAGAATTCGCGTCGAAACTCCAAATGGCAAGAAATAGAAAGGCGGGACGTCCCACTTGAGCGCCAGATGACCAGAGCGGGCAGTTGCATGTGGAGAGCTCATGTGGCAAGGAAATAAGTGAACGCCCGCATTAACAGGGGCTTGGTCCATTGACTATTGTTCAACAGGTTGGAACTGCTGGGGGCGATAAACCAAGCCCAAGCGCGTCGTAAACGGCAACCCGGTGAAAAGGCAAATACGACTTTGGCATCGCGTAGGCTGCGCCTCGGAGCTGCAGCATAGTTGGAGAAAGAGAGAATCCCTGTATTAGCTAGACAAACTGCCAATCCATCATCGGTTGTGACGGAATACGGGCTTTGTGGGTACGACGACTTCTGCAAGACGTACCAACATGCAGCGGAGGCCAAAAATGGACAGCCGCTGGTGACGACGGTTGACCGATGACGAGGCTGACCTACGGATATCGTGACCCGGATTCCCCGGTTCTGAAGGCGAAAGACGTGGAGCTCGAGAGGGGAGATGGTTAGCTCCATTGGAGCCCGGAGACCCTCGGACAAGATATCCTGCATGCTTGGCTGCCGTACCCCATGCACTTGGATGGAAAGCATGTCGGTACGAAAAGTGCGAGAAAAGCAGTTGCTTAAACACGTCAGTTGGATTGATGCAGCAACATAATGACCAAGCGCAACGAGACGGAAAAGTGACAAAGTAAGAAAGCTAATCTCCGCTTTGCAAGTCATTGCTGCTTCCCTCGCGCATTGGTTTCAATTCTGACACCGGCAGATACTGAAATGAGACGAGAGCACTATTTTGCTTATAATTCTCGATATGGAGCAGTTTTGGTTGATCATGCTGGCATCTCAGTGAAATGCCGCCCGAAAAAATGCTGCCACAAGACTTAAATCGAAGAATGGATGACGGCTCGAGTCATCGGCTGAAGTCTGACCGTAACCACGCGGCGAACGATGAAGACAGGTGGTGTGTAGGGCTGTGCTAGGAACACCATGGACCTGCGACCGAGGATACCGTTGGACTTGAAATGATGACGACGAGATGTCTATGTTGATGTCAGTCAAAGATATGAAAGGAAGGTTCAAACTGGGTTCTTGCAGGCGCAGCATTGATCGTTCACTGGAATCAAAAGGTGAGACTTGAAAGTCTGCTTGGTGCTCAAAGCTATACAAGTCAAGTCAATGGCGATGGATGTCTTCTCCTTGCAAACTCTGCTAATACCCAACATCGCAGGTACAAACAGAGCGAGCTGGGTAAAGTGCGGTTGGACACGTTATTCGATTTCAGTTGAGGCGTCGAGCCCATATGATGTGGTGTGCAACCGTCACTCATAGATTTATGAAGGAAACGGGGGAAAATAAGAAGCCAAATGTTTAAAAGCCGTCTGCGAAGTTGTTTCCATGCCATGGGCGCGAGCTCGGAATCCCCAGCAACCTAAACCGACCAAGGTGGCATTAGATATATCCATCGGGCTCTGGGACGGTCTCTGGGACGGTCTCTGGACGGCCTTTGAGTCGGGCTTTGAGCACCAAGATAGGATATCGAGATGTCAGTCGAAGACTCTGTTAACGTGCCAGTGAAGGCACTAGCCGCGTCCTTAAGAGTTGCCATTGGTGGTTGAACGCAACAGTACCCGTTTGCGCAAGGTTAAAGCCGTATTTATGTCACGGCCATCTTGTTCGTCACCGCTGTCAGTGACATACTTGATTGGCAAAAAGCAAAAAATGCTTGATGGGTAGGAAGGTCCCCTGCTGTTGGTTCGTTTTGACACGGCCGATATCTTTGTTGCTCATTTGGAGGCGAAATGGGTGAATTCCTCTAATCCGACACCCGAAGGCGTCAATATCTCTCGCCTTCATGTTTGGCGAGCTTCACCTGATGTCCGTTGGCCCATGTGGGATCATGATGGAAAGTAGTCCCGGGACGATGCGCTATTTCCAGAGGACTTACGAACTAATCCGGCGGCCACTGCGGTCTCGGAAGGAGAGACCGATAGACCCACTCCGGTTTCCGGGAAAGTGCTGCTTATGTCATAGGGAGAAGGCACGTGACTGGGGATGGGTGAGAATTGCTTATATAATATTTATGTCACGTGAGAAAGCAAGGCCCTGCTTGCGAGAAACGGCTAGCTTCCCCGTCTTCTCAGACTCGAGGTGCGCCGTCTTTGGGCTGAAAAGCAGACCCGTTCGTTCCCGTCCACCTTATCCTGGCGGGCTGAAAGAAGACCTACTTAGCGCTGGCTGGAGCAATGTGTTAAGACGATGCCGGCACAGCAGTGCACACATATCGTATACGTGTATCAGGATGGCTATCCCGACATTCAATGAAGAGGTGCAAGTAGTGCAAAAGCAATGTGCATTAGGCTGTGCAGCAGCTTCGTTGAATAAGCAAGTCACT